CTAGGATTTATAATTTTTAGGCACGCAATTATATGCGCGGCTGTTGCCAGATTGTTGTTTAAATATATTATTTATTTTTATTTTTTGTCCCCAAAATTTTAATTCTTTTTTATTTTCTTTCCTTTCCCTTTTTCTACACCCTCCTTTCACCTCTTAGTTAATCAAATTTTCATGAAAAGCTTAAAAACATACATAAATCTCTCTTGTGTGTATTAAACATACTGAGGGATTATATTTTTTATAGGTCTCCTTGCATAGGCTTCTATTAGAGATGGGCTTCTAATAGAGAATTTAGTGTATAAAATGTCATTTTATCTGAGATTATCTTAATAAATTTAATTCTTTATTTAGCAAAAATATTTAAAATTAAACTTTTCTAAACTCTTTTATTTTCAAAAAATTTTGCACATAAAATATTTAATTTTATTATTGCTAGCTAAAATATTTATGTATGTACATAATATTTAAAGAAGAATTAGCTAATTGAATGGTTAAAATAAACACAAAAAATTTTAAAATAATTTAATTTTAAATTCCTGCTAATTTTTGTGTAAATTTTGGATATTTAATTTAGTTAAATTGCGGGTAAGGGGATTAAAATAATTAAATAAAAACAGGTGGATTTATTACTATTAAATCAACAGCGAAAACAGATGCGAGTGAAAAACAATATCCTCCCCCCCCCCACCCTCCCTCTTTTTTTATTTATTCCTTAGAGCGTTAGTTAATTGGTTAATTTTAATTCTTAAAAAAAGAATTTTTACTGGGTAGAAGTTGGGGGTAAGGATGGCGTTTCCTTGGAAATCTCAGGATATCTGGAACCGGAACCGATATCCGAATCGAAGATTTCCGGATATCCGGGGTTTTTTGGTTCCGGATACCCGGAACCGCCAACCTTAGTTGGAGGGATGTAAACGGAGAGAGGGGAAAGAAAGTGTTGGATCAGGTTAGGGTGAAGAAAGTCCTGGTTTCGGGTAACCCGTTGACCTTCCCTCCTTCTCCCAGTTTAAATGTTTAGAAAAATTGAAAGACTAAAACTTTTACTTATTTTTTTTGTTTTTTATTATTCTAAAAAATTTGAGTCTTTCTCTCAATAAAATTTTTATAATTCCCTGTAAAAACTTTTCTCGTTTAAAAACTAGTATTGTATATTTAATTGGCACTTTATCTTCTCATTTTACATGCTTTTCATTGTTCTTCTTCTTCTTTTTTAATTGTAAACCTGCCAATCAGTTCAACAATTTTTAACTAAACTTTTGTTGACTATTTAAAAGTAAATCCAATTTTCTCATTTATTTTGGAGAATTTACTGCAGGTGCCAATTTTAGAAAGAAATAATAATAATAAACTATTCAATCCTCCAAACAATCCATCATCCCCCAAAACAAATAACTTCCTTCCTCCTTCCTCTCTCTCCCTAATCAACAAAAATCTCTTCCTTCTCAATTTCTTTCCTTAAAAATATTCGCGCAAACAATGAAAATATTTTTTGTGTATATTTAATAGTTTAAGAAAGGGAAGGAGAGGAAGAGGAAAATAAATAAATAAAAATATTAAACTTTTCAAAAAACAATTGTTTAACAACAAACAACATATGGTCAAAATAATATTTTATAAATACAGATTATAAGCTTGAGGAAAGGAAGGAAAGTATTTAGATGAAGAATTGCGCGAAAATAGGAGAGAGTTTTAATAAATAATGGAAAAACCTTTCAATTTATTTGTTTATTAACTGATTTGTTTTTTAAGATTTTTATCTCTTTCTAAATTATTATTGGACGGAAATTATTAATTAATTAATATATTTATATGCTGATTTTTATATGATTATTTGGGTTATCTTCGCGTGGGAATTTATTCAGGCTTAGTTTGAGGGACCTGCCATTATTTTTATATTAAATTTTTAGCCAAAGATGGGATTGAAAGGAACTTAAAAAATTAAAAAAAACTATCAACATTTTTTAGGTGTGACCAGCCCTAATCCAAAGATATTAAAAAATTCCATTTAAATGTGTCATTCATTTCCTTCCAAACTTTGTTGTCCTTTTTTCTAAATGCCCAAATTTGGAGGTAAAACAACTCATCAATTTTCTCTCCCTTTTTCTCAATTTAAACTTTTTTCTTTAACCTTTCCTATGTTGACAAGTATTAATTAATATATATTTTTTTAGTTATTGTTCTTGGGTGGTCATTAAAGAAAAAGGATTTTTTAAATACTTAACTATTTTTGTGAACGTTCTTATTTTAGAAAAAGATTTTACATTTTTTAATTCTTAAAAATTATTTAAAAAGATGCGCCCAAATTGGATTAATTTTAAATTTTTAAAGAAAATAAAGGAATTTGCATGCAGAAACTGTCAATTTAACAATTAAATATAAAAAAGACATTCACATTTTTCATTTTCCCTTTGTTTCGTTAAATTTATGGCCGCTAAAAAAGAAATTTATTTGGTGGTTATAGAAATAAATTGAAATTTATGGGGTTCGAGGAGAGAAAGAAGGAAAGAAAATATTTTTTATTTACACTTTAACTAGAAGGAAATATTAAATTTGCAAAGTTTTCCGGAAGGAATGCAAATATTTCAATTTACGAAAATGCACCATACAAATTTCGGGTTGAATAGGTCTTGGATAGTACACTGCCCTATTGAAGAAAGGAAAAACACACAAGAAAATCCAATTTCAGCAAAATCCTTCAGCATCATTCAATTAATTACTAATTATTTATTTATTTGTTGCGTAGTGATAGAAATTTTTCTATTTAAAAATTTCTCAAATTTCACGACTTTTAGTTGTCACTTTTTCAACATTTTTATATAAAATTTGGGGGCAAGAGTTGGAAAAAAATGTTTTTTAATAATTATTTTTTTGACAATTTACAGGTTAAGGCACCAATTGTTTTAATTATTGTTCTCATTTTTTGTGAGAGAGATTTATGTATTAAAATTCTGTTATATGAGAGAGATATGTAGATTTTCCAATTTCTTGTCCCTAGCTTGTTCACTCTTTTTTGCTAGTTAATAAAAATAAATCCTTAATAAATTTATTAATCTCTATTTCAATGGAAGGGAGGAGGGGAGGGGGGGTGAATTGTTTAGATTATTAATCCGGGAAATTAAAAGAAGGGGAGAGGAGAGGGGGAGGAGGTGGTGAAAGGGAATAGGAGTGTTTTTTTAATTCAAGAAGAAATTAATTTAATCTCAAAAATTATTTAAAAAATGGCAATATTGGAACAAGATTATTTGATTGTATTTTAATTTAATTTACAAACATTTAATTGATAACTTTATGTATCAGAGGTTTGCCGTTTCACCTTTCGCCAAATTTTCGGCTTGTTTGGCTTTCGCTTTTCGCTTTTCAAAATCTATTTCGGCACACCTCTGCTATGAAAATATTCACTATATTCTTAATTTTACATTAATTTAATAGTCTTTGCCGTACAATTACATAGCTAAATATTACACGAATTAATACGACAAAATTAAAATTGAATATACGGGGGGGGGGGGAGGGGGGTTGTGGTTGAGTGACATTGACCAAACCAAACAATGCGCGAAGCTGTGAATTGAGGAAAGAAAAAATAATAATTTTTTGGGTGGTGGTTGGCCAATTTTGGGAAGGGAAGGGGTCTCGAAATATTAAGTGAAGTGTTTGCCAACCTAATTACTTTAGAAAGGTAATCCTCCCTCCCCCCCCCCCCTGTCCCTGTCCCTGTCACCATTCAAATCCTCTATACTCAATAAAAAAATCTTCTAGTTAAATTAATCTTCTCTCTGCCAAATTAATCTCCCCCCCCCCTACCCTTTTCCACTTAATTCCTCTCTCGAATATTCTTCAACATATTATTCTTCTTCCAGAATGAAAAAATTTAATTTAAGGTCGAATTAATTGGAAGAAATAACAAAAAAAAGATTTTATATTTTTAATTTTTTGGGGATTTTTCAGAAAGCTATTAACTCCCTCATATTTTTCATTTGTAAAATAATACAAAAGTGTGGGAGATTGGGAGAGAGGGGGAGGAGGGGGGGGGGTAGTATTAAAATCTGGTTCATTCACGACAAATCTTTTGTCAAAATTTTATTAGATTTTGGTTAAATGAACAAATAAATAGTTGTTGTTCCTCTCTTTTAACTAACCAGCCATCCATTCAAGTTTACTTTATTTCCTCAATTCACTCATTTGGAATCTTCTTCTTCGACGGCGGATATGTATAAACATATAAATAATTGCTCAAAGAAACAGTCCCCACCATCAAAAACTCAAAAATGCGATAGTCAAAAAGAAGAAAAACGAAGAACGGTCAGATGGAAGAGGAAAGGAGGAAAACAAAGCACACACAAAACTAATTTTCATTGATATCTTGTGGTGGGCGAGATGAGTAGTTAGTAGTAGTTGCTGGTAAAACTTGAAGGAATGGCCTTGAGGGATTGTGACTCCTTTTAAAGGAGAGGATTCTCTAAAAATATAAGCATCGTGTTTTTGTGTGTCTTTTGTGGATGTGTGGGAAAAAGCGCCCCCAAAAGAGTGTAAATAAGTAGAAACGGCAACTTTAAAAAGAATTTTGGAAAGCATGTTCATTCATTGTCGCTTTTAAATATTGTCGAAACACTTGGCCATAGCAAATATTAAACAATAAAATGACCGTAGTAATATGTATGTACTCTTGAGAGGTTAGGAATAGAAGAATTAAAAAGTAATTTTCTGAAAATTAAATCCAAGTTTAAAACAAAATTTTAATAAATAATTTATTAAAAATAAAGAAAATAAGTGAAAATAAAAATAAATAAAATTAAAGGAAGGGATGTGAAGAAAAAAATTATGTAAATATTGCACATAATTGTTAATAATTAATTTTGTAAAAAATTATAATGGCAAATATGTAAATATATAGGTAATCCTGAAAAGGCGATAATAATAAAGCATTAATTTTGTAGAAATACCGAAGGGAAAATATTAAAGAATGTGTGATAAATATGATAGGGAGAATTATGTAGAGATAATTATCCAAAGAATCTAAAAACTTTCATTTTTAACCAACCAAACAACCAAAAAGATTTTGTCGGAATTTCTTGTTGTTGTTGTGCCCAACGATCTGCAATGTCTAAGAGGGATTGAGCTATTTGTGCACAAATAATTTTGGAATCTTCTTCATTATCTTCAAATTCTTCTTCCTCAATTTTGAAGGGAATATTGTTGTTGACTGTTTGGGTTCCAACAGATTTTTGGCTCTAAATTTAAACAAAATTACAAAAATATACAAGAGAATTAAGGAATTCTGGTTAGCTAAATCGAAACTCGAAAGATTGAGCGAGCCGAAGCTTCTTAGCCAAAAATAAACTCAAATTATTGCCTTGAAAATCAAACTAGAAAAACTCGAAAACGCCTCAATTCAAAAAACCCAAGCTCGAAAAATGTAATGAACGTCGCCTCGACTCGAGGCGACCTTAACGAGAATTTTTAAAATTTCCCTCCAAAAGGAATTTCTGTATATTTTTTAAAAACATTTTACCGTTCGCTTTTGCAAAATTTCAATTCTATTATCATTTCCCTCCCATTCTTCATTTAATTTTTCATCACTCATTATTGTTGATTTCATTATTTTATTATATTGAGGAAAGGATTGTGTGGATGAGGAAGAGGAAGAAGAAGTAGATTGATGTTGAGAATTCCCAATAATTTGTTTTTGATCATTTAAAATTTGAAGAAAAATGTGATCAGGCAAATCACCCAAAGAAATGGCACAACGAAGAGGTAATGAAGAAGAAGGGTGATAATGATGATGATGATGATTTGGGGGGCATATAAAGCAATGTTTAGAAGGTGGCCAATAAGTGAACATCTGTGGGGGGAATTTTGGAATATTTTAAAAATTTAAAAAATATTTTTACCATTTTGTGTCAGTTATTGTTTAAAATTAAAATATTTTTGTGTAGTTAATAAGAATTTTATTTTAATTTACTTGGTTGACCAAAAATTTTTTAACTAAAAAATATTTGTGAGTGAATAAACTTAAATAAATGAACACTAAAAACGGTAAAAAATTTTGAGAAGGAAGGGGGCGGGACTTAAATGTTGAGGAAATAAGGAGAGACAATGGCTAAAATGCGTTAAGAGGGAATATAAAACAACGGGTGAGGAAATATATCTAGTCAAAATTAAAGAATAAATAGGTTAAAGAAAGTTTTAAATTAGCAAAAAAGAGGAGTTAAAATTTAATTTCAAAAATTTGGAAATATTCTTTTAAAATTATTGCTAATTGCCAAAATAATGACTAAAGGAAATTGGGAAGGATGTAGAAAAATATGCCATGTAACAGGAAAAGGCTGAGGGGGGAGGCAAACAAAAGGAAGGAGGGGAGGGGGAGGAGGGCTAAAATCCTCTTTTCACCAAATTTGAGTTAAATCTTCCAAATAAGCTCCGCCCACACAGAAATAGTACATAAGTTGATTTAAAGTTAATAAAGTTGGGGAGGAGGAAATGATTAATCTTCTTCATATTATTTAATCTTTCCGAATTATTTTTTATTCTCTTAAAATAATTTATTATTAGAGAAATGAAAATATTTTTTGTAAATAAAATTTAATGTAAAATTGCCGACACTTTACCCTTAATTCCTTAAAATAACATCCAGAAATGTGTTTACATATAAAAATAATATTATTAAAAATATTTTGTGTAATGCCGAAAAGCATTGATTATGAATTTAAGAAATTAAAGTCTAAAAAGAATTAATAGTAAATCAGAACCCAACTTGTCCTCAAAAGTTGGGTTCTGATCAGTTCGGAACTAAACCAAAGAACCGACGATTTTTTGGTTCGGTTCATAGGTTCGAAAAAAATTAAAAATTAGAAGATAATTTGTGGGTATTTGGTCAGCGCTCAATTGGCCTTGCTGTATGTAAATGTTCAAAATTCGGGTTAGGGCCGCGTGCTCGCCCAACTGTTACTGGTAGTAATAGAATTTTTTTTATCAAATTCCTTTTAATCGAACCAAATAATTTGGACCAATTTAAATATACTGGTAAGGAATAGGGTCAAGTACTCACCCAGACCATCAACTGGCCCACGAACTCGAAATCTCATTCTCATTTCTAAGCTTACTACTTTCCGGAAAGCTTTTTTTCCGAAAAGTTCGATTAAAAGGAAGAGCTTTCCGGAAGATAAAAAGAAAAAAACCTTAAATCTCCTTAGAGTCCAAATTTCCGGAGCCACATTTGCCGCCAACAACTTTACTCGCCAAGCTAAAATTGGCTATAAATTTATATTTTAATTTAATTGACCTTATTGTTTGTCTAAAACTGATTCAATTTTTTGCGCGTGTGCAATAAACCCGAATAAAAAAACAAAAAAATTTTATTAAGTTCAATTCAGAAATAATAAAAGCCGCAATTTGCCCTTTTTTTCTCTAAAAATATTTACACATTTATTTTTAGAGAGAGCGGCTGCCGCGTAAAGTGCATTTTTCTTTTAAATATTTTTTCTCGCCCAATCGCTCTTTTCTTCTTCAATTTTAATGTAATTTTTTGTCCAAATCTTCTTCTTCTGTTTATTTTTTAATAGCAAAAATGGTTGTTGTCACCATTATTTTATTGCTTTTTCCATGTTTAGAATTAAATTTTTTCAAATCTTTTCTTTTGCCCTCATTTATTTTTTCCGTTAATTCAGAAAAAAATTTAATGTGCAAAAATATGATCAACCTCATTATAAATTAATTTTTTATAAAAAATAAATAAATAAATTAGGAAAACAAAGAAGAGAACTTTCCGGAAAATAAAAACAAAAATTTAAAAGGTACCTTAAATTCTCTGATAAATTAGAAGTCCTGGGGCTTATATTCTTCAATAGGTCACTTTGAGTGGGATTATATTAGAGACTGCGCTTCGAACAGAGCCGGGCTTATATCAAAACATTTACGGTAATTTTTATTTTCATTAATTTTTAGAAAAGGGATTCGCGCAATTTATTTACCCATTTATCCCCTCCCCTTTTTTATTCATTTTCGGGATATAAAAATCCATGCCTTTTGATTTTTTTAACTATTTATATTTAGCCGACTTTTTCCTTTGTTTTGACTTATTAATCGAGACCGATAAAGAAATTTAATTGGAGAGAAAAATAATTTATTTTGGTTTTTTTTTATTAAATAGGCAATAAAAATTTGGATGAAGTTGAGAGTAAAAAGAGAGTAAATAATTAAAATTAAAAAATTCTTTTAGAGAAACACTAAACTAAAAAAGAAGTATTGGGGTTGCTCTGGCACGAAAACCAAAACTCACATTTAGGCTTAATCCAAATTCATCAAAATTCTCTCAAAAATTTCTTTAACATCCTTGCCCCCCCCCCCTTACTCAAAAATTTCAGAATTTTTCATCAATTATTTTTAAAATTATAGTCGATAACCCTCGAAAAATCAACATTTTTGACTAGAATTTCTGAAATTCTGAATTAAAAATTCTGAAAATCTTTTGAGAACTTAGATAAAGATACGAGAGTTATTATTCCAAAATTTTATCTTCCTAGATAAACAATTAATAGTTTTATAAGCTCGAAAAGGGCCCAGTCCCAAAAAAGAAGAATTTAGTTTATGCAAAATTAATTAAGAATTACTAATAACCAAAATCGGTCATTTATTTATTTTTAAAATAAATTCTAAATTTATTTTAACGGCATACTCTTTTGATCTTCGGTAGATTATTTGTGCATGATTAAACACACTCATTTAGTTATTTATTCACTCATGGCGGAAATAAATGAAGGAATTTTTACCGATTCGCATTAATTAATTTAATTTTTTATGCAAAAAAGCGATATTTTTATTTTGTTGAATTTTGAGTGGAAAATAATTAATGGAAGCCTATTTAGTGGATATGTGTTGCGCAATAAAAAGAAAAATATTACAATAATATTTTAAATAAACTGTATATCCGGAAAATAAAAAAATTGCCCTTAAAAATCCCAAGAATATAATTTTGGCGCACCTGTTGAGGCTAAATAAAAACCGCTAAATGGACGGGAAAAAAGAAGATTTGCTCCAAATAAAAGGAATAAAATATACAGATAATCTTTAACTGTTTTTGTTGGCTTCTTCTTTTTTCCTTTCTCCGCATTTAAAATTAAAAATCAGAAAATCCATTGTTTTGGCTATTTTTATATAAGGATTTGGTAAATGAGGCAAAATTAAAGGGCACATAATTTTTATTTTTAGAGGAAAAAATGGGGGGAAATTTAAGAGAAAGTTAAAATTTAAATTATTTAGTGTTCGGCACAGTAAGGTAATTTTAAATAATTTAAATAATCCCTCAGTAATTTTCGAAATTACCGTCATCGATTTCCGAAAAATCCCATTTGCCTAACACTAGAAATGAGTATGAAAACGATAAAAATTTATCTGATTTGAATAATTTTGAGTCAAAAAATCCTATTTTAGAATATACAGGAGAGAGAAAGAAAGATTTCCAAATTACCTATTTACTTATTTTTTGTTTTTTTTTAAAGTTCACAGCAATCTACAGCCATAAAAATAAAAAAAAAAGTAAATATACCGCCTTTTTTCAAATAGGTGCACTTAATCCTAGAGGGGGCACTTAATCTCATCAAAAATTTGCGAAAAAGAAACTCGAGAGAGAGAGAGAATATTTTCAAAAGAAAATAAAGGTAAACTCTCAACAAGTTAAAGGAGGAATGAAAAAAGGAATATTAAAATTTTGTGTGAATTAGTTACTGTATTTTATCAATTATTTCCCTGGGGAAGTAATATTTCAACACATCCGCATTTGAGGGAAGGGGGATTTAAACGTTGTCTATGGTATTTAGGGGGGGGATTATTGTTTCAACACATCCCTGGGAATTAATCGAGAGTGAGGAATTTTCGAGAAAAATAAACATTTTTGATAAAAAAGGATACCGAGAAAAAAGTAATGAAATATAAAAATAAGACAAAAAAGAATATTTATACTCTATTTGGGCGGGCAAATTATGTAATTATTGTCTATTAAAAACTTTTACTGTTTCCCCCACTCAATTGTTTTATAAATAAAAGAGATTATGCCGATATTTTAAAAGGAAAAAAACTTTTAATATTTTTATTATTAGAAAAGAAAGATGGCCAATTTTAATAAAAAATAAAAAAATATTAGGTAATTATTATATAATTTTTTTTCAAATTATTGTTTAAAATACCTTTATTTTACCTCTATATTTTGCCTAGTTTACTCTTTTTTTGCGCAGCACAAATATTAAAAACTTGGCAAAGAAAAAAAAGTTTTAATTTTTAACCGTTCAAGGTTTCAAAGAGTAAATTATCCTTTAAAACCTTTTCTATCCCGCCGCTGTCTACTAAACCAAAATGAATTCCTTCAATAAATAATTGTGTGACATTTAGCAACATTTTTAAAAGTATTTTCACACCTTCTCAGCTCGTAAATTAGAGATAGTCAGCAATTTTTAGGTTGATTTAATGCTTAAAATAAAGGAAGGCTAGACAGAGACGTGTAATAAAATATTAGTGATTTGTAGTTGGTTGGTTAGTGGTTGTATTTCACAAAATAACAAAAAAAAGGTGTAAAATAAAAAACAAATTTGGAAATAAACTTTTAAGGAAATGACAAATATCTATCGTTCTTCGGCCCTCACTCCCTTTCAGGGCACATAATATAAGAACTAAGCAAATAACCGCGGTTGTTTAACCATGGTCACGTAACCATCGCCACTACGTTAAAAATCGCCGGTTGGTTTAACCAGAAACCGAGTTCTTTTACTACGGGCCCAGATGGATTGGAAAGTAAAAGTTTAAAGAGATCTATTAAAAAATTATTTGTAAATAAAAAAATTAATTTCTCAAATAAAATAACAATTAAAAAATATATTCTTATTTTTATTTGATTGGGTAATTTAAAAGAGTCGGCGGCTTAATCAAAAAGGTAAATAAAAAAACGAAATGAAAAATGAACCTTAAAATGATATAAAATGTAAAATGATTTTGGAGACAGTAGAAGGAAGGATGGGGGGAAAATTGCGCGAAAATTGGCCAATTTTCGGGATAAGTCAAGGCGGCATCTTTTTGAAGGTTTTGGAAGATGAGAAGAAGAAGAAATGTTTTATTTTCATGTAAGTAAAAAAAGAATCTTGTTTTTTGTGCTTTTCTCACGGCCCACTTTAATTTTTTAAAGAGACAAGATCGGGAGGGATGGGCACAATTGGCCAGACTAAAAAGGATTACAAAAAAGTTGGTAGTTTTTAGGGAAAAAAATAAGGAATTGGATCAAATTAAGCGGCATTAAACATTTTTTCTTTTTAATGTTGCTTAAAATTGGAAAATAAAAATGTTTTCGAGAATATTTAAAGAAAATTTCTATTAGAGATTGGAAATTTGAGAAAAAAAACTTTGACCTTGAATTTTGATTTTGGCTGAGGATAATCAAGGGAAAATCAAGGAAACTGAAAAATGCTACCTATGACTCGACTGGAAAAAGGAAGGAAGGTTTGGATATAGATTTAAGTCAATCTCTTTAGAATTTTCAAATATAAAAATTAAATAAAATTAGTCCTTAGCTTAACAATAAATAATTAACATTTTACTATTAGATTTTTACAAGTTAAAATAAATATAGGATTTTATTTGTAAATAATTATTTGTTTTTTTTTTGTTTTTTTTAATTGAAAAGTGTTACAAAGTATAATTTAAAATTATATATTTTTTTATAAAACAGGATAAAAAACTCGGAATAATTATTTCCGCAACTTTCAAATTTTTTAGAATTGAGTTATAGGAGAAAATTAAAACTGTAAATGATTATGTAAAAATTAACTAGTTATTAAAAAACAAAATAGTATTTACATATATCCGGAATAAATAATTTTGCAAAGTTGAAAAAATTAAGGTATTGGAAACCCCTCCCCTCTTTTTTTCCCATGTTTCCTCGACCAATATTTTTATCTATTATCTATTATATGTATGTACAGTCATCGACATAAAGATAGGGGCAAGAGTAACTGAAATGAAAATTGACCATTTACTCAGTTAAAAATTCATTTTAAAATATTAATCCGGCAAGATTTATACTCATTAAATAGAGAATTAAATGTAGTATTTAGTCAAATAAAAAAATTTTCCTAAAATGAATTTTTAACTGAAAAAATGGTTGATTTTCATTTCAGTTACTCTTGCCCCTATCTTTATGTCGATGACTGTATATGTATATTCGACCCAGCTCTTCGAGCTGGGTCGAATGATATCAAGTTTGTTTATACTTGTTGATTTTGAACAGAATTATGAAGCTTAATCCTCGTTGAGTAAATTTTTGTTCCGATTGACATGAAATGAGAAAAAATAGGGGCCCAAGTAGGCGCAAAGCCATAACCTGCCTCAAAATTTCCAAATCTTTCAAAATTCAGTATTAAACGATTCCTCACATCGAACTAAAGAGTGGTACCAAAATTGTTAACTTCCAGAAAGTTTTCAGGTAGTTATGGCTTTGCGCCTACTTGGGCGTGTCCCAAAAAATAAAATGGAAAAAAAGTTTTCGACTTCCAAACAAAAACAAAATATTGCTCAATTAATCTCTTAACTACAACTCCTGTCCAATGATTAGATTGTCCTATGTCCTCTGTCCAATTGTCATCTTTTCAATTGTCCTCTGTCCAATAGTTAATTGTCTAGTTGTCGTACCTCCTATTGTACTCGAAAAAAACATTATGGAAAGCAGAGAGAAAAGGATTCGAAAACTCGTTTCGCAATTGAATGGATTAAATGTCTTTTTTTCTGGCGATGTGATTAAAATAAATTTTACTGAAAAGGACGGTTCAGTATAGCAGATTCAGTGTATTTATGGCCATAACTTTCTTGTTGCAACGTAGTTTTGTTGTTACTAGTTTTGAGAATTGTTAATTTATTTTTTTAAAATGTTGCTTGTGTTATTATTTTTAATTAAAATTTAAACATTTTTTTTAGATTTTTAGGTGTGTTAGTTATTTAAAAGTCTTATTTTGTGTTTATATTTAATTTATCTACAATTATTTTTATTTGATGAAGCAGGCACAAAGTAAGTAAAAACAGAATCTTTGGAATACAATTTTAAACTTTTAGGCAAAGATTCTCTACATTCTACAATCTCCGAAGCTACAAACAATGAAAACTTAAAATTAGGGGACCAAGTTAAAATGAAAACTGGTGGCCGTGCTGGTGTGGTAGCTTTTGTTGGGCCAACAGATTTCCAAGCTGGAATTTGGATTGGTGTTATTTTGGAAAGACCTGAAGGAAAAAATAATGGAAGTGTTGATGGACGGGTTTATTTCAAGGTTTTTTTAATTTTATTTATAAAAACGTGATTTTCTTGAAATTAATTTATAAATAAAATTTTAAAAAATTTTCCTTTTCACAGTGTCAAGATAAATTTGGAGTTTTTTGTCGTCCTAATAACTTGGTTAAGTTAAATACTCAATCGGCAATACAATCTCCATTAGCCCAAAGATCACAGCAACATAGGCGAGTCCCGTCACCAACAAATTCAATTGCAAGTTCTTTCGCTCCTTCAATTGCTGCCTCACAAGTTGGAGGATTACGAGATCATTCACCTTTTGCACAAGAATATGGGTAAAAATATTTTTTTTAACTTTAAAAATATTTTAGTTATGATATTGGTGATCGAGTAAATACAAATGATGGACGCTGCGGAAAAATAAAATTTTTAAATACAATTAATGGACAAGTATATGCTGGTATTCTGTTAGATAAGCCTGTTGGTAATTCTAGTGGGGAATTTAATGTATGAATTTTATTTTTACGTTAATTAGTTTTTGCTGTACTGGAGCATGAGCATAAATTAAAAATATGTACTATTCGATTTCCTTCGGCGAGCTGTTCTTGACGAGATTATTTCATTTATTTTACTAATTTACTTAATTTATTACTGTTCCAACATTATGAGCTCCCCTCGTAAAATTTTTGGTTGTCAAACGAAAAATTCACAAAAATTTATATCTATCAAGATCTTCTCATAGAAAAAAGTATTACATATTTCGCACATACGTTCATGCTCCGACGTACTATAGTGACCCCAAGTTTAACTCAAAATGTTTTTAGAGTATTCAATATTTCAAATGTTATCCAAAATATGCTGTTTTTCTTCCTGCTGATCAAGTGAAACGGGCAACTCGTACAGAATCTGCTCTTCCACCCAAAATTGCCCCAAAACAAACAACAGCTTCAAAATTAAGATTAGAAAGACGTGGAGGATTGGATGGATATACAAATGCTGGTGCTAGTTCTTGGCGAGGGAGCATGGGTATTTTTTGCGATTTTTTTATATTTTTTGGCTATTTTATATTTATTCTTTTTCTAATTTGTTTTTACTTTAGAATCATTGGATAGCGCAATATCCCCAAGATCTCCAAAATCTCCTCCACCAAAATATGGTGGAACTATGGTTTTAATTTTTTTATTCGAAGAATAATCTAAATCTTTTTTTAGAAACCATCGAGTTTTTCTAAGGATAATGAAGTTATTGCTGGCTTAAAGGTTTTTGAAATTTTTTAATAATTTTAAAATTTGTTTTTAAGAAATGTTTGCAAGAAAAAGAAGCTCATTTAACTAAATTATCATATGAAATGGAGGAACGTCGTTGTGATTCTGGTTATTCTTTTGATGAATAAAATTCCTTTAAAGATTAATTTTAGAACGTTTGGCCCAAGAAAATAAAAGTTTAAAATTGCGTATTGGGGAATTAGACTTTAATCTTCAAGAATTATCGCGTGAAAGAGCAGAACTTCGATCATCTATTGCTGCAAATGAAAAGAAGCTTGAAGATTTGTCTTTTTGTTATACGGAAAGTGAAGTGCAAAGAGGAGAATTGGAGCATAAATTAAATGAATTGAAAAGTATGCCTACATTATTTGAAAAAGAGGAGGGAATGTATTTGGATGTAGAAAATAGTAGAGGTATTAAATTATAATTAGCGATAAAATATTTTTGAATTGTAAAGGCCCTTCAATTTCTGCTTTAATTGACTCTCAATTATTACTTCCGCTTGATGATTTCAATAAAGATGATGAAATAACTTTTGTTGAGGTTGACGTTCAAACTGAAAATGAACAACAAATTTCAAATAAGAATAATCAACATTTTGGTACTCAAACAGAGAATATTTTTGATTGTAAAGATTTTGGAATGCAAGTAAATTGTGTTGATGATATTTTGGAAAAGGGAGCGAAGGATGGCATTATTGAAGAAGGGATGACAAAAATATTCGAAGAAATTGGAGTTCAAACAGAAGAAGAACAAATTTTTAAAGAAGAGAAAAAATTATTTGAAAATAATTTTACTCAAACTGAAGAAAAGAAAATGATAAATTCTGAAAATCAAACGGATGGAAAGTTGGAGAAGGACTCAGCAAATCAAACTGATGAGAAATTGCTGAAAGACTCTGCCATTCAGACTGATAAAAAATCATTTCAAGATTCAGCATTTCAAACGGTGGAGGAAGTTTCTAAGGTAAAAACTTTAACTGATTTTTAACAAAATGTTTAATTATTTTAAGATTTTTAAACAAAATTATATCAATTCAATTGCTCAACCTTTCGCAACGACAATTTTAAATAAGGAAGAGGGTATTCAAACATTTCCTGTATTACCTCCAAAAATTCAAAGTATCAGTTCTCAAACTGAAGAATTTAAACAAATACCTGTTTTCGTTCATTTTATCGAATCTGCAGTTCAGACTGATTTTATGTTGCCTAGTCCTGTGGTTAGTAGAAAGGTTGTTTTATTAAATAAATTTTTAACTGTTTTTTAAAGGATTCATTCGAGGCAAATACTCTTAACAATTCTACTTGTAAGACTAACGCAACACCTCCTCGGAATTCTTCTTTTTCATCAACTAACGAGGTTTTAGAATTAAATGTTACGGTTTGTTTTGCTTATTAAACCTATACATATATTTAAAAAATGTCTTTTAGCAGCTTCCATTCAACGATATATTTTCAACTCCAGCAAGTTCAGATGACAAACAACAACAAAAACTTTGTTCACTAAATACTTTACATAAAAAGCTTAAAGAAAAATGTCAAGATGTTGACCGTTTAGAACAACAAAATTCTTTTTTAAATAAAATAATTGCTGATCAACAAATGGCTATTGAACAAATGAAGAAAATGTCTATTGGAGGAAATGGAGGAGAAATGAAAAATAATAATGGAAGTGGAAGTAATAATGTTGAAAGTTGTATTGGTGGGAATCCTATAAGGTTTGTTTTTTCTGTTTAAAATCTTTATTTTCCATTAAATAAATTTAAAATTCTTTTTTTAATTAAAGGAATCATACAAATAAACAACAACAACCACAGAGAAGATGCCGTCTTTACTGCGAATATTGTGAACGTTTTGATTGTCATCCAACAGATGAATGTCCAATTCAAGAAGCAAGAAGGGAGGAAAAACTTGCTCATATTGTCTTTTCCCCAAATAGAAACAAGAAATGATGGTATTTAAATATATTTTGTTTATCTTGTTCTTTATTAAAAATATGTCCTTATATTTTTCTGGCCTTTTTTGTATCTAATTATTTTTCTTCTCCCGTGTGAGTATGTAATAAATATTTGATATTATTAATTTATTTTTTAAAAATAACTTTTAGTTTTTTTGAAAACTATTTATTTTGAAGGTTTTTAAAATATTTTTTTGTTTAAAAATCTTGTAGCTTCATTCAATAGCATCCATGTCTCACGAAATATTTTATTGGTTATTACTTTTGTCAACTAATTTTGTTTCTTCTCTCCCTTTAAAAATTGATCTTGGCGGCATTCATTGGAATTTTTATTCTCCAAAGTTGAATATTTCTGGTTCTGCTATTGTCCCGGGCGATATTTATGCTGATTTGGAAGCTAATAATTTTATCAAAAATCCACTTTTTGGACAAGGTGATAAAATATATGCATGGGTAGGTCAACAAGATTTGATATATGAACGAACAATACTTTTACCGCAGGAAGTTTATAAGGTTAGTTATTCTTTTCTAATAAGAAATGTGTTATGATTCTGTAGGAGATTTCATTTAAATTTTCGGTGCTGTTCATTCTCCAATAAAACGGGTCAATGTATTTTTACTTTATTGGCCTTAGCTAACATGTTTTTATAAAATTTGTATGGGAATGTATACGCAACTCACGTACAATACCGGACCAGAGGTTCTAACAATAAAATGCAAAACTTACTTATTGCATAATGTATTTCACTATGACCCATTTGTACTTTTTTTGGAGAAAGATAGGAAAAGAAAAATAAATCGTTGACAGCGATAACACCAAATTTTCTTTCAGGCAAAGAATGTTCTTTTAAAAATACATGGTTTAAATGGATTCTCTTCTGTTTATTTTAATGATTACCATGTTGCTAATTTGGATAATCAATTTTTAAGTTACTCAATTAATTTAACATCTCTTCTGGTTAAAGGAATGAATTTTTTGCGTATTTCCTTTAAATCTAATGTTAAAGAAGCAAAAATGCGATCAGATGTTTATGAGGTTTATATTTTTTCAAAATACTAAATTTATTTTTTCCTTTAAAGTTGCTTAACAACCATGTTTTGCCACCGTTATGTTTTTAATAAATTAATTTTTCGTTACTTTATTAATATCTCGCCCCTCCCCCTCCCTTCTCAAATTAATTTTTCTCTTATTATCTAGCATTCATTTTCTTCGAGTATTTTAAATAGAAGTTATGTGAATAAAAATTAGAAAGGAAAAATAGGCGGCAAAGGTAAAAATAAACATAAAAAAAGGAATTTTGACCATTCCGAAGCTAAAGAATAAAAGGGAACTTAATGTGAGACAAATAATGGGGACGATATATTAATAAAATACTAATTTTTTATAGGAATGCCCGCCAGAAGCGTATAACGGTCAATGTCATGTCAACTTTTTACGTTCAATGCAAGCAAGTTTTGCTTGGGATTGGGGACCAAGCATGCCCTTTGGTATAAATAAATCTATAAAAATTATTTTGTTTTGATTTTTTAGTAGGCATTTGGCGACCTATTGAAATTATTTATTTTGATCATATTTCAATAGAAAATTTCTCTCCATTAATTGAACCATATGGGAAAAGTATTTAATAGTTTGTGTTTTAAAATTTATTTTATTTTTCAGCTCATTTTCTTATTAAAAATATTATTTCACTTTACTGTCATTCTAATCTTCAAAATTTTAAAATTGAATTAAGTCTTGATGAAATTGGTTTAACAAAATATTTGAATTTTCGCCCTTCTGATTATGGTAAATGTCCAAAAATTAAATTGAAGAATTTGGATATTTTAGTTCCTCGTAAAAAGGTTGTTTTTAATTAAATTTTTGTTGTTAAAACATAGAGACTGCACTTTACTTTTTATTCCGCATCGTACATCTATATTCGTTTATATTATAGATCAAACTTTGGTGGCCTAATGGTTATGGTTCTCAACCTTTATATACTTTACAATTAAAAATTCATTTAAACGGTTTTTTATATTAAAAGTTTTATTAAATTTAAACAAATAAATTTTTAGATACTTTATTGGATTCAATTAAAAAAAGAATAGCTTTTCGTTCAATTTATTTAAATCAAAGTTTTGTAAGTGAATTAGACCATGACAAGGGACGCTTTTTTCAATTTGAAGTTAATGATATACCTATATTTCTTAAAGGTTTATTTAATATATTAAAATCATGTAATAAAAATGTCGCTTTACAGAAATTGTTTTAGAATATTTTTAGTTGATACCCAAAATCTTTGAAATTTTGAATAATATTTTTAGTGTTTTCTGATAAATCCCAAACTTGAGAATTTTTGGAACGTTTAAAGTTGGCCGTTTATTTTGGTATTTAAATGTAACGAGTGTTAATTATTTAAAACAATTTCTTGAAAATAAATTATTTTTAGTCTAGGTACCAATTTTGTTCCAATATCAATATTTCCTTCACGAAATAATACATTAAGACGTAATTTTCTTTTTCATTCAATGATTGAAGCAAATATGAACGTTTTACGTGTTTGGGGTGGTGGATTTTATGAAACTGATGATTTTTATAGTTTAGCTGATGAATTAGGTTTTTCCATTTAAAATATTCTCCCAATATTCTTTTATTTTTAGGTTTACTTATTTGGCAGGATTTTATGTTTGCCTGTGCTTTATACCCAGTAAATAAAGCTTTTTTAAATTCTGTTAAAAGAGAAGTTAAAGAACAGGTTTTTTTAAATTATTTTATTTTCGATTTTTATTGATTTAGGTTCTTCGTTTAAGACATCACCCATCTTTACTTTGTTGGGCAGGAAATAATGAAAATGAATTGGCTATAAGGTTTTTAAAAAAAATACTTTTTCAAATATTTTTTGAAATAATTAAAGTGATGTTTGGTATTTTGCAAAAAATTATTCGAAAGAATTACAATCAAAAGATTATTTAATTCTTTACAAACAAACAATACAACCAATTGTTGAAAAATTAGATACAAGCAGACCTTTTCTTTTATCGAGCCCTTCAAATGGAATTGAAACGGAAATGTAAAGGTTTTTTTAAATTTACTTTTTTTATTAAATTTTTTTTTTCTAAAATAATTTTCTAGTAAGGGAGGTATTTCTGAAAATCCTGGAAGTCCTCTCTATGGAGATATTCACTTTTATGCTGAAACAAAAAATCTTTGGGAAGATTCTACTTATTTAATTCCACGATGTGCTACAGAATTTGGTGTTCAGTCAATGCCTTTTAAATCAACAATGGTTAATTGGATTAAAGAAGAAGATTGGAAATATACAAGTGAAACTTTATTGGAAAGACAGCACCATCCAGGGGGTGCTTTAACTCTTCCAATGATGATTTTACAACATTTTTTGGTAACTAAAAAAATTGTCAAAAAATATTTTTTATTATTAAATAATAGATTTCATCTAATTCTTCTACTTCTTTTATTGACGAATTTGCCTTTTTATCTCAAGTACATCAAGCTATAGCGTTACAAACACAAATTGAACATTATAGAAGGTTTCTAAATTATTTTAGTAATTACTTCTTTTAATCTCAAAAATAAATACAGATGGCGTTCTAATTTAAATTTAACAAATGGATTGGGTTATACAATGTGTGCAATGTATTGGCAGTTAAATGATGTTTGGTCTGCTCCGACTTGGTCTACAATAGATTTTAATTTACGGTGGAAAATTGGTCATTATTTTGTTAAGCGGTCTTTTGCTCCTTTAATTTTATCGATGGTTGGTTTTTTTGGGATTTAATTTTTATATTTCTTTTTTTAGTTTTTTGATCAAAATGAAAATTTTCATCTTTTTGTCTGTTCTGATTTACTTGAAAATATTTATAATTCCATAATTACAATTAAAGTTTTTGTTTTACAATATGGAAATGATCCAATTTATCAACAATCAATAAAATTAAATAAAATACCTTTATTGTCATCTAATGAAATTTATTTACCTGAAAAATTTAATTGGAAAATAAAAGATAATGTAAGTTTTTAGGGATCAATCTAGAGGGTCAAATTCAAATATTTGGGTGGATAGAGAAGGATTTGTGCAGATTAAGGCGGTTTTGTGGGTATTAAGAGGGGGGGGGGGGGGTATCGGATCTGAGGATTTGTTGGAAAGGGCGAAATGAAGCAGGCAAACGTTTCTTAATCTTGATTCCTCCTTTTTTGGATTTGACGCTCTGGGTCATTTTACTTGGATCTTACAATTAGGCTTTAAGTTTAATTTTAAAAAATTATTTAAAAAATTTTTTTAAGAAAACTAATTTTGACAATAATTATTTAATATCTGCAACACTTTCAATTAATAATTCAAATAATACTTCATTTTCAATTCCACCACAATTTATATTATATCCAAATAAATTTGATAATTTAATTGGAAAATATGGAAATGCTTCTATAACATCATTTGTTAAAATTACAAATTTTAAATTTAAAATAAAAATTAAAAAAGAAAATAAAAATTTTATTTTACCTTTAATTTGGATTGATTTAAAAGAAAATTTTTTAAAATTAAATCAGAATTTAATTTATTATTTTAATGATAATGGATTTGCAATGATTGATAGTGATGAGGAAAAAGAAATTGTTTTATTTATTTTTAATAATCCAAATAATGTAATAATTATTAAAGAAAATATTAAATTAATTATATTGTAAAATTGTTTAGAGATCGGAAATTTAAAAAAGGGGGGACCTTGGCGGCCTTATCTTGACTCCAGACAAGGAAAAATCAAGTTATGATCCGGGCCGATCTCTAAATCTTAAATTTAAAGGGGAGAGGAATTTGTGTATGTTTTTTTTGCCATATTTATACATAATTATTTTTAAATAAAATTTCTTTTAATTTAAAAATGCATAAATATTATTAAAATAGTTTTTTTGTTAAATGTGTTGCTTGACAACAAAAATATTTTTAACATTTATCATACAAGGCCTAAAGAACATTATGTACGACTCTTCGTATCCGTATTTTCTTAAATAGAGCCTCTTGGGCTCTATTTTTAACCACCCCAAAAAGCGGGCTGTATTTATGAGGGTTAATACAGAAAAATATGGTATTCACAATAACAAAAAAATCCGACTCGATTTGACCGAGATACAGACCCCTGAAAATTAAAAAACCGTAGGAGAGACCAAGCTGAATTTTTCTTGTTAAAAATTGTGAATATGCAAATGACCGTTCAATAGTCTCTTGTCCAATTGTCGTGATATTCCCCCAATGTCCACAATTTCAAACCTAATTACTTTTAATTAATTGGTGGTCTAGGTAAAAACTTGAATTATAAGTGAAAGCAAACATTTGGTTTTATTCTCAAATTTTTAACTTTTTAAAGATTTTTTTAAAAAAATGCCTTCGGTTTCAACAAAAAGTGGTTCATCAAAAAGAAAAAATACAGCAACAACAAATTCTGATTTAAATACTTCAACTTCGTCGGCAACAACAACGCCAAAAAATGTTGAATTAACTGAAAAAGCTTTAGCAGATTCAACAACTTCAACTGATGGACATCCTGTTCATGAAGTTACTAAAAAGTGGAATGTAGGGGATAAAGTTTTGTGTCGTTATATGAATGCTGAGAATATTTATTATGAAGCGAAGATTATGTCTTTGAAGACTAAAGAAGGAGAAACTGCTTATGCTGTCCATTATCCGGTTTATTTTTTAACTTTGGGGGGGGGGGGGGGGGGGGGGTGTTGTTTAGTTGGGAACTTTTTGTTTTTCTTTTATTAACAATAAAGTTTCCTAGTTTTTCATTTCTTAAAATGATTTATTTTTCTTAATTTAAGAAAACATTTAAAATATTTTTGTAGGGCTGGAGTTCTCGTCACGATGAAGTTATTCCACACAGTAAAGCATTACTCCGCTTTAAGGATTATACACAGGAAGACGCAGAAAAAGCAAAGGTTTTTGAATATTTTTTTTAAATTATTAATTAATTAGGATGAGATTAAAAGAGCTCAACAAGCAGCCAGTAAAAAGCGCAAAACTGCGGATAAACGCTCTTCTGGTATTTCGACAGCAGACGATAGTCGTTCAAGTACTCCTGGTGGTGGTGATACTTCTGGTTTTTTGTTTTCTTTATTATTTCTTTTATTTAATTATTTAGCAAAACGCAAGACTGCCGCAATTCGTAGACCTTTAGCCGCAGATGTTCATGAACGTCGAAAGGAAATGCCACAAATTGTTTTGCCGGATGCTCTTCGACGTATACTTATTGATGATGAAAATTTAATTAACAAAAGTTGTTTTTTGCCTAAATTGCCTGCTCGAATTACTGCTTTTGATATTGTTCAGAAGGTCTTTTTTGTTCTTTTTTTAATTAATTATATTTTTTTAGTATCGTGAAACTGTAAATCCACGGGGTGTTTCACCTCGCGAATTTTACATTGAAAATTCAAATGTTTCTAATGCTTTGCTTAATCCTACAGCTGAGAATTTAGAACATAGTGCTCTTGGTCTTTTAGATTATTTTGAACAAGCAATTGGGACAATTCTTCTTTACAAATTTGAACGTCCAATGTTTAATGATCTTTATGAATCGTTGAATAAAGAAAGGGCTGAAGAAGGGGAAAATAATGAAGAAGGGAATGGTGATGCTTTAAATAAAGGTTTTTTAAAATTTAAATCAAAAATTCTCTCCTCTAGTGAATCGCTTCGTTAGTTTTGACAAGTAACCACCAGGAACTATCACTAAATTTGTGTAGGGCATGGTCGATAACCTATTTCCAATTTTTAGCTTTTTTTTGGTCCTGACCCCGAAATTACAAAATTATATGGCTTCAAAGTTAGGTATTCTTGGAGAGGCTTATGTGAGTCCATCTCATTCTTCCTATTAAGGAGGAAAGTGAGACTTCCATTCCCTTTTTTTCTTTCCTCTTCTTTTCCAAAATTTGGTTAAAGATTCCTTAATTTTAAACTTTAAATGTCAAAATAATTTAAAATTTATTTCTTCAGATAAAGAGGAACAACAACAACGTATCTGTTTTGCTAAACAATTTGGATTGCCACATTTATTGCGAATGTTTGTTCGATTTACAGACATGGTTTTTTCTTTTTAGATTTTTTTTAATTTTAAGATATTTTTTGGTAACGTTTGTCGTTTACGAGACTCTCTTTCAAGTTTTTTACTTTAAATGTACAGTAGAGTAATCTTCCTCTCTATTTTTTACCAACATGTAATTAAAAGTTTTTGGAAGGAAGAAATGAAGGAAAGTCTGACCATTCTGTACATTCATAAGAAATACTTGGGGAGGAAGAAGGGTCCAAAAACGACAATACGACAATTTTACCCTATTTTTTAGTTGGGATATACAGACTGGAGTGAGCGTTCACTTGAAGCAATTATTCGTCATGCGCAGGATTTTGTTATGTTTTTGAATAAAAATCATCAAGAATTTTTTAGTGTTGATGAGGTTAAAGTATTTTTTTAATTTAAAATTTAACAAAAAATTCTTTTAAAGGATTATGTTTTAGCTTCGGCTGATTATCACAAGCGTGTATGGGGAAACAATTCATAAAAAGAAAAAGTGACAGAAAATTGAAAAAAAAAAAAGAATAAATTTTAAAAAGGAGAGATTTTTTTTCATTTCTTTCAATTTTTGAATAAATTGAGTATTTAAAAAATTAAAATGTTCTTTGAACGGTATTTCTTTACCACTGTCTATTTGTCCTCTGTCCAAAGGTCTTTTGTCCAAATATCTTTCCCTCCAATGTCGTCCAGGTAAAATTTCGAAATATCCCAGTTGAGTACCTAGACATTTTGAGCCATAACTTTTTCGATTCTTAATTAATTTAAATAATTAATATACCAATCGAAAGCCCTTGATGTGAGGATTATTTTCGCTAACAGGTGTGATTTGATCAGATCATCATGCAGAAAGTTACAGCCAGATAAAGATCAAACTCACGATTGCGCGCATTTATCGAGATGTAACTTTTTGTAACATGATCTGATCAAATCAATCTTTTTGACGAAAATAATCCAACACATCCAGGGCTTTTGATTGATAAAGGATTTATTCGAATTGGTACAAAACACAAAAAGTTATGGCACACAAAAAGTTATGGTGAGTACCTGAGCACAAATATGGCTCAGGTACTCACCTCCAAGGGCGGGGACACGCCCGACTTGCCGCGGGCCGACTTGTGCGGCCGACTTGTCGCGACCGACTTGTCGCCGGCCGACTTGTCGCGGGGCGACTTGTCGCCGGCCGACTTGTCGCCAAGCTTTTTAATTAACACTCCCCTTCCACAAGGTCTACGCGGAAAAAAGTTTTTGCCGCTGCGGAGGAAGCCGGGCATGTCGAGCGGAACGACGGCCGCCGCTTCGCTACGGTCGCCGCGAGCGCAGCGAGCACGACCGCAGCGAAGCACGGCCATCGTGTAGCGAAGACCATGCCCGGCCTACCCTCCGTAGCAGCACAAAAACAGTTTTTCCTGCGAAGATTCAGTTGATCATAACTTTGTTCAGAATCATCCAAACGAGCTGATTTTTGTGTCATCAGCTCAGCTCGGCGAGCTCTTTCGAATGACACATAAATTATCCAATTTTGAGTCTGGTACAGAAACTGTAGTTAGGGGTTTTTTAATTTTGGAAAATTTTTTTGTAAAATTTTTGTTTTATAATTCAGCATGGTCCCATTTGATGGTCGTTGAGACCATTCTAATTGATTATAAATAAGAATATTTTATTAAAAAGCTTGGCGACAAGTCGGCCGGCGACAAGTCGGCCTCGCGACAAGTCGGCCGGCGACAAGTCGGTCGCGACAAGTCGGGCTGTACCCCCAAGGGCGTATCCAGGGGGTCGTTTTCGGGGGGGGGGGGCTAACATTGGGTGTACGCCAAAATTTTGGCGTTCCGAACGCAAATTTTTTGTACATAAATTTTCATCACTTCAGCGCCACAGGCGAAAATTTTTTGAATTTTGGAAGGCCGTAGGCCAAAAAAATTCACATTTTTTGCGCCGCAGGCGAAAATTTTGAGGATTTTGGTGCTCAAGAAGCCAGATTTCTTCCATTTTTTGCGCCGCAGGCGAAAATTTTTAAAATCTAGAAGGCCGTAGGCCAAAAAAATTCACTTTTTTTGCCCCAGCCCTTCCCCAAATTTTTTCCTTTTCCCCATTTCGGGAGGGGGGGGGGGGCTCTAGCCCCCCCAGCGGCTAAACTACAGTTTCCGTACCAGACTCAGAATTGAACGATTTATATGTCATTCGAAAGAGCTCGTCGAGCTGAGTCGAATGACACCAAAATTATTCAGCGGAAAAAATTCTGAGCCGAGTTACAGACCACTAAAGTTCAAAAAACCATAGGGGGGACCAAGCTGTTTTCTGGGGGTGAAAAATTCGAATATGCAAATTATACCTCATTCGAAAGAGCTCATCGAGCTGAGTCGAATGACACCAAAATCAATGAAATCAGACTTGATTTGACAAAGTTATGCTCGTTTGTTTTAGCTCCTTACCTTTGTTCTCCGTGGATGTTCTTGCTGCTGCGGAGGAAGCTGGGCATGCCCATCACAGCGATAATTGGAATAGGATTAAGTTATGAGCCCAGACCCAGAGCCCGTAGACTCCCCGCGAGGCGCGTGCCGCAAAACTCCGCGCGAAGCGCGGAGTTTTGCACAAGCGCCTCGCCGACGCCCCATAGGTTTACGTTGTTTGTTTTTTCTGTCATAACTTTGAACAAACTTGACCAATCACGGCCATTTTGGTGTCATTCGACTCGGCTTGAAGAGCTCTTTCAAATGAGCTATTAATTGCATATTCGATTTTTTCACCCCAAAAATCAGCTTGGTCCCCCCTATGGTTTTTCGATTTTCGGGGGCCTGTAACTCGGCTCAGAATTTTTTCCGCTGAATAATTTTGGTGTCGTTCGACTCAGCTCGACGAGCTCTTTCGAATGACATATAAATCGTTCAATTCTGAGCCTGGTACGGAAACTGTAGTTAGGCCCCCCCAGCCCCCATTGGATACGCCCTTGCTCACCTCAATGATCCCCTACCACCTTTTGGGACAAAACTCTTATTTCCGCCTGGGTATTTCGTTCACAAATGAGTGAGAGGGATGCCTTCCCGGAGACTTGTTGAATCTCTGGATTTATACAAAAAAGAATGCTTAATTTTTATTTTAGAATATTTAGAATTTACACATTTTATGTCGACAATTACAGAAGCCGCACGAGTTAAAAATGGGATACCATCTCTTAATTATGTTTGTTTTGCCGATTTTCCTGACCAAGTGTTTAGAAGATGCTTAAAAAATGGGTTTGAATTCTCTTTGATGGTTGTTGGTTAGTAATAAATTTTTAGATTTTTGACATTCATATTAATTAAGGTCAGTCTGGTTTGGGTAAATCGACTTTTCTTAAAACACTTTTTATGGCTGAACTTCTTGATCTGAAACACGAAGAATCTTCAAAGATAAAATCAACAGTGAGTATTGAAAGGAAAACTTTTCGCCTCACCGAGAATGACGTTAGATTGAAGGTATTTTGTATTTAAAATACAAAAATTAATTTTTTAATTTTAAGCTCACTGTTGTGGACACTCCTGGATTTGGAGATTTTGTTGACAATTCTAAATGGTTTTTTAATTTAAATATTAGTAGTATATTTTTTAAATTTTAGTTGGGAGCCTATAGTTAAATACATTGATGACCGCTTTGCTGACTATTCGGCAGAAGAGTCAAAAATTGATCGATCTGCCAGAATTGAAGATAAACGAGTTCATCTGTGTATTTACTTTATTCCACCTAATGGACATGGGTAGATTATTTCTTTTATTCAAAATATCTCAAAAAATACTTTTAAGCCTCAAACAATTAGATATTGCTTTTATGCAAGCTCTCCAGGATCGTGTTAATATCGTTCCAGTTATTGCCAAAGCAGATACACTTACTCCTACTGAACTTGGAGATTTTAAACATCAGGTATTTCAATATAAATTTTAGTTTAAATATTTTTGTTTTTGAAGATAATGGAAGACATGAGGAAAAACAATATTTCACTCTACAAGCCACCCGATTTTGATTATGAACAACAGCAATTGGATGTTAATGGCTGGAGGGTTTCTTCAACAAATGGTAGAGCACAATCACAACATAATGCCGGCAATTCTGCCCAACTTGACTCGTCCAAACGACTTCCATTTGCAATTGTTGGGTCTACACACGTCAAAGAAATTTTGGTTGGCGGTGAACAACGAGCTACTAAGCTAAGGGTTAGAGTTCGTGAATATCCTTGGGGTGTAGTGGAAGTTGACAATTTGGGACATAACGACTTTGTTGCGCTTCGTGATATGATTATTCGAAATATGATTGATCTTATCGAAGTTTGTTGTTATGTATTTTTATATTTTTATTGACTCTCTTCTTTTAGGTGACTAAATCTGTACATTATGAGAACTACCGAATGCGTAACTTACCTCAAAGTGTTTTAGACTCCGATCCTTGCTCGCAATTGGAAAAAGAAATTTATACGCAACAAATTGAAGCGGAAAATGCGCTCCGCAAAAAGGAAGATTTGTTCAATGAGGATGTCGCTATTCGAGAGCAGAGGCTTCAAGAGAGAACATTAGCGGTAAATTTAAAAAAAAACTATCAAATATTTGACATTGGGAATTAATTTATTTAGATTGATGCGGCGGTGGAGAATAATCGAAAGGCATTAGAGGAAAAACATTTATTTTTAGCTAAACTTAAACAAGAGGTTTTATTTCGTAATAATATTAATTCATTATTAATAATCTTAAAGATATCTGATGCTAAAAAATCATCAATCATCGCTCTTGAAGAAGATAATTTGTCTAGCAATATCAGTAATAATAACAGCAGCAACACCAATTCACGCAAAAATACTTTACCACCGGACTTGCCACCATCAACAAAACCTGCTAAAATTCCACGACTTAATTCTTCTATTGCTCCATTGCCTGTAGTTGATAATAATGATATTAATCTTTGTAAAGGAATTTCTCAACAAAATTTGGAAAGTTCTCCTTCATTTTTTACTACAAAACCTTCATCAAGACGTATAATTTTGGAAATGTTTTATATAGTTTCTAATTTTTTATAGTTGGACTTGTCTTGCACAAAGCAGAAGTTGAAGGGCGTGATTATCAGCAAAAGAATACTCCAAAGCAACAACAGGTTTGTTTTTACTTTACTTCTGCTTCCGACAATTTATGGGGGAGGGGGGATATAGTCTCGTTTTTTACAGAGTATTTTATTTTAGACAAATGAGGTTGTTAATAACGTTGCTCAATGCAGTTTTATTGAGAAATTTGTCCGTAATCAGGATGTGATTGCTGTTAAGTGGCAGGAGCGTAATCAAGATCGTGAGATTCGTGATGATCTTACACGAAGAATACAAGAACGGGATAAACAAATACGGGATCGCAAGGTTTTTTGAATTATTATGATGTAAGGATAAAATCGTAACTTTTCAGATAAGTGCAGAAGAGAAAGAGAATCGAAAAGCTAAAAAGGAAAAGCGGGCATCGAAGAAAGCTAATAAAAATGTTTTTTAAATTTGAAAATCGTTCTATATTTATATTTAAGAGTGCTGATGTTAAACGTGAAACTCCTGATATAACAATTATTAATTTGGACTCAACATCGAATTTAATCACTCCGAATGAAGGAAATAATAATATTTTGGCTGGCAATAACAATACTAATAGCAGTAACACTTCGCGAAAAAATATTTTATCAACTGACTTGCCAGCTCCAACACCAAAACCTGCTAAAATTCCTCGACTTAACCCTTCTATTGCTCCATTACCTGCTGTTGTTAACACTAATATTTATCCTTCTAAAGGAATTTCTCAACAAAATTTGGAAAGTCCTCCTTCATTTTTTACTACAAAACCTTCATCAAAACGTATAAATTATTTTTGAAATGTTTTATATAATTCCAATTTTTTTTAGTCGGACTTGTTTTGTACAAAGCTGAAGTTGAAGGGCGTAATTATCAGCAAAAGATTACATTACAACTGCAAAAGGTTTATAATTTTTTAGTGATTTATATGGTGCCTTTATATGCCACACTTTATTGCGTTGTTTGGGGTTTTTTGGTTTTTCGATTAAATTGGGTTTATTTGGTTTGGCTGATCATTTTCATCTCCTTTTTCACCATTGGATAATCCCACTGATTTCTGATCGTGGTATAAATGTTTTTATTTTAGGTGAATGATACTCAATCTAGTATTGTTGACAACTTTGTCGGCAATAAGGATGGGGGGATTTCATCAGTCAAGCGGCATGAATATAATCAAGATCGTGAACTTCGTGAAGATCTTACTCGAAAAATACAAGAACGGGATAAACAAATACGGGATCGAACAGAATCGTTATTTTAAAATATTCAAAATTATATATAATTTAAATTTATTTTTTTCGTGATATTTGTTAGCGGGTTTTTTTCAAGGCTTAAAAACAAATCAAAAAATATTTTTATAAGCATAATTGTCATTTTCTGACATTTTAAAAAATTCAAAATTTATCTTTTGCTATGCTTATAATAATTTCTTTCAATGTTATAGTACATATTTATAAATATTGGAGATAAAAATATTTTATATTATGAAATTAAATTCGATTTTTTTTCGAGGAGTTTACATTTATTTTTATTAATTTTCAAAGAAAATTTTTAGACGATGCAACTTTATAAATTATCTTGTATTGTGTGTGGCAATTTATCTTGGATCTTTAGGACGTCAAGGTATTTTTTCCGAAACTTCGATTAGTTAACTAATATTCTTTTTAAGCCGACTAGGTGGAAAGGGTATATTCCAAAGATGTTTTTCAACCGTCAAAATACGTGAAATTCGCCCTCAACCAGAAGCAAAAAAATTGTTAACTCAAGAAGAACTTGAAGAACAACAATTTACTGAATTAAAATTAGCTTTGGGAATGCTTAATGGAAATAAAGTTTTTGGTTCGGAACAAATTTTATTAGTTCATCCACATGTGAGGTGGGGTAGTGGATCAGCGCCAAAAAATGCAAAGCCTGAACTTCAAGTTGAAGAAGCACAGACACTATGCCAAACAATTCCAGGGTTTAAAGTTGTTAGGTAACTTGTTAATTTTTTTTATCTTTCGTTGGGGTATTTTCTGCTACATATAAGTTTTTTAGTAGTTGTACATAAAATATTCCCCTCAGCCTCGGTTGTCTCTCAGATTCTCCTCTACATCTCTCTCCATTTTTTACATAAAATCCGTTACCTTTTTTACTTAATTTCAATTAATTTGTAGTAGTATTATTGTAAATACAGACTATAATGTTCGTTCAAAATTGATTTGGGGTTCCGGTCGATTGGATGCTATAATTCGGCACAGACAACAATATAATATTACAGCATTAATGATTAATATCGATTCTTTATCTCCATTACAACTGGTAAAAATTAAAACAGAATAAATTAAAAATAAAAATATTTCAGAGTGAATTAACCAATTATTTTGGCCTCCCAATATATGATCGGTTAACTATTGTTTTATCAATATTTAAAATTTTTGCCAAAACAAAAGAAGCTAAACTTCAAATTGCTTTGGCAGAAATACCTTTTATAAGGTTTTCAAAAAATAATTATTTCAAAATTAATTTTATATTTTTAGATCTCATATTAGATTTTTAAATAAGTCTGGAGAACATCTTTCAGATAATAAAACACTTATTAGTTCATCTGCTCCAATGTTTCCAACAATAGAAAGGTTAATAAATATTTAATTATTTAAGAATTAAAATTAAGGCTCTTGTCCAAATTACGCTTCCAATGAAAAGTTTAGGAGTCAAATCAATAGCGATAGGTATCTGGGATCGTGCGTTTGTACCATAACTCTGGGTGAGCAGAGCTTTCTATTTCTTTAGATTTTGTGATCCTAAATAAAGAACAGGGTATTTATTGCCGTTGATTGAACGCATAAACTTTTATACGATTGAGCGCTAATATGGACAAGAGCAAAAAATAAGTATATTTTTAGGTTAGAAGGTACAAAACAGCTTGAATTTCTTCGACTTCGTGAACACAAAATTAGAAAACAAATAAACAATTCTATTGAATTAACTAAACGAGAATTGTTAGAAAATAAAGAAAAATATGGCCCTGGAAAGACCCCTGTAATTGGCATTATAGGGTTATTTTTTATATTTTTTTTGAAAAAAAAGATAATTTTTAAAGTTATACAAATGCTGGCAAAACAACATTTATTAAACGTTTAACTGATTCTTCAACACTTTTGGGTGAGAATCGCCTTTTTGCAACCTTGGATTCAACCACCCATTTGTCAACATTACCTTCAAGTATCAAAGTTATTTTTGCGGATACAATTGGTTTTATTTCTAATTTACCAATTAAATTGTTGGCATCTTTCTCTGCTACTTTACAACATGTCGAAAGCGCTGTTTGTTTTATTAAAAACAATTTCTAAAATATTAAAAAGTTTATTGCTTAACACTCCAGACCAATGCTGGGTAGTAGGCATTTTGTGGCTCCGGCTCTGAACTTTTTCAAACCTTAGCTCCCTGGTATTTTTAAAATATTGGTTCCGGCACCGGAGCTAGCTTCCGGAGCCATAGGTCTTTCATCTTTGTCGTCTTTTTCTGAATTTTGAACTTCTCCTGACTTGCATTTAATGGACAAAGCAGGTTCGATGCCTGGTAGTGAAGGGGCGGTTTTTGTGTTGAATTACACCAGACGTTTTTGAGAAATTATTTCTATTTTTAAGGATTTGTTAATCCATATAATGGATCTTTCACATCCAGATCTTCTAGCACAACGTGACAATGTTTTGGAAACACTTCATAATTTAAAAATAAATCAAAATTTAATTAATAATATTATTAATGTGGGTAATAAATTGGACAAATGTGATGCTGAAAGAAAAGAAAAACTTAAAGAATGGGGAATTCTCACTTCAGAAAATTCTAATAATTTATTTCCTATTTCTTGTCGGACATTGGAAGGATTGCCGGAATTAATAAAACAAATTGATAAAGTAAAGATTTTTTTAATTAATTTTTTGAATTAAAAACAGAAAGTAAAAATACTTTCGGGGGCTTCAATTCGTCGACTTAGGCTTCCAAACAATTCAAGACTTTCTCAGCGTCTCTACAAAGAAGGATATGTAGGAATACCGAGTGAATGTGGACAATATTTATTTTTTGATTTATTAATGAATAATGAACAATTTGCAAAATTTCATGCCTCAACAGGTATGCGTTTAAAGAAAAAAGAAGAAATGGAAGAATAGAAGGGCTGAAGAATATATATCATAGAACTGCGCAGTTTTGCAATTGTCTACTTTTGCAATTGTCCATTTTTTAACTGTCTCGATGTCCAATTGTCATAAATCCTTTTTATTTGTATTTTACTTTCTTTTTGTAAGCAATTTTTTCTGATTTTAACGTGTTTCGCGTTTTTCATATTTTAATATATTTTGATTTTAATTTATTTTAAAGTTAAATATTTCTAATTATTATTTAAAAAATGTTTCGGAATCAGTATGATAGTGATGTAACTGTTTTTAGTCCTCAGGTTAACTTTAAATTATAAAAATGGAAAAATGTTATTTTTAGGGACGTTTACATCAAAACGATTATGCAGTTGAAGCGATGCGTCAAGGAAGTGCTACTGTTGCTTTGCATGGAAAAGATCATGCTGTTGTTGTTGCTCTTATGGTGAGAAAATTTTTACATATTTCGAATTTGGTTGGGTTATGTTTAGGGCTGGCTTAACTCACTTAATCAAATCAATTCTCTTACCTGCTTTATTTTTTATCTTTAACATATTTTCTGTACTGATTAGTATAACTTAAAAATTTTTAGCGTTCTCAAAGCGAATTATCCTCTTATCAATCAAAGATATTTGAATTGGATGGTCATGTAGGTCTTTCAATGTCTGGACTTTTAGCGGATGGCAGAATTTTAGCGTAAATTTTAGCTTCCTTTTTTTAAAACTCGATAAATTTATTTAGTCGATTTATTCAAAATGAATGTGCTACTTTCTTTTCGGAATTGCAAACTCCAATGCCGATAGAGAATTTACGTACAAAACTGACTTTGAGTAAATTGATCTTTTTTCCTTTTTAAAATAATTTTCTTTATCTAGGAATGCAAGAGAATATTCAAGTTTATGGGAAACGGCCATTTGGAGTTGGATTGTTAATTATTGGATATGATGTTGGAGTTTAAGGAAAAGTTATTTTTATTTGATTTATTTTTAAAGGATTCTGGTCCTCATGTTCTTAATGCTGATCCATCTGCTAATGTTACAATGGTTAAAGCTGCTTCAATTGGGTAGGTTTTTTAATTTTTACATGGAGGGAGTCAGAAAAATGAAAGCTCCCTTTTTAGAGCTCGTTCTCAATCTGCTCGTACTTATTTGGAAAAACATTTTGACGAATATGCAAATAGTACTGACCAAAATGTTGTTATTCGTCATGCTCTTCTTGCTCTTAAAGAAACTCTTCAGACAAATACTAAATTGGATGAGAATGTTTTTTTTTAATTTTTAGCAAAAATATTTTCTTTTTATTTTCTCTTAGAATACTGCAATTGCAATCGTGGGTAAACGATGCAAGTTTGGTTGTCTTCCATCAGAGCAAGTTAAAGAAATTATTGCAAGTCTTAACAATAATCAAGCTCCAGAACCAATGCAGCTTTGAGAACTTTGCTGACTTGCGCGGATATTTATCTAAATAATTTTTTTGATTTTCAACAATCTTGTTTGAATAAAATTTGGTTTTATTAGTTATTTTTATAATAATATATTTTTTAGATATTATATCTTTTAATATTGATTTATTCCACTCACAATTTTAATAAGTTCTTGCCTACTCTTTGTTAAGAATTTTTTAATCGAATTATAGCTCCTTTGATACTTCGGTTTGTTAGCACAATTTTGTAAATTTTTAGTACGTGTTTGTTAATTAAATCTTTGTTTTTTTAGAAATGAAACCGCTTTCATTAAAAGGACATGGACGTCCAATAACCCGTGTACGTATTAATCAAGAGGGGGATATTCTTTTTTCTTCTGGAAAGGATAAACATATTTGTGTGTGGTATACTGAAAATGGGGAAAGAATTGGTACTTATGAAGGGCATACTGGTGTTGTTTGGGATGTTGATGTTAGTTGGGACACTAAAACACTTGTATCTGCTTCTGGGGATCAGCATATGATGGTTTGGAATTTTAAATTTGTTTTTATTATCGACTAGAAATTTATTTTTGGTTCATTTTCCGTAGTCTGGAGTTCTAATTATGTGAAATTTATTAGGATAAGAATTGTAAAAGCGTGTCGAAAATGTTCCAAGAAATCTCCATCTTTAATCCGAGAATTTTTAAAGTAGTTTTTACACAATTATCAAAGGATTTTTAGGTTTGGGATGTTGAAACGGGCGCCCAATTAAATGATAGTGAAGTTGGCTCAGTTGTTCGTTCAATTGGTATAATCATTAAATTTATTAATTAATTCAATTTTATCGGTTATTCAGGCCTTTCATATAGTGGAAATTTAGCTGTATTATCTACACAAAAAGCAATTTCAAATAGAGCTGGTGTTTTTGTTCAAGATCTTCGGGAATTTAGTAAAAAATTTGAGCCGACTTTACGTATTGAAATTGATCAACCTAGCAGTACTTGCCTTTTTTCACATTTGGATGATACTATTATTCTTGGTATTTTTTAGATATTTAAATTTAAATTAAACTTTTTTTAGGTACTCAAAATGGTCAATTGCATTTGTACGATTTGCGCCAGCCAAATGATGCAAAGGATTTTAGTAGTCCTCATAATTTTCCAATTAATGAATTGCAAAAATCTGTGGACGAAACTTTTTTAATTTCTTCATCAAAAGATAAAACTGCACAGTTACATGATTCACGTACATTACAACAATTGAAGAAATACAAGTAAACAAGAATTTTATATTTAATTAAATAAAGAAAATATTTTAATAGATCAACTCGGCCAGTAAATTCTGCCGCAATTTCCCCAACTAGAGACCATATAATTTTGGGAGGTGGGGAAGAATCTGTGAATGTTACGGTTGGTAAACAATAAATTAAAATGTTTTATTTTACTTTTAATTAGATGACATCAACTTCTTCTGGACAATTTGAGGCAAAACTTTATCATATGATTTTTGAAGAGGAATTTGCACGGTTTAAAGGGCATTTCGGACCAATTAACTCAATTACTTTTGATCCAACAGGGGATATTGGTAAGTATAGAAAAATAGAGGAAATAAAAGTATTTGATAGAAAGGACTGGAGGGGGATTGGACATGAGATTTCTCGAAAAATCACTATCGATATCCCGTCTCAATCCCGTCTCTTTTTTTGTTAAACTTTAAAAATACAAAAGTAGCCCTTAATTTATGATTTAAAATATTTTCTATTTAGTTGTCTCCGGTGGTGAAGATGGTTACGTGCGTATTCAAGAATTAGACCAAAGCTATAAGGATTTTGAATTTGATATTGGGGTTAATGCTTAATTGAAGGTGGGAAAAGATTTTTGGGAATTTATTCTAGTTGATATTTATTTAATTGTTTTTGTGAAAAAAGTATGTTTTGAATAGATATTTTTATTTTGGGATTAGAACTTTTTAATATTAAAAAAGAAAAGAATTCAAAAATATATATAATTTTGGCATTTCTTAATTTATTCTTCATTTGCTTGTTCACTTTTTTTGTTTATTTTATTTCTCTGAGAGGTCTGTTTCGGTTGGTTGTTCTGTTTGCGGTGGACTGGCTGTCGAACTTCCCCCCTCTTCCCCAGAACCTTCACTATTTTCCTTATCTTCGGAAGATGAGGAGGACGAAGATGACGAGTCTTTTTCAACATCTCTCTTCCTTCTAACTTTTGTTGGTTCTTCTCCAGATCCCTCAGGATCTTCATTTGATTCTTCGCTAGAGGAGGAGGTATTATTTACTTCTTCATTTTGAATCTAACATAAATATTAGAGATTTAATCTTTTAAAAATAATTTTGAAAGTAAATCTAACTTTGAAGAATTCTCTCTCTCTCAGTTTACCTGTCGTTTAAAGATCATCTTTTCATTGTTAAGTTCAGCCTCTGCACTCAATCCAATTTCTATTGCATTGATGTTGTACACAACAGTAATTACAAAAAATGTAAATAATACAAAAATAATTTGTAAATTCATTTTAAGCTCTTTAAGAGTAAAATTAAAGAATTCCCGTTTCTAAAAAATATTTTTTACAGAAATTTTTGGATGAGATTAGGATTAGAGGGCAATACACCTTTAGATTAATTTGTTTAAAAATATAATTACAATTTTTAGTGAATTATTTAGGGGAATTCGAGATATTCATCTTTCATAGCTTGTGTGGTGTGTGATAAAAAGAGGGAGAGAGAGGGTTATATATTTGTTGCCTGAGGTCGGGGATGACATTTTAAGTGACACACAACTTTTGACAGGCCACAAAAATATCTTTTGATCAATTTTGAATTTATTTGAGGGATCTTTAAGAGACTGTCAGCTGCTTTTTTGATGTTTTTTTTTGAATTTTTAGTCACTCTTTTAATAGAAAAAAGGAATTAAATTAATCACAAGATTTTTGGATGAGTTATTTTTATATGTAAAGGATTGGTCAATATTTAAAAAGTAAAATTTAATTTATTCTTTAAAATACCTTTTAAACGGTTTATTTTCAGAGACAGAATATTCACAGAAAAAAGGAGAAAGCGGGGGGTGATTAAGGAAAAAAATGAATAATAAAATTGTGATTTATTTTTAAATAAGACGTGCTAAGAATTAGCAAAACTAATTATTTTTGTAAGGAGAATTTTAAGGTTGATTAATATTCGAGAAAATAAGGATAATTAAATTGGATTCCAAGATTATCAATTTATTTTCTTTTTCCAAAGAAACGAGCACTCTGACTGAGCAGTGGTACTTCGTATTGTTGATATTGCCCAGAGTCAATTCCCAATAAACGGCTGGCCTGAAAATTGAAATAAAAAACAAATAAATAATTTATTCCAAAAATACCTGTCTTACACCCGAATAAAATGTCTGTCCGGCTTGATAGGCAAAATCAGTAAGAGGAGTTCGGGCAAAAATATTATTATTAGCATTATATTGGTCAAACCCCCCTCCTTCAAAAGGATTTTGAGGAAATCCTCCAAAAGTATTTTGCTGATGTTTAACTATTTCTGTTGGGAATAAAGAACCGGCTGGAGGTTTAATATTTGGATTAATTCCACCAAGAGATGGTTGGGAAGAAGATTGGGAATTTTTATTATTTAAATATTCTGAATTAATTTGTTGTGTAGTTGGTGGCTGATTTGCCGGGGAAGAAGCAACATTTTCTATTTTTTGAATGTCAGAGTTTGTTTCTTTAAATATCTGAAATAAGCCTCTGATATTTGACTTTTCTAAAATTATACTAAATAAAATTTACTTCATCCAACAACGGATCATCATATTGATCAATTTCTGTTGCATCCGGTATTCTCTCTCCCTTATATTTTTTTTATTTTCTCAAAATTAAATTTAAAATACCAAAATTCCGCTTATCGATAAAATAATTAATTGATTACAAACAAGAAAGGAATAATAAAAAGAAAAATATTTTTTAATCATTTTTTGGTTAAATGAGAGAAAGAAACAAATACATTTTTGGGGGGATAATAAAAATATTCATCATCCACAAGTCTGCGCAGCAAACACTTTTCAAAACAAAAATTGTCAAGGATGCCGAATATAGGAGTAGAGTACTTCTCTCGATGAGAAAATTGAAAAATAAAAAGGATAAAGACTTTCGAACTTTTTGGTAAATTAAATTTAAACAAAGAATTTGTTTTTAATTATGGTCAATCCTTGAGTGTTGGGCTAACTCACGGAACGGACAAGTCACGGAATGTCCAAAAAAGAAATTCTAAAAAATTCTGATTTCTAAAAATATTCCGATTTTCAAAATATTCTGTGTTTTGGAATTCCTTGAGTTAACCCCCCACCCAATCCTTGTTTTTTTACTTTTTGGGTATTTCTGAGAAAATATTTAGCGCCGATATTTGTTACTTGTGATTACTGAAATGGAAAACTGGATTTCCAATTTATTTTTTTGTTAATAAATTGATAATATTTATTTTACAAAAAAATATTTATTTTACAAAAATTTAATCATTTTTTTACAGAAACAACAAATTTAGGTTTATTTTCAGGTAATGTTGGTTGTAATCTTGAATGAGGAAAGTATTGTTTGCATAATTTTAAACAAATTTCATTTAATTTATATCCGTGATAATAATAGGGAGAGTCTGGGGCATTAAATTTGTAACAATTAAAAAACATTCTTTTTAAATCAGCAATTAACATTCTTTCCTAAAATTTTTAAAATTTTATTTTTTAAAAAATTAAATTAAAAAGCTTACACAAGTATAATAACCATTTTTGAATTTTTGAGAAATTATACCCAAATCAATTGGAAAATTAATTATATTGTGATAATCTGGAACTGAATCAACATCCACAGATTCTCTGAAAAAAAATTAATTGTAAAACCCTTTTTTTCTTTCCTCATTGTATCAAAATTAGTGAATGATCCGGTATTGTCAGCTACTTAAAACTTTAAAGGGAATAAGGAATACGGAAGAGGGAACTACATACACACTCCACCATTGGAGTTGGTTCTAAAAAACATTTTTTAGAACATTTTTAATAAAATGAGTAATAAAAAGGGGGAGGAGGGGAACAAATTCCAATAATTTAACCAAATTTAATTAAAAACCTGAAAGGCCAAGAATTTTTGTCTTCTTTTAATTTTTGTAAAATTAATCGAAAATTTTTTTGTAAAGTTTCTGTCTGTTGATATTTTGTCTGTTCCTCCTCAATTTTTTTCAATTCCTCAATATTTGAAAGACTTTCAGTTCCCTTAATTTGTTCTAAACAAAGTGGCTGGCCCCCTAAAAATTTTTGAGAATTTAAAAAAATTAATCCAAAAAAACCATTTTTTTCAAAAAATTGTTTTAATCCTTCAAATTGAAGTCCAAAATTTGGAAAAGATTCTTTCAATGCAAAAGAATAAAATTTTTTCATATTAAAATAAATTTGTTTGGATTTTATATAAATTAATCTTTTTAAAAAAATAAATTTTTTAAAATAAAAAAAACAAACTTTGGATGTAATTGGCAATACATTAAAGTCGCCCCTTGATAATCCTTTATATACCCTTTATATCTCGAAGAAGGTAAAGCAAATTCGGTAATAAAATCTTGTTTAATAAAATATCCAATAGCAAATTCGTCTGCATAAGTTAATAAATGAAAGATTCCCAATTTCCCGACCATATAATCTTTTAAATGATTCATCATATGTGTCCCATAACCTTTGACCTAAAAATTGAAAATTTGATAAAAAAAGAATAGTTTGACAAAAAAATTATTTCACAAAAAAAAAGATTTAATGAGTAAAACAAAATTTAGAAGAAAATACGGTAATAGTGTGTCGTTTCCAGTCCCTATTTTTTCCTCCCAATTTTTAACCCTATGTTTGTACGGAATGGTCAAATTTTCCCCTTTCTTTCACCAAATTTGCCTTTCCATATTTTGCCTAAAAACAATCAAAAAAACTTTTTCCTTCTATAATAGCCAGAAAACATTTTCCATGCTTGGTGCTTCTCCTTGTGAAAGAACTGAATAAATTTTTGATTGTTTTTAGGCAAAATATGGAAAGGCAAATTTGGTGAAAGAAAGGGGAAAATTTGACCATTCCGTACAAACATAGGGTAAAAAATTGGAAGGAAAAAATGGGGACTGGAAACGACACTATTACCGAAAATACAAATTAATTTGAGAATTAAAAATTGGATGAAATACAAACAAAGAACCAAACAATTTTTTAGAAGCCAAAAAAATTAAAAAACCTGTTCATCAGCCGTCACAGCACAAAAAACAATTTCAGCAAATCCCTGTTCTTGGAACAACCGATAACAAATTCCAGCTATAACCCCTTTATCCTTCTTGTAAATAATTAAATTTTTGTGAGATTTATCAAAAACAATTCTGACAACATATTCTCTAGGCATTTTGGGTAATTGAATACTAAATAACCTTTGGACGTCAAAAAGCCATTTAATTTTGTTTTTATTTTGTAAAGGGCTTAAATCATTATTAATTATATGTAAACAAATAAGTCCATTTTCTTCTTCTGTTTCTGCAATACTTTTTCGAATTTCTTAAAAACATCATTTTTATTTTAAAGAAAAAAACCTGTAGAATAATCATTTTCCTTTTTAATTTCTTTTTTAAATTTTTCTTCATCAAATTTTTGAAATAATTTTTTGAGAATATCTGAACGCATTAAAGTTTGATTATTATTATGCTTCATTTTCTTCAATCTAAATCAGAAGATAAGATAAAACAAGAGAATTAATTCACAGAAGTATCAGCCCGTTGACGCACGCGTGAAAACTAGCTAACTCTTTTCCTTAAACATAACGCCAAAATTTAAATTAACTGTCTATTTACTCTCCTTATTTCACTGCATCTCTCGTGCGTTTGACTTTATTGTAAAACAAGAGAAAGGGTCAAATGGAGGCGAGTTATAAAATGGTCAGAGGGAATTGAAAATGGTCAATTCTCTCATTTGTGAAGGGAAATTAGTTAAAGTTTACAACTTTTGATCCTCCCGTTCGATTTTTTCTCTAATTTTGTATTTTTGTGGTTCCTAAAATAGTTAAAGCCAAATTCCTTTCTTTTTGAAAATTTTTTGAAATCTTTGGAAAGACAAGGAACCCAGATTTCTTCCTTTTTCAGAGCCGCAGGCAATTTATGGGAATAATAAAAATTCCATAAATTGAAAAAAATTCCCGGGATCCCGTAGCGGGATTGAGTTGTTTTGTAAAATTTTGTTTATTCATACAAACAATTAACAATTTTAATACAAATATACATATTTAAGTTTATTTTTTCTTTTAATCCTTTCATTAATTATAATCGAGTACATGATTGACCACCATTATTCGCGTAATGCCATGTACCAGATCGTTCCAATTTTGAACTTAAAAATTATTTAAAAATTTATTAAATTTCTTTACTTTCCACTAAATATACTTTTTTGGTTGCCTTTTAATATTAATTAATTGATTATAATCAAAATTAGGCTTCTTCTGATTGTTTTCATTGTTATTAATGATTTCATTTATATTTCTGTTATATATTTGATGGTTGCCGTCTTTTTGTTCTTGCTGAAATTTTCCAAATATTTTTAAAGACAAAATTAATAAGCCTACCGATTGAATTTGGATGTTTTTATCATCTTTGTTTATGCATTCTCCTCTAATGTTTAATGAAAGTACATAATTTTGTGTTTGTTTATTTCTACTTTTAATTGAATCATTTTGATGAGGTTTCTCTGATACCACATTTTCTGACCCAAATTTATAATTTTTTGTTAGCTAAAAATAAAAGAAAAATTTCAATTAAATTTTTCGTGAACTATGTATAAATTCGAAATTAACACACAAGGCTATTTAATACCCTCTCTAAATATTTGCCTGTTTTTGTCTATAAACTTGTAGTAGACTGATCCTGCATGCCGTTGATAGTTGATTTGTTGACCGAATATTATTTCTTGCCACTTCATCAATCTTCTGTCGATCATTACTTATTAGCGATAACGTCCTTTTTGAGAAAGCAGTCTTCTGTTCCTAAATGTGTGGCATTATATTCGAAACAAATAAAGCTAAAAGGTTTAACTTTTAAATCCTTTTTCATATTTTGTATTTTTGAGGGGAAGTTTGTCCGAGGTTTACATGCCAAGGAATTATGCTGGATTTGTCCAAACTCTGCCCATACGCCTTAAAATAGTGAAGTTAAAAATTCTTTTTATTGTGTATTTTTAGGCACATACTGTAGTCGAGGCTTTGTAAATTTAATGCATTCCGCCATCCAATCAAAGCATGTTGTGATGGACAAATGCACAAAAGGCACTGATTCTCATCCTTGTCTGACACACCAATATGCTCTTTAAACAAGATTAGGCGAAATGCGGTTGGAAATGATGTTCTTTCGAGCCTTTCTTTCTGTAAATTAATCAACAAAAATAAATAATTAGAAAATCTACATATGTAGTATAACAATCACTTACCCCATTAAACTGAAAACTAAATGTTGGTGCCGTCTTGCTAAATTGCAGGTTTGGACCCAAAATTGCATTTTCCACTTTATTATTCTCCCAGCAACACAGCTGTCCTCCTCGAAGTTCGCAATATATTTGCTGATGCAAAATACCTAAATTTTCCTTTTATTGTTTCGAATTTTTATTTAAAAAACTCTCAATTTCCTCTTACTCTTTAAAAATTCACCTTCATCTGGAATAAAAATATCTAGATATCCCTGTGCCAATGGAGTAATTAGAGAAATTGGCTGAACCTTAAATATCAGAAAGTAATTATTAAAATAAAAATTGGAATACAAAAATTTGAGCACTAATACTTCCATAAATAGGTAAAAGATTCTGAACAGGAAGCATTTTCTCAAGTATATAGCTGTGTATTTTGCCATTTAGAATTGCATCCGATAAGCGAAATCTTGCAAACTTAAATAATTAAATTTAAGTCTAAATTAAATTTAAACCCCGATGATGTAGTCTTGCTCTTCTTTGTGAATATTTGGAGGAGTTCTTTAAAATATTTTAAATTATAAGAATTCTTTTAAATATTTTACTTTTCCACCCCAGACCCATTTCGTTTCTCTTCCCGAATACCAAATTTCCGAAGTTCTTCCAGGAAACGCCTATTTGGAGCTCCTCCAATATTGCTTTCTATTCGAGATGCAAAACGAGTAGCTGATGCTCGATTATTTTGATATTCTTCTTTTTGTTGATATCTAAAGAATGAAATTCTCTCATTTAACTCCTCTCTCTGGAAATATACTTTTTCCAAGAAAGGCCAAGTGAGCGCCCAAGTGAATGTGTAACAGCCTGCACCATGGAACTTGGATTCTCAATACTAGTAATTCTTTTACAGAGGACATACAACTATTCAATTAATTAATTCAGTTAAATTAAGGAAACATCTCCACCAGCCTCAATGCAAAAGTCTGGATCCTCATCTGGAAATATAAACTCCTCTTCCGGGAATTCCACATCCGTGAATGTTCTATTTATGTACTCTTTTGGCTTTGAAAATTGGCTGGCATTATTCCTTTTAGATTTCAATACAAGTTGCACAGTAAATTCACGCCAATCTTTAAAAAATGAAATTTGAAAGCCGTTTTAATCAGACCTGCACAAATGGACACGGATTTGCTATCCGTGTCCGGATATATATGTGGGTAAAGTATAGAATTTGGAAGGCCATGAAGCCAGTTTATCCCTTCTTTTAGCGCCGCAAAAATTACGAACGGATATCCGAAAGTTCCGCAGATTTGGCGCAGCATCATATCCGTATCCATCCGATTAAAAAAATACTCTCCATATCCGTCCGTATCCGGATATTTCCAAGGGTATTCGGATATTATCCGTATCTGTGTGCAGGCCAGTTTTAATACCTTTTCTTTCGCCAAAGTTTATAATTTCTTCACTAGGCCATGCCTAAAGAAAAATAATTTTTCTTTTAGGATTTTACTTTTATTAATAAAATTATGCTTACCAAAGGTAAACTTATGTTGCTGAGAATGATAGTCGCCTTGCTATGACCAAGCTAAAAATGTGTGTACAGTAATTTCATGTACATTTCTATTCATTATTAAATACCTGGCTTGAAAAAAATGAGCATTTACGATTTACTTCAAAATTATCTGGGGAGTTGGCAACGTCTTGTCGAAATTTTAACATTCTTTTAAGTTTTGGGGAATAAGGATTGTCAATTACATTAGTTTTGATTGAATATTAAACACTAACTTTTAAATGTTAAATGGAATTGGAGAATATGTACGTGTTATCGAAAAGAATTAACATAAAATTGAATTTTATTATGTGAGAATTGCCCAATTCTTTTGTTAGCTGAAGTTAACGACAGTTTTTGTCAATATTATAATACTGAGTGAGGGTGAGGGAGAGATACTGATAATTCTTTTGTGAATAATCAATAATTGATAAGAATAAATACAAAGTAGACATTGCCAAACCACGAGATTTTAGATTATAGAAATTGAAATTCTGGTAGCTAACAATTTAAATAATTTTGAATCATTTAACGTTTTTATCATCATTTATCATCCACCATATACAAAATATTAGAAAATTTGCCAAATCAGCTAGGTGTTTGAGTAAAGAAATTTTTTAACAGAATGTTGTTCAATATATTGCTCGAATTCAGTATCTTCCTCTTCTTTTTGATTCCCCCAAAGCTCATCAACTGCCCAAACACCATTTTCAGTTGAACAACTTGCATTTGAATTCATTCTACTTTTTTTCTTTGTATTACTTAATTTTGCATTTACATCTAAATTCGTTCCAGGGTTTTTTAATGAAAATAGCTCCAATAAATCATCAGTTGCCATTGAAGCAAGTGAACGATTTTCCACACCGATGAGAGCCTGTTTTTTAAATTTAAGATATATTTATTTGAAAAAGTTTACGCACGTTTGCTGTGTCCGTTTTGAATTTTTGTAGCCTCATAACCTTTTCTTCAACAGTCCCAAGTGTAATAAGTCTAATAAATAATAAAAAATGACTAAATTTGAATAACCTGAACACATTAACTGTCCGCTTTTGCCCAAGTCGGTGAGCCCTAGTAATTTAAGATGTCTAAATTCCTTCCTAAGTTTACCTGTCTATCGCTTGTAGATCGCGGAATGGATTCCAGTCATGGTCCATAAATATAACTACATCAGCTCCAGTCAGGTTTAGACCAATTCCACCAACCTATGAATAATTTTAAAAGGTAAATGTCCAGTTGACTCCCCACCTGTCCGCAAAAAGAATACGCAATTTTCACTCCTTTTCTTGCATTTTTTCTGTAAGGAGAGCGCCCATTTTTCCTTTATATATGGTATGCCCTTTAACTCATGAAAAGATATGTAGAGAAAAATATAATACATTGAAAACAAATTTGGGCTAATTTTATTTATTTTTCTAAAAGATCAGGGGGGCTAACAACATTTTAATGATGATAATACATTTAAATATTTCATCACTTGTAAATGATAACCGTCTGCTATAGATCGACCGAATTTAAAACCGGAATTTTCATGATGTCTTGCCAAAAATTAACCGTTATATAAAATTTTAAAAACTAATAACCAGAAAAAAACCAATACTCAGAACCGAAAACAGGATTCTTGAAATTTGAATTAATTAATCTAATTATTATTATCTTTTCTCTATACATATATTTCTTCATGAGTCAAAGGGCATACCATACATAAAGGAAAAATGGGCGCCTCTCCTTACAGAAAAAATGCCTGAAAAGGAGTGAAAATTGCGTATTCTCTTTGCGGACAGGTGGGGAGTCAACTGGACATTTACCATTTTAAAATTATGCAGTTCTAAAGTAAGCTTACATGTGTAGTAAGTAATAGCAGTTGCACGTTTGGATCGGTATTAAAGCGGTCCACAATTGACTGTCGCTGAGATGGAGGTGTTTGCCCATCCAAAACAAGAAAGTTAATTCCACTACCAAATTCTCCATTATTCAAGAAATATGAAATCAACTAAATGTTTAAAGATTTTATTTCTTGTTATAAATATGGGGGAGTACCTCAATGGTTGCACGCCATTGACAGAAAATAAGAGCTTTGTGTGTTGTATTAGAAAGAAAATTTTGTGATTCATAACAGGTTGTGCCGCTAGATACTGAAAATTTTACGTTTAAATTTCATAATAATATTTTAGCTATAGACAGGAAAGGACGGAAATACTTAACAAAAAGTTAAGAATTTTTAAGGTTTATTAGAAGGGCCGCCATGCAATAATTGAACGTTTATTTAGCTTAAAAACCTTGTTCAAGTTTTTGTTCGTGTTCTAATCCTTTGTTACGAGAATAGTTAACATCATATTCGCTGAAACGTTCTCCAATTTGACATTCATTCAATAATTCTCTTAAAGCTAACATTTTTCCTGATTGCTCAATATGCTAAAAAATATTTAACTTAAAAAATTTAATATTTAAAATTAAAAAAAGGAAATTCAAAACAAACCGATTGCATACACTCTTCTGCGAGATAATTGTAATTAGTGTCCTCACATCTTAAACTCTTTATAAGCTTCGAAATCAAAAGAGGATGATCGACAAGTTTTCGAAGTGCGTGTAATACTTGAATTGGAGTCAGCCATTGAATTGCTTAAAAGTAGACATTTATTCGTGAGAAAAAATTTGCTCGAAATCCAAAATAATCATTTTAAATGTCTAATAAATTATTTAAATACATTCAGTATCGACATCACGCGCATTCAAAGAGCAGCAATCAACAATTAATTGGTAAAGGATGCGTTGTAATACAGTTAATTCACATTCTCTGTCCTGCACAATCTTTTCTGGTAATTCAGCCAGTACTTCCGACTATTTAGAAAAAAAACTTTAATAAAAAATTTAAAAAACTACTTTTAAGCGACGTAATACAAAAGGGAGACATTGTTTATGTAGAGACTGTAAAGCTTGTTCTCCTTCCTGAAAAATAAGAATTACAAAGTTAGGCGGATTTTGAATTTAATTGTTAACAATTTGCGAGAGAAAGTGTATATTTAAAAATATTGAACCTTAATCTGTTGTTCGCTGGCCCGAGCATTTCTGCATGCTAAAATGTGACGCATATATTTTGATTGGAATGCCGCTCGTGATGAGAGGTAACTGTAAATAATGATTAACGTTTAATCACAATAAATTAAAATATAAAATGAAAGACAAACCCTGGCATTAAAAATCTGAAATTTAAAAATCAAAAATAATATTTTAAATAAATCTCTAACGTAAATAATGCCCAGAGATCGGCAGGTGAATTTTGCACGGGTGTTCCAGATAATATAAGACGATGAAAGCATTTAACGGCACAAACAGACTCAAATAATTGACTAGCTGGGTTACGAATACTAAAAAATAAATTTAGCTATAATAATTTGTAAATTTTTACCAGTGGCCCTCATCAAGTACCAAATAGTGCCAATAATATTCACTTTAAAGTTTAAAAATCAACTTTTCAAAAATTACTTAAAAACCAAACCGTAGCTCTTTATTAGAGCGCAATTCCTCGTAGGACACAACTAAAATACATTCACGTCCCTCATTACTTTCTCTATAATTGGCAACTTTTTGAATAGATATTTGTGAAGATGGAAAGAATGAGCTCCATTCTAAATTTTAAAAAAAATATTTAAGCAAAAACAAAATAAAGATAAACCTTTACACCAATGATCTACAAGAGTGCGCGGACAAACAATTAATGAAGACTTCAAATGACCCTCTTTATGTTGTGCCTTTCTGTTTTGATTAACCCGCTAAATAATTGTAAAATTTCTTCAGAATTTAAAAAATATATTTACTTGAACATAGTCCCAGGAAAGTAAAGAAAGAACTTGCAGAGTTTTTCCCAACCCTAAAAGATGTTATTTTTAAATACATATAATATTTAATATATAATTTTCCAAACCCATATCATCAGCCAAAATTCCATTCAAACCAAACCGATTAAGAAAAGTTAGCCATGTAATACCTGCATATTATGGTATTTACATAAAAAATATTTCCAAACCTTCAATCTGATAATCACGTAAATCCAATGTATCAACAAGAAATGGAATTTCATCACGTCTTAACTTTGGTAAATTGCCCGGACATCCAAGAACATCAACTAGAGAGAAAGAATTGATGTATGTGTTCTGCAACATCGTCATCTCAGATTTGTCATCCAACTTGTTATCATCAAACAATTCGTGTAAAAAATGATTTTGTCTCTGAAAATATATATTTTTGCACAATTCCTCTATATTTTTTCCTATATTCTAAATTATAAAATAATACATTTTCTAAAGGTAATAAAGCAACAAATTGACGAAAGGCAAGGGCGGCGGCCGCTCGAACCTAAAAATGAAAAAAATAGAAATTAAAGCAAAAATATTTGGAATACCGATTCATTTCGATCTCCAATACAGCGTAGTGCCAACAGAGATCTATAAATAACAAGAAATAAATTGAATCACCATTATTGATAAATTGAAAAAGTAGCAACCAAAACGGGCAACTAAATAAATTCAAGGAGACTTAAGCGCGGCATTTAAAATTAACTTGAAAAAAGAAAAATAAATAATAACCTTACATGAGTGATATTGCACCAAGCAATTTGCTAGCAATAATAGATAACCTAAGTAAAAGCTCCGATGCTCCTAACATAGCCCATTCAACAGAAGTCGAAGCATTATCTAAAAGGAAATAATGCACGAATTTTCATATTTATTTAACCTGATATCATTTCAGAAAGCGGCTGGAAGAAAAGTCTCAACATGGGACATAACTCAATTTCGGTAAGATTTGAGAGAAAACGGGCAACCTACAACAGATGACTGACAAAAAATTATATTTTTATAAAAATTACCCTAAATCGAATAGCAGGATTTGTATTGACTAATAATGCCATTATGTGAGGAATTTTTGGACCTATTCTTTCTTTAATTAAAGAAAAACGTATTTGTTTATCAGTAATTGCTGGAAATATAACTCCAAAATAATCCAATAGAAGTAGGAATTCCTTAAATAAGAAGATAAATTATACTTTTATTATATTAAAAATATACCTCTCCATCATCATTTTCTTTGATCATGTTCCATAAGTGCCCGTTAACCATCTCAGGACAAATTTCAACAATTTTCGAACCAAATCTCTCACAAATAAACCTCAATACTTTTACACAATTTCGGGTCTTAATGGCAAGTGGTCGATCTGAAATAAACAAAAATTATATAAAATTGTAGAACAAACCTCCAACTGAGGACTCTGACTGTTCCAAGCTAATAATTTTATGAAGAAGTGATTGTTCATTCCTATAAAGAAATATTTACTAATTATATTCGTTTTTAACATAATAACCATTTAAGAGCTTTAGGTGACCATTGATCACATTGACCCAAACCCAACATAAGTTGACGTAAAATCTTAGAATGCGGGCATGGCTTCCTGTCAGAGGTTCGCTCAATGAGTGTAGAAAAAGCATTAACTAAGTGACAATTAGCAATGTGTGAACTGTTTTCCTATAAATTATAAATTAGTTTTATAAAAAATATTTATCGAAATTTAAAGAGAAAATTTTTAAAAAATCAAACAAACTGATTCTATTGTATCCATTAAAGGCTTTATAAGTGGAGTTAGTTGCACAGGTAGCTGTTCCATAAAATTTATGAGTGCGGAAGAAAACAGAGCATTAATACGGCTAATAATATTATTTAAAAAAAAATCAGTTATTTAAATAAATCACCACGAATATGTTCTAGTAGCCAATTTGGTATCCTCAATAAGCTCAACAATAAGCGCATATCTGGCCGATAATGCACGCAAGTCATCTGCTTGATCTAACCGCTGTATACAAGAACGGTAAGCAGAGATAAAATAAATTAATATAGTCGTTGAAATATGTAAGCTTACTTACTTAATAGCTTCCTCCATAGAAGTCACCTATTTTAAAAAATAATTATTTAGAAGCTGTATATTTTAAATTTACCTGATTTAGTGGAAGTAATTCAGAAACAGGAACACCCTTTCGCAGACAATATTGCTAAAAACAAAAATGTTATATTTAAAGGATAATTCCAAATCACCGCACTTTGAAATCGTTACACTCTTTAGTTAATATACTAACCAACTGGGTTGTCTAAAAAATATAAAGTTTTTCAGAAAATTTTTAAAAGCAGAATTATAAAAACCTCATCAAATAGCTTGTTGGAATTTGAATTACAAGATAATTGCTCGTATAATTCTTTGATTAAAATATCAGGGGCAGGTACTGATTGATTATCAGATGAAAAATTTTTAATATGACGTGAATTTTGATAAACATTTGACCATTCCTGGGCTAAAAGCGCCGACCCAAACTTCTAGAAAAAATTAATTATTTACTAATAGTAGGTGAAACAAAAATACAAACTTGATATAAAGAATTAGAGCGTAAATATGGAAAGAATAATAGCTGGACGGATATAAACATTGGCTGTTGACTTAATTTTTTTTAATAAAAACTGGATAAAAAAATATATTTTTAACAAACCCAATAGGGCAGCCCCAACGAAAGAGAGTATTTATCAATGGCTGTAATTAAATAATTTTATTTAATAATTACAACAAAAACATACCGCTAGCCATCGAGCAGCCATAGCTTTTCTCTCGAGGATAACCTACCAAATTTTATGAAGAGTAAATAAAATATGTCAAAGAATAACTAAATCAATTTGTTTCCTTTCCAAAAAGTGTAATTCTTCACCACACAATAATTCTTTAGGAAAGTCTCGTCGAGAGTCAGATCCATCAACATTATGTAAAAATACATCTTAAAAGTATAAATTATAGAATTTGGACTCTAAAAATGTGATTCGGCCTATTATGATGATTACGTACTAATTGAAAATCTCAAAGTCCCTTAGATATAGAAATTACACATCATTTAAATATAAATCTTATGTTAGAAGTAATAAAAATTTCAAAAAGAAAACACAAACCAATTTCAGGATTTTTGTGATCGTACATAAGGCAGCTAATCCAGAGGCCTGAAAATAGTTAGAACGATATGTAAATGTTTGGAGAATAAATAATTTCGTAGTAACCTATATTCAATGAGAGATCATTTCCAAGTAAATTGTTGAAATTTGACGTCAAAGCCATATGCCGCTGAAAAAATTCTAATAACAATGACAGTGTCGTGTGGCATGATGGCAACAATATTTCGGCAGAACTTGGTGGACAAAAAATAACACATCTATAAAGTCGTTTCAATGTTTGGAAAAGTAACTGAAAAAAGAAAGTGAAACTTATAAAAAACAAAAAAAATGAAACCTTTTCAGTCCAAATATGCTTGCCATCAGGAGTTATAGTTAAGGAATCGTTCTTAAAAATCGAACAAAGGCATTGCATAACTTTTATATTTCGTTCTGTCGGGCAGGTTTGTGGGGAGCATTCAAGTAGCTCGACTAGCAATGTTACTTGACTGTCACTAAGCTGAGCTGAAGATTGTGAAGCGCTTTGATTCCATTCCTGCAAAATAGAAAATTTGAGAAAATTAAGAGCAACATTACATAGAGAGTGACTTAATTAAAAAAATGAAACCTCATCCGTAGATAGCCAAAATTCGAGAAGCCCAAGTAAATCGACAAGTACAGAATCAACACCTTCGCGAAGCTGTGTCAATCGTTCAGGACGTTGTAGTATACCCCAAATTCGCGGAAGAGTTTCCTGACGAATTTTAGACAAAATATTAGCATTGAACTTTGCTATTCCGGAGTTAGCCGCTAAGAAAAACGAACAAATAGCCTGGCTCCCCGCAGAAATTATCTTTATATTTTAGTCAAAATTTTCTTTAGTCAGAAAATACCTCATCTACAGGATCATGTTCAAGAGCCCACCTTAATAAAATTAATACTAAAATAAAATATCGAAATAATCCCCTAATATTAGAAGTAAAACAAACAGTGTGAGATCAAACAACTTGTAATCTGAAGGCAGCGAAAAAGCAGTCACTGCAAAGTGATATTTAGCAACAAGTAATGCACCTTGTCGACAATGCCAATTCTTAAAAAAAAGTTAAACTAAAAATTCTATCAGAAAATAATTTAATTCTAAAAAATTGACAAATATTTTAACCTGTTCACTCGTTATTTGGAGCATATTGCAAATCTGGTTTAAAATTGCTGAGCCAACTCGAATCATAAACGGCTTTAATTCTTCTTTATAGTTTTCATTTTTGATTTTTAAACTATCATTATCAGACAATTTTAACAAAATAAATGAAAGTGCTTGTGCAGCTGCCTGAAATTTTAGGTTAATTAAAAAATTAAAAATTTATTTGTAATTAAATTATCCAAGAGTTACTTTCACTTAATTATTTGTTATTTCTATTTTATTGATCACAATAATTAAATCTTAGAATAAATATAAAATTTAAGAACCTCGCGGACTGGAGCAACAACATTGCTGCCAGTTACAAAATCACAAAAACGGTCCAAACAAAATAATTGAAGTAGGCGAGTGGTAGCCTTAGTGAGAAAGCTCGAATACGGAAACAGCCTTTATAAAAGTAGATTTAAAAAAATATTTAATTGAAGTCATAAAAATTTAAAATACCATTTGTTCGCCTGATTACAAATTTTTGTCAAAACAAGACAAGCTCCATGACGTGTTTGCCATTTTGGACTGACTAAATCGCGGAGAAGAGTAGAATGAAAAAATTCATAAAAACATTTTAAAAATTGTAAAGGAAGACTAGCTATAAATAAGTAAAATATTTAACAAAAATAATTTTAAATTTTACAATCTTGTTCATTAACATCGTCCAAACTTGGCTCATCTTTAATTTTTTGTTGCCCATATTTTAAAGAATTATGAGAAAAAGTATCAACAAAAGGGCATTCATTGTTAATAACCTCCTCGTATAACTCTCTACGAGAAACAATTGGAGAATCTGTTGTAGTTAAATTTGTGTTCTTAATTTCACTCAAAGTTGCAATTTCATCGTCGGTAATAAATCTTAAAAACAATTTATATATTTTTGAATAAAAACAGTTGAGTGAAAGAAAAAATTTACTTAAAGAGATCTATTTAACAAAAAAATATGTCCTCTCCGGTTATCTCACCTCACCGTCCACAAATATTTTTCTTGTCTTCTCCTTCCATCTTTCTCCTTTGTTAAAGAATAAAAAATGAGCAAATCAAACGGACAAACATTTGGGGGGAGATAACCGAAGAGTATTTAAATAAAAAAAGTTGAGGAGACGATGGGGGGAGATAAACGAAGAGTACCAAGAAAATATTAACACTAAAATTTTTAAAAAATAAACATTACGTGCTTGAAGAAACCCCAGTAGCAGAATTCATGTCCAAATGCAAATCAATTAATTGTCGTTGCTTTTTCTTATGTTGAAGACTAATGTCAGTTGAATTGTTTTTATCGACTAAAGTGTCGTTCTCCTCTTCGAATCTTAAATTTTTTTAATAAATTTTGTTTAAATATCCTAAAAAATAATTTTAAAAAAACCTACCCAACTAGCATTTTATAATTTGAAATAATTTGGTTTAAATCCGAATTCTCAATTAATGTTGCACATTCATCAAAATATTCTTTCATTTTGTCTTTAGACAACAATTCAAATTTCTCATAAAATGCATTATCAGCACTTAAAAGAAGAGCAGCAACAAGTTCAGCCGAAGCAACCCGGCATTCCCTAAATATTTGTTGAAAATTTAATTAATATTTTTTTATAAAAAATACCACAAAGAACTGCGAAAGCATTGTGCCACAATATCAAAAAGTTGATCCCATGAATAGATTATTGACTAAAAAATAAAGTTTTGAAGTTCAAAACCTTTGCTAAAATTTTGAAAAAGAACTTATTTTCAAAAATTCATAACCCCAACAATATTATAAATAAAATAGCCCAACAAAGAATAATTAATGTTAAAGAAAAAAATAAACCTGTTGGCTAGAAATGGGTGCATATTGTGTAAGCATTGAAATAGCCTCTGATCGAAGTATCCGATTACGTGACTCGAGAAGCTCGCGTAGTTTGTTCAATCGAGAATCCGTCATTCGACAATGTTTGAAAGAAGAAATATTTGATTTCCGTCTTAAATTGAATTTTAGGTTAGAAAATGGTGAAAAAACCCATATTTAAAAAATTTTTTTATATGAGAGATACCATTATGTCGGATTTCTGTTAATGTATCATTTTGTCGGATTTCTGGTAATGTACCATTATGTCGGATTTTTTACCATTGTCAATTTTTATAATTTTTTCAAAAATCTTTTTATTTTATCACTAACCCAAAATTTGAACCTATTTTGGCACATAAAAGCATAAAATAGGAGCCTATTTCTCGATTTTTTGGATCTAGAATCTAGGACTCTACTTATTAATAATGCTACTTTATCATAAGCCTATTCTGTTGTTTTATATAATTTGCCTAGTTTTATTTAATTTCTTTATTTAGATCTTCTAAAAAATGGTTGGTTCTGTTCTAAAATTAATTAATTCTACAAAAGTTATGCGTAGTTGTGGTTTCAGCACGACAAATGTCCTGAATGGCGCTCATGTTCGTATGCACAATTGGTGGGGTCCAGAAAAGATTCAAGGACGTGAAGTTGTTGGTTGGGGTGTGAAAGGTGACGAGGTTTGTTTTTATTCTTTATTATATTTCGTTTAAAATCATTCTTTTTTGCATTCAGTCATGACTTTATTTAGATAGCCAAAAGAATAAATAAAATTTGGAAGGTGTTTAGGTGAAAATTTGTGGGGTCCAGAAAACTTCACTATTACATATTAAAAATCATTGTTTTATTCTAAACTAGTTTTTATTTTTTTAGTTCTACGAGGACCGTGCCGATTTTTGGTATCCAGCAATTCGTTTTCGACGGAATGACGAAATTGTAACGCCAATTCGCGAGAAGGAATTGGGGGATTGGAAACAATTGTCTGTGGACGAGAAGAAATTGCTGTACCGATATTCTTTTTGCCAGACACTTTCTGAATATGAGGCTCCAGATGGGTATTGGAAACTTCCTGTGGCAATTACATTAGCTGGTTGCGGTTTAGCATTATTATATGGATGCTTCCTTTCTTACTACTGTAAATAATCATTTTAAGAATTTTTAAAAAAATTTTATTTTAGGCTATCCTCCATCGTTACCAACGCTGGAGAATGAATTTAAGGTTTTTTTCCTGGCAATTGTTTTCATAAATTTATACTTATTTTTTCAGGAGAGTGTCATTGAAAAGAAATTGGTTATGGAGAAAGGACGCTTCCTTGGGCCTGCTGCGTATTACGACTACGAGAACAATCGTTGGAAGGATTAGGAATATTATTTGAAGGAAAAATAAAATTAGAAGAAGAAATTTTGGTAAATATTAAAAGACAATTATGTATAGGGAATATTTGGATAAATAAATTGTTTGTTTGTTTTGTGTGCAATTTAAATTTTTATATTTAAAATGTTAATTAAATATTTTAAAAATTGAGAAATTCGTTATTAGAAATTCATTACAGAAAAGTAAATGAGTTCTTCAATTTCTTCTAAAGTTAAATTAGACCAAGAGGTTTGTGCTGATGCCGACAAATTGGTTCGATTATATACAGAATTGGCGGATTTGCGTCGAAACAAAATAATTAATTTATACAGCTCCAATGGGCCACAATTGATATGGAATGGAAATTGTTATAGCGGCTTAACAGAAATTGGCTCATTTTGGGATAATCTGCCATCCACACAACACGAGTATTTTAATTTAATAAATTTAGGGGGGAGGGGTATTTTGTTGGTTAAATACAAAACAAAATACCCTCCTTATTTCACTTCCACATTCATTTTATTAATTTTCAGAGTAATCTGCTTAGATGCGCATCGGTATGATTTTCAGATTTAAATAGCCTTTTTAATATGCGCAAATAATTAGTATAAATTCCAGAATTGACCCAACAAGTGATGATATGTCGATTGTTGTCCTTTCAATGGGGAAAGTTACTATTGGAGGGTTAACACATGCTTACAATCAATCTTTGGTTCTTATTCTTGAAGATGGGACATACAAAGTTAAAAGTGACACATACAGGCTTATGGACTAGTAGAAGATATAAAAAAAAGTTTTGAAAAACTTGCTAAATAAATTGGAATTTATTTATTTTTTGGATGTTCTTTTTTTGTTTAATTTCTTCAATGTATTAAAAATAAATATTCACTACTAAATCTGTTCTTATCGATTTAGGTTATCGACTATCCATGGTCGAATACAAAACAATTAGGAGTCTGACCTGTCCCTAAATTAGGGCTTCTATTACCGAAATGTTAAGTTACAAAAGTTTAATTTAGAAGTACATAGAGGGAATCTTCAAAATAAAAGTCGCTACGAAAATAAAATTTAAAACCTTATTCAAATACAAGTCAACTATATATTTCTTTCCCAGACGAGTTTTTCAGGGCCGCAGGCGAAAATTTTGAGAATTTTAAGATTAAATTTAATTTTTAACCTAAAAGTCTATTTACAAGTAGTTGTTATTTCCAAAAATAGCCCTGCCTTAAATTAACAATTCACAAAAAAATTTTTTATTTGTCAACAGATTTTTTTATATTTTAACAACACAAAGTGAACATTTAATCAATTTTTCAATCCTCGCTATCAACATTCACTGTTGTCAGACGTTTGAAGCTAGTCACTGGAACATGCGTCACCAAAGTGTAAAGTTTGTGTGGCGAATCTTCGTCATCATTCCTGCGTCGCGAGAGACGAACTCGAACACGATACGGAACGTTACTGAAAATTTCTTTGTAAAATACTTAATAAATTTATATAAAAATACCGAATTCCCTTCGACCATAAAAACTTGTTGAGACGCGTATCAACACGGACATCAGGAGTGCCCATTTGTTGTTCTGCAAATTTCTTGACCTCCTTTATAGCTCGAGGTGCACGGTACTTGAATCCACTTAAATTTTATTTTTTAAGACAATTAAAAAACGAGAGGTACTACTGCCCTTTCCCAGTTGACTAAGCTAATTAATTGCTTATAATTTGTTAAAATTTGATCCATGACGAATCGAAATGAGGAGGGGAAATGGCAGTAGTACCCAAAATTAATAAAATATACATTCCATGGATGCGCTTGTGCAGATGAATGGTGTACTCACGAGTAACCACTTTATTCAGCGAGCTCTTCCCTTTCTTTTCAACTTTTAATTTTTTGGCAACCATTGTATCGGTCTAGAAAAGTAAAAAGATAGTTTCTAAAATTGTGGATTATTTTAATTAACAATATGTAAATGAGAAAAATTAGATCACTTAAGTATTTGTAGAAATCTCAGATCGATTAATAGAAATAGAGTGAGTGTTGCCAGTTGAGAGCGGGCAGCGAAGTCCTAAGCCAGTTTAGAGCGATGGAGTATCATTGAGTACCGCATATTGAGTACCGCCGTTTGAGTCCCTAGCCAGTTGAGTCCCGGCCGGTTGAGTCCCGCTGGTTGAATTTCCCGTCTGTCGGAACAATTTACTCAATAGTATTAACAACTTTACCCGTAGTTGGAACAACCATCGACATGGGTGTGAATTTCTGATGAAAACTTAAAAATTTTATTTTCCTACTCTAAAATGCAATCAATAAAATTAAATCAACTCGGCAAATTTGACCAACGATTTTTTTCCATCACTCGCTTCGCTCACGACGGCCTACGTCCAGTTGAATGTGAAGTCAGGCTTCCTTCGCAGCGACTTACTTTTCCCTCGGAGATAATAAGATTTTTGGTCAATTCAAAAGGTTCATTCCGAATCACAAAATTTAACAATTTATGATTACACCTTATTCTAAAGAAACAATCGAAGGTTCAAAAAGTTTATCAAATTATCATTTCACATTAGTTGAAAAATTTTACATTAACCAGAATTAAATAGAGTACGAAAAAAGTTTAAATCAGTTAGAATAGGAACCGGGTTATATTTTCTAATCACTGGTAAGCAGAGATCAATTTACTCTTCGGGGTTTGGAAGTGTAGAAATACAAAATGCAATTAGTTTTCTTATCAAATTTTATAATTAACTACTTTGTATTACTGAAATAATTATTATCCTTAGCGAAAAACAGGTATTTTTATATTGTAGTTTTGATTTAAAAAACAAGAAAACTAAATGCGTCCTTATTTGGAAAAAGAAAATGTGAAAAAAACGAGATAAAAGATAATCATGTGTACAGTAAAAAATTATGAAGATGCTAAAAAAGGATAAAAGAAAAGGTTGATAAATTGCCAACAAAAATAGGATTCTTAAATGTGAAATTTTATCAGTGCAACCCCCTTGCAAATCTAACAAATAATAGTTACTAAATGCACTGATAACATTATTTTAGCTAAATTTGTTCATTTAGACGGTTAAAATTAATTATCAAACAGGTGTCTCGTTTTTGAATATTGGCAGGGCATAAAACTGACATCTATAAAACAAGGATGTTCTATTCAGTCCAAATCAAAGTATAATGAAAAGAAAAATGCCCAAGATATTGAACATAGATGGGATCATGTTCAGAAAATAAAGACACTGAATAGAACATCCCCTTTTGTTAAATATAACCAAAACAAATTGTAACTGCATAAGTTAAAGATTGTAGGTAGGTAGAGGTGAAATGACTAAATAAGAAGACTATACAACAATGTCTGGGGATTAATTAATATTATAGACCGGGAAATTTTTAATTATTTAACCTTTTGAACGAAGGTCAACAAAAATATAGCAGCTTCTTTAAACTAACCGTCATAAAATTCCTAAAAGTTCGAATGTTTCGATAAGATTCAGTCACAAATAAATAAATTTAAAAGCGACTATATTCTTTTAATCAACCTTTGTTCAAAAAATGCTGATTTTAAACACTGGTTCCAATTCCGTCTACAAACTTTTTGACCGGTCTGACTCCTGTATTGTTTGCAATTGTAAATCGCTGTGCCAGTTCAGGACGCTCAATGAGTTTCTCCAAAATGCGTTTGGCTCTAAATAAACAATAGAGTAATTAATTAATTGATTATACCAACCGGCCCATATGAATTTCCATTGAGCAAGGAGATGATTCCAACAGATCACAACCATCGCCTTCGTCCACAAAGTTATGTGAATGTTGAACACCAAACGAAATACGAACATCGCAAAGGCGATTAAGAAAGGTAAACGAATCCTTAAGTGTAATGTATATTTTCAGATTATTCTAACACTAAATATTAAAGAATACCTGACTGATCCCTGGCATACCATCAATGGAAGAATTACGTCTTTTTTGAACACGTAATTGACACATTAGTCTAAATGACTGCCACAAATCGAAGATTTTGATTGTAGCCTTAGGAAAAATAGTATGCTTGATCCTTTCTGCATCCATTGCTGAACGCATAGCCTCCTAGAAATTTTAAATTAAAATAAGGACAAATTCTAAGAAAGAAAACCCGATCAAGATAATAGCTCTGAACAAGCAGCGGTCGACGTGCATAACTGAAGATTTATAAAAAATGTTAATCATATTAATTTTTAGTCAAACATGAGTCACAGCAATTATCTCATTATTGTCCTAAAGGATCGAGGAAACCCAAATATTTTTCAGATGAAGCTAAAATATGCCTAATCTACACCAGTATTATTAAAACAATTTCAAACAAAATATAAAACCTTGTCAAGAATAACTCTCCATCATCATTCGACTCAAGTACAAGTCCCAAACCGATTTGTTTTCGCGCGTCAATTAATTGTTGAGACTTCAACGGAGAAAGTTCTGTCTCACTTCTATCTCCCATCGTCATTATCTTCCCACAACCAATTTGGAAAAATTCTTTGGCATCCCCAGCATCTCTAGTTCCACAATGAACAGCTGAACCATAAAATGATCGACGAGGAAGCACAAGACTGCCCCACTCGTGGTATGAAACAGTTATACGAGGAGTATCAGAAGCAAAGCCAGTAACAGTTGGGAGTACTACATTATGCACTCCATTTGTTTTTTCTTCAGCATTTAGTTTTTGTTTTTTGATTTTCTCAATATCATCAACTAAAGTAGATTTGCTTTTGATACAGTCCATTGTAAATTGTTGGGTATCATAACAAACAGATCTTAATTTTATATTTGTCAATCTTTTACAAATTAAAATTTACCTTTTTCTATCCAAATGTTTTTGTGCAAGTTGTTGTTGTTGAAAAGAAAGTGGAATTGGAATAAGCAATCCCTTATTCATGTTTGCAAGCAACTGACTATGTGACGTTAAAGATACATCTGAACCAGGTGGCGACGATTTCTTTGCCGGACTAGAGGGAAACGTTGAAGACGGAACAATATCACGAGAAATAGGCGATGCGTAGCAATTTTTTGATGGAACCGTGTTTGACTGACATATTTCCTCACCACTGGCGTAACACGAACCATTAGCAGAAATAGGTGAAGATTCATCTGAATCGACACCAAGACCACATTTCCCAACAGAAATAGGAACTACACGCTCATAATGATATGGATTAACACAAACCTTTAATTTTACTTTTATATAAACAATTTGAGATTTCTACTAACCGAATCACATTTCATATCAAATGCAGCTTGACATATGGATGAGTGTTTTATTTCATTTTTATGTAAATCACTGAAAGTAAAAATTAGATTGATAGAAGAATTGCAAAAATATACCCCCAACGGAAGATGCGTGCATAAACAACGTGAGGAAACCCTAATAAACAATGTTAATTAAGTAACAAAATATAAAATGAAAACAAACCCTTCCGACCGGCTACCTAAAATTAAAAGTGTTACTTTTACTTGATAAGAAATTATAAAGTAACAAACCTGAAGTCGCCCATCTAGTGTTCGCGGAATTGTTATACATTGCGAAGGGCGAGCACCATCTTCCACAACTGTTTGGATAAACCAATCAAGTTCTTCTCGCTTAAATTGAAAAGCATATTTATGAAAATAACTTTAAAATTTAAAAATTAGAACCTTATCTCGAAGTCTTTTGATTAATGACTCAATTGCCTTTCTGGAGAAGTCGATATCGGGTGACTAAAAATTAGAAGTTAATCTAAAGATTAATTTAAATTAAATCACTCACAACGTTATAGGTAAGCAGAAAAGTGACAATAGTTTGACAAGGATCAGCGCTAGTCGGCACTCGTCGTCCAGGACAAAGTGCGGGTCGTTTTTGTGTCTAAAAAATTAAAAATGATAAAAATTAAAATAAAATAGATACCGGTTGATTGTGAACTTGTTTAGGCTGTATAGTTTCACTTGGAATAAGAAGACCTGGCAAATGCTGTGGTTGTAAAAGGGTTGAAGTATGCTTGGGGGGTCGGCCAACCTTTAAATTTGTCATAAAAGATATTTATTATAAAAGTCTTACCCGACGATGAATAACAAGTGGTGGCGGTGGAGAGACAGCTTGGTGTTGTTTTGATTGTTGAATTAAAGCCCGTTGACGCAAGAGTTCAGCAATCGCAAGTGGTGAAACTTGTGGAAATTGCTGAGGTGTAAACACTTGAGTAGCAGCAGATTTATTTCCAATGGAAGGATTTACAAATAGTTGTTCTAGTAGACGTCCGGTTGCAGCTTTGTTAGCAGCTGAAGAGTTTATCCCAAGAAGTTGTTGACGTAATTCGTTCAATTGATTAAAGGCGGAAATACCGTCTGACTGTGACCCAGGAGCTGGGAGAGGAGTGACTTCCGTAATTGCTGACTTATTGTTAGCCTTATAAAAATATGTATTGCCAAAATTTAAAATAAGTACCTGTTGTTGACGAAGTAACAAACTTGTGGCGAGTAGCAATTGCTGTAGATTTTCTGATGCCAAAGTTGAATTATTTGAAGTGTTTCCAATAGGATTGTTTTCAGTTTGGTCCGAAGCGAGTCCTTTTGGACGTTGTTCAGAAACAGCCATAGTAGACGAGGACAAAAAATTTTTCTCAATATCTAAGGAAGTGTTTGAATGATTTGCAGGCATTGTTGTTGACGTTGAATTCAATGAATCAAGACCTACAAAAATTGTTATTATAAGTCACTTTTTTAAAAGTTGTACACCGAAACCTAAAGTAGTTTGTGTTTGCAACGGTGGGAAAGTGTCGGCCGTCGAAAATTGTAACTGGGATTTAAGTTGTTGTAGGAATAAACCGTGTTGCTGTAAATGCCTAGAAAGAAGTTCAGCCGCTACTTTATGCTCACGCTGGCGAATATTACTCTCATTCTGACGCAACATTTCTTGTTGTTGCTGTCGTAAAATGTGTTGATCATAATTATCCTGATATTTAACAGATAAAAAATCAACAACATATGTAGAAAATAATACCTGCGATTGTTCACACTGTTTTGCCATAAAATGCGCATATGCAGCGGCCAACAATTGTGAAGTGGTTACAGAAGTCGTCGATGCTGATTCTATTCCAGCTTCATGCTCTTCAGATTGAGGAGCTATTTCCTTAATACCTTCCGCCAACATAGTTTTTGCTGTTCCTTCTGTTTCTCGTTGGCAACCTATGCATTCTAATTCTTCTGTTGTCATTTGTTCTTTCCTGTTTCCATTAGTATCACTACCAAATGTCGCTAAAGGAGACAAAATTTGCGGTTGTTGTTGTTTCTGTTTTTGTTGTATAGTTCCCTCTCCAAGAGAGTTTTCTCTTTCATTCTCCTCGTCACAAATAGAAATGAAAATATTGTTATTAGAATCGGATTCTGAATTTTTTTGTTGTTCTTGTAAATTATCGTTCATTTTCTCCCCAGCGTTGTTTTCTTAAGTTTTTGTTCTTTTTTTATGTAAATAAGTCTTGTATGAAATCTTAATTTATGTACATATATGTACTATTTAAAAAACGTAAAAATTCCAGAAAAGGGCAATTGTGTCGAATTGTGGTTCCGTCGAAAATTTAGTTTAAAAATCCTGCAAGTACCTAAGGACTGAGATATGTCCTAAAATAAGCCTACTCCTCTCTAGTGAACGACATATCGACTTTTTCTTAAGGAAAAAAAGTCGTTTTAAAAAAATCTACAATTATTCGCGAACGACTTTTTTTTAAACACACAACGCCAGAACTACGTAAATATCGATGTTTTGCGCCAAACGATTGCGAAACGACTTTTTTGTGTCTCTTTTTCTCTAATTTCACATTATATTTCCTTTCTCTTTTTCTATTAATTTTCGTTCGTGTAGTCTCTCCTTTGGAATTTGCAATTTTCCATTTTTATAAATGTTCAGTCCCTTTTCTGTAATTTTTAGGGATTTTTCCACATATATTCTTACTAGATGGATGAATTTGAAAATGAATTAAGAGTCGCATTCGAAAGCGGCGATCTCGAAGAACCTGTGACACCGTCATCGAAACGTCGAAAATCCGATATCCTTAAGGGATTAGATCTAGGAAGTCCGAAGAGTAGGCGATCATGGAATGAAAGTAAAATATTTGGAAGGTATACGTAAAAAATTTCAATAAATTGTATTTATTATTTTAAGCCATTTCGATTGCGTCATAGACGATAAAGAAAATCTGACCAATCTTGTAGTTTGTAAACAGTGTTATGCGACATTCAATTACACGGGTACACATAATCTGAGGTTTTTTTACTATTAGATCTAAATTCTGTTTCTTTAATTTTATTTTTTAAGAAATCATATCGAATTAAAACACGGAGTTCAGTTACCAGCTAAGGAAAAACAAAAGATGATGGAGGATGCCCTTGTTGAATTCTGCGTTACTGATGCAAGGCCGTTCTCTTTAATTAACGGAAAAGGATTTATTAGTTTCCTAGATGCTTATTCTGAATTGATGTAAGTTTCGTGAAATGAATATTATTTATTAATTTATAGAATTGACAGACACTTAAAAAACCAAACTACAACGTCCAGCCTCATCTTACCTAATGAAAAAACTATAAGTCGAAAGGTGTTCGAGGTGCTAAAATCTAAGCAACCAGAACTTAATTCTATTTTTGATGAAATGAGCGAATCTGGGTTTTCTATTTCGCTCGATTTTTCTCAGAAGTTGGGCACTGATTATTGCGTCATGGTGGCACACTACATAACAAAAGACTGGTTAATTGTTTAGCATATTTATAGTAATAAGAAAGTATGTCAAACGAATTGTTTAGCATATTTATAGTAATAAGAAAGTATGTCAAACGAACTGCCATTGGGGTGACTATGAAACGGTTTTTATTTAGATTTTAATATTGACTTATTAAATTTTAGATACAAAAAGCCGTTAGAAATGTTGCAAAACAAAACTTTCCGGAATGTTTACGCCCACACGTGGAAAACGGTTTTTATTTAATCCAGAATAAGTTTAATAGAAAATTTAGTTTCACCAAGTCTAGTTACCTTTGGTCAAAATGCAATGAGGACTGAGATAGATTTTGAGATGGAACAGTATGAAACTGCATGTAAGAATTTGGGGGGGCATAAGCTAGATTTACTTAAATTTTGGAAAGAAAATTCAATGAAAATTCCACACCTTTCATCCATTTCTAAGCATTTTTTAGCAATTCCTTCTTCTTCTACTTCTTGTGAACGTATATTTTCCCGATTTTCTCCTTTAGTATATGATTATAAACGAAATCGTTTTGACCCACATACTATTTCTACACTTATTTCATTACAATCATTATTTAAAGATGAATAAAATTTTGTTGTTTTATTTTTTTAAACTTAAACAAACGAAAACCTAACAAAAATTCCAATGGAGAGACAACGACATAGAAAATTAATAGAAAAAGAGAAAGGAAATATAATGATAGAGCAGAGAAAAAGAGATACAAAAAAGTCGATTCGCAATCGTTTGGCGCAAAACATCGATATTAACGTAGTTCTGGCGTTTTGTATTAAAAAATAGTCGTTCGCGAATAAAAGTAGTTATTCGCCGCGAATCGACGAAAACGTAGATATGTCGTTCACTACTCCTCTCTCCTATGGGTTTTCACGTTTTAAATCTTTGCTAATCTCCGATACCATCCTCTCAAGGGGGCTCAACTGAGGTATACAAAGGAGATTGTTGGAATAATTTATTCCTTTGTTAGAACAACTTCCCCCGTCATAGTGGGAACAGGGAAGTTGTCCGGATTCTTCACTATTACCGAAAATAAGAATAAACGGAAATATGCATTAGTGATTGAATAAGTAACAATACTCAATTGGTAATATTCTAATTAATTGTTTGGAATTGCGTATTTAAGAGCGCGCGAGATAATCGATTATCGCATATCTACTGAGAAGAAATGTAAAGTCAACACTATGTTTAACATAAAAATGGTCTGTTGTTTTTGTTTAGAAAGTAAGTAGAAAAAACGTGAATTTAAAATAAATGCAAGGTAGCAAACAAATTAAAGACAGCGGACGACAATTGCGGATTAGAAATTACGGATATTCCGAACGACAATTCCAGACAGAACAATTCCGGACGAAAACTGTGGACGACAATTACGGATATAAAGTTTTCAAAAAATTTAAAATTTTTCAGTTTTCAGTCTCGCATCAGTTTAGAAATGATTTGGAAACCAACAAAAGAAACTGACAGCCGGGACTAAAAACGGGATTTTATTTCAATAATTTTTAAATTAAAAAAATTTTCAATCCGTAATTGTCGTCCGCAATAGTCGTATCCGCAATTGTCGTAAACTCTTTAGACATTTTCTGATAAAAATGAAAAAAGACAGCCGTGGTCAGCCAGAACAAAATTTGCGCCAGCCAAATTGTAAACAAATTGACAGAGGTACTTAAACACTCAATAGCAATAAACAAAATCGATAATTATGGGGTACTATATATTTGTGTCCAAATGTTAAGAATTGTACATAAATCAAAATATACACTACGTACATATGTACGAATCGCAACAATAATTCTATTAATATACATACAGTATGGAAGAAGTAAACGCTCACGAGAGTTAGCTGCCAACTAATAGCTAGTGACTGCTAATGTTAGCCTAAAATACGTTTCGGATAATACCGACAACATTGAAGAAGGCAGCCTATCTGCTACTATAAATTATCGATAAATTGGACACAAACATAGATAAAAAGAAAAAAATCAGTTTAGTTTAAAAATCAGTTAAAATGTTCCTTATAGTGACGTCCTGGGCTGGGTCTATTTGACACTCCTGCCAATGGCAATTTGTTTGGTAGGGGAAACTAGACTACATCGAGACGGTAGCTGGCAGATGAATTGAGTAAACCACATGTCAGCTCGATAAACGCGACAGCATGTGTTCATAAGTCTGTCTGCCAACAGTATTTACTTCAGATAACATACATGTAAAAAGAGAACTAGGAGGTGTAAGTGTCGCACGCGTCTTTTTTTTACATTTCGGCGCATATACATGTGTATGTTTTGCTATACATTTTTTGAAAATTACCATCGCAACCAAAATGTTCGTACGCTTAGATACGTCTACGGACATACTGTCGAGAAGAAAACAACTTAGTGACTAGATTTACGTTATAAAAATAGATAAAGTGTAGAAGCTATTCAAAACAAAGGATGATCAAAGAATGTAGGGAATAGAGGAAAGATATTCCTTAACAATAACTAGTGAATATGGCAAATGAAGACCAGAAAGTTAAAATTTTGTTTTAGAAATTGAACAGATTAAAGAAAAAAGTCAAAATTTTGAGTAATTAGTATGTAGGTATCTAATGGAAAAAAATTATTAAAATATTCAGAAATCAAGTATTGGGGTTATGGCACACATTAAAATTTGTAAAGCATTAACTGTAATATTTAGGGACGATGAATGTAAATTTTTTTAAGTTGAGCTAACACATACATACATAAACAAAATAAAAGTTATCTATATGCATAGGCGTGTATGTGTTCGCTTGCCAGCCGAGCAATTTTATTGTCTATCTACTATATAAAAATGCTTGAAATTATTTATGAAGAAAGCAAAAATAAAAGAAACGTTAGGGTTAAAGATTGAATGTCTGCTGTAAGTATCACCCATAAAAATTACAAGAAAAAATACAAGTTTTGACAAGTGCTGCCCGGTAAATTTTCCTGTGGCGGCTCAAATGGGGACTTTTCTTTTAAAGACATTTGAGATCGACGGGTCCGGTTTGACATTTTTAGAAAATCCCGTTATGCGATCTCGGATTTGCAATTTAGACGAACGTTAGTTTACATAATATTAAAAAATGGCAAGAAAATATGTAAGAAAAAATCGAGAGAAATAGCTTTAGATCAAATAGTATTAAAAAAGGGTATTATTCTATTAGAGATCTCTCATATATTCGCACGATATGTATATTTTATATATTTCCTTCATAGGTGCAAAATGGTCAGACTTTCTCCTTTCTATATAACCTGCGAATATGTGGGAGGTGGCAGAAATAATAAGAAGTACCGACTAGCATTCAACTGGAGAGTGGCATTCTAATAGAGAAAAGACGGTATTTCACTAACGTCTGATTTACGATTGTGTTGTTTAATGAAAAATAGGCACAAGAACCAGTGCTTCGAAGCTCGTACCAAAATTCGTACTCGTACCTGGTACGAAGTACGAGTACGAGCAAAAAAATAAGGGTGGTACGAGTACGAGCAAATTTGAAATTTCGAAGCACTGACAAGAACTAATCAGGGGTGGGCGCAAGAGACAATCTCAAAAAACGCAAAACGCAACGCAAGGCCAAAATTTAACGCAAATAACGCAAGACGCAAAACGCAAAACGCAAGAACGCAAAATTGGGAAAAAATTTTTTGAAATTAAGTATTAGCCATTTTTCAGTTAAAAATTGAAGTATTACTATAAGTCAGCGAGTCCTACTCGATTTTGTGCTACTTTAAGTTGGATGGGTAATGATCTGGAGAGATATCGGTGATACAAGGGATTATGAAGGATATCAGAGGATTTAGAGGTCTCAAGGGGGTTTATCGAAGTAGCGTAGGATTACGGAGATTATCATGTAATTTGGAGAGGTTAAGGAGATTTAAAAAGATACTATGGGATTGCCCCAGATGTCGAGTGAGTTGGAGAGATAGCGGAGAATAAAGGGCTATCAGTAGTTATAAATTGATACCGGGGATATCAGGGGATTTAGAGCTGATTTGAATGTCTCTTAATTTCTTAATCTCTAGATATCTTCATCATATCCCTTAGTTTTTTTAATTCTCACAATCCATTAATATTTTCTCAAATTGATGGATTCCCAGATATCACTACAAATCCCCGATATCTTTTTAAACCCACCATAATCCCAGTAATTCGACCAATATTCTTCTATCCCTTCAGATCAACTGATCTTTCCCTTAGTTCTACTTGATCCTACTTACTTTTTAGCGCCGCAGGCGAAAATTTTGGGAATTCTGGTAATCCAAGAAGCCAGATTTCTTCTTTTTTAGCGCCGCAGGCGAAAATTTTCAAAATTTTGGAAGGCCAAGAAGCCAAATTTCTCCAATTTTGTCCTCAGATTGTGTATATTTTTTGCGTTAATTTCATCGAAATTAACGCAAAACGCAAAACGCAAAAAAAGGCCAAAATTTAACGCAAATAACGCAAAACGCAAAACGCAATGCGCCCACCCCTGGAACTAATGATGAAGCCAAAATCAAGACTCAATTTTCATCTGTTAAGAACGAGCCATTTGAGTGTGGCTAGAAAGAAAAATTGAGAGAACGGAATCGTCCTCTACGTATCCTGGACATTTTTTAGACAGTCTAAACCCGTAAATAAAAGTAAAGCAAGAATTTTCACTTTTGTATAATTCTTTGAAAACAATGGATCCTTCAGTGTGTGAATTTATTGCTGAAAATGAACTAATTCAGGTTTTTTGTTCATCTCTTGTTCGTTAATTATTTTTAATTCTTCAGATATTGCCAAATTTTAATGAACGTACAATTCATTTAATTTCTGGGGATTTTGGTCCATTTGAAGCTGGATCGCCTGTAACTGTTCCTCTGTGGTTTGCATTGCAATTGAAGTATAAACATAAATGTAAAATTGTGGTAAGCCCCCTATTTGTTTTAACATTTTTGTAAATTTAAGCCCCCAGAATGGCTAAAAGTTGATGAATTAAAAAAGCTAGTTGTGGGGGAAACAGAGAGGACAACATTCTCGCCTTTACCCAATTGCTTTTTTGAAATTGCTCACATTTTAGTTACAAATGCTTACTCTGATTTGGAAAATGTTGAACAGTTAAAAATGCTTGTTAGAGACCTACAAGACAAAAGGGAAGCAAAAATGCGAACTTCTATAATTAAATTTATGGAGCAATTTCAAAAGGTTTTTTTCGAATCTTCGATTAAAGATTTTAAATATTTTTTAGGAGAAGGACGACATTTTTTCTGACAAAGCTGTCATTCACGCAAATGCACAACTGAACAATCTTTCTAGGCTAGAGATATGCTATTTTCGGGCTGCTCTAACAGAACCAAGCAAATGGCTAGATAAACTTTTTTCAGTGATGCAGGGAGGAATGAAATCACAAGAAATTGATGACTGACCATTTTTGACATTTTTTTGTATAATTTAAAAATTGCCAGATATAAACACTATAAAAGGCAAATTTGATTTTTTTGTAATTATATTGTAGCGATACTTTCATAATTTTATTTAATGTTTATTTCATATATTTTATAATGTTTAGAGAACAAAACTTGATAATGAGTGTTTTTTCCCGTCCAATATGCTGTAATGGATCGCCATATCGGGCATTAAACTTCGCCTACAAGAGACTTGATGTTGTTCGTCATAGCAGTGGTGGACCTCACTTTGTTAAGCACGATGTTGAGAATTATTCGCACAATCTTGTAAGTTATAGAAAGAATTTAAAAGGTATTTTTAAAATTTAGAAGATTGGCTTAAAGAAGGCTCCTAAAATCGCTGATTTTTGGAAGAAGGTATTCTTCATTGTGATGGTTCCAAGTATGATCGCTTCTGCCTAGTAAGCTTGAGAAGACATTTAATTTATGAAATTTAAATTTTAAGCTATTCGTACCAGCATTACCTGGAAGAGATTGAGCATCTGAAGCATAGGAAGCAAGAGGACTACATCCCTTACCCATACTTGGCAAAACGTGCTCATGTATGACATTTTAAATTGTTTATACAATTATTTTTTTTTCATTTTAGCCATTTCCGTGGGGTGATGGAAACAAAGTAAGTTTAAAATAAATATGTGTAATTAAACATTCGGACCTATATAAAGAGAGGGCCATCTTTCATTATTTTTTCCTTCTTTAAAAATGGTCAATCTTCCTTAATCTCATTTGAATATGCCACGGGCAAAAAAAATGGAAAAGAGCAAGGAAGAAAAGTGACCATTATTTACAAATTAAGGAAGGAATGAATGCTCCCTTCTTTTCATATAGGGTAAAACTATTTTAGTCCTTCTTCCATAACCCCTACACGAACTGGGTGCCTGGAGTTGGCTATGAGAAACTCATGTCTGAAGAAGAGAAGGGCAAGAAGTGACTAGGTTCAAAAATGGTTGGAATAGTAGAACATAAAATTTAAAAAATCATATTCTGTACTCTGTATACGTCCTATTTTGTGTGTTATCGCTATATAAAATTCTAAATATGTTCGGTATATTAGAAAAAAGAACTATTTCACCCAAGAATTTTCAAAGCCTAAATCAATTTTATTACACTTTAAATCTTATACAAAACAAAAATTTCTTCATATGTTCAACAAGACTAAAACATCCACGGCCTAGTTGGCCAAGGTCCTTCCTGGCGCCAATAACCATTTTTGTGCCAATCATCAAATTTCAAATGTATATTGGCTTCCTAAACATTCATTCTTATTTTTAGTTCAATAAAAGAAAAAATACCAGAGCAGTCGGCTCAATCCATTGATCACCAAGCGTAAAATAGATAGGTTCACCATACCACCTAAAATTTTAAATTTTTTTTTAAAATTTATCAACTTATTAAGCTCACGTTCCAACTTTCCATCCTGGAACCTCCTTCATCAAATCCTTCTCCAACTCTTGATTCTTCTTCATTATTCGAAGTACACTGTACAGAAAAATATATTTTATAAAATAAAAATTAACTACATTCGATCACGCTCAGCAAGTAGAAATGGTTCCATAGCATTCACCAAATCCTTGTCTTCAAAATAAATTGCCCTTAATTATATAGTTTAACAATATATAATTATAAATCAAAATTACAGCCTCCTGTGTCGATAATCCTTCATATTATAGAAATATCCAGTAACGGCTGTTGCAAGATTAAACGCCACAAAAAGACCAGCTAAAAATGTTTGGATAAAAGAAAATTACAAAAATTTCATACGTCCCCATAAAGTTTTTGCATATGTTCTATTATAATTGAACGGCCGATATCCACCAGCTGGCGGCATTTCCTGCCGAAATTCTTCACTCATTTTTAGAAAACGAAATTATTAATCCTAACTAGAAAATAATTAATTTAGGAAAAATAGGAAAACAATAAAAGCATTCACGCTAATAATACTGCAAAAACGGGCGAGAAAGTTCCCCATCAACAAGTAGAAGGGCAATGCAAAAATATTAAGACCTAAATGCTCCTTTTAAAGGAAATTTCTCTGACCTCTCTCACAACGCTATTTTTTAGTGGGATAAAATATCAAATTTATAAACAGAATGACAAAAATTAAAATTTGATAAAAAAGAGCGTCATTTAACCCAAAGCAACTTCCATAACTTTCACCCCGGAGGCATTCTAATCTCATTGAACTCTGTTTTCGCCATTTCTTGAAGATTTAGAATCCTCGACAGAAAATAAAATTGTTGTTTTTGAACACATTTTTTTCTTACACCACTACATTTCACTTCGAAACATTTTTTGGCATACTGTGTTGATTATTTTAAAGCTCTATACTGTTTCTCTCTTCTCTGCTTCTCTGGTATTTTAAAAGTTAAAGCCAGGACTCAACTAGGACTAAACCAACACAATAAGTCCGTTCTGGTATTGATATTTTTTGCGGATTTCGATCATTGTAAGCTGTGCATATTTAGCAGTTAGGCCGGTTTTTAATCAACTTTTATATTTTTAGATATCAATTTTGCTTTTATATTATTGTTTGTTACACGTTTTTTATTTCTTTTGGAATCATTGTATAGCGAATTGGAGTCATGAGAGGATTACGTCAGAAAAGGCAACGTCGAGCTCGTAGCAATTCAAGCACAACCAAACGGTATAATTCATTAAAATTTTGACACATTTTATCTCATTTTACGTCTTTTTCGGAATAATATTATAGGAAAAAACGCTTCATTTATAATCTTTTCTTGGCTTATGTAGGCTGAGGCATGTTGAGTCGAAAGGTACAAAAACCTTGTCTCATTTTTGATTATGTGGCTGAAATATTATGAGGCCGCGGAAGTACTTTTGCCGCATCGGAATAATATTCCCTAATGAAGGGTGTAAAGTACACAAGTCATTTAAAAATGCTGTTCTAAACTCAAAATCCCTTACAAAATAATGTCTTTTTTTAGTTCTCTGACGCCAGTAACAGATCAAATTGAACAGTGGCGACTTGAGGCCGCAGTCGTGAGTTTTTTTAATTTTTGGAAGTTATTGTAGGCCAAACTTTTTTACATTATTGTTTTACTTTTATTAAATAAACTCTAAATTTTTTAAATATTTTTATGTGTCAATGCTAACGTTAGCAGATAAGGACAATCGTGTTATTTCTCCTCCATTCCGTGTTTTGCCAACTCCACAGGTTTTTTCAAATTAACAATTTTATATAATACACAATTTAAGGAGTTTCCTCTCTACTATGAACACATTAAAAAACCAATTGATATTCGGAAAATTTCTGAAAATGTTCGTGCAGGCAAATACCAGACATGGGAGGCCTTGAAAGATGATGTTCAATTAATGTGCAAAAATGCGCGTGATTTTAATGAACCTGGCTCAACAGTCTAATTTTGTTTACTATAATTTTACCGGTCATTTTTAAGGTGCATAAGGATGCAAATACTCTGCTGCGTCATTTCAAACATAGATCTGTCGAGTTGGCTGAAGCACGTCGTTTCAGTCCCAGAGTGTAAGTTTTAATAAAATTTAATTGATAGGTTTACCTTTTAAGTTTTTCTAGTTCAAGTAAACATTTTAATTTATTTTTAGAATTTCTCGTAACGCTGAAATAATTGATGAGCTTTTAAATTCAATAGAATCAGAGGTTAATGACTTTAGTGAGGATTCTGAGGAAGATGAAGATTCTGAACGAAGTGACGATCCGCGTTGGCGTCTATACTGGGCCATTCGTAATTATGATGTAGTAGATGGCGTTCCTCTATGCGAGGCAATAAAATAATTTTAATAAATTAAGATTCAATTAAAAATTATAGAACTTCATAGAATTGCCATGTAAACGGAGCTATCCAGATTATTACGAGGAAATAGAGCGTCCATTGTCTCTTTACATGATAAATAAGGTATAGAAAAATTTATATTTCGGGCTAATATTCAAAATTTAAGTTATTAAAACGTGGCCATTATGCTCATCTGGATGCTCTTGTAAAGGACTTGTTACTGATGTTTGATAACGCGATGAACTATAATATCGAAGAATCAGGAATTTATCAGGCCGCAGTTCGTTTTCGTCATTTAACACTCAAAGCTGCTAAAGCCTTAAGTGTTAGTGATAGAAGTAACGGGAATGTTCTTTCCTGCAATACTGACTCTGATGAAATCAACAAGATTTCATCTTCATCAAAAAAAGGTTTGTGTAATAACGAGCAATTTATTTTTATTAATATTTTAGAAAAAGTCACTAATTCAGGAGATCGTGTGCATAATGGATTTACTTCAACAGAAAGCAAAATTATTCTATCGCATTCCAACAGTGAACACCAAAAAGATCAGACTGATGAACAAACTGGTCAACAATCTGATCCAAAAATCTTCTCATGTACTGCTTCAACATCCTCATCTGTTCAACATAATTTTCTGAATTCAACTAATCACTCAATTATGGTTTCTAAATCTTCTCAGCAAACTGGGAATAATGTGCCTTCAACGGTTGTATCATCTCAAAAATATTTCAGCCAAGGTTATTAATTATTCTTATTTCAATTTGTCAACACGAAATTTTTTTCAATTACTAAATTAATTTTAACCGAGATAAGAGTGTGAAGGATTGGATAAATCTAGCTTCTTTGTTCCCAAAATTTTAAGTCCTATTCTATTTTTGTACTATTTTTTGATTAAGGTTCGTCTTCCCTGGCTAAATCACCAATTTTACAATCTCACTTATCTACTTCTACTACCGCCGGAAAAAATATCATGGAAAATGGTTTTCAAAACTCTCAACGCAAACAAAGGGCATATTCACCCAGCACTTTTTTCCCTAATCAATCAACTTCTACTTCACTTAATCACCAAAATTTAGCGGGTATTTTTAAAAGAATTAATTTAAATTCTTTACTTCTTAGACACCGGCCGGATGTTTGTTTCAACGACACCAAAACAAATGCCTATAGAACCCATGTTTGTTTCACCTTCTACGTCAATTCATGTTCGAAGAGTAGTCCATTCAGAAGCATATATTAGGTTATTTTTATACCTCAATTTAGAAAATTGTTATTTTTTAATTTAAGGTATCTCGAATCGATGCACAATTCAGGATCTGGTAGGCAGCAACGTAATATAAGTAAATGGGACAAAACATTATTGGCTTCAGCAAAGAACACTGTTGTGCCAGAACATAAACGATTACCCTACGAATGGATTAGGGTATGCTTATGATTATTAGTATTTCTTTTAATTTTTTTTAGAATTCAAACAACTCAAAACATAAAGAGGATGAGGTTGTTCGTGCACTTTGGAAGCTTCGAGACCATATAATAGAAGATACTACTGGAATTGCAAGAAGTCAAGGAATTCCCAATCAGAGAGATTCTGACCCTCCTTTGGTGCCGATAGTACGAAAAGGAAGACCACCAAAAAACGCCAATACAGCTAACAAAAATACTTGAATTGTATCCCATTATTTAACAGTATCTTTCTTCACCTCCTGCACAATATCCTTTATAATGAAAGTCGGAGATTGGCAATTAGTATAATTGGTACTTTTCAAGTCCTCATATTTTGATTGAAAAGGATCTTTTTAAAATTAAATTATTCAATGAAACCTCGTTGAGGTAATTTTGTTATCTCCGATGTTTAGTTTTCCTTATCTGATTGATTGTGAGATAATATTCTAAGCATTCAGTTCTGCCATTTAAATATATTCGGTACGATCATAATTACGGTACCAAATTTATGATTCAGACTCCAAAGTTTAGACTATTTGAAATTACACAAAATGCGCCCGTGTAATTGTGATTGTACCGAATACTTTTGTATTTTACTTGTTTTAAAATTTTGTACTTCTGCACAAAGGTTAAAATTAAATATCGGAAAAATAATCGCTTTCATTTAATTAAAATTTGTTTCATTGTAATAACTGGTAGAGTTGGACAAAAGCGGTTATTAACCCCCCCCCCCCCGGTTAAGGTTAACCGGGTTTTTAGAAACCCGAATACCGTTACCGGTTAATAGAAAATACACGGTTTACCGTCCGGTTTTTAATAAAAAGACTGAATAAAAACGCCAATATCGTGAGTTCTTCGTCTGTTTGTGGTTCATTGTCGGTATCATCATCCACAATTGTTGAACTGTTTTTTTAAATTTGCTCTTACTCGGTCTCGTACTTTCGTACAAGCTTTATTTTTGTACGAAGCCTTATCCTCCAGGAACCCGGTTTTTTTCAACCCGAAACCTTTCATGGAATTTTTAATCTTCCAATTTCTTTATATCCCTCTTAATATACATAAAATCCTATCCTGCGCCGTAGGCGAAAATGTTGGAAAATTCATGACTAAATTAAAATTTACCGTCTTTTTAGAGTATACCGTAACGGTTAATTTTCGCTTTGTCTCTATGCACTTTCATGCTTTGTTTTGTCCATTTGTATTTTCACGTTGACGTTTTGTACACTGGCATTTTCTTGTTGCCGCCTTGACTATTGTCATTTTCACCAATAAAGAAGAGAGCATGCCGAATGAAGAGACGTTTAGCAAACAGTAGTGTAGCCATAGCTTGTCGATAAACGCAGCAGTCACAGCCCGCCGCTTAAATATGTTTTCTCCTTTCTTTTTCAAGCGAAGAGTTAACGACATAGTAATAGTAAATCTGTGTGCTGTGTAGGTAGATGCATATCGCTCATTTTCTTTTCTATGCTTTGGATGCTAGTGCAGTATTACTAGGCGGCTTCTTGAACCTCTGAGCGCTCTAAGCTTGCGTTACCTCACCGCTTCCTTCTCCGCGAACCATTAGATACTGCGCTACTCGGAACGGAAATGCAAAGCATGCAAGGGCGCTATCATTGAGTGTTTTCCCATTTCATTTTCCTTTTATCGAGCAACCAATAGTAAAAATTGAATGGAAAGGATGGCCAGCCTAGCTGTCTATCCTAACCCTTTTCATAGTTAATATTTATAGGGGATGCCAGACAGACATAGCTGATTTTTGAAAGTGCTGATTTTCTTTGTCAGCATCTAAAATTACTCCTTTTTTACACAGTATTGTTATTGTCTATATGTATTACGGTCTTTTCTTTTCTTAAGTCAAAAAATACTGACGGAACTTTTTTTTTGTAAAAACAAAATTTTTTGACAAATCTTATTTATTTTCAACACTTCCATTTCAAATTTTTGCAAAAACTATCAAAGATGTCCTCTTATTTATACATAAATAAATTCCAATTAAAATTAAATTTCAATTTTACTCCAGAAATTTAATAAAATTAATTTTTTTTAATTAAAAAAATGAAATTTTTTAACCTTAAACAACTTGTAATGGAAGTTATTTTTTGTTAAATCTTAATCTACTGAAATATAAAACATCTTTTCAACAGCATGAATTCCAACAGTGAGCCAGCAATACCCATTTCACACAGGTCGACATAAAAAGCTTTGGGGGGGGAGAGGGGGCTGTTCGTTTTAAATACCCTTTGTTAGCTTGGACACTAGTGACGTAATGAAGAGGGAATGAAGAAGAAAGGGGTAAAACTAGAGTATGAATTAAATAAGAAGAGATAGGGATGAGGATGTGCGCCATCATTTTGTGCGTTAAATACCTTTAAGAACTTAAAAGCCACAAATATTAGCGCACATCCTTGACTTCTTGCCAGTTTTTTAGATTAAATTTTTTTCTCGTACTCGCCTTCATTTTTGTCTTCAGTGTTTAAGAGTTTAAAGTTATACGTATATTTTGGAATATACCAACTAGAATATGTCATACTACATTTTTGAAGATTTACTTATTTCTTTTATTTATTTTAGAGAGCTGAGCACTGAAACAAATAGAATATTTTCTTCCAATCATTCAAGGCTTATTGAGTATACAAGTCAATTGCCACATTCTTCGGCTTTAAATGACGGCGAGGATGATATCAACTATGGGAAGACAAAGCACATGGAGGTGGATCTCGATGGAGGAGAAGAGGTGATTGAAGATGGCCAAGTTGATGAATTAGATGAACGATTTTCTTACAATCGCCAATTATCTACTGACAGCTTCTCCCTAAATAGAAATGTTGCCGATGTTAATCGAAGTAGCCAAATGGAAAATTCATTGTCTTTGGCAAACAATTTATCAGGCAGTAAAGCGCCTCCTACAACTAGTACTTCAAATCTTTCTTGGCAAATGCATGATAATAGTGTTGGTGGACAGTTCAAATCAACTTCAGGCACAAATATTAAACAAGAGGCAGGCATTAATTCTTTCGCTGAGCCTGCAATTACTTCTCGTTCATTTACATTTCCTTCAAATAGCCCTCCCGATATTATATCGTCGAACAGTTTTAGAGGTGGTAGAAGTGCTTCGAATGCAAAGGTGAGAGTTTTTTTGTCTTTTTTTTTAATTCGTTTCTTTCTGGTGGAGTTTTCTTGTTTTTTTAAATTTTTTCTTTTAAGAACAACAATAATTCGTGGCTAGCTACACAACCAAAATTAAATGCAAAATCGAAGAGTGGTTACATTTTATTTTCTGCTGAAGTGCGTAAACGTGTTATGAATGAAAACCCCTTGGCTGGGTTTGGGGAAGTTTCAAAAATTGTTGGAATTGAATGGAAACGTCTCTCAGATGAGGATAAACGTGATTATGAGAGTCGAGCGCAATTTATTGCTGCTGAACGTGCGAAGGCAGAATTGTTAACCCCAAACAGTAAATTACCGCAGGTGAAGATTTACTTTTTTTTTTAAAAAAAACCTCTTTTTCAGCCAGGACAAATTCGTATTTATTGCTGTCGCTGGCAACAATGTGATTTTCAATTTGATACTCAGGACGGACTTTACGAACATATTCGTACTTCGCACACTTCTAAATTAGGTTTAAATGTGCTTCTTATTAAAATTAATTTATTTAAAAGATAATGACAGTCAATTTGCTTGTTTGTGGAATTCCTGTCTAAAATATCGTAAAGAAGGAAAACCATTCCCTTCATTGAATAGATTAAACAGGCATTTGAAAGAAAAACATTTGGCTTCAGCAATGCGTTTGGTATTTCCAAATCAACGGGCAAAGTAAGAAAAAAACAAGAATTTCTTTTAACGGAACTGATTATTTTTAGAAACTTTTTTGTTTATACTCCTGTCAACCAAGAAATTAGCTCTTTTCCGTCCACTTCAAACGGTGGTTCTCATCACTACACAAAAGGGGGACATAATAACAATTTAAATGAAACCCATGGCCATTTTGTACATTATCCTTATGGAGACGTTCCTGCAAATCCTGTGGCCTGCGAAGTTGCGACTCCGCTTTCTTTTGGAACTGATAACAATGCTTTATCTCACCTTGGAGCAATTAAGCGGCGTGGGGCTGGTAAATAATTAGAAATTCTAAACAATCCATTTATTCATTTAGGTAGTCACCATCATTCACACAATGTTACTGGAACTTCAATTCAAAATATGCCTGTAACTTCCTCCACAGTTTCAACTCCTAGGGCAGGAAGCTCTTCTGCATTGTTGAATGGTGCATTACCTTCACCCTCGGTCAACAGTACTTACAACAATTCTGGTATATCTACATACAATTATTCTATACAACAACAATCTCAAAATCAGCGAAATCAGCAGACTTCGAATCAACAACAAAATATAACCCAGCAAACAGTGGTATGTATAAATTAAAAATTTTGCCCCATATCAATTTTTGTTCATCTTTTTTTAGTATATACCGCCAGGCCAACAAGCAATTATTGTGAATGGCGTCACTGTTTATATTCCAAGCAATGCCCAAACGATTATTCTTCCTCCTGGGTACACTGGACCACAACAACAACATCAGATTGTGGTGCACACCCAATCAACTCAACAACAACATTATACACAACAAATAGCTCAGCCAGCTAGTAGCACCCAGTCTTATTCAAATACAAATGTAACGTCTATTCAACAGAAATATCTTCATAGTCCGACTCTTCATTCGACTGTGCCCTCTCATTCCTCGTCCAATCCTCCTGCTTTTCAACAATATAACCAAGGTACTAATAATTATGATGAAGAATTGTTTGACTTTTTATCATTTTTAAGGTTTATCGTCAACACCGCCTCCTATACAATCCTCGTCTGGTTCTGCAGTGCAGAATGTAACAACAAATGTTATACAAAGTTATCAGAGTCCCCAACATTATACTCATTACGATCAGTCTCCTGCCTCTTCAGTCAACCAACATCGTTTGGCTGATACATCCTCTACTTCGCTTGCATTTCCTTCTGAAATTCAAAATACGGATCCTGGAAGGTCTATTATTTCCACGACATCAAAGCAGCAAGCATTGTCGGAACCAACGTTCGTTTCTCCTTCGACGTCTGTTCAGGTGCGGCGAGTTGTTCACTCTGAAGCATATATTAGGTAATTTTGGCGTTCGATTCCATTGTAAACCAGATTTAAGGTATCTCGAGTCAATCCATAATTCGGGAGCTGGCAGGCACCAGCGTAATGTAAGCAAATGGGACAAGACTTTAACTGCCTCGGCAAGAAATACTGTTGTGCCAGAACATAAACGGTTGCCTTATGATTGGATTAGGGTTTGCTTTTTAGTCTTAAATTCAATTCTTTTCCAATTTTTGTCTTTTTTAGCACTCTTCAAATGGTTCAAGTTATAAAGAAGATGAAATTGTTCGGGCACTTTGGAAACTTAGAGAATATCTCGTTGAAGACACTACAGGAATTAAAAGAAACCAAGGAAATACTTATGAGGCAGAAGCACCTGAACCACCTGGATATAATTTATTATCGACAATGGGCAAAACAATTGAAGGAGCTAAGAACCTTAATTTTGATAAAAAGAAATGTTGAATTATGTAGACATGTTAAATGTTTTTTTACCTCTTTTCCCTTTAAAAACTTTTTTTTCTAATGTAAGCTCTGAGTGAGCAATGAAGAATATTTTCACGCAATCCCTTAATTTTCTGCCATGTTTTTAATATGTATTTTTATTTTTTTATTTTCAACAATTTTTTACTTTAATATCACCCATTGAGCCGGATAAGAACACTTAATTTATTGTTTTAATTTTTAAAATTAATTATTGGTTTTTAATACATTAATTTACTTATATTTTTTTGTTATTTCAATTTAATTTAAATTATACAGCGCTGCAACAATTAATTAAAGCAGGGAAAAATTCCGCCATATGTCGCGGAACCGATTCGGACAAGCGATATGTCAAAGAGCTCGCCGAGCAGAGTTGAATGACAATTCAACCCCCGGTCTTAACTTTGGGGCCAAGATACAGACAAAACCCCTGCGCGATGAGCAGGGTTTTGTACAAGCATCTCGTCGACTCCAATAGGATTGCTTTAGTCCAAATCCTGTTCAATTACGTTGATTTGACGAATAAAGAAACAAAACTTTCAGACTCTTTTGGCTTGGACCCTAGCCACGTTATTTTATTAGTTTTTTAACGCACGCGAGGCATCTATCAATAATTCTCACTCACAATCAGCGTTTTACTATATAGAGTTCATTACTCTTTTTAGCAATCAAATAATATTTTAAACTTTGTTTTATTTAATTGGATTACAAAAAATCCAATTAATACAATGATCATTTTTTTAGATTAGAGTACTTATAATATGACAACCATTGAAACTGAAGTACCCCAACTTAAAGGAGGCCATCCACCAGCCGAAAAAATTTCTGGTGGAATCCGAATTGCGCGCAAAGAGCGTAATCTATCCGATGAGAAGGAAATGTCTGCCGAAAAGTCTGGGTCACCAACCGAATCTAATGCTTCGGAAGAGTCACGTCTTTCTGATGAAGCTAACAAACGTCAAGCTACCAACGTTCTTGCTTATACCGATTTAGCTGAACAAGTTTTAACCGATCTTTAATTTTTATTCCCGTTTTTAGACCAATCGCGACTTTCCACCAGAGGCTATACGGGCTTTTCATGAGAAGCCGCATCCCTCTCATGAAATACACGCTTCGAATCGCAGCAATGCTGCCAAAATGCAATGTCATCGCCAATTTCAGCCTCGCAAACAATAAATGTAAATTGTCAGTTGTTTTTCATTTGGAATCTTTTTATTTAAATTTTTACAGGTATCCGATGACTTGAGCGATGTGAATGAGTATTTGAGGTGTATTAAATTCAAAAGAAAAATTGTAGTTTCTAATTTTATATTTCATACCGGTTTTCTTTTTAATTTTATATTAGATCTACAATTATTGAAATTTTTAGTTTTTTCACATTAATTGTAGATCAAATAATGAAATTAACTGTGGGGGGTTTCTTTTATAATATTTATGTTCTAAAGAAAGTTTGGACCTTCAATTTTAATTGAAGTGCTCTCTGTGATTCTAATTCACATAACCTATGTAATTTATGATTCCTTTGATAAATTTGTTTAAATTTTTGTATTTTGCAAATATGTTATTGATTTTACACGTTAATTGATATTTAATGATTTGTTTTTACTCTTTAATTGCTATCATTTTAGAATTAAATATTTACTGAGATGTCTGGAAGTAGCAAAATCTCTCGTGAAACTCTTAACGAGTGTGTTGCTGAGCTTTTGAAGAAGTCAACAGAAAAGAAGCGTAAGTTTCGAGAGACTGTAGAGCTTCAGATTGGACTGAAAAATTATGATCCAAAGAAGGATAAGCGTTTTAGTGGAACTGTCAGGTTTTTAATAACAATAGAGTTTCTTTAATTTCTTATTGGTTAGACTCAAATACATTCCACGCCCGCATGTAAAGGTTTGTATTCTTGGTGATCAGAAGCACTGCGATGAGGCTAACGCTAATGGGTTTGCTTTTGTTAAGAAGGTTTTGTATAAAGTAAATTTTTAGTCTTCCTTGTATGACGGCTGATGATTTGAAAAAGCTGAATAAGGATGCGAAACTTATTAAAGGACTTTGTAAGCGTTATAACGCTTTCTTGGCCTCGGAATCTCTTATCAAGTTTGTTTTTTTCCTAGTAAAAATTAGTTTTTAATTTTAGGCAGATTCCTCGTATTCTTGGTCCTGGACTTAACAAAGCTGGAAAATTCCCGTCTGTGGTGACGCATAACGATAATTTGACAGTTAAAGTTGATGAGATTAAGGCAACCGTTAAATTTCAGATGAAAAAGGTTTTTGTGAATAAATGTTAAATAAAGAATTGTTTTTTAAAGGTTATCTGCTTGGCTGTAGCAATTGGACATGTTGAGATGACTCAAGAAGAATTAGTTTCAAACATTTCTCTCGGAATAAATTTTCTTGTCTCTTTGCTGAAGAAGAACTGGCAGAATGTTCGCTCGCTTCACATCAAGTCTACAATGGGGCCGCCACAGCGTCTTTATTGATAAGTTGGAAACACTAAAAGTTTATTTTAAATGATTGGGAAAATGGATCGATAATGTTGGTTTAATTTTGTTATTTGTTGTTTAGTGTTGATATAAAAAATTGGTGAAAAATATTTTTGAAATTGGTATTTTAATTGTTTAATGGGGGATTCTTTTATCTTTTGTGGAAAATTCCTTTTAAGTACCAAAATTCCTCTTGTATAAGGGTCGGTTTAATTAAGATTCTAAATTAATTTTTGACATTTTAAATTTTCATACATATTCTCATTTTTTCCTTTTTTCTTTACAATTAAGCCTATTCTCTTTCACAACCAAACAGATTCAAAAATCAATTAAAACGAACTAAAATCCTTTCATTGCTTGTAAAGAATCGTTCAAAAAAAGCACAGAGTGGATATATGTATATATATCCTTATTCTTAATAGATCCGTACCAAATGAGGATAAGTAATTGCCTCTTTCGTCTGCATTGGGGGAGATAGTTTATTCGCTCCAATTCGTTTTCATCCTTTTCTTTTTCTCCTTCATTTGCACACATTGGCGCCTTACACTAGTTAAATGCGCGCTTTCACTTTCTTTTTTGATGTCGATCATTTTTTGGAGGATTTTTATTTTTTCTGTTCATTTTCCATAAAAAATATTTAAGAATTTTTATTTAAATTTTAATTTTTCCCATATATTTTTAACATCTTTTTTTAATTTTTTATAAGTTTTTTGATCTGGGGATTTTAATGGTTGCTTTTAATCAGCGCGCAAAATCTCCACATATAAAAAGTTTTGTCTTTTTATCGCGAAAGGAATTGCGTGTATAGGAGTTTTTAGCTGCCCGTTTCTGGTATATCTAATAAGAACAATAAAAAAGAAGAAGAAAACATTCCCGCCTTTTTCTGATGAATTGCCTAAAAATTGGGGGGATTACACATGTTTTGAGATGAGATCAAGTTTTTTTCTTATCTTATTTTGTATATCTTCATAAAAAATAGTCGAAGAATGAAAGGAAAATTTGAAAAAGCCTTAGAAGCGTAGTCAATCAAAAAGCCTGACTATTTCTGTTGGCTTATTCTATCGGCAAAAATGCCTCTAGTTACAATTGTAAAAATTTATAATTAGATATTAATTAATTATCTTTATGCAAATATGTATAACAGCAATAAATTAATCGAAAATTAAAAAAAAAGAATTGGAGATTTATTCACGAAAACTCCACATTTCCTATTAGAAATTTAAATTGTGGAGGAAAAGCATAAGTGAGAGGTAGCTTAAATGCAAACTTGTAGATGTACTAGAACTGAGGGGGTTAATGGAGAATTGTTGGATGCTAAAGGGGTAATTTTTGTTGTTTTATTCAAGCTTTTTCTAATTTTTTAGTTAACAAAAACCCGCGATTCCTCACTTGTCAGATGCAAAGGAGGAGGAACTGAGCGATTCCACCACCAACACTTTTGTCTTTTTGGACTTTTACATTTAACCGTTAATTTAATTATTTAAATATTTAAAAATTATTTAATTAGAACGGAATGAAATTTTTGGTGAGCTTTGGCCTGGTTTTAACTGTCGTTTTATGCATTCTTGAGGCTATTTGGTTTAGGCGTGCTCTCTGTGTGATGATCGTCCCTTTTGGTATTTCTTGTTACGATTTGTAAATAATCCGTTGAATTTTCAGGTGTGGTTGTTTTGTCATCTATTGCCATATTCAGGCATAAACCCTCTTTCCTTTGGCCGATCATAGGAATTTCGGTATTTTATAAAATTTTATATGATTCGAAAATAAAAGGATTTTTTTTAGTTCTTTCACTTATTTTTGGATGCATATGCAACTATTGTCTTTCTATTTTTCTTTATTTACAAACCACTTTACATTATAATGGTTAGTACATTTATTTGGTTTGGGTAAATCGAGTTTTAAGGCCCTCATTAATCTGTTAGAAAAAGTTTAAATAATAGAACTGGGCTTATAAGCTCTGAAAGAGGGGCCTACAACAAAAAGGGGCTACAAAATGAGTTAGAAATATTTAAAAAAGTTAATGAGAAAAGTTCTGGAATAAAAAGTGTCCCATACCTTTTATGAACCCTGAAGATTGAATTGAGGAAGACCATTCTGTACATATAAAGGGAAATACTTGGAGAATGAAAACTTTTACCCCCAAACTTTATTCTAATTTTTTAAATTTAGGTTTTGAATTGGGCATTTGACAGTAAGGAATTTAAACGTTTAAAAAGTTCACACATTTTCTCTTTTAGACATGTACCCGAATATATCCCCATATTATCCACATTGTGCTCTCATTTTTGCTATACTGATTGTTTTCTTTCTCTTCAATTTTTGGCAGTTAAATATTTCCTTATGCTTCCGGGATTATTTGAATGAGGTAATCGGAGTGGTTCTTTAAAAACAAAAAAATATTTAATAGATTCTTCGTTCTGGCATTTCGACTAATGGAAGCACAGGAAACAGTAGTTGTGGATTTGACAGTAACAATTCTTCTGTTTTGCCACTTTGTAGTAAATTAATATTCTCAAAAAACCCTTATTTTTATATTTTCAAATTTAGCCATCTCCTGCGTCAAAGGTACATTGCAACACCCTCAATGCAGAATCATCAACAGATCGCCTTTAACTTTGCTTGATTACGATGAAGGAAAAAGTGACAAGCTCCCCTCTCCTTCAAATAATTCACAAAAGATAGCTATGTTGTGGCATTCACCTTCCATAAAACGTGGAGTAAAAATTCCTCAAAGCACCAGAACACCGCCTCCAATCTCCATTTCAGGTTATTATTATTTTGAACTAGCAACAACGGCGTGGATAAATTTTTATGACTGATTTTTGTCATTAGATAGAGTAAATTTTTAAATAGGATTATATCAAAATTACCGAGACTTCTAAGGGCAGATTAGCATTTTAATTTTTATTTAAACGGATATTTATTAATTTATAAGGTGGACAACGACTAAAATCGGGAGAAACACAAAGACAATTTGCAACTAGATAAATTGTGAGTTGTCTAATTAAGTTGACAAAAAGAGCTTTACTGAACGTTTGCAAAAAATTAAAGTTCAAAAAATATTGTAAATTTTGTATTTATTTTTTTTCTATTTAATTGTACTTTGCCTTGAATTTTTCAATTTTTATTCACCGAAAACAAAATATTTTTTAAAAATACATAACTTTAAATGGTTTACTTCCATTACAGGACTTCTCATCCCTTAAAATCAATTAGCGCCAACAGAGACGGCGTCATTGACATAATTTGACTCTCGAAATTTCGCAAGGTCGTAAATGACGCGAACTTTAAAATTGACAATAAGATTAACAAAAAAATAAATTACCCATTAATGAACAGCTTGGACAGACTGCGACATCATCACCAGCTTCCAATTGTTCCTTTGTAATTTCAAATCTAAATAAAGGGAATATACCGTATTTCCTATATTAGAGCCCCATGGGGCTCTATTTTTCAACTATCCTCCAAGGTGGGGCTGTATTAAAGGGTGGGGCTCTAATTGAGGGTGGGGCTCTATTTTTCAACACCCTTTTGAGATAAAACCCCATTTATTAAATATCCATTGCAACTAGAGATAGGCTGGAAAAGTGGTCTATAAAACCGAAAAATATCGAAAGAGAATTGAAATTTTCGATTTTTCACAAAAATTAAAACTTTATAATCAATGAATAACGGAATATTTCAATGAGAATAAGATAACTAAGTATGAAATTTCGGTAGATTTGGACGGATTAAAGGAAATATTAGAAGACTAGTATTTTAATTGATGGATCAGAGGTATAAAAGTTTATTTTAAGCTATTATGGGGAATATAATAGGATTAAGTGTATATTGAGAGATTTAGCGGGATTAAGAGGGATATTCTGGATTAGGGGTATTAGGAGGCATATGAAGCGATTTTTTTGATGAGGCTTTGGAACAGGAGACTCTCTAATAGATCTAAGATCTCTAATAGATCTCTAAAATCTTGCGAATTATCGTCAATTTCCTAACACGATTGCAACCCTTCATATAATAATTAGATTTTAGAGGTAATAGGATGGATTTGAATGAATATAGGTGATATAAGAGTATTTGGACAGATATCGGGGTTATCTCCTCCTTTTCATCACTATATCCCCATGATCCCTCCTCCTCCATGATCACAATATTATCAACATCCCTCTTTACTTCCGTTACTCTCGAAAATACATCTAAAACCTTATTGAGATATTTTTTTCCTCCAATATTTTTAAATGGGGCTGTATTTGGGGTGGGGCTCTAATTGAGGGTGGGGCTCTATTTTTCAACTATCCTCCAAAGTGGGGCTGTATTAGAGGGTGGGGCTCTAACAGAGGGTGGGGCTCTAATATAGGAAATACGGTATTTGGTCAAATTAAATTAATTTTTACCTGTCACCACATGGGCACGGGTATGTATAAATTTTAGTTTCTTGGTCAAACTCGAATTCTCCAATTTCAACTTCCTCGTGGAATACAAGTTCGCCGGAATTTTCCATTTTTAAAACCTAAAAGTTGTTAATGTAAATAAAAAAAGTTTTTTGATGTGATATTTTTATTTTGACCGTTTTGATATTCCCAAAGTGGGTACGGCCCACCTTGTCGCGGGCCACCTTGTCGCGACCACCTTGTCGCGACCACTTTGTCGCAGGCCATCTTGTCGCAGGCCCACCTTGTCGCGGGCCACTTTGTCGCAAGCTTTCCTTTGGTTTTTCTTTTAAGGTTGGCCCAAACTTTGCTCGCCATGTGCCATACTTCATGCCACGGCTACAACGATGGGAAAATTAGAAAGGTTTGGAATTTTTATCTTGTTTTTTAAGTTTTTTTTTCAATTTTTTAGTTGATTTCCGTCAGTTTCTGACTGGCGATTTTCAATTTCGAAGTTTCTGAAGGAACGAAGATGTTTAAATTAGAGAACATTGACAAGAAAAACAAACCCAAACTGCCCTGCTTAGGGTCACAAATTTAATTAGTGAAGCGCGACAATGGCTTTTTTAAAAATTTTTTGATTAAGTTTTTGAGTGTTTTTTCCCTTTTATTATTTTCTCTTATCCGGGTAAATTCTTCCGGAGGTTTTGACAGAGTAAAACCGAACCAGATTACTCCAGAAAACCCCGATCGTGCCCAGAATGCCTTTTTCCTACTCTCCATATCAGCAAAAAAATTTTCACCCCTTGCGACAAGGTGGGCCTGCGACAAGGTGGGCCTGCGACAAGGTGGCCTGCGACAAAGTGGTCGCGACAAGGTGGTCGCGACAAGGTGGCCCGCGACAAGGAGGGCGTGTCCCTCCCAAAGTTTTTGGTAAAGGACGTTTCAAAGTAGCCGTTTTAGAGTTAATTTTTTAATAATTTTTTTTTATTTTCCTGATAAATTTTATGTTTTGGGCTTGTTTTTAATTTAATTTTAGTTTGAAGAAATCGAGACCAAAATTTCATAAATTTCAGATTTTTAAATATGTCTACTCAAAAAAAGACTATCGACTTTGATCCTTATAAAGTACTTCAACTTCAATCTGGATGTACATCGTCTCAAGTCGACAAAGCCTACAAGAAAATGGCATTAAAATGGCATCCAGACAAGAATCCAGACCAAAAAGAACGTGCTCAACAAATGTTTTTGAAAATTTATCGGGCATTTGAATTCCTCAAAGACGAGATTGCACGGGGGGATTATGACGAACAAATCGCAGCAAAACGGAAAAGAGCGGAATTTGAAGAAACTAGGCAAGCAACGAGCTCGAAGGAAAGACTTGCACATTTGACAAAACTTCGCGAGGTTTTTTTTTGTTTTTTAATTTTAAAAATTTTTTTATTTATTTTTAGGCTGAAAAAAATGCTGCGGCGGCAAGAGCAGGCGAAAAAAGGAAAGCAGAAACTAGGGATTCCTTAATTGAAGAATTGAGAAGGGAAGGGGCTAAAATGATGCAACAAATGAAGGAGGAACATGAAAAGCAGCAAAGGAATGAAAGTCAATTAATGTCTGACCAACAGAAAAAACAACAGAAAAACCAACAAAAGGACATTAACAAGGAGCTAAGTAATGATGTAGATGAATTAGAAAGGGCGTTATTTGGAGGGAATGTTATTTAATTTTTAGTAAATTTCTTTTTGAATTCTTAATTTTAATTTGTACATAAACAAGCTAAAAATAAATATTTTATTCTATTTTTTAAATCTTTTTAATCTGTAGAAACGGATTTGTTATATATTTTTTGTATAATTTTTGTATGCTAAAATTTTAGTTTTTTTTTAAATTTATGGTTGAAATTATGACGGTCGACAAAGGAAATAAGAGTACTGAAGTTGTGGAGAAAATATCAACGGAAGTTTTGCGAATGAATGTAAGTTGGGAAAGATAAGTACTTTTACCTTCAATATTTTAATTTTAGTTCATGAAACGAACTACAGTTCGCTTGGAAAAACAGCAGAGGGCTCAACAGCAACAAAAAGCTCGTGAAGATATATTTACTGGTATAATGGCAGTAGATCCTCCAAAATATTATCCAACCGCTGAGCACATCGACGATGACCCGAATTGGTTTGGAAATTTGTTAAACATTAAAAACTTTATTATTTTAGGACGCTTGGTGGTGTTATGAGCGAGTGGCGCTATACAGTTTTGGAAAATATGAGATTTGGGCGCTTCTCTTTTAAAGGACAAAATCCGGAGGTTGAGGTATAATTTTTATATGATTTAGACGAGTGGGCACTATATGAAGTGAAAGGCGCCTTTCACTTTGTATAGTGCCGACAAGTGCTTCTACTTAAACATTAAAGAAATTGATGGAGTTTCACGAACGCAGAAGACTTTGCTTGCCTGACTTGGATCCGAAGAACAGCGATGACGAAGAAAATGCAGATGGAAGGTTTGTGTGGGGGAAAGTAAAATTTTTTGTGTTTATTATTTTTAGTGATTCTACTGAGGAAGGACAGATAAGCGAGGAGGATGAGAAACCAGCTTATTCATCAACTGAAAGAAAAAGGAAAGGAAATTTTGAAAATGCTGGAAAGAAAACTTTTGAAAATTCGAATAAAAAAAGGAAATGGGATGGAGGACGACACTTTAAAGTTACTGGAAGGTTTCCAAAGAAATGAATCTATCTTCACGTTTAAATTTATTATAAAAATTATTTTGATAAAAATTTTAATATTTACTACGTGTAGGATTATTTTACCTAATGATCTTTTTTAAATATTTTGTTAATTCCGAGTTCAAGCTGGTAAACGTTTTTTAGTTTCCATTAAAATCCTTTGAAGTCGAGATTGTTAAAACAAAATTTTGGCTGTCAAATTTAATGTAAGTTGTGCAACAAATAGTTTGTTAAGTTTGCGCCTTTTTGGCATTTTCTTGGCGTTCTTTCATTAAAAATGTAAATTTAAGTAGAGAAAGAGGACAAGAGAGAGTTAACTTTAACAGGAGAGAGGGAGAGTGTTGTCAGTGTAACGAATGGTTATGCGTGTAGTTTAATCAATTGAGCGACGTGTATTTATGGCAATAAGCCCTTCATTTTTACATCTGATAAGCATTAACTCCCTATTAGGTGTTACTTCAATTGACAGCTTTTTAATTGTAAATTAGGTGGTGAATTTCTGTTATTTTTAATTTTTTGAATGTTATTTTTCTAAACTTTTAAGAGTTTAATTTCTTTTTTTAAATTCCATTTTTTAGAGATTTTCATTTAAATCCAATTCCGATCAGGAAAATTCAAGGCAATGGATCCCTGTGAATGTTTTTTCAATCACGAATCTTTGATGCGTCGAATTCTTTCAATTGTTAGTCTTAAATCTATTTTTATTTTAATCAAAAAATTTTTAGCTTCGCGACTCCCAGACCGATTGCACCGACACGGAATGCACAACGGGTACCGGAGATCCTTCGTGTGCCGGTTCAAATATGATGTTAATTGCTATGGCTTGGGGATTGTTTGCAATGATGTATGCTTACACTTAGTGATAAATTAAAATACCCAAACAAATTTTTAGGATGTTCTTTATGCGACCGGCTTCGATGCGTTCTGGAGGGAGTAATACTGAAGAACAGTCAGAGGGCAAACCTTCCGTTTCGTCATCTAACGATAACAATCAACCTCCACCACCTGGCGATGTCTTCTAGTCATTGGATGCGACAAAGTTTAGCACTCTGTTTGGAACGGAAACGCAAAAGAGTCGAGAAATCTTTATATATATTTTATCAATTTTTCTGATGTTCGGTATGTAAAACTAACCACAGATTGCAAAACTTCTTTCCTGTCCTTCGGTGTCATTTGAAGAATGGGCCGCTTTGTATTTTTACCGTAGGCTAGGACAATCGGTGAACCGAACGGAAACAGAAAATCGGGGTTCTTAAACCGGCCAAAACCGAAAACCGAGGGTACGGTTAATAACCGGTTTGTGTCCTACCTTACTTTAGTTTACCAACATTAATTTGCTCCCCATTCTTCAATCCTTGTAAAGTGATATGTAAACTAGGTATCGGACTGTTCAATTATCCCAGAATATTTTTAGTTTATTTAGCAGAGATTCCCAATTCAGTTAAACTTCCGATCACTAGTAACCTTAACAGCCTTATTTTTTTCTCTAACATTGTAACATTAACTACTAAAAAATTTACATATTTATTTTGAAGAAGGGTTTATTTGTTCTGAAGGAGATTTAATTAGTTCAAAAATAAATAAACTCTTCTGTTTAGTTTATAACGTAAAATGTATGTTTTTATCATTAAAGTATATGATAAAAATTTTTTAAATTTTTGTTTGCAATTAAATTACAAATTGAACAATTATTTTAAAATAAAAGTAATTTAAAATGCAAATTTTGTTTTTGTTTTTAAATATTTTGAACTCGATGGAGGACTTGGCGAAGAAACTTGATGAGGATTTGGACAAGTAATTTTTAATTTTATTTTAAACTTTAAGCATTTCATTGCTTGTAGTAAAATTACAGGTTTAATTTTCAAAGAAATTCCGGGCTACTCCTATCTTTACAAAAGTGCCCATATATTTTAATTTTTCTCTTTCAGGTTCATGCAAGATTTTGCCGCCAAAAAGGTTTAATTTTGAAACATTTTCTAGAGTTTTAATATTTTATTAAAAGGAGAAATCTCGTGGAGGAGCGCCTTTCAATTTTTCTGAATGGTGTAAGGAGGTCGATCAACATCCTGCATTCGTTAAGGAACTTAAAATTGGCCCGGATGGCGAATATTCAGCCGAAATTCAGGCGTTACAGGTTATTCTTGTGAATTAAAAAAGGTTAATGTGGAATATTTAGTTTGTTTTTAGAATTTTACAAGCTTCGTTTTCAGGAGTCGGGAAGAGAAATATAAATTTGTTTGATATTTTTTATATCCTTTTTAGGCGTTAAAATATGATAAACAATCTAATAGTCACAAGGTTTCGATTAGAGATGATGTCACATATCAAAAGGTTGCAAACTTATGATCTTAAATGTTTTTTAATTTAAATTTTTGCAGAATATTAGTTCATCTAACGACCAACAACATGTTTTTCCGCTAGTTATTTTGTACCCGGAGTATTGCCAAACTGATTTTATTCGTGAATGCCCTGATGATGAACTTTTTGGTGACGTACTTTATGAAGTTTTTGAACAGCCTGCTGAATGGGATAAAGAGGAACATAAATTTCGGTTTAAATAAATTTTTCTCTTTTTAAATAAAAAAATTTAGTGCTTCAAATGTTCTTTTATGTATGTCATTAAAATCTAAAGATGGACAGAATCCAATTGTTCGTGAAATATTACCGAATGTGCATTCCCTTGGTGAAGTTCTTAAATGGCCAGATGTTGTTATTAGTGAGGGTGTTCCAGCATTACAAATATATACTAAAGAATGGTTTTCTTCAAATATGAAATTAATTGATAAGAAGAAGAGAATATTTATAAAAAATTAATTGTTTTTCGAAAAAAAAAATTTTTTTGAAGATGTTTATGGTCAATTTAGAGGAGAATCCAAGAATATATTTTACAAATTATCAAAAACTTGTCTAAATATTTTTTAAGGAAAATTGCTTATATGAAGGATAAGGCCCAGTCTGCTAGTTCAGTTAGTGTAAATCAGGATAAATATGAAGAAAAAGTTATGTTGTTACAATTACGTGGAGTACTTGACTATGAAGCCGTGAAGAGGGCCGCTCAAAACGGAGCAATTCGAGTTCGTGAAGCAGACACAGAAACACCTTTGGTTCAGGTTTTTAATTTTAAGTATCGTTCTTCTAACTTCTGGGTGTCAAGCACTGGCTGCCAAAAATTAACGTAGAATTTATTGTTAAGATTAGTTTAGGCACTCATGCCGTTTGGGGCCTAACGGCAAAAATTATTAATTAGGAAACTTGAATAAAAGGAAAATTAAACTAATTGTAAGACTCAAATGATGGTGGGAGGGGTGGGGTAGTATATGAACAAAGTACCCAAATTTATTCCATTTTTGTTATAGGTTGGTTCATCCTTTTACTCTGGCGAATGGACTGAAACATTAGGAACAGACATGATATTCTCAATAAACAGTGATGCAAGTAAATACTTGGAAAAATTCATTCAAATAATTTTTTTGAAAAATTTGCAGTAGATAAGTCAAAGATGGAATTCGTGGCAGTTTCAGATACGAGGCTTTCTACTAAAAAAGTTTTATTGTCAAAAGATGATGATACAAAGACGAATATTGATTTGGGGAATAATGCAGGATGACGTGTTTTTATGAGAGTTTCTTGTATTTTTATATTTTTTTGTTGATCTTGCAATCTGTACACATTTTTAAAATTATTTTATCTACTTATTTGTTATTATTCAAATATATATTTTGTTATTTTTAATCAAAAGCTTCAGATTAATTAATTGAATTTTAAGGAATTGATGCAAATGCTGACTGTGATACACCAATCAATAATTGCTTGACGTTTAATAGACAATTAAGGGGCGAGGGGGGGGGTAATAAATATAAGTTAAGGACCTCCCTAATTATTTAAAAATACTGGTAAGAATGTGACATTCTAAATTCTTTTTCTTCGTTTACCTTTTCACTATTTTTACCAAATTGTGTATACTTTTACTAGGAAAATTTTCTCCTTGTGTCTTATTGATTATTTTAGCTAGTCTAGTAAATTAAGTTTATGATAAGTTTACTGATGCTTCTGATTCTAAATTTCAGGTTTTTTACATTTATGGGGTATAGGTGGTTTAGATATAGTGTGTATGTGTTTATATAGCTACATAAATCTTTTAAAAAAACGTTTGTAATTTATTGTTATACCAATATTTTATCTCGTAAATATAACCAACCTATAAAAATCATTTTTTAGTAATTTATTAAAAAATGCGTAAAAAGAATCCAAAACCGGTCGAGATAAATGCAAGCTTTAATGAAGGAACTTCAAACTCATCTGACTTACAAACACCTACAGAGACTAAATTACCGCTTAAAGAGGTTTTTTGTTTACTTAATATGTTCATTTAATACCTTTCAAATTTAGGATAAAAGAAAGCGTAAAACATGGGTTTGGGTGCCTGTTGTTGAAGAGGTTTATTCTTGATTAGATTTTTATTTTTAAAGATTTTTTTCAATTTAAAGGACAAGAAAGAGCCTGAAAATGTTGAAACAAATAGCAGGGGGAGAGCAGTGAGAAATTCCAAGAAGAAGGCTGCTGAAAATATTTCTGCATCACTAACGCGTAAGGCAACAATTGCTTCTACAAAAGAAGCCAAAAATGTTCGTAGACGTGAAGCAAGCCTTATAAATATAACAACTTCGGCAAATGATGAACAAGAAAGTACCTTAGCGGTGAATTCTCCAGTACCCACAGTTGGGGAGCTGATTGAAGAAGCTAAGAATGACGATAAGGATGCTCCTAGACTCGAAGAAAGCTCCACAAACATATCCTCTTCTGCAGTTGATGAACCAGAAAATCATTGCACGGTTAATACCATGGAAATGACAGTGGAGGAACAGATTGAAGAACCTATGGATGTTATTCAACGTGAGACAAGCCTTTTAAACTTATCCTCTTCTGAAGCTGGCGGACTAAAAAATCAGTGTGTGGTGGATAATGTTCCGCTAACTATAATGGAGAAACCAATTGAGGAAAGTCAATGCGCGGATAATGTTCTTGAAACTACAACGGAGGACTTAATTGAAGAATCTATGAAGGAAGAAGACTTAATTGGTGAATCTAAGAAGGAAGAAATTTGCGTAAATGTTCATACAGATGAAGTAAGCCTTACAAACATATTATCTTCTGCAACTAATGATGAACCACAAAGTCAAGACGTTGCTGATGTTTCAGCAAAAATATCTGATGAATTGAAAGAAGAAAAAATAGCGGATGAATCGAAAGAAGATGTTGAAGTTGATGTGTTAGCTCTTGACGAGGATCAGGTCCCGCGAAATGAATGGCCTGCTTTTCCTGAATACAAGAAAGTTTGAAATTTTTGATAACAAAAATTTTTAAATTAAATTTTTAGATTGAAGAGAATTTAATGCTTTGTCCGGATGCTGAAAGTAGGGAATGTAAGTCACTCCAATGTGAATGTAACCCTTCTAGCAAAGAAAAGAAGAGAGGAATGGCTTGCGGTGAAGAATGCTTGAATCGACTTTTGTTAATGGAATGTGGAGATGAATGCCGTTCTGGCAAATATTGTACAAATAAACGCTTCCAAAATGTTTATCTTTTAAAAATTTAAATTAAAAAATTTTTATTTAAGAGGGAATATGCAGGATTGGAAGTTTTCTTTACTGGCCCAAAAGGGTGGGGATTGCGAACAAAAACTGATATTCCACCGTAAGTTGTTTTTGCAATTTCGTCAAAATTCTAATTTTAGCGGTCGATTCATAATTGAATATATGGGTGAAATTGTTGACACCAAAGAAGTTCTTAGACGAATTCGGCGCTATGGTAAAGATCCAAACCATAAACATCATTATTTGATGGCATTGCGAAATGGAACACTTATTGATGCGACAGTTTGTGGAAATGATGCTAGATTTATTAATCATAGTTGTGAACCAAATGCAGCAACTCAAAAATGGACAGTTGGCCGGCAGCTTCGTATAGGTAAATTTAGTTGGCTAACATAAATCGAGCCCGTAATTTATATAAATAAGCCAAATAAGCTAACGAATGTTTTCCCCATAGGCCCTAAAACAAAAAATTTAGGATCTGAAATCAGCTTTAAAAATCAAAAAGCTTAAATGAACATTCATGTCCTAAATCAGAGCCGTTTATTTAAAAATATGTCACAAATAATTTGCTGTTTTGATAAAGAGTTTTAATTTTTTTATAAAAGTCATTTTATAGGCTTTTTTGCTATTCGAACAATACGGGCTGGTGAAGAAGTTACATTTAACTATCAATTTGAACGTTATGGGTTTGAATTTATTTTTAAATAAAAATTTGTAATTTACTTAAAAAATATAATTTTTAGTAAAAAAGCCCAAAAATGTTTTTGTGAGTCTTCAAAATGTACTGGATTTATTGGTGGCACAAAAGAAGATAGTGGCGTTGACAGCAATGAAGAAAATGAAAATGGTGAGGAGTCTGATACTTCTCTTGACTCTATTTCTTCTACTGACGAGGAAGAAAAAATAATTGAAGGTGTTGGTATTAGTGAGGTAAAAATATCATCAAGTGATTCAAAAATTGATTTTGCAATTTCTACGACTGGGGTTTGTCTATTAAATTTTGTTAAATTCTAAAAATAAAAATATTTAGTTGTCTAAAAAGCGTGGTAGACCTCGAAAGTACCCTTCTGCTTTTTCATCATTTTTGGATATTAATCGTTCAACTATTGCTCGTCTAAAGGGACATGGAAAACATCATCATAAACATCATCAAAGATCTTTTGTTTCTGGCGATACAACAATTCGAGAACAGTCTGAAGTTAATGAAATAATGCTTCGAGGTCCATTGAGGAATCGTGATCAAGTGCTTGAATTTAATAGGTTTAATAAATATGCTATTATTTTTTTTAAAATAATCTAATTTTAGATTAATGGTTCGTGTTGACCAAATGGAATCTAGACGTCGAATGGTCGATTTTCTTTTGCGAATTGATGATCCAAACATTTTGCGTTTATTTGTTGCGAATCAAGGATTTGCACTTATTCGGATTTGGTTTGTTCTACCGTCATTTGAACGTCGTGCTTTGCAACTTCAATCTCAAATTGTATTTTTTTGCCTTTTTTATTAAGAAAATTTTCTATTTTCAGGCGCGCCTTCTTATGCGCCTTCCAGTTACAAACAAAAATCAAGTCGATGAAGTTTGTATAATGAGCACATTGAAACAAATGCTAATTTTTGTATTTTCTAGTTTTTCAATTTTCTGTTAATTATTTAAATTAAGGAATTGCCTGACAGACTTATTATAAAAGAAAAACTTGCAAGTATTGTTGATGAAGTTGTTGCTGATGTTGATGGAATTAATAATCAAGTGTCAGCATCTTCTAGCAAATTAGGACAGGCTCAAACGCTTGCACGTGAAGTTGAATCACTTAAAGGATTGGCTGCACAATTAGCTGATAAGTGGGGAAAACTTGTTGATTGGGGTTTCAAAATCCCCAAAAAGTTGGTCGAGAGCATTAAAGAATCTTCTTCGAGAGAGGAGAGGTTTGTTCTTTTATTAAATTTTGTATTCGGTTGGGTCATAAAATTTGCGTTTTTATCAGGCAGGCGTACAGTAAAATATTGGACAATTTTTATGCTTTATTATTTATTACTTACTTTAGCCATGGATCTCCTCTATAATTTAACGAGAGGATTTTCCAAAGTTCTGTATTTATTCTCATTTTAGAGGTTCTAGAATACCTCTGACTCACATCAGTAAGCAATTTTTTAGCTCTAGCGGAAAATTAATTTTTTCCCAAAAAATCCTTTGTCGTACCCGTCTAAAATTTTCAAAATTTTGGAATTTATTTTAATATAAGTCTGATAAAAAACGCAAGTTTTTATAGCCCAACCGAATAACATTCTTTAAATTAATAAAATCAAATACCGTTTTTGATTTTTTTAAATTTTAGCAAATCTCGCCCTAAACATGAAAGACATCGACAAAGATCAGACAGTGTAAGATCATCTGACTCTGGACACAAATCCGTTAATAATCGAAGTTTTGATCGTTTTCCACCATCAAACAAAATGGAAATTGGTCCCGTTTTAAAACCACCACTTCATCAACAGCCACCAAACTGTCGTTATCAACGATTCCAAAATCATTATCGTAAATTTATCAACTGCCCTCAAAATAACAACAATTTCGTTCCTCCGCAAAAGAATTTTAATCAATGTAACAGACAAAATGATCATGGAGGTGAAGATTATTTAGAAGATGAAGAAAAACGGCAATTTGAAGAATGGAAAAAATTTCATCGATTTCAAACATTTGGACCTGGACCGGTTCATCAATTAATATTTTTGAAATTTATATTATTTCAGGATATATTTTCAAATCCTTATTTTGCTATGAGCGTTGGCGGGATGCCACCTCAATTTATTCCACCTAGTCATCTTCCACATCCTGCGCAGGTCGCTGCTGCATTGTTCGCAATTTCTGGTCCACCTCCACCACCGGCTCAGTTTCCGTTGCCGCTCCCACCACCTCCCCCACAGCAACAACAAACTGCTATATTGCCACCTCCTCCACCTCCAGCACGTCCAAGTAAGAAAATATCGTCAAAAATTTATTTAAAAATTTCGAATCCTTTATAGCACCTGCGAGCACTCAAAATTTGTTACCTCAAACATCATCACAGACAACGTTGCCACCTCCACCCCCACCTTCTCAATCTGCAAATACATCTACTACACAGATGCCTAGTGGCGGTGACCAATTATTGACTCGAAGTACGACATCCCCATGTCCGTCATTTACAACCGATCAACAAAAGGATGAAGATAATAACAGCAAAACAACATTAATTTCTGCTATACCAACACCGTCAAAGTCTGGATTCCTTCCACCGATTACAAGTAATGCCTCCCCCATTGCAGCACCATTTATACCTGATAATAAATCAAAAGAAATACAACCAATCAATAAACTTATAAACATTGGGCCAATAAAGAAGAAAGGTAAGCGGTTGTTCAAATGAAATCTGTATTGGCAATAATTTGCATACTTATTTGACCACTTTTTAATTAGCTTTTCTCTTTTTGTTTGCATGCGATTATTAAAGACAGACTTACGGAAAGAAAAATAAAGATTACTTTATAAGGCTGTTTTTATATGTAGTTGTTTCTGCTCTTTGTTTAATACCGAATTATTATAGTATTTGGCATAAGGTCAATGATAGCTTTTGGCCTAATTGTCGTGTCTTCTCTAAATCTCGTAGTATTCAACATCTCTACATTATTTTCTCTTCTCTCTCCTTATTTTAGCTGATTTTCCTATTACAAATGATACAATTTATTTTTTTAACAGGGAAAAATAAAACAAAAGACGCTATTGTAAAAGTGGACAATAAGATGGAAAATACGCGCATTCCCGATTTGATAATGGCCGTGTGTTCACCTGAATATAATAAAGATGATGTTGATACCGATAAAGCGCAAGATTTTAATATAAAAGAAGAATTGTTGGATGAAAAAGTTAACATTTCGACAGTTGAAAAGGAAGAGGTAGAGAAACAAACAATAGAACCAGCAAAGAGGGCGAGTGAACGATACAAAAAATCTTCAAAAGAAGTGCAAGCGGAAATGCTTCAACGGCGTTTGAAATCGTTGCGAGCGGCATTGGGTCAAAAGGTGTGAAATAATTTTTGAAAAGGGGAATAATCATTAATATTTAAAGGCTTCTCAAAGTCATTGGCCGGATGGCGAAGGGGATAAAAATTCATCGCGAACCGGTAATGAAATGAAACAAAGTGATTCGAAACATTCTGAAGCTGCTAAAACGTCATCTTCGAAGAGAACTTTTAGCACGACTTCATCAAGGCAAGTTTTTCTTTACAAAAATTCCATTTCATTAAAATTTGATGTTTTTCAGGACTAATTCCAAAAGCCGTAGTCCCTCACGTGAAGGACGTCGTTCGCATTATCAAAATGAACGAGAAATGCGAGAACGAAGACGAAGTGGTGAGAGACGATCGCAATATTTTTCTAACAGAGGTGAAAGGCGAACACAAAGAGATGAGCGATTTCATGGACGCGGGCGTCGTTTTGGAAATGGTAATCAAAATTATTGTCGTGGAAGACGCCAGTCATTTAATGACAGACGAAGGTTTAATGGTGGAAGGAAGCGTTCTTATGATATTAGTCCTGAACGAACTAATACGGTATTCTTTCAATAATTTTATTTTTGTATAATTGTCTCATTCAAAAATCGGATCAACTTCTTTAACGAAGTAATTTTGATTGCAATTTTAGGACGGAAAAGTGGATGGCGATTCTAATTGTGAGCAACGCAAAAGATCTGTACATGAAGAAAGAGATAGATTGAAGCGTGGAGACTCTGCGGGGATCAAAGCGCAACCTGTTAAAAAGGTAGTTTAACAACAACAAAATAAAGTTTTTACAATTAACAAATTTCTTTTTAATATTTTAGGCTGACAATGAACGTGAAAAAGTGGACGGAACAAGGAAAGCAGAAATTAACACCATTGCGGAAAAATTAAAAACAATTGTTCAACCACCGACAAATGAGTAACTTTTATTGTCTAATCCTGTGAATAAAAAATCTTTTTAAGGACGTCTAGCAAAAAGAAGACAATTGAGCGCAAGCGCCGTCTATCCAATGACGAAGACAGTTTGCATTCATCAGATGATGATGATTCTTCTTCGACAATATCAACAAGTAGCACATCAAGTGACAGTCTCACCACTTCTAGTTCTATTCTGGCAGAGGTTGAAACGAAAACAAAAACACTTTTAGCCTCTGGCAAAGGAAAAGATTCTCTTGCTCTAGATAAGGTTCTTTTATTTTTATTTACATATTTTTATTTTCATTAAGAATCCTATAAATGTCATGCAACAACATTTGCCGCCGTTCTCCATCGCACCAACTATTCGTTCTATCAAAACTGAAAATATAACAACCGAAAAGGAAATTGATGTTCCTGTATACTCTTCAAAAGGCCATTTCCTGCCGCTTCAGATTGCAAGTGATCCTGAGCAACAAAAATCAAGTGCTGCCGATATGGAGCTAGAATCGAGTGATGAATTAGATTCTACTGATATGATGCAACCTCCGCAAATCAGTGTTAGCATTCTTCAAGATCCACCAAAATTGGATGCATATATTCATCAATTGAAAGAGGTTCTATTTTTAACTTATTTTTGTCTAGATTCTTCTGATATTTCAGTTTGTTTATTTTATGGAAACGATGCGAAGAGATATGCACGGTCCTCCTCCACTCCCATTAGGTCTGGGAGCGAATACTTTACTTGCTGTTCAACAAGGCCAGCAACTTGCCAATCTCCAAAACAAGCATTCTTCACAATTACCTGTAGCAATTAAAGTGAAAAATACATCAACATCTACCACAACATTGCAAGCAAAGAAGCGTACTCATTCTAACGACCAAAATCGTATTTTAAGATTTTCTTAAATTCATGTAATTTTCTATTTAAGAGGACGCAGCTTGTTCTTCTTCCAATATTCCTGTCGCCAAACGGGCTCGAATTGGAACTGGTACAGTTTCGAACAATCCTACCAGTAATGGCAATAATCCACCGATTGTTTTGCAACCTCGCCAAGAAAATATTTCGAGGAATATTGCCCAGCAATTACAACAACATCAAGAACAGTTTTCTGCTACTTCGAGTGGCAATCAACCTTCACATTCAAATACACCACCTGAAGATCCACGAATTTCCAATCGTGAACTAACTTTAAATGCAATGAAAAACAATACCTCTGGTGGACAGTCTGAATATTGTAAGTTGTATTTATCATTATATTTTTATTTGAAAATTTGATGAATGCAAATTCCTTTTTCTATCTCAATTTTAGCCGTTCCTCAGCATCAATTATCTCTTTCAAATGTGACAACAATTCCGTCGTCTTCAAATGCTTTGATAAATCGTGATGAACAAAATTTGGCAAATCCCGTTAGCGTTGAACATAATGCTGGTAATGTTGTTCAAACTGCTGATTCAATTACAATGACTAAAACAGAAGTGCCAGTATCTGAAGCTAATCATGCTTCTACGTCAGACAATCCTTCAACAACTACATCTTCTTCTGCAAATCCATCGGCAACTGGCCAATTAGTAACGAAAAGTGGCATTTGGCTTGTTGCTAAAGATACTGATGGTCCTTTTTTTTATCTTTTTCCTATCTAGATAGTTATTAACTAGACATCTGTCATAAGTAGGGCTAGGATTTTTAGGCACTAAAAAGTCAAAAATAGGCGCCTATATAGGCACTAAAAAACTGCCAAAATAGGCACCTTATTTCGAAAAAAGGCAAAATAGGCAAGCAAAATATACAAAATTTCTTAAAATTTGAGCTAGATCTGAAAAAATATAGACTAAAATCTATAAAAATGGTTGAATTTAAGCAATAAACTGTTATATAAATTAATTTTGACGATAAGAATTGCGAATATAAATTAATTTATATCAATTATTTTGCTTCCGAAAATAATTTGAATAAATTTTTAAAATAAAAATTTTTTGACAAAAAAATTTTCAAAAAAAATTTTTTTGAAAAATAAGCCAAAATAGGCAATTTTAGGCAACGATAAAATTAGTTAGGAAGAAGATTTTAGTAAAATAACACCTGATTTGGACGTTTCAGCATCAGGCCTATTTAGGAAAAAAACAGGCATTTTGCCTAAAATCCTAGCCCTAGTCATAAGCACTAAATTTCAATTTTTAATTTTATCTCGTTAGTGAAGCTTATACAGATGGAGATTACCTATTTTTGTCTATTATATACTTTTTTAATTTCAGGAACTCCATACTACTATCATAAAGATACAAGGTTATTTTCTGATTTTTCTAGATTTTCTAAAATTTCATTTAATTAATTTAGGGAAGCTCGTTGGGATTTGCCTCCAGGTGAAGAATTGATTGATCTCAATGCTGTTGTTGCAAACAATGAAGATTCATTGCAAAATCCACTACTTTTACAACACCGTAGAGCCGAGTTCAAACGCCAGGTGTCTGCGTTGGTTGCAAAATGTATCGAAGCATATCGCAAGGTTTTCATACGGTGGTTCGTATATATTATTTTCAATTTTAGCGTTTCTTCCCCAATCCAAACGAGTATAGTGGCTTCTTGCGCAAGGTTATTTATACTAAACTTTTTTTTTCTACTAAACAAAATATTTAACCCCAGATCACACACAAAGTTTTGGACAGTCAAGAAGGAAACAAGGAGCTTTTATTTAATATTCAAGTCCAGAAGAATACACGCCGCTTAGTCGATGATTATATTAAGCACTTCAAAGTGCGAGAATCTAGTGCTGGATATCAAGTTCCAATTTAAAAATGGGAAATAAATATAAGATTAGTATTTACCTTTTTTGCTTTATTTATATATTACGTGCTTTCTTTATATATTTTTTGTTGAATTAATAATGGTTGATTTATTAAAAAACAGTTACTTTTTATCGTTTAATTTAAATAAACGTACTTGATGAAAAATAGCAATTTTTAAGAGTTTTTAAGAAAGAATATTTTATTTATAGTAAAGAAATCACTAATATTCTTTTATCTATGATTATCTTATAAAATTCTTTCAGATTTAGGTCACTTCAATTTTATGCTTACTGCCCCTCATTGTCAACCTTTTTTTCCTACAGTTTTGGAATTGTTTTTTAAGCTTATTTAAATACTATATATACGTTATCTACTATCTATATGTTGTCTATAAATAAAATTGAATTGTGTTTAATTAGTAGATTTAATGGATCTTTTGTTTTCCATACATTGTTTCCATACATTTTCTCATAAATTATTTTATTATGTAGTTAAGGAGTACTGCGATGCTGCTAATATTAATGACGAAAACATTTGAAAATTTACGACCCATAAATGTCTAATTGAAAAAACGATTTCAAGAGTGGAATTTGGTTACAGGTTAGTATTTTAACTTTAATAGAGCTCTTGGTATTACACGTTAAGTTTTTAAGCTTTTGGTGTTACAAGACTTCGATTTTGTAAGGCCATGGGAAGTGGGTGTTCAAAAAATATCTCAAATTCCCCGACTTTTGAGGATGGGTTACGACACTATTTAACAAATATGAGAGCTGTGAAAGACTTCTCAATTAAAAAATGTAACAATAAGGCAATTGGGATGGTTGAAAGAAAAAGTCTGACCATTTTGTAGATATTTAGGAAAAAACTTGGGGAGGAAAGAATGGGGTCTGTCAAGTTCAATATTACTATCACTGGATGGTATTCAATAAATAGTTTTTAAGGTACCTTTTAACCACTACGGGTTTCAGTGGTATTTTTGATTTTAGGTTTTAAAAGTTTTCTTTTCTGATTAAATTTTCTCTTTAAAACGTGTGTACCACGTCATTCAAAATTAATAAAATAAATCGATAATTTTTCTCCATGCTTCCTCTGTTTGCGCCATTTTAAGACTGCTTTGCCGTGCTTTAACTTATTTCATGCGTACCTCTATTTTTGTTTGAAAAAAATGGCAAAAGCTAGGAGTCCGCACGCATTCTATTCTTGTGTTGTCTTTGTGTCGGTCCATAAAAAACTCACACTTTGTGAATATTGGCATAAACTAACTGAATGAATTTTCTCGTTCTCATGGGCGGCACTATGTCAATAAAAGATTGACGAGATTGTTACCCAATAGTTGCAAAGAAATACACACATACTAGTTATTTTATTCGGGTGGCATAAAAAAGGATACGGCGATGTTCGACATTTAAGCAATAACTGAAAATCCTTAAAACTCCTTTAAAATTTGTTAAATTAAAAAGTTTACAATTTTTATACAAGCGTATAAATTTCTAAGATTAGTTTAAAATTCTTTTCCGTTATTTTCGATTTTACCAATAATCTAATTTGGGTAATTAGAAAAAGCCTGCCAAACTGTTTTTACTGACATACAAAGTGTGGCGGCTTTTCTCTCTCTCATTCTTTTCTCTCTCTTCTCATTTCCTCAATTTACCCTTTATATGTATATCTATTTTGTGCATTTGACGTGAAATATCGTCAATTTTTATAGATTTTTAAATATTCAATGGATGAAAAATGAGGGAAATTTTTCATGAGCTGTTTTAATAAGCCCCATCTTTTTCTAATTTTTATTTTTAAAATATCACAAATTTTACTTCTTTTTCAGTAAACTATAACCATTGACTAACTGTCAGTTATGGCCCACCACTCGACTACCTATAATTCTGCTTCTGCTAATGCAACATCAGCAGGTTCAGGTGGAACAAGTGCTGGCGGGACAACAACTACCAGTAGTGACCAGAACTTTGATTATATGTTTAAGCTGCTTATTATAGGGTATTTTATTTTTTTTTGAAAATGATTTTTGTTATTTTTAGTAATTCTTCGGTGGGCAAAACTTCATTTCTTTTCCGCTACTGCGACGACTCATTTACTTCTGCGTTTGTTTCAACAGTTGGAATTGATTTCAAAGTGAAAACCGTCTTTCGTGGTGATAAACGTGTCAAGCTTCAAATTTGGGTATTTTAGATTTTAAAAGAATTTTCATGTACACATTTTATTTTATTAGGACACTGCTGGTCAAGAACGCTACCGGACGATTACAACAGCTTATTACCGTGGTGCAATGGGTTTCATACTTATGTATGTTTATATATACATTATGAAATTATTATGTACATCTTTTATTTTCAGGTATGATATTACAAATGAAGAGTGAGTATTTAATATTATTCTTTAAATAAAATTAAAAAATTTTTTTTCTCAGATCTTTCAATTCAGTCCAAGATTGGTGCACACAAATAAAGACTTACAGCTGGGAAAATGCGCAAGTTGTGCTTGTTGGCAATAAATGCGATATGGACGATGAACGTGTTGTGTCCATTGAAAGAGGTCGACAGCTAGCTGACCAACTTGGTTTAATAAATTTTATAAAATTAATTTTAAAGATAATTTGTAGGTCTTGAATTTTTCGAAGCTTCGGCTAAGGAAAATATTAATGTAAAGCCTGTGTTTGAGAAATTAGTTGAGGTTAGTTTTTGTTATATCTTTTAAAAATATTTTTTAATTTCTTTAGATAATTTGCAATAAAATGGCTGAGAGCCTTGATCAAAATCAACAACAAAATCAACAGGCTCAAGGCAATGTTAGTTTAGTCTTTATTTTTTAAAATATATTTTTTTAATTAGTTGCGGTTAAATTCGACAAGTGGAGCACAGAAACCAGCTTCTCAACAATGCAATTGCTGATTTTTAGGTTGAAATTGACTAACAAGTTTAGAAAATTTTCTCCTAGTTTTCAGTTTTCTTCTAAAAATTGCTAGTTTTGAAAATCCTTAAATCCCTTTATCCTTTATATAAATTCTTAACTAGGGATGTGATTATGTGAAGTATTTCTTTTTCGGTCTTTGTTCCCAAACAAGAGTGGTTTTCATTTTAAATTTTATTAGAAATCACAGCCCTACAAACATTCTTTTATAAACCTGGCATTGATCTTTTAAAAATTTATTGTTTAATATGTCCTTTGAAATTAATTGATTTAAAATTTTAAGCATAATTTTAAAAATTTTCTAAAAAAGGACATAGTAAATAGTTTATTTTTTGTCTTACATTCCAAACATTTTCGGCATTTTCCACACAATTATATATTCGCATTTATTGACACTTTTTTCTGTAACAAGCAATATATTCTATTATTTTTTCAAAATATATTTTTCCTCATTTAAAAACATACTTATTTAGCATCAAAAAGAAACAATTCTAGTCAATTAATTCATTTAGTTAATAATTTGTTTATTTAAATTAATAGATAAATGTCTAAAAATGGAAGTTTTTTTGTTTAATTAAATAATTTATTTTTTCTATAATAATTTTATTTGATTTTGAATTTTTGTTTTATTATTTAAGATATTTAAATTTATTTAAATTTTATAGTACCAATTGATGATGGTAATGATTAACATTTAAAGAAAAATAATTCAATGATTTACAAAATAATATGAGAACAGTTATTTGGTAGTGATTTAAGGTTGGTTTTTTAAAAAGTTTTTTTTGGTTATTTTATGGGTTTTTCTTATATTGAGCAATTCTCGTTTTTATTTGTCCCCTATTAATATCTCTCCATTCCGCATTTCCACCTCCCCAATTTTCTATTGCCTTAGAGGGTTATACTATTAAATATTGTCAGTGGTGTATTTATTGGGGGCCAAAATGTGCCGACTATTTTCCATTTATCACAAAAAATATATTTGCCAATTTCATTGCTTATAACATCACTTTCTTCCCTTCCTTCTCTCTCTTTTCTCTCCATTCCCTTTCCGGCTATGGCTGCAGTCTTTTGGCCCTATTTTACGTTTTTTGGCTATTGACACGCCGATTCTGTTACCGTTCATTCATTTTCTAACCACCACCAACCAATTTTATTTTTTTACACAATTTTTTTATTGGCGCTTTTTCTAAACATTTTTATTTTGAACAGATATATGTATTTATTTAGATGTTCAAAAACTTCCAAAATTTTGTCTACTTTTTTATTCTAATTTATTAAATATTGACATTTTTAACCTAATACACTTTTATCCCCTCATCTCTCTTTTCAAAAACTCTTAATTTATTCAAATATATATTCGAAAAAAGAATATTAGGAATTTGGGGAAGAAGCACACTTTTCAACATAAAAGGGGAAAGTCAACAAAAAGTTAAAAAAAAACAATGGAATGCTCTCTAAAGGGACTCATTTCCATCCACTCATTTTTTCTTTTTATTTTCCATGCATAATGCTATTTTAAATAATTCATCCAATTGAACAAAAAATTGATAAAATAATGTTTAAAAATGTCAATATTATTACAAGGGCCCGGATTTGTTAAATTGTTTCGAATTTGTTAGTCCGTCTGTCTACTCAAAAATTAAGGAAAAAACTATTCTTTATTTTAGTAAACTCTTTATGCTAATTTCCTTCCAAATTTTGATTTTTTTTGGTTTCTTATTTTATTTTAATTTTCCCAAAAAGGCATACTTTTTTTTTAAAATTCGACAAAAATATTCAAAAGTTCTCAAATAAATTTAGAGACAGGCATGCAAATGTGCGATTTCGTCCCTAATTCTTTTCTATATTCATAGTTTTTTGGTCTTTTTATTCAATCATTTATTAAGCGTTTTTTTATCCTTTTTGAGATCCATAATTGGCATTTTACATATTTTTTGCATAAATTTTATTTTTATTTTTTTTCTATTTAAGAAACATTTTTTTATTCAATTTTGTATTAAATTATACCAAATTTTTATTCTTTTCTGTCTTTCTTTTTTGCTTTTACTTATTTAAAATTAAAATAAAATGAAGTAATTATTATTTGAGAATCCATATTTCTCGAGAATAAAAATCAATTAGTAAAAAAGGAAATAAATAAATATAGTAATTTACCCCCAAATGTGTGCCAAAAGCACATTAAGAGATAAATATATGCTTACAAAAATAGAGAAAAAGATAAACGAGAAATACATATATTTATTTTTTTATTAAAAAGAGGCGAGAATTATGTATGCTTTTACGTGTTATTCTACATAAGCGAAAATAACCGTTTAATTCGAAATTAGAAAAAAAATTTAATTCGAAATTCGGTAGAAGAGAGTCCCTCCCATTCCTCGTGTAACAATTAGAATATTTTATAAAAGATTATTTTGTCCTTTTATTTTCTTCTTTCTTTCTTCCTCCTTTGTATTTTCTTAGAATTATTATTATCGTCAACAATTCCAAATATCTTGACAGATGTTTATTCCAAAAACTTCCCCCTTTTTATTATTATTTTTCTTCATTTCTTTTTGGTTATTGTTATCCTATTCACACACACTTTTTTTTTGTATTTAACTATTTAATTTCAAAAATATTCCCCAGAATTTTTTTCATAATTTAAATTACCTAAACCTTTAAAAACAACGTGGCGGGAATCAAAGGCAAATTATAGTGAAAAATTTTTTACTTTAATCCCTTTTTTCTATATTCTTTCTTCATTTGTTTATTTCCCTAGAGTATTTAGACTTACGGAACGCTTCCCCCCAATCCCCCTTCCCCCAATCCTCTCTATATTTGTGCACTTGAGGAAAAGCTAAATTGCATTGTGTAATGGAGAAGAGAATAATATCACTGTTCCAGGGCCGCTTTCTTCCCCCCAAAAATGTTTTTTCTCCATTGCTTCACCAACTTTTAAATTTCACCAACATTTTTATTTATTAAATTTTATTAGAAAATTCTCATTTTTTAAATTAGCTTTAAAAGTTTATTTTAAAAGTAAACATTTTGACGAAATTTATTATTTAAAAATTTTAACGCGAAAAAATCGCGGAGTTTGTTCGGGGATTCGGGCAAATTCTGTCGGAATTCGGAAATTGTTTTTACTGGAGCCGATTCCCTTCTCCCCATTTCAGGGGGGCTATAGCCCCAGAAGCCCCCCTGACTACGCCCTTGCCGGAGTCACTCATTGCCCAATATTCCCTACTTTCAAACTCACGGCACAAAAATAAAATCTCTTAACTTTTCTTAAATTTAAAAATCTGTTATTGTTTTATTACGTCAAACGTATCTCACCTTGTGGGAAATTCCTCCCTTTTTTGCTAATTAATAAATGTAAAAAATTGGAAAAGGAATGGATTGTATTTTTAGATTTTTCTTTTAAAATAGTTAAAGTTTTTTCATTTACTTTGACATTTTAATGCCTTAAATGTTTTTATATATATTTTTTTCTTTTAGTTAAGGTAGTTAACTTCTCTAGAGGACTAAACAACAAAAAAAGCTTTTGAAAACAACAAAAGTGATTTCTTTACTTTTTTTATTGTCAACCTTCCAACAACAAAAACCTTTTAACAAAAAATTTTTTAAAAGAAAATTGGCTAAGAAAACGTTCAATTTGGGACATTTAATTGTAAGTTTCTTTTATGACCAAAAGAGTGAAAAAATAGCAACACGCCGGAAACGACTTTTAAATTAAAAAAGTTTTTTAAGAATTTTTAATTTTAAAAATTTTCCCAATTTTTAACTATTCTTTCACCTTAAAAGCTTTTAAATAAATTTAAATAAAAAATTCTAAGAAATAATGGAACGAGCTCGCAGACGTCTAGCTTCTGCAATTGATGGTCTAAGAGCACAATTCACAGATGCTGATTCGCAGGAAGGCCCTTCTTCGTCTTCTGCTTCGACAATTGCCAAAATTCATTCAATGGTTAGAGAAAGGCTTGAGGATAGCGATTGCAGGCTTAGCAAGGTTTTAGTGTTAAAAGAGTATATAAAATTATTTTTCTAGATAATCCGTCACGGCTTCCCTGACGGCCCTAGATGTATGGCCTTTGATCCAGTTCAGAAATTATGCGCAATTGGTGCTGCCCGTGGATCTGTTAGATTACTAGGACAGGCCGGTGTTGAACATTTTTTACAGCATGATTCTGATGAGCCTGTCACTCACATTCAATTTCTCGTTAACGAGGTTTTGTTGAATTTTAAATTAAAATTATAAAAAATTTTTAGGGAGGGTTAATTACAGCTTTGGGGGATGATACTTTACATTTATGGAATTATAGGTATTTTTTTGTAAAAATATTTTTTTGAGGAACATTTTTCTAAAAGGCAAAGAACTCCAGAAATTGTTCATTCACTTAAAATGTCAAAAGAAAGTATTACTACAATATATTTACCTTTTCAAAGTAAATGGTTAATGGTTGGAACAGAAAAGGTTTGGAAATTTTTTTTTAATTTTTAACTAATTTTTTGTAGGGAAATATTTATTTTATCAATTTGGGAACTTTTGAGTTATCTACACAAATAATTTATTGGAACAAAGCTGTTGATATGTAAGCTGTTTTTTGTCGATAGAAATTGTTTTAAATATTGTCTTTTGTTATTTAAAAATATTTTTAAATTTTTCTAGGAGTTGTCGATCACATCCAGGCTATGTTAAAACATTACAAGTAAATTATTTATGTTTTTAAACTTAAAAATATTTTTCAGTCTTGCCCAACAGAACCTTCAAAAATATTAATTGGATTTGAAAAAGGTCATGTCGTTCTTTGGAATATTTTGACTAAAACAGGGGAACGTTTTGCTGCTGCTACTGAACTTAGTCCTGTGACTGCTTTTTGTTGGAATAGTGATGGAAGACAATTTATGTGTGGACATCAAAATGGTTATTAAAGAAGTAATTTTTAATTAAATTTTGTTTTTAAAAAAGGGTCTCTTTCAATTTGGAATATTAAAAAGCCTCGTGAACTTATTCACAAAACAACCCCACATTCCCCTATTGCATCTTCTGGTGGAGGCAGTTCACCAAGTTCTTGTGGAGGAGCATCAGCAACACTTCCCTCACAGCATATTTCTTGTAAACCAATTACACAATTAAGTTGGAATACAAACACAGATGGAGAACAATTAATTATTTTTGCTGGAGGTTTTTAAATTTTGTGAATTAAAAAAATTTTCTTTTTAGGAATGCCAATGGATGAAGGAGCACTTCCGTCACTTACAGTCCTCAGAGCAAAAGGCTCATTAACTGTTCTTGAGGTTTATTTTTTAAATAAATTTTTGTAAGAAAATTTGAAAAAAAGATGGATCACGCGATTGTCGAAATGGTTCCGCTCAACAATTCTCCTCATGCCTCAGTTGCCCAGCATCCACATGCAATTGCTGTCCTCCTTAAAAATGACCTTTTGGTTGTGGATATACAAGCACAAGGGTTTGAATTTTAATTTTAAAAATAATGATTTGAGAATAATTTTGTAGGTATCCTTGTTTTGAAGTGCCGCATCCGATGGATTTGCATGAATCGCCGGTGACACTTTTAAAGTTGGAAAAGATTTTAGCTTTTAAAAACAAACAATATTTATTTTTGGGTATTACTCTGATTGTCCTGTTGATTTAATTGCTGCATTAACTTTGGTTGGACGAAACCAAAGAAGACAAGGCGTTCGTCTTAGCGACAGGCAATGGCCGTTTAGCGGTTTGTTAAAAATAAGTTTTTGATAATATTCTTTTTTTTAGGAGGGGTTGGCCGAGAATGTGCTACTGGACATCAAGAAATGTTGCTTACTGGTCATGAAGATGGTAATATTTTTTTGTCAAAGCATGCCCGAATCCTAATAACTTTTAGGTTCCATTAAATTTTGGCAAGCATCTAGTGAACAATTGCAAGTATGTTTTTTAATTATTTTCTTTTTAAAAAAGTATTTTTAAAAATTTGTTTAGGTTATGTACAAATTAAAAACAGGACGGCACTTTGAAAAAAATATTCCTTCGCATTATTCCCATTCGACTGCTAGAGGAACAGCAGCAGCCATCAATAAACGTAAAGGAAGTGGAGCTGTAGATAATATTCGATTAAAAGTATAAATTTAAATATATTTTTTTCTAATTTTCTTTTTAAAGCAGAAAAACATTTCTCCTAGTCATGCTGTCTTTAATGCTGAAATGTGTCTTGATTCTCGCCTTTTGATTGTTGCTAGTCGTTCAGGACAAATTACACTTTTTAGATTTTCTAAAACTGATTGTTGCCAAGAAATTGCTGTTAGTTTATTTAAATTTTTTAAAAAATCACCTAATTAGGTCATTAACTTACCTCAACTTTGCCGTTCTACTGCTCAAATTCCTTCGCCACCTTCATGCCCTCCCTCACCTAGTAATCTAAAAGATGAAGAAAAACAACCTCAAAATACTAAAAAGAAATGGAATCAACAATCAGGGAGTAGTAGTGAGGCACAACAATCTAATAGAGCTGAATTGAAACGACAAGGTTTTTTTGCTTTAATTTTTTAAATAAATCTTATATAAATATTTAAAGGAGCAGCATCCGAGTCGCAACAGCATCAACGCCCATCCCGCAATTCATCATCACATTCTACAGATACATCGATATGTTCTCAACAACTTGCCGAAATAACTCCTTTAAAAGTTCGGGGAGGTGCTTTGCGAAGACCTGCAGGTATTTTCTTTTTAAAATTTAATAGATGTTTTAACTATTTCAATAAGGTTATCAACCAGAATTGGTTTGCCAGATCCCTTGGATAAATGGAAACAATCCTGAACGAGTAACCGCATTGGCATTTAATTCAGCTTATGGTCTACTAGCTATTGGTACTTGTGTTGGTTTGGCACTTGTTGATTCACAAACAGCTTCTTTGGTTTTTTTTAATTTTTTATTACAATATATTTCGGTTTTTTATACTTTTAGATTTATGCTTGGCATAATTCTGAATTGTTGGGTCGCGATCCAATTCCTTTTTGGAGTTCCTTGACTAGTCAAGATGTTGCTACTGGACCAGGATCTCCTAGTTGTCCGGGAGTAGAGGTTTTTAATTTAAATTAGTGTTAATTTCTTTTATTTCATCAAACTAATTTTAGCCAAAATTATTAAATATTTCTATATTTAAAGCTTATTTTATATATACATATTTCTATTTTATTTTTGTCTCTTAATTATGAAACTATTTTTGAGTTTTTTTTAAATTTCTGCTCATCTACTTTTGAATTTTTATTTTTCAAAAAAAATTTTTTGTTATATCCCTTCTCTTTCACTTATTTTACTTATATATAAATTAGATTCTTTGTCAATCTTCTACACCTTCAACTCCAAATAATAACAACATAATACCTATTACTACCGAATCATCACCTTCAGTTTTAAAAACTCCAAATTCCTCTTCTACCTCCTCTCCCTCAGCTTTTTCATTTTCTTCCAAAGCTTTACGTACTCGTCTAAAAGTGAGAAACCAAAAAAATTTTTTTAGTTTTTTTACCTTTTTCTTGATTGCTGTTTTGTGGCTTTCCTTAACTCAATTTTCATATTTTTTTTAAATTTTAATTTTTCTTTGTACCATTATTAACCTTTTTGTTTATTTTTCCTTAACATTTTTTAAATTTTCATTTTAAATTCCTAGTTTATTTTCTTCTCTTTAATTTTTTTTAAATTTTTAGCATCAATTTTCAACTCAAACTCCTCCTACATCAGTGCCATTACCTCCGAAATCACCCGGACCTCTTTCTCGAGGTATTTTTAAATTTTTAAATTAAAAATAAAATGTTTTTTAAAGGAAATACAACAGAATCGACTGGGGGGTCTGGAATAGAAAATAATACAGAAAAAAGCACAAATCGGTTTTTGTTGGGAACAAAACTTCAAAGGCCACAATTACTTAAAGCTTCAACTTTCAATGCTTTTGCTGCTTGTGATGAAACTGGATTAGAAAATTCAATTCAACAACAACAAGAATCGAATTTTATTAATTGTAATGGTATGAATTAATTAAATTAAATTTTTATTTAAAATTATTTTAATTAAAAAAAGGTGATATAAAGCCTTGTATTGACTCGCAAGTTCCATCTACTTCTTCCTCCACTGAATCTTTGGATAAATGTACAAATCAAAAATATTTGGAGGAATTTGTTTCTCATTTACAATTTATTAATTGTTGTGCTAAAAAGGGAGGTTTGTTTTTATTTATGGAAAAATAAATATAATTTTTGTAGTTACTAAATTTGATCCTTGTCTTTGGATTGGAACGTCTATGGGTAGTGCATTAGCCTTTCAACTTCAATTACCTTCAAATAGAATTTCTTCAAACGTTGTTGTTGCACCCTCTGGTAAAAATTATGAATTAATTCTTTTGCTATCATTAATGACCTCTAAAAATCTTCCTTAAAGTTCCACAAAAATTCCTTTTTATTCTTTTTTAATTCAAAGGGTCAATTGTTCGTTTATCTAAATCTACAAATGGGAAAAGCAACAAATTGCTGTGTATTGCTTTTATGGACCGTGATTTTCGATTATTGGCGGCACCCAGTGAAAACTCGAATAATAAAAATGCCAAAATAGAAACAAATTCTTTAAATTCAAATCTTCAAGAAGAAAATTTAAATAAAAATGATGAGTCTTCTAATTCTCCAAATGATCTTCAATCATCATTACCTTCAAATAAGGCAAGCAAGGAAAGAGTAGGAGGGAAAGGAGAAGCAAAGAAAAAATGGGAAATAATTAAAAGAAAAGCAAGTTTGGGGGAATTTTTCTTTAAGTTTTTCTTTTTGGGTTCTTTCTATATTTTTCTTCTTTTTTTCTCTCTTTTTTGTTTATATTTTAAAATTTAATTTTTGAATGTTTTATTTAGGTGCTAACAAAAACTATTCAATCATCAGCGGTGCCTTCATCTACTTCTACCCAAACAGAAATGGAAACACAACAAACACTGACCTCAAATGTGGTCAAAGAGGAGGAATTTTTACAAGTTTATTTTTTCTAAATTAATCTTTTTATTTAAAAATATTAATTAGATGGCTATATTTGTAACTTCTTCTGAAGTTAGTGCAGTTGCTTTACCTTCCTATCATCGAGTCTTTCAACGCTCTTTTTCTGATTCAGAACAGCAACAACATCCATTAATTTGTGCTTCAACTACACATATTAGTGGACAGCCTGCTTTGTTAGCTTTGAATGTTGCCGGTAATGATTGACTCTTAAAAAACTCTAAATTATGTTTTTAGGTTCAATTATTGTGATGAGTTTACCTTCATTTAAACAATTATTGAATTGTTCATTGATGCCTCTTTCTTCTAATTGTATTGAGGATAGGTTGTTTTTATATTAAAACTACAAATTATTAATAAATAAATTTTAGAATTTGTCAACGTTTTGCTTTTTCTGAAAATGGATGTGGAATGAATTTAGTTTCAAATTCAGAGGTTTATTTAACTTTTATTATTCGAATACAAATTTATCAACTTTTTAGGTACAAAAATTCACTGTTAGCGCTGAGATTGCATCCCAGGTTTATTCAAAATCATAATCTTTTTAAAATTAATTTTTAAATAAATTTTGAGGTTGCAGAATGTATGGGAGAATTATTTGTCCCTTGTGATATGCCAGAACCTCCAAAAGTTCATTCTTTTCTGCGAGGTGTTGTCAATTCAATTGCAGCGGTTACTGGTGTTGCTGGAAATGGATGTAGTCAAATGGAGGAAATGGATGCATTATGTTAGATTTTTAATTTTCAATTTTTATCGATAACAATACTTTTTAAGTATCAGAAAAACCAACTTCAACAACAGCCCCTAATCAAGTTCGAGGAGTTACTCGGCCATTACTAACACCCCAACAACAACAATTAAGTAGTATTGAAACAGGCACGTCTAGGTCTGTTACTGCTGGACAAGCTGCTCGTGAAGCGATTCAGGTAAAATATTAGGCTTAAAGTTTTCTATATATTTTGTGGTGAATTTTCTAATCTTCAAAAAATTAGAATCCCCGAAACTTTTATTTTGTTTTTAAAACAATTTTTGTTTTTTTCAGAATTTGGCAGAGCGCAGTGAACGTTTAAATGCTGTCTCTGATGCAACCGAAAAGTTAAAACATAATGCAATGAATATTCAAAGCAGATCTGCAAAGTATTTAATTTACCAAGAATCTCTTGTTATAAAACTTTCTTTTCAGATTATTGGATAAATATGAGAAGAAAAAATGGTATCAATTATGATAATATCAGATGTCCAAAATTTTTTCTAGTCATGAGCTTATTTGGGGTATCTTTTTCACTTATTTTTCATTTTAAAGATGTTTTTTATATATTGTAAGATTTTTATTTGAATAAATATGTGGATGGATATTTGATCTTTTGATCGCTTATACTGGCCAAATCCTATAAAATAAATATATATTTTAGCCGGTCTAATCGGTTCAGGTATAGTGATTAATTGGAAAGTGATTAATGAATAGAATACCATTCTGGTGGCAAATCAAGGAAAGACAAGTCAAGGAACGACCAACTTATGGAATAATTTAAAAAAGCGTAATTTTTCAGAATTTTTTTTAATTTTGTTTTTTGAAGTATTCTAATTTGTTTTAAATACTTATTTTTTAAAAATATTCAGATTTTTCAAAAAATTCCGATTTTTAAAATATTTCATGAGCTGGTCATTCCTTGAGTTAGCCCCCACCCATTATTTTTAACGTTCGGCACATTTTCTTTTCTTTATTAATGTCACATTTGAATATGTCTCGGGGAAATGGAGTACAATTGGAGAAGGAAGAAGGACTGACCATTATTACTTGTTAAGGAGCACTCTGAGACTCAAAATAGGGAAGGGGGGGTGATATATCCATGAGATAACGTCATTTTAATAGAGATTGTACATTATTTTGTTTTTAATTTTTATTTAAATTGAAGATCTTCTTTTTTTGTTTTTATTATTAAAATTTTAAAATTTAATCCCTTTCAATCCACTAATTTATTCTAGTCTCCTTTTATTTTTTTAGCCCTAATAATATTTTGTTTTTCACTATTATAAACTTAGAACTCCTTTTTAAACTTTTATTTTTTTTAATCTTTGGCTCTTATTTTTTTCTTTCTTTCCTAATCCTTAATGACATAAATATTAAAAATAAAAAATAATATATATTAATAGCCATTATCCCACTATTTTTTAAATAAAAACAAAAAAACAGAACACTTTTAAAAAACAATTATCTCGTTTACTTTTTAATTTATGCTAATATATATTACTGTAAATTTTTAATTCAAAAATCTTTTATTTTTTAAAAAACAAAAATATATTTTTAATGACCGGAAATTATCCAAATTTTAATTTATTTATTTTCAAAAAATATTAATCTCTATTTTAAAACACATTTAAGATCTTCAATAAAGGAATATCCATATATACCGTATTTTCTCTATGATTGAAAAAATAAGCCCCGGGCTTATTTTATTAATTCCTCTGAAGAATTAAATTTCAGACCATTTGTGGAATGGGAATTATTCGAAGGGGGAGGGAGGGGTTGGGGGAATTATTGTTTAACCTTTCACCGACTTGTGGAATTAACCGAGAACGGGGAATTACCAGAGGTAGGGGAATGGTGTTTTTTTGGAACAAATGGTTTTCGAACCATTCTCTACCCGCGAGTAAAGAGAAAAGCTTAGAAATCCCAAAATTATCAAATAAATATCCGAGGATCTTTTAATCCAAACCATGAGACGTAAATTGGTCTATCAAATAGAAAACTTGTACGTAATGTCCAATTAATCCCCCTCCTCCCCCCCCCCTCTCCCCCCAATATTTAATCTAAAAGAATTTTTTAATTTTCAAAATTATTTCTGCCCTCAGATTTTGTTTGTTTTTATTTCGTAAGCAAAATCTCAATTATTATTATTATTTATTCTATTGAACTTTTAAAATATTAAATTAGCTCTCCTCCATTTTTAGCTCTAGACAAAAAAATATTCCATAGTTTTCTTTACTTTTTAATTATAAAAATAGATTTTATAGCTAAAAATTAATTTTTTAAAAATAAAAGTAATTAAATTTATTATTTTTTTAAAAAATAATAATTTTGTTTATTTTGATTTAGTAAAATTGTTTGGAATTTTTTAAAAGAGAGAGAGAATCCAAATATTTGTTAAAATGTGTATCTTTCCCCTTTACATTAAAGATAATTTGTTTTTTTTTACATTAAGTAAAAAAATTTTTTTACATTTTTTTTTACTCCCTCAATTATATTTTTAATTTTTTACTTTTTTTCAGCAAAGTCTAGACATTCTCGAAAAAACAAAAAAAACATACAAATTTAGTCTAATTAAATGTACTTTTTAATTTAATTTCTAAACATATATGTATATTGTTTACATAATTGTTTCTTTTGCATAAATTTAGGAAGTAATCAACCATTTTCACAGAAAAAACATTTTTCTCTTTCTCTTAATTAACATATAATTTTTGGGTAAAATTTAAATAAATTAATTTTTTTTGTAAATAATTTAATTAAATAAATAAACAGAAATACCTAAATACTAATATATATTTTTTAATTAATTTAAATTAAAAAAAATGACATAAAATTCAGCGAAATATGTATAAAAAAAATATTTTTTTTGTAAATTAATATGTAGATTAATTTAATTTAACTCTCTCTTATTTTAAACTACAAAAAAAGCAAAGAACGTGTAAAATAAAAAAAGGGAATTCCCCGATCTCTCGAACGTTTCTAATTTTTTTTTCAATGAAATTAAAAATGATAAGCGTAACTTCTAAAAATATTTCGAAATTTTCTTTTTTAATAAAATAAAAGACAAATTTTCACTAAATCTCTTTAAAATGTTCATCATTCCTAGCTAACTAAAGAAGTTCAAGTTTGGTTTTGAATGCTCTACACGATGCTGCAAAAATATTTACGAAATTTTTGGTGACAGTTCGATAGGTTCCCTTGTTAACTAAAAATTTTCTTCAATTTTTTTTTTAAATTCTTTTTATAGTCTTGGATATATGCTACATAAATTTAAATATTTTTAATTGTCTCTTTAACAGGAAAAAATTGAAAAAATTTTTTAAAAAATCTTAGATATTTATATTTATATAAATCTCAACACTTTTAATCTTTTCTTGTCTGTACTTTTAACAAATCTTTTTAATTAAATATATAAATCTCTTTCTTAAAGAAACAATACTTTGCACTTTTATATTTTTTTAAAATCCTCTTCCTTCCATTCTCTACATATACTACTTCCACAAATTCTTTCTTTGATTTTTCTTTTTTTTTATAAATGACGTAAAAATGAGGCGATTTTTAGTAAAAAGTATAAGAAAGAAGTGTCTGTCTAGTAAAAATCATTGAAAGGGGGGACGACCTTTTTCATTGAACACACACAAAAACTTTCCCCCAATTCTTTACAAATAACTCAAAAAATATATATTTAAGTTAATCAACACACTTAAAATATAAATCAGCACATGCCTTTCTCTCCTAAATATTAAAAAATGTTTCCTTCCTTCCTTTTTTATGATCGCCCACTAACCAAACTAACTCCATCTTCATTTAAATATTTCGAAATTTTTTACAAAAATTACAAAAATGTATGGCGTGTATTTGCGTACTTTCTTCTAAATATTTTAGCATAAGAGAATGTGTGTGTTTTTGTCTACAAAATATAAAATACAAAAAATTCTGCAAAAATAATAATTACAAAAATGCGCGTAATGCATACACACAAACTGCAAAACACGAAAAAATATTTACAAAAAAAATTATAACAAAAAATTCAAAAATACCCTCATGATGGCAGTAACAATGCTAACTATCTGCAGCTAAAAATATCCGTGTACATGTCCTCCTTAACATTGTTACTACCGGCATCACACAATAAATATTATCAAAACACATTAGTATTTTTATTAGAATATTTCCGGAAATTACCCCTTCCCTTCCCTTCCTTTCTTTCTTTTAAATATTGTTACTATTTTCTTCCTTTTTTTAGTCTCTTCACTTTAATCCAAATAATTAAATACGCCATTTCCCAAAACAATTTTTTCAATTAAAAAAATCCTAAATAAAAAAAAGAGGAATTACTACCTAAATAGTCTAGGAGGAAATAAACAAATTTTGTTTGGATATATTTTTGGAATTGTTCAAAGATTAAAAACGTAAAATTTAGCAGCTAATTTTAAATAAATTTAAATAAAATAATTTTTTTGAAAAGTTTATTTAAAGGGAGAGAAAATTGGAAGAGGGTGCAAGTATATACGAGGATAATTAGTAGGTAGGTGAGGGGGACGGCAACGCAAAAACTTCTAATTTAATTAATAATTTTATTAAAATACTTCCAAATTTACATATTTTCTTTTAATTTTTAAAAAGTATTCTTCCTCTTTTTAAATTAAACACCCCCCCCCAAACCCTCCCCCCTCTCCACTACTTATTATCTAAAATATTTTCTCAACAATTTTTTGACTCATCAGGCAAAACTGATCTATACTAAAATATATAAGTAAATATTAGATAAAATATAAAGATCAAATAAAAAATAAATAAAAGGCGTGGGCAGATTTGCAGAATTTTTGATTATGCAAATAAAGGAAGAAGATTATTTAGTTTTAGGTAAATATTTGCTTAATGACAAAGACTTTTTTTAAAAATGAAAGAAAACTAAATTATGACGTATTTAAATATATATATTAATTACTCATCTTTTTTTTTAATTTCAAAAAAATTTTTTCTGAATTTTTTTTTGTTGTTTTGCTTACGCAACATATATTTATGTATTTAATTTCCTTCAAAGTAAATTACTTCTTAATCTTTTAAACACAAAAGGCTTATGATAAATAAATATTTAAATCCTCTTTCCTTTCACATTTTAAAATTCAGATTATATTTAAAATATTAATTATTTTTTGTAAAAATTAAATCCTTTTTGTAAGCTTGGAGAAACGAATGTGTGTGTTTTCATAATACATTAACACATTAACTATATAATCTTTACTAATAACTTGATAGAAAATTTGCAATATTAAACAAAAAAAAGTGTTAACTTTTATGAATCCTCTATATAATCTACACAGAATTAATTCCGTATAAACTAAGCAGGGAATAAAAACATTTTAAATTTAAAATATTTATTATAAACTTTAATTCAGGGTTGCCATACATACTTATTTTGGAAGTACTTACAAATAAATGAACTCTTTAATTAAAAAATTAAATGTAACCTTAAAATTCTCAAAAATTTATTCGGATAAAAATATAAAATATATTTGAGCTAAAATAATTTTTTAAATTGTATTTTGGGGCGTACTTTTATTTAAACCCCCCCCCTTTATGTACTTCCAAATTAAACTTTCTGTACTTACACTAAACATTTTCTACATGGCGGCCCTGCTTTTAATTAATTAATAACTCCTCTCCCTTTTTTAATAAAAACATTAAAGCTTTAAAAAACTTTCATTAAAAACATTTATCCACTCACTACCTTAATTCACATCATTTCCCCTTCACTAAAATTGTGTTTATCATATTTAAATATAATTTAAAATATATTTAAGTAACACATTAAAAATAAAAACTTGTTTATATCCCCCCCTAACTCCCTTTAAACATTTTAAATTCAAAACAAGCCAAACCCCCCCCCCTCTCATTTAAAAATCTTAAAAGTATACATATTTAGTTAAAAAACATTATTATTAAAAGCAATTTAAATATAGCAAAATGGCAAAAAATATTTAAAGTAAAAAAGCGTGAAAAATGCAACTAGCCATAAAAGAACGAAAACAAACTTTTTTTTAATTTTAAATTTAGAAAATAATTTTTTTTGACTCCAAATACAAAAAATTCTAAAAAAAATTATTTTTGTTTTATAATTATTTGTGTGAACACAAATACAAAAATACCTTATTTAAATTTAAAAATATTTATAAAATTTTCTCTCAATCCAAAAATATCCTTCCCCCCCCCCCCCCCCCCCACTCCTCCCTACCCTAAAAATAAAAATTTAAACTTATTAACTTATATTACTTCTTTAAATAAAAAATAATTTGTATTTTTTTTATTTTAATATAATTTCATTCATTTCCTTATTAATTATTAAAAATTTAATTTTTTTTCACCTTAAAAAGTTTCCCCATTATTATGTGTTAATTTCTAAAAATTTAAAAAATAAAAGGAAGTAATTTTATGTAGATTTCTACTAACAATATTTTTCTTCCAGTATTTTAATCAAAATTATTTCAATTAATTAGTTCCACTTAATTTTCGAGGAATTAATCAATTTTTAAATTTAAATTTGCCACAAAAATTTTTTAACAGAGAGACTAAAAGATATCTAAAAATAAAACAAAGATTGCTTTTTATGTAATATTGCATTAAAAACATAATAAAGGCAGCAGAAATTCATGTGAATTTTTAATGAAGAAAATTTACTTGTTTTTTTTATTGTTATTGTAGGTAGGTAATTTAATTGAAAAAGAGAATTTGTTTTTATAATTTTGTTTTTACAATTTTGTATTATAAATTAAAGACAAAAGTTGCCAAAAATGAATAGTACATATTTACTAGAGACCGGACAGTGACAAGATCTCGAACAAAAATCTCGGTTATCAAGATCGATGTTTTTCAAATCTCGATTCTGTATGACCCTCTCAGTCCGATCTCTAGTATTTACTACTAATTAAAATTTTAATTATACCAAAGTTAGACACCGCAATTAAATCCAAAACCAGCAAAACTAAGCATGAACAAGCTAAGAATCTATAGGCCAAATAATCTAACAAAATGCTCTCAAACATTTACAATCGCAAAACAACCAAATAAAGATTTTCTACTAAACTTTAAGTTTAAACACCTAGAATTTAACAAAAAACATTTTAAAAGAATTCAAAACTTCTCTAATTCAACTTCCAAAAAATCCTTTCATGTTTTTATACAATATACCTACAAACATTCATTCATTTTTTACTTTAACGTAATCAAAAACATTAAAACAACAAAAGAACGTGTCCGTCAAACAACCAATTATTTATGTTTGTATAAACGTGGGTGGTTGGTGGTGGTGTGTTTCTAATTGATATTATGTATGTACAGACACCAAATTAACACACAAAGTTCATCGAGCATTTTAAAATAAAGCAAATTAATTAGGACTGTCAATCGAATGATATGTATATATTCCGAGTTTCGATCTCGGTGGGCCTATACTAAAGTAAAGCCAGATAGGCAATGCTACAGAGAATATCTTTATGCAAAATTTTTAGTTTCTAGAATTTTTTTTAGCAATTCCAAGTCAGCGCTAAATCAACCCACAATAATTAGAACGAAATTTTTTGATAACGAGAGCGGAAATAGTAATAAGAAAAGAGAGGGAGAGCAAAGTGCGTGTTTGTGAGTGAGTGAGTATCTACTTACAAATATTTTTTAAAAGTAAGATGATGATTGTGATGATGAAAGCAATTGTGAAAGACTGGACTGTTAATTTTTTTGTGTTTTTGAAAATTGTTAATGGAAGTGATACGAGGAAGAAATTAAAGAAATTTTTTTAGAAAAAAGGGAGAATGTTGCGGCGCGGAGCAAAAATATAGAAAAAACAATGTGAATAACATGTGAATTTATTTTTATTTTATTTTTTCACACTTAAAACATCCCCCTCCTCCTCCTCCAAAAAATATACAAAAGTTTAATTGTCAGACAAAAAACGATGACTATCACCCCTATCTTCTCCTTTACTAAACACACATTAAATAAATAGTGCAATTTTGAGCAAAGAATTTTTTTGGTGTGCTCATTCTCTCAACTTTAATTGTTAAACATTCTTTAAAGATTAAAAAAAATTTCAAAATCAAAAAAATATTCCAGTTTCCACCAACTTTAATATTTCTTAATAAAAAGTCTGACGCGTTATTTCCACCCGTCCCCATATTTTTAGCCGACGTAGTATTAGTCTTTTAAACTCCACCCATTTTTGCGCTAGCCATACACTCTCCACATCCATTCTTGAGCCTCTTAACAATCCTCCTCTCCCCTCCCCCCACCCACAAATTCCACAAACTAAAAGGGAATATATAAAATGGAATAAATTGGACAGAAGATGGACACTTTTCATATACAAACCACTTTAAGAAAAAATATTCCTATTTCTTTCTTCTCTTTAAAATACTTATTATTAAATGCCCAATACTGCCCAATATATTTTTAAAATTATTAAAAATAATTATTTTATTTAAAAACTAATCACTATAAAATACTCTTAGGTTAGAATTTTGGACGTTTTTTAGTTCAGTTTTTAGCTTCTGGAACTTATAACCAGGCAAGCACATGGATACGGATATCCGGATATCCGCGGATGTCCGCGAATGGATATGACTCAAAAGTCGGACGGATACAAACGGATACGGATATTGACCCCACGGATATATCCGGATACGGATAGCAAAATCCGTATCCATGTGCAAGTCTGCTTATAACCACCTTCTTCTTCAATATCTCTACCTCAAACCTTTAAAATAATTATTTTCAAAATTTTATAAAATTAAAAAAACCCTCGTGAAGCCTAATATTTTTCTAATTAAAAACTATTTATCCAACAAAATCACATTCCCCCCCCCCCTCCCCTTTCAAAATAAAAAAAATTATTTCCAAAATTTTCTTTTCTCCATTGTTCTTTGCACTCAATAAAAGAAAGAAAAAACGCCCAATTTTTATCACAAAAATTTTTTGTTGTAATCACAAGTTGCCATTCACGCCATTTTCACATTTTTATTTAAATAATTTTTTGTTTAATTATTCATTCATTTAATTAATTTTTTATCAAATAATTATTTTTTTTCAACTAAAACAATTTAAACAAAAGGAGGAGGGTTCCCCCTTAAAAAAACCTGTTAATTCAGAGAACTAAAAAAATTATAATAAAATATTTTCTCTTTTTTGTAATAATTTAAATCATTTGATTTATTTAAAAATTTATTTATTTACAAATTAAATTTTAACAATCGAAAAAAATTTTTTTGTATTAAATTTTTGTTTTGTCAGTTCAAAAAATTAAAGGAAATTTTTTTACTCGATACTCTTAATTATCATTCATTTTCTTTCTAAAAACAACCAAAAAAAACAATTTTTTGTTTGTTGCAACTCGTCTTTAAATTGCAAAAATAATAAAATGCTCTTTGTTCTTTTTATTTACTCCCCCCCCCCTCCCCCCTTCTTTTCCCCAATTTTTAAATTAAAAAAGAAAAATAAAATTTAGCAACATTTCTCTTACATTTATTTTACACGTGAATTTTTCTTTTTTTTTCTTTTGTTTAATGATAAAATTAAAAAGAAAACAAAGATCTTTTAAAGAAAATAAAAATTATATATTTTGATAAATAATTTTTTTATTATTTTTTTAAAATTTATCCATATAAACTCTTCCCCTTCTTCCCCCCCCCCTCCCAACTAATAAAAATTACTATTTATTTAATCAAACATTTATCAATTAAAATTATTTTTAAAAAACTTTCCGTTTATTTAAAAATAAAAAGAGACTAGTTTTTTCTTTTTAAGTTTTCCCCGTTCAAAGTTATTTGATTAAAATATCAAAATTAAATGCCTAAGGCGGTAAAAAAGTAAAAATATATAAATTTTGTTCTATAATTAGTCAAATAATTTAAATAAGTATTTAGTAAATACCCAAAAAAATTAAAAATAAATCAAAACATTTTTAATTAAAAAATCTGTTGTTCATTTTTAAAATATTTTTAATAAAAAAATATCTTAATTTAAAAAATAATTATTATAAAAATAATTATTTATTTACTACATACTTTTAATCCTTTTATTAATAACTACAATTTATAAACTTAAATTTTTCACTCTTTTATATTTTTAATAAGCTAATATTTAATTACTTCCTCCTCCCCTTTTAATTTCCAAAAAATTGTAGCAAAAATATTCACATTTTTTATAAATAATATTTTTCCGCTTCAAGACAAAAAAAAGTGGGGAAAAGGGGGGAAATGTTGTCATATTATTTGTTTTTACTGTAAAATTTGTTTGTAAAATATTTTAAAGTGCATAATTATTACGTAAATCTGTTCTTTAACGTAATAAAAAAAAATAGATAAAATATATAAATATTATTTTTTTAAATAAATAACCTCCTAAATACAAAAGAAACTACGTTTATATATAAAGGATATTTTTCTGAAATAATTTTGAAAAAAATAAAATTTAGATACCGGGCAAGAATCGAACTTGCCCCGACCTGACCTTCTAACAGCTATATGTACATATTAGTGTTATGCACGGTACGGTATTACCGCGGTATTTTCCGGTATCGGTATTTTACCGAAAATACCGATACCGCAAAATCGCGTTTGACCAACACTAGTCCTGGCCCCTAGCAGTGAGTACTCTGCTTTTCCCCTTTAAACTCGCCTGAATGTTTAAAAAATCCCTTTACTCTCTTTTTTTTACAAATTTTACAATTTAATTTTCTAAAGTTCCTTCAGTTTCCGCCAATCTGGCAAAAAATATTAATAAAATAAATAAATAAAAATAAAAAATTTGTTTTACGTTTTTATGGAATGTTGAAAAGAAAAGAGGATTAATAAATAAACAGACTAATTTTGTTTAGTGAATATGTACACCTTTGCCTTTTTTATTAGATACACTTTCAGCAATACCTTCTTCTTAGAAGAAGACACTGCTGGAATGTACTGCCAGAAAAATTGTTTCCACTAGAAATTTTAAATCCTCTTAATACAAATCCACAAATATAAATAAAAGGAAATGGAAATTATATTTTAATTTTTTTTATTATCCCAAAGTCTTTATGAACAGTCTAGGACGAAGTTAATGTAAAAAAAACTTTTAAAGCTAATTCTGAAAAAAATTATATTTACACAGAAACTCAAAAATTCCCATCCAGAATTATTTAACAAATACACAAAATATTTCCTCGTTACCGAAAATTAGGGTTGTTGACAAAATGTTAATTTTTCCCTATGGCGTCTCTTATTATTCTCTATTTGAGATGCCACAATTAAAGGTTAACCGATCACCCCCCCCTCTCCTCTACCGGAAATATCAAAAAATATTTTTAGAAAAATTTTTTTATGACCAATGTAAAATGCACTATAAAATTATTAAATTTTCTGACCTTTAACTACGTCAAAGACTAAAAACAAATAAATACAATTAAACTAAAGTGTTTCCAATTTTATAAATTTTAATCTGGATCAAAAACATTTTATTACATAAATAAACACCCACACAAAAAACATTAAAAACCTAATTTTGAAATCCTTTTAAAAAAGGAAAACTCTCTAAAAAACTTCCCCTAAATTAAACCCAAACACATATAAATATCCGTATTAATCAACCAAAAAACTTTTTATTTTAGCTGTTAATCTTTTCAGTTCACCACGCCTCTTCCTAAAAAATATTTTTTAATTATAATCTTTTTTACTTCCTTCTTTATCAAATAAAAAGAAATTTTTTTTACTCAAAATTTTTAATTCTCCATTCTTTAATTTTTTATCAGTTAATTGATATACCTACATATATAATTACAATTAAATCGCAACTAAATAAATATTTTTACACATTCACACAATTATTTTATTTTATTTACATTCCTTTTTGCTTCACTAATTTTATAAAAATTACTAAACTACGATATTTAGTAGTCACAAAATAAGTATAATACCTCTAAATATACACTCCTTTTGCTCTGACAAAAATTTATAAAATAAAATTAATTAACAACAAAAATAATTTTAAAATCTAATTTTTCACGCAATTCTAATAAAAAAAATAATTGTACTAACAATTGTACCAAAGATATTTTTTTGATTTCAAAAAAAGGCAAAATTGGAATTGATACTTATTTGTATTTAGTAATTGTTTAAAAAAATTCAGAGAATTCCAAAAAAAAACTTAGAAGAAAGAAATATATACACCTCACCCTCTCCACTAAAGTAAATCCCCTCACTTATAGTGGACATTTTTTAAAAATCTGATTTGCCATATAGCTGGAGGAAGCTGCCTAACTAAAGATAACTTCCAGTATTTGGCAAAACTTACTTTTCGGTATTTTTTAATTGTCCATTGATGCTTTATATTATACACCTATGTACATATTTAATGGCCTTTTGTGGGATATTTTTTAAAATAATTATTTTGCTAAATATAATTGTTTATTTCCTTATTTATTTATTGGCCACACAAATTCTTTTTTTTTCAAAATTAATTATTAATATATTAAAAAATGTATTTGGATGTGAGAAATCCTTAAAAGTAGATATTATACTTAATTTTTTTAATTTTTTTAAAAATAATTCTAATGCAAGTCAAATATAGTTCCCCTCCAAAAATTTTTTTAAAAAATTTCTCACATCATTTTTGACATAAAAATATTTTTATTTTAAAAATTGTAGGACAAAAACAACCTTTGGAACAATAAAGAAATTTTTGTTCTAGTAAATCAAAAATGGCGTCATTTTCCCACAAAGTCCCCCCCCCTAAAATTTATCCCCAGATTTAAAAAAATTAATTTATATTTTAGTATTATTTTAGTAATTCATTTTATAATTTTTAACAAATTTAAAAAATTATTTAAGTAAATCTAAACAAAAAACTACCTATATTTATTTTAAGAAAAATTTTTTGGAGGATTAATGGAAGTATATTATATTTAAATCCGTTTAGATATAAATATATCCGTTTAAAAAACACTTAAAGAAACACCCAAGCATAATATATAACACACAACCAAAACATGCCCTTATATATTAATTTAGAAAAAAAACAAACAAAAAATTGTGTCGAAAATAACTACCAAATTACGTCAAATCCTTCCACATATGTACTATTTTTATTTCAATTTTAAAAATTCTATTTTTATCGGTTAAAGTGTTAAAAGGCTTACAAAATTAAAAAAAAACTTTCGCGAATATTCTCTTTTATTTTATAGCCAGAATAATTATTGTTAAATTTAGATTAAACAAAAGCCACACAAAGGCATTATTACTAAAACTACATTTAATAATTTATTATTTTTATATTAATCAAAAAATGTCAACATTCAATACTTCAACAACAACAACTTCAAGACGGCAACAAAACACAAATTTATTCAAACAACTTTTATTCTTACTGCTAATATTAAATTATGTAGCAGCAAAAACATTATTTGATGTTGATGATATTTGTGAATGTGGAAGTAGATGTGTTGGATTTGGAGCTAAACATTGTGTTAGGTAAAAGAAAAATAATTCAACTACTTTTACAAAATTCTCATTTTTTTAAAGATGTTGCACAACAGTAATGCGTCGTTCAGTTCCACTAACAGAATATCCAATGGAACAATTAAAAGAAGCAGCAAAAATAAAAAATATAGCAAATACAGAAGAGGAAAAACAACAAAATAATTTAATTGAAAAATTTGTAAGAGATCAAGAAAGAAAAATGAAAAAAGAAAATATTGAAGAAGAAAATAATGTTGATGATGAACAACAAAGGAAATTAAATCGACTAGAAAAAAAGTAAAATAATATTTTCAAACAAATTTTATTCCCCTCTTCTTTTTTAGATCAAACAATTTTCAATTGTTCATTCCTTCAATATTGCTGGATCGAGCATATCTTCGGACAGAAGAAAAAAATGTCGATCAAATTGTAAGGCGGAGAAGACATTCAATATTTACAAACGAAGAGCAACAACAATTGAGGAATTAAACACTCACAAACACTCTCAATAAAATAATTTTCCTTTTTCAACATTTTTAACTACGCAACGCGCATAAAAACAACACAAATAATATTTTCCTCAAAAAATTTTATTTTTTATCCCACACATTTTTATTACTTTTTTGTCCTCTACTTAAGACATGGTCAGTGTTTTGGCTAAAGAAAACTCCCCCCACAACAGCATAACAAATAAAATAAAAATACAAGAGAATTACTTGTATCAAAAACAAAAAAGTGTTCACGCCAAGAAAAGAAGAGGGAGGAGCAGATAAAATGGATTTAATAAAGATGAAAATTAAAAAATGATGGAAATGATTTACAAAAAAAGTAGAAGAAATTTAAGCAATTTTTGTAATTTTTATTTCTTTTTCTTTCTCTCCTTTCTTGACTAAACACGGGTTTTTTTTCTTCTTAAAATATTTTTTTCACTCCTTTTCCCCCGGCTGCTTTTAATTTTTTTTCTATCAAAATCCTCAATTTCTTTAATTTCTAATTTTCTTTAATTCCCCTTATTTTTGGGTCTCTTGACCGTATATTTTTTCCTATAAAATAATATCAACGCGCATTTTTATATCGATAAAATTAATCATTTTTTTGTATAACATTTTTCCATAAACTAACTTAAACAATAATAGTCAAAAAATGATATATTTTATCGCGATACTCACTAAGCCTCAAAAAATAATTATTCCCCCATTTATTTACTCCAAATATTTAAAATGTTTTTCAAGTCTAATTCACCCTATGACCATTTAAATAATTGGAGTAAAACATTTCTTTGTCATTCTCCAAATTCCTTCAAGAACAATCTCATTGTTAAATTTAGTTTATTTGTTTTTACAAAAAAGGAAGAAAAGCACAGAATTCATTCCAAGTTTTTAGAAAACAAAACAACTTTCTTGAAAATTTACAAGTTTCTTCCTTCCTTTACCAATTTTAATCTTTTTCAACATTTTTTTTCTCTCGAAAACAAACATTTGCGCGTTGCTTTCAACAATGTTTAATTTCTTCATACATTTATTTTCCTGATTTTTTTCTCTTTTCTTAAAAATATTCCAAAAATATCACACAAAATCTTTCTATTTTTAAAAAGAACATTTCTAACATCTTCACAAGCTTTCACTTTTTTATTCTCAATTGTTGTTTTAGCCCTTCAATTTGTGTTAGATCTATCACTAGAAAAATTAATTTTCCCCTTTCTCTCTCTTATTATTCTAAATTCATCTTTTTTTAATTTTAAAAATTTCTAGTTGATGTGATTAATGATATTAAATTTTGTTGTTGAAGTTATTTTCTCTTGTGGATAAAATACTAAAAAATACTAGACTTACCTATTCCTAATTAAACTAGAAAACGTGAAAAACTTTAAAAATTTATTTTTCAGACATAAAAACAAACAAATATACCTAACATTTAAATACTAACCACACATAAATATCATTATTAACTGGGATATCATCTTTAAGTGTCAAATAAAGCACAAACAATTAAACCTATTTTTTAATATTACGCGCCGCCTCTTCTTTCCACTGCTTAAATGATGTCAACGCTTTTTCTGTCATCCAACTAGAAGGATTAAGCAATTCTTTATCCCAGTAAGCACCTCTCATCGTTGGATTAATCTTACATCCAATCCACTGACGATACATAAAATAGTCCTAGACAAAAAAAGAAAAATAAGAGACGAACATTTAAACGAATCTTGGGGGATTTCACGATAAAAAACTTTGTTAGACCTTTTTCACCTTGACTGCATATTTAAAATATTCATTCCCCTACAAGCTATATGGAAATAAGCAAAATACCTGTAAAGCATGTTCTCGAACCAATTCATAAGGAAGCTTCTGAGGAGTGCTAAATCCAATAAATTTAACAATGCACATGTTATCATCTTCGGCAGTCATTCCAAGAATACTTTCCACCTAAAAATCGAGCAAAATTCTGAGTTATAAACTCCAAAAAATTAAACCTTCCATCCGAGATCAAATCCATTCTTCTGGTTCGGCGAATTAAAAATACGAACCTTGCCTTTGAAAATACTATCAACACTAATTGGCTAAAGATTAAAATTTAGTAAAGAATCGGTTGAAAAATTAAAACAAACCTCTAAAGGTTCATAATCTGGCTTATCCATTTCCTCCATAGGAATACTCGCTAATATTTCATCAGTCAGTTCCGGTTGATTTTCCCATTCATCGATAGTTCCATCAAGCAAACGTTGATAGAAATCATCACTAGCGGTTGATGGAATTGTGGCTGATCGGTTAACTGTGGCTGAAAATTTTTTTATTGTTATAGAAACAATGAATAGAGATTGCTATTAGAAGCTGTTTTTGGTGGGTTTCACTGTTTAGGAAAAAGATGAAAAATATCTTTCGATATTTTTGAGGTCTGCGAGTAGGTAATCGAGAGATGATGTGTCCAAATATATGAGATTCGATAATATTAAACAAAATTTGAAATTTTTAATTTAAAAATCAAATTCGCCTTGATCGAATTTGGGGTTCTAAATATGTCCGTCATCGGGTTTGAACCTCTGTGCCCACTAGATTGTATACTTGCAAACCTAAAATATCAGCAAAAGCATTTTTTCAGAAGCCACTTTTACTGCCTTTAAATAAACAAAAAATCCAAATCTTGAGATTCAATTTTTTAGACCTTAATAGATTAGAAAAAAATCTTACAAGAACAAGTAGATGCCATCCTTTGTTTGCCTCGTTTCGTTTCCTCTTCCATTTGATAAACAGCCATTTGATCATTTGTACTTAAATCCTGTTCATCTTCAAATGAATCAACAGTAGCATAACTCTTTGGTGTTGGAGGAATTTGCAAATCCATTTGGTCTGTTTCTTGAGATCCATTATCGCTATCATTTCCATCAACGAGCAATTGTCGTCTTGGCATTTGTTCTTCAGTTGCAGTAATGTTTTCGACTAAAAAATATAAACTAAAATTAGTGTTCAAAAAACAGCTAGAAAAGAAAATCAATAAAAAACAAAGGAAAAAACCATTTTAAATATTCTAAAGCCGCTTTAAGCAGAGTAAATTAATCAATAAGTATCAATTTGTTAACCAACAAAAAAAGAAAAACTTTTTTGTCAGACTCATACAAAAAATACGAAAAAGGAAAAATTCGTTTGGCTAAAATTTCATTTTGTAAAAATTGCAAAATTAATAAATTAAACTTTGCCAAAAAAACAATAAAATTAAAAAAAACTTGCAAAAAAACTTTTTTAAAGAAACAAAAAGCTTATAAAGTTTTCTTGCATTAAAAAACTTAATCAAAAAAATATAATTTTCATAATTCACCTTTATATTCAAATAAACGATCAATTTCTTCCAATCCTTTCACTAGTTCATCATTAACAGAATCATCGTCCACTCTTTCCTCTTCATTGTTGTTTTTCTCATTTCCTTCCTCAACAATTTCGTTGTGGTCAGAAATTAATTGTTGTTCATCTGGTGAAGTATCAATACTATTGTCATCACTCGTTCTCTAAAAATAAGGACAAAAATTAAAAAAATTTTCATCCTTTAAACACGCGAAAAAATTTTAAAAAATAATTTTATTTTCAATATAAATAGAAATTAATATTTAATAACCTCAAAAATTCACAAACCTCAACTCTTTCAACATTTTCTTCCTTTTCTTTATCATCCGAAATAACGCTAGCAGGTCTTTCACTATAATTTTCTTCACCACCATCAACACTGCTATCTTCACTATTAATTATCTTCTTTTGTTTAACTTTGGTCGTTCCTTCCAAATTATTATTTGTCAAGCTCAATTCATCATCTGTATCACTTTGACTATAAAAATTATTCAAAAAAAAATAAAAATATTTAAAAAACCTTGATAAATATTCTTGTAAAGCTTCTTTTTTTAATTTTTCCATTCGCTTTTTCTTTTCTAATTTTTCTTCTTCTACACTTTTTTGTTTCTTCAATTTTTTGGCGTCTTCGACATTTTTCTTCTTTTTAAATTTTTGATATAAATCTGCAAAAGAGGACGATGAGGAAGAAGAATTTGGAATAATTGAAGAAGTCCTTAATTTACTAACTTGTTGCTGATTTGTTTCCTTTGAAGGTTTTTTGGGAGATTCTTCATCAATGTTACTATCTTCATCAGAAGTTGGGCTTAAGCTGATCCCTTAAAAATAAGTTTATATATTTATGGTCTTCAAGAAAATCGAGATATTGAAATTTAAGAGCCCCCTATTTCCATTTACTCGTTATACCTTTGGCGACTAAATTACTGAAGGGATTAACGATCATCCTGGTTTCACGAAGAAGGATGATTGTTCAACTTAACAAACGGCGAAAGTTACATATTGCCCCCAAAATTTTATTTCCCAACAAAAATTTAAATTTATACTTTTCACAATCACAGTTTCTTCAGTTTTTTCAATTTTCTTCTTCTTTGGAATTGTTTTGTCACTTTCCTCTTCATCCACCGTTGGCAGATTTTTTCTTTTATTTTTCAAGTTTTTGAGCGTCGAACTTTCAGAATTTGGTCGTAAACTTGACGAACGTGAAGAATCTTTTGACGAAGTTGATGAAGATTTCTTTTCAATTCGATGCTTTCTCTCGTGTGTGAAAGATGAAGAATAAGATGATCTTGGAAAGTTGTTGTCCCTAAAAAAATAGTCTTATAATTATAAAAGTGGAGCTTAACAATTTGACGTAAATATAAGGAAAAGAAAAAATCTATTGAAACCCAAACCTTTTCATATTCTTCAAAAGTCGGCTTAAAGTGCTTGAAGAAGTAGATTGATCAGAATATTTAGTGCTCTTCTTTTCACTTTTTATCTTCACTGTTTTCTCATGGCGATGCTCTTTATTACTTTTTAAGTCAACTATCGGAGATTGGTCATCTGGAACAATAAAATCTTCGTCTCCACTGTCTTGGTCATAAACTTCTCTAAAAATTTAAATATTAAACAAAAAATTATAAAAACACACTTTCGTTTTCGCTCCTTTTTAGCCTTATAAGCTTCCAATAATTCTGGACATTTCTTTAAAAAAACTTTGAAATCAAAATTTAACTTCAAAAATTAATAACCAAATTTTCTTCCGGCTCAAGAGTATTCGCACTTGAAGGGTAACCAACCCATTTGACCCAATAAAATCGCTTTTGCTTTTTGGCATCCCATTCGTCAGAGACTATCTTTTCAACTTCATATTCATCTTCGTCAGAATTATCACTGCTGTCCGCCGAAATTTCTTTATCAAAAACGTCCTCTTCCTCTCTTGGCATTAATTACATAAACTTAAGTAGAAAAATGAGAATATGTTGATAAAATAAAATTTATTTAAACTTTTATAGCACCTAAAAATTAAATTAGTGAAAAATTAAAGAAAATAATCATTAAATCAAAAATATAAAAAAGACAAAAAATTGGACTAATTAGTCATGAATAAAATAAATTATCTAAAAAGCAAGTTTACAAAAGTCGTTTTGCGAGCAAAAATAGTTAGGCCCATAATGGGAAATAATCCGGCACATAATGGGACTCACCTTGTTAAAATTTTGAGGAAAGAGCACGTAGAAAAACGAGAGACATTCTAATTTATGAAAATAGTGTTGAATTAATCTGAAAAAAGAAAAAGGGGGTAGGGGATCATTGAGTCCCGCCGGTTGAGTCCCGGGGCCATATTTTGGGCCATAACTTTTTGGGGGTTCAACCAATTCAAATAAATCTTTTATCATCTGAAAGCCCTGGATAAGGGGATTATTTCCGCCAACTTGATTGATTTGATCAGACTATCCTACAAAAAGTTACATCTAGATAAGTGCGCGCAATCGTGATTTTTGATCTTTATTAAGCTGTAACTTTTTGTTTGTTGATCTGATTAGATCACTCCTGCTAGATAAAATAATCCTTATATCAAAAGCTTTTGATTGATATATTAAGTATCTAAATTAATTAAGAATTGAAAAAGTTATGACCCAAAATATGGCTCATGGACTCAACCGGCGGGACTCAATGATCCTGTTCCGAAGAAAAGAGTAAAAACATATCGCCAAATTTATTTTTATGCAAAAACAGCGTATTTTTGAAACTTATTTTCATAATCGATGAATTTTGCTTGCTTATTGACGAATTTTTCCCTTTTTTAATCTGAAAATTTTTAATTTTTAGGATTAATTTTTGTTCAAAAATTTTTTATTTGCCTAGACGAAACGATTTATAAATGGTAAATCTTAAACAATTTTATTATTTTTTAATTTCTTTTCAGGCAAAACGTACAAAAAAGGTTGGTATTGTTGGTAAATATGGCACTCGTTATGGAGCATCTTTGAGAAAAACTGCTAAGAAGGCAGAGATCTCTCAACATGCTAAATACACTTGCGCTTTTTGTGGAAAGGTTTATTTTAACAATTTTTATAAATTTAAAGCAAACTACAATTTAGGAAGCAATGAAACGATCGTGTGTTGGTATATGGCAGTGTATGAAATGTCATAAAAAGGTTGCTGGTGGTGCCTATGTTTACAGGTTCGTGATTTTTTTATTGGTTTTTTTAATTTCTGCTTTTGTCCGTTTACTTTTATTTTGGCCCATTCAAAGTAACCCAAGAGTAAGACAATTTAGCTAGTGGTAAAGATTAGGGCCTAAGTACACTTTACCGGGCGATTTTAGATTTTTATGATTTATATGTCAATCGAAAGAGCTCGGCGAGCTGAGTCGAATGACACCAAAATTAGCCCGCGGACTCAACTATGGACCGAGATATGGGTCCCCAAAAATCGAAAAACCATAGGGGGGACCAAGCACTTTTTTGGGATAAAATATTCAAATATGCAAATAGTAACTCATTCGAAAGAGCTCCTCGAGCTGAGTCGAATGACACCAAAATCATCGTGATTGGACAAGTTTGGACAAAGTTACGATAGAAAAACTAAAACCTAAACCTATGGAGCGTCGGCGAGGCGCTTGTGCAAAACCCCGCGCTTCGCGCGGGGTTTTGCGGCACGCGCCTCGCGGGGAGTCTACGGGCGCTGGGTCTGGGCTCGTAACATAAACCTATTCCTATCTCCCTTGCTCTGGACGTATTTGGGGCCTCCGTAGCAGCAAAAATCTCCACAGATGCCATAGGTAAGGAGCTAAAATAAAAGATCATAACTATGTCAAATCAAGTCAGATTTCGTTGATTTTGGTGTCATTCGACTCAGCTCGACGAGCTCTTTCGAATGAGGTATAATTTGCATATTCGAACTTTTTACCCCCAAAAAAGTGCTTGGTCCCCCCTATGGTTTTTCGATTTTTGGGGACCCATATCTCGGTCCATAGTTGAGTCCGCGGGCTAATTTTGGTGTCATTCGACTCAGCTCGCCGAGCTCTTTCGATTGACATATAAATCATAAAAATCTAAAATCGCCCGGTAAAGTGTACTTTAGCCAAGATTAGCTTTATCCCGACCAAGGGTAAACGCAAGAGGTAAGCCTAAAAAACGAAACACAAGATCAAAATTTAACGTAATGCGCTCACCACTAATTCCGACCCAATGTAGACCTTACAATTAGCTATAATTCCCCTAACTCCATTAATCGACTTTAAGTCACTCATAGCATTAAATGTCACTATAACATCTTTTCTACTTCAGCACAACAACCGCTGCCACAGTTCGAAGCACGATCCGTCGTTTGCGTGAGACAAAAGAATAAAAATTGGGTAATGACAAAGAGGTTCTTTATTTTTTGTTGTTGTTATTTACATAACAGATAAAAATTTGTGAATTGTTGAATTATTTTTGTAAAATCAGGGGATCGTTTTGGACCAAAAACATATTTTTTTGAAGAAATCTTTGATCCGATCTCGTTTAAATAACAAAAAAGACGTCAAAACAATTTTACCCATATATAATTGTATAAAAAACAAATTTTTGAATTTAATAAATATATAATAATCTATAAGTCAATAAATAATTCTTTGGTAGAAGTTTCTTAAAAAATATTTTTTCTATTCTACTTCAAGCTGACCATTCTCTTTTTTTAACTTCATTCTCGCATATGGTCGTAGCGGAAACAATCACATTCTTCTACACTAGGCAGTTCTCCAGTAATCATTGCCTAGTAAAAGTTTATAAAGCTTTAATTTAAAATATTATTTGTAGTATAAACCTGTATAACCCATTCACTTGAAACAGCCAAAGCATTCTTTGCACTTACACATCCGGCTAACTCAGGTTCACAATCGTTTTCGGTGAGAAAGAATTCGAAATTAGCTTAAATTTATTGTTGTTAAAGGATTTATATTTAAGAGATAAATAATATACTTTTCCTGCAAAATTCCAATTTTTCTTCAAGCGTCACAGTTTTATTCACCTCTTTCGAAAAAGGTTCACCATTTTCAATCCCAACAACCGTAGCTCCAAGGTTCCGCATCATTGAAATCCAAATCTCTCCAAATGAAACAACATTAGGATCTTCATTGTAATAACGGTTGTAAACAATGATTCGTTTGCCATTGAAAAGAACACCTTTCAAAGGCTTCCTATAAAAATGGGAACATTTCTTTGTTTGAAATACTACCTACCATTGACAGATACGTCCGGGCTCAGAAGTCGATTCACCAGCGGGCAGCAGAAATTCTTCATACTTGAGCAATTTTTTATCAGCAACACATTCTTGTATCCAAAGACAACTCACACAAGGAATTGACAACGAAAGAGCGGACAAATATTTGTGTGTTCGGTAAAAAGTATCAGCGACCAAAACAGCATGTTCTCCCTCCTTGAGATCCAAAAAATCTTCCATCACGATACCCCCACGTTCTCCAATTATTGTACGATATTCGCGCTTGTTAAAGTCGTGCACTTGAAAAAAATATTGAAAAAATTTCTCTATTAAAAAACCTTTATTTGGACGATTCGCTGAAGTGAACACAAATTTGAAGCCAGCAAAAAGTTTGTCCTCAACGCTGGCAGTACTGGAAGCATACGAACCAGCTGTGTTGAGCTAAAACAGATTTAATTATGTTTAACTTAAAAAAGAATATTCGTTCGCTAGCAAAATTTTCTGCCGAGACATTCTAAAGGTTAATAGTAATATTTGCCTGGTTTGACTCAGAACAACCTATTAAAAAGGCTGACAGGCTCCAAAAAATGAAACAGTAATAATCAAACACTCAACTATGTATACAAAAGCGATAGTAACTTTTACTCCCATTACTTTGACCTATACTAATTAATGGGAGTAAACAAAGCAAAAATCAAATTTACAAAAGATCAAAACCTCAGTAATCTCCTGCACAGGACTAAGAATTTCTATAACATCAAATGGACTTATTGTTAGCTTCCTTTGAGGTGTGCTATTATCCTCAAGAATTGAGATATTGTGGCTATCGTTTAAGTCTTCCAAATTCTCTTTATTTATTGCCGCATCAACATTTTCACCAGTTGTCTCCAAATAATCGCCTTCTCCTTCTTTAGTATCATTCTTTTTAGCACTTCGAGAGATTTTATGAGGAGATTGTTGCTTTTGTGGAGTTGTAATATTACTTAAAGGTGAACGACTTCTAAGCCTCGGTGACGGCCTATTGGTGAGATACTTGTCATTATTGTCGTCTGGGTTAAGAAAATAATTAATATATTATACATATGTATTTAAATTGTAAAAACCTTGAACTCGTTTATCTTCTTCTTTCTCATAAGCTGACATAACATCAAGATTATCTTCAGTAAAACCGTCCAGATTTATTTTTGACCGCTTACCACGAGGTGTAGTTGTAGTTCTCGGCGAAGATTTATTGGCGAGATTTTTGCCTTCATTGTTATCTAAAATATAATTAATACATAATTAAATTATAAAAAAACCTTCAACTTTTTTCCTATAGGCAGACCAAACATGCATATCTGTAGTAAGCTTATCTTCAGTAGAAACATCCCGATATATTGGCTGCTTACCACGAGGTGTAATAGTTCTAGTCCTCGGTAACGATTTTTGATGTGTTGCTTTGGGCGTATCAACTAAACTAGCTTCAGCACGACGCTTGATTAATGTCGGAGTTTTCATATTACTGAGACTTTTGTCACTAATGTCATACTAGAAAATTTGAAGGTCAAAAGTTAAATAGAAAAATTGCACTTTACCGTAAAACGAAAAGTTGGTTCCTTATTATAGTCCATTAAAAGATTTCTTGGCGATTTTTCACTCTCACCAAATGAAGCGCGTTTAACCTGAAATTATTTGGATTAGAGATAAGTTGCGGAGAAAAATAATTATAAAAATATACACTAATTTCGGACAATGGTGTAGGATGCTCATTAGATTTGAAAAAGAAATTGTATGGATCTTCACGATCATCAAAATTGATTAATGGCGTCCAATTAATTTGGTTCTTCGCACGTGATCGCCTTCTCTTAGCACTGCCCGGAGTAGTAGAAACAGGAGTATTTCCACGTCCCTCATTTGTAACTCGACGTCGTTTTACAGAAGAGGTTGGAGTAAGCGCTAGTTTGGCCGAACGACGTTTACGAGTTGAGACGCGCCTGTTGGCGGAAGTCACAATTCCAAAAGAAAAATTTGAAGGGGGTGTAAACGGTGGTTGGAGATCCTTTTGAACTAAAAAAGGAAAAGGAATATTTAGGGAGCAAGAAAAAAACTGTAATAAAATAGTTACAGACACGAATTTTGATTTTCGGCGTCCTTGGGTATCTTTACATCGAATTTTATAACACATCTTGCTTTGGAACCCACGGCAACTTGATCCTCGAACATAAACTGACGTATCGGTACCTTTCTTGTCTGAGGAGCCCAAAGTAGGTTCCAAACAAAAGTAGCTATGAACCCCAAGAATAAGGAACAAAACTTTACTTTTTGGTAAAAGAACAAAATCAATTATTATAAAAAAACAAACTCTGATCATCAACAGCTTCCCCAATGCGTTTGACGTTGACCTCGTTGTTCTGTTGTTTCAAGTCCTTTTGTGAATCATCCAGATGATCTCCCCCATATGTTCCACTATTATAATTTATTGAGTCAGTAGTAGGTTCCAAATCAAAATAAGAATTCATTTTATTTAAGAAGTAATGGAAAGTAAATGTCTTCTAAAAAAGTTGAAAAATAAAAAAAAATTAAAAAACTGTGGCAAATTATTTCAAAAATAAATGTTGTGCAAAAAATTAATTTTCCAAAACGAAAAACTTCCAAAAGGAATTTTCATTTCATCAAAAATATTTTTTGGTAAATCTGTAAATTTTTTATATTTCGTATTTTTATTAGTTTGCTTCGAATTTAGTTTCACGAATTTAGTCCATGTTTTAGAAATTATATTAATGTTTTACTTATTTTAGTGAGATTATTTTTACAACCAATTAAAAATGGGCAAACCAACAAGCGTAAAGGATGTTGATCAACACGAAATTGTTGATGCAATTTCGACATTTCTGAAGAAAGGAGGGAAAATCAAAGTTCCGGAATGGGCTGATTTGGTCAAACTTGGCACGAACAAGGAATTGGCACCAATCAATCCTGATTGGTACTATGTCCGCGTTGCCAGCATTGCTCGCCGTCTTTACATTCGTTCGCCGGCCGGTATTTTTTTAAATTTTTTTTTGTTTAGAAATAAAAATTTTTAAGGTGTCGGAGCGTTCCGTAAAGTTTATGGAGGCAATAAGCGCCGTGGCGTTCGGCCAAACCATTTTGTTTTGGCATCTGGCGCTGTTATACGCAAATCTCTTCAATCGTTAGAAGCAATTAAGTGGGTGGAGAAAGATGCACGTGGTGGACGAAAATTGAGCAAACAGGTTTTGATTATTTTTATTTTTAAAATTCTTTTTTCTTAGGGTCAGAAGGACTTGGACCGCATTGCAACACAACTCCGCTTTGGGAATGAAGAATAATTTTGAAGTCGGAAAATAATGTTGATGTGGTTTTTTCTGTTATTAAAAATATGTTGAGGTTTTTGTTATTGCTGTTCTGATAAATTTAATTTGACAAATGAGCTTATTTACTGAAAGAACCGAGAGATTAAATTTAATTTTAAAGGATTGAATGTTGCAGAAATGTAAATATCGAATAGAAATCACTCTAGAATTTAGTTGAGTTTGATATCACCTAATTAAAGTTATACATATTTTAAACGTAATTCACGTTCAAAATCAACAAAACTCATTTTTACTCATGCAATAAAAAGTGGAAAAATAGATCCAAAAAAAGTAACGTGTAACAGAGGAAAACATCAAATAGTTCAATTCCGGAGAAAATTTAGTCCTCTCAAATCGTTCCGTTTAAAGATCATCAAGAGGCGATTTTTCAGTAGGAGGTCCACATGGTTGTACCATTCGACAAAGCAAATTATATCTACAGCGTGCACGCGTTTCATTTTCACAAATTGCCACAAATGAGGTGTGGTCATGATGACCAACAATGGAAGCATTTGTGTCTCTATGCATATTCGTGACCCTTGAAAAATAAAAATTAAAGTTTTATTAAAGGTAATAAAATAAGTTATACCATTCCCATCTTGTCATATCCGCATGCCCAGTACCAGTATATTTTGATTGCAAATGCTCCTAAATTAATAAAAAATAATTCTAAACATTTTTCCTGAGGTGATTTAAAAAAATTACTTTTTTGCTAAAGGACTTTTGGCTTTCTTAAATGAAAAATGGGTGGGGGAGGATTTAAGTAAAAATAAGCGAAAAATAAAAGAGATAATGGATTGTATTTAATTTTTTTAAAGTTTTATTTGAAATAAAAAACCCACCAATTGAGCAAGCACATGAAAACGTGGCTCATTAGGTCCTTGAGTGCCACCGCCTGACATTTTTTAGTAATATTGACTTTCTAAAATAATTCAAAAAAATATAGATTATTAAAAATAAAATGTATATATAGATTGAAAACAACATATTTAAATAAAGAGAAAATGTGGTACTCTTGTGTTATCTGCCCTCATATTCCTTTTTTCCTCATTCGGATTGGATCCAGCATAAAAAAGTTATAGCCTATCAAATTGGGAATAAAGGAAAGCAGGGGTGGATAACAAAAGTACTGAAAATATAATTAATTTTGAAACAAATTTTTCTACGGAATAACGTGTTCAATTGAAATAAAGCTTTGATAAAACCCCCAAACAATCAACAAATACCATCAAATAAAAAACAGTTCAATGCGGGGTATCCCCTTGAGGTTGTTTAATTTTCCGTTCTTGCGCACGCAGATCCCGCTCATGTTCAAATTGTTTATAATCAGCACGAAGTAGAAATTCCTATAAATGTATATTTAAAAATCATAAAATGATTTGATGGGATAAATGACAACTATTTGGGCGAAACTATGTCAAAAATTCCAAAATTTTGGACTTTTTATTGGCTATCCCTAGAGATTAAATGGCTCGTATATAACCCCTAACTTTCCCTTCTCACTGGTACGTTTATGACTAATTAAGAATTGCTTACCTGTTTGTCAAGAAAAGAATCTCGACTCTTCAAATGTGTATCTAACTCTTCCTCCAATTTTTCTTCTTGTACAAATTGCCTCCAATCCTGTGCAGATTTTGCCAACATAGATTGTTTTTTATCTTTTTTCGCCAAAGAACCAACTAATGAAGACAATCCACCTCCTTTTTTTGAAGTTGAAGGTCCAAGAGATTTATCAAGTTCATCGTCTGAAATGCGACGTTTTTTAGCGGAAGAGCTTTCAGGAAGCGTCGTTGCAGCAATCTTATTAACAGAAGAAACCATTCCTGAAGAAGCATTTGTTGTCGGCAAAACTGGAGGTGGAGGTTGCACTTTAACTGATTTAAAACGAAAAAATCTGGAGGTTAGACGATGAAATATACCAGGATCATTAGTAGATTCATCTTTCTCATGATCCACGCTGTATTGGCCGTTGACTTCACTATCGTTTTGTTTATTTACTTCTTTTGAATCATACAAATTAGATTTTCCATTATTTTCGATTGTATCAGCAGCGGGTTGAGTCGTTTCAGGCTCCGAAGACATTATAAATATTGAGGATTGTTGTTATTTAAATATTTTATCGGTAAATGTAAAGATTACAGATAAAAATTATGTAAAATCTAAAAAAAGGCAAATGTGAATTTCAATAAATTTTAATAGAAAAGTTCATAAACAATAACGTCAATTTCGTTCGATGAAACGAGATATTTAGCACAAAATGACATTTTATTTGTTGATATTATAAAGTTTTTTAGTTAAGAAATGTCAAAATGTGAAAAACAGAAATATCCAATAGTGAAATAAATGTCAAAACACCTCTAAAATTCAATCATTTATTAATCTCTTTTAATTATTTTTAATTTGTTCGAATTTTTAGTTTTTATTATTTTATACAAAAAGATTTTTAATCGGCAAAGGAGGATGTCAAATAATAACGAAAATAAAAATTTGCAGAATATCCAGCGAATCGGTAATTTTTTCCTTTATTTTAATAAACTTAATTTTTAAGATACCAATGCCTGCGAAATTATTTTGCAATGTACCCAAGCCGCTTATTATGAATTCGGTGATGGATTTTTGTAAAAATTTTAATAAATGCTTCTTAATGGATTTCAGACATAACGGAGAACAATTGGAAGACCAAAGATCAAGTGGGGCCGTTGTTTGTTTACAAACGTTTGGATTATCCGCACTACGCAATTATGATCGCCAACCGCCAGTCGTTGGAGGACTTTGTTCAACCAATTGAAGAAACCTCTAGTTTGCGTTATGATCCGCCTTATATTCTTATTCATCGCAAAGACGGTATTTACTTTAAATAAAAAAATAATTCTTAATAATTAGGTTCCATCGGTGGTATTTGGATTTATGGGGAAGATGAATGCAAACGAATTTTTGCGTCTATTCAAAAATTGCGAGATATTGTTGTTAGGGAAGAGGCATGTTTTGATTCAAACATGAAGGCGGAATCTGCAAAATCGCCAGTAAAAACAAATGAAACTTCCAATTTCAAGAAGCCAGATGAAGTCATCAAGGTTGCTGTGAAGACGCCAGAAAAGATTATTGAAAAGACAACTCCAAAGAAGCCGCCGGAGGTTAAAACTGGAGTCAAAACGGAAGTTAAGAAGACTGAGGCTAATGCTAACATCAAAATATCACCGACCAGCAATGATAGCCGCTTAAATTTTAGACCGTTAAGAACTTTGGATCCATCAAAATTGATGAAGAAAAATGTGAAGAATATCAATACGAAGCCTCCGGCTAGTGTTGAACTGCCGAAACAACATCAGCAACCACCTCCCACTCCAAAAATTATGTCAAGGGTCCAGTCAATTAATAATTTCGTAAGAGAGGTTGATTTGCCTAAAACATCTGATATTGCTGCGGCAGCTGCTTCTGTTTTGCCTGAGATCATTCAAGAAAATGGACGAGGGGGAGATATTGGAATTTTGAAGATGATTTTGTTAGAATTTATTAAGCGTATAGGTTTTAATTTTTTATTTATCTGAGAGCTTATTTAAAATTTTAGATCCATTTGCTTGCCGTCTTTTGAATTATTTACCTCGTGCCGCTTTGTATGAATACGGTTTTGATTTTTTAAATTTTGTTTCAAATAACTGAAAAATATTTTTTAAGATTCTCTCGAAAAGAAATGGAAACGAACAGAAACGGAAGGACCATTTGTCGTTTTCTCGCGAATTGACGAGCCATTTTATTCTTTGTTGGTGATTGATCGTAAACAACGAGGAAAGGAAGATTTTCTGCAACCGCGTTCCTGGCATTAAACTTACTAATAAGTCTCCATATATTTTTATTAGCGGCAGGCAAGATAGTAAGAGTTTTTGGTTTTTATTAAGTTTCATTTTAAAAAATTTTTCTTGTTTTTAATTTCCGTGCCGAAGAGTCCAATAAAAATCAAATAATTCTAATAATTTAAAAATATTTATAATTTCAGATATGGTGTTCGGACTTTGGCTTCAGGATCAGGATGACTGTACGCGCGTTTATCACGATTTATCTGCATTGTTGAGTGAGGTTAATAAATTGAATGAGGAACATATGCCGCCGACCATTGATATGTTGTAGAATGGGCAATTTATTCGCTTTAATGATTTTTAAGTTTAAAATAATTTTAAAGGTTAATATAAATTGTTATTTAAATTCTATTTTTAAGTTGTGACCTATATGAAAGAAAACTGTTCAAAATGTGATAAGATTCCTATTTTTATGATTTTGGTACTATTCACTTATAGGCGGATTTTTAATGCATGAGCGGATGTGGACAGATTAGGTGGCCGGGTAAATGGTATCGACCCGTCAGCCAGGGACCGAGATTCAGGCCCCTAAAATTGAAAAAGAAGCTAATTTTGGGATAAAAAATTCGTAAATGTCATTCGAAAAGCACGTTGAGCACACCTGCTTCGTCCATATCCGACCACGCATTCAAACTCGCTACAATTTAAAATTTTCATGATTTTTACTTCTAATATTTTTTGTCTATGTTTTGAGCGTTCTGACACATTTTGAACAGTATAAAGAAATTATCTCAGGATATCAGACTTTTCAATTTCTCAATTTTTCGTGATCGGTTTGAATAAAACATATAAGTTGCATATATTTTTGTTTTACAAATAGAAAGGGTGATTGTTCAACAACTTTTTATCGTTTACCTTGTCCCATTTTGTTGACTTTAAATAGATCAATTTATTTTTCGCGTTACTCTCCTTTTTTTAACTTTTGTTTATAACCTTTTTTAGATAAATCTTTTTATTGGAATATTTTACTTTTTTGCAATGACTGATTCTAATGAGAAAAAAGGAAACAAGTCGATTAAAAAAGATCAAAAGCTTTCGCCTGAGGAACTTGCCGCTAGTCTCGTGGATTTTGTCAAAATGAAGGTTTGAATATTTAAATATTTGGAACTTAAAAAAATTCATTATCAGGTTGAACAGTTGGAGTATCCGCGCTTTTTCTCGGCGTTCAAATTGCCTGAGAAGCGCGTATTGATTGCTTCTAGTGACAGAACTATTACGCCACTTATTACATCGGATATTAAAGTTGATTTGCCAGTTCAAAAGGAAAGTCCGGTAGGATTTGAATGTCTTTAAAAAATGGTTCTTTATATTGGTGAGAGTATTTGACAGGGAGGTCAAGGAGCGCGTATTTATGTTGTCTATCACGTTTAGTTTATCCCCTACGGCCAAATATATATGATTTCTCAAATTTTTGAACTTAAATTTTAGTCGTATCGTGTAAATGGGAAAAACGTCAGGGATGCGCAAGCACAGATTGATCAGTTTGTTCATGGAATGGCGGATATGGTTTTCAAACCAGAAGAATATGGTTTTTGTTCAGCATTGCCAATGGGGGCTGTAATTGAAGAAATTCCAGTAGTTGATCGAAAGACTAAGAAAATTGTAAAAACTAAACAAACACAAACAGCGACAGAGGCTTATCTCAACAAATTTATTTCTGATTTTTGATTTTTTTTTGGAAAGAAACCTAGATCTCAAAGATTGTTAATTATAGGTATATCTTGTGGGTAATTTAATATTGTAGAAATTGTTGTTTAAAAAATGAATAAATTTTACCTTATTTTGATGGAAGTGAAGAATAAAGATGGTTTAAAAACCATTCAATTTTTGATTGTTTATGCATTTTTAATTTGTTTTTTAAAAGCTTTTACACAGCATTTTTGTATAATATTTATAGGATAGGAGCAAGCAAGTCTTTAATAAAAGGCATTTTTGACAATTATAAGATTGCGGGTTTCCCCAAAATTTTTCGCATCTGACTCACCAGAAAGTAAAAGGAATGAGAAAACAAATAGGACGCGGTAACAGAAAGAATATTGGAAAAATATGGCTGTGTAAAATGTCTCCAAATAATTCCCCATTTAATTTTCTAATTAATGTGGACACATTTTGCTTACATATTTTTTGTCATTTTTTTGCATAATTAGTACATATTAGTAACTTTTTAAAATCTATTTTCTAATATTAATTTTAAGATGGTTTTTATTATTTCAATCATTTGAGTATTTCCTTTCCCTAGGGATAGAAAAGATTTAAAAATGGGGAATTAATAGATAAGACAATCAATTGTCAGCGATGACGAAGACTTTTGTCCCTATAATAAAACAAAAACTTTCATTTATTTTCTAATTTATTTTTAGCAATACAAAACTTATTTTGAAAAAAAATTATATATTCTTAAAAAATCTGTATAAAAATATGACTGATCCAAACGAAAAAAAGGCGCTTCAAAAAATTGAAGAAGGCGACAGGAAATTAAAAAAGAATACTGGATTTATTTCAAGCATTTTTGGAGGTGGAGGATCTGGTGTTTCTGACGCAATTGAATGTTATATTAGTGCTGCAAATTCGTATAAGGTTTTTTTTAATTTTTGATTATTTTTCTTAATAGGGTCTTGGTGGTTTCTAACTTTTTGTGTTTAAAATTATTATTTATGGTGTTTGTAAACTATTTAGGGTGGTAAAGTGCTAAAAAATTTCCTCAATTCCTTTTAATTAAAAACGATCAACATTATTTTTACAATTTCTTTAGGCCGCAAAGAGTTGGTATTCTGCTGGGGAAACATTCATTCGTGTTGCTGAATTGCATGAAAAACACAGTGATTCTAAATTTGATGCTGGACAAAATTTCACTGAAGCTGGCGTTTGTTTCCGCAAAGTTGACTTTATGAAAGCAACAGGATGTTATCAAAGAGCTGCTGATATATATGTTGATATGGGGAAGTTTACAATGGCTGCTAAAGCTTATGTGGCATTGGCTGAAGTTTGTGAATCTACTTTGAGTGGTAATATTCCTGAAGAAAGAAATATTGCGAATGTTTTGCCGAAAGAAAAGGTTTCAAATTTTTTAGATTAATTTCTAGTCCAAAAATATAAAAAACTAAACGTTGTTCGCTTTTTGTTTTGCGACCATAAATAACTAAAAAATGGGGGTGGTGCAATTTTGTTTACTCTTTTCTAGAATGCTATTTTTAGTTATTTTTATGGAAGAAAATTTTAATAAATGTTTACCTAGGTCTGATTTTATTCATTAAATTTTCTAATTGGAAAAAATCCCTTTTTGGCCATTTTCTCTCTAATTCAAATTTTTTATTTAAAAAATTTGTTATAATTTTATAGTGCAAAGACTTGTGTCTCAATTCTTATTTAAAAGCTGCTGATTTTTACAAGGGAGAAGAACAAAAAAGTTCAGCTTCTAAATGTTTAGTTAAAGTTGGTTTACTTGCTGCAGAATTGGAACAATATCAACGGGCAATGCATATTTTTGAGGAAATTTCAATTTATGAATCTGAAAATTCTATGTTGAAATATGCTTCTAGGGGACATTTTTTCCAGGTTTTTTTTTAAATTTAAATAATTTACTTTTTTCTTCTCGGCTGTTTATTTTGACTTGAAAAATTATATTTTGGTTTTGTAGTAATTTAATTTCTTTTTCAGGCTTTACTTTGTGCGCTTTGTTATGATCCTCTTGAAGCGGAGAGAGCTTTAAAGCGTTATAAAGGTTTATTTAGAATTTTTCAATTTATAATTTTGCTGCTTTTTAAGAGATTTCCCCAATTTTCAAAGATTCTGATGAATGTAAACTTTTTACAAAATTATTGGATGCTGTTAAGGTTTTTGTAAATAATTCTGAAAGTTATTTTTTAATATTTGTTTTAAGGCGGGCGATCCTGATGGTTTTACGGCAGCCGTTGAAGAACAAGATAAAAAGTCACGCTTTGATAATTGGCATACTAGCATTCTTTTAAAGGTTATTTTTTGCTTGGATATAAAAATTTTATTTTTTTTTCTAAACCTGGGACGTTTTGTTTCTCTTTTTAAGAGGAACAAAACGGTTTCTGATTTTATGTTTTGAATTGTCCCTAAATTAAATCTGAAAAAGAAATCTAACAATAAGAATTATTTTAAAAAATTTTAGATTAAACGTTCTTGTGGGGATGGTGGTGAAGTTAAAGCAGGTGGGGCTGGAGATGCTGAGGAAGATGATGATTTGCGTTGAAATAATATTTTATATATCAGGAAAGAATTTTTGAATGGTTTTTATTCGGTATTTTTTTTTGGAATTTCACTCATCCTATCCCATTCAATTTTCAAAAAGTGTGGTTTTTTGTCTTTAATACAATTTCTCTTTACATAAAGAAAATAATTTTTTCGTTTAACTTCCTTGTATGCTTGCCTCACTTTTTCTACTAAATTTTTATGTAAAGCATTCCCTTACCAGATTAACTTTGTTCTAGAATGAAATCTGGATTAACAATAATTAACTAAATTCCTTTCAGATTTTATTGACTTATATTATTCAAGTTAATGTTTTTTTTAAGAAAATATATTCTCCATTAATCAATTCTCTTATTTTATTTACCATTTTTAAGTGTATAATGTTGCAATCTCTTTCATTTTAAGGCATTTTTTTAGGATTTTTGATTGTTTAATTTTTGTAGCCAATACTTAAAATATTTTTAAGTTTTTTTGTAAATTTAAGAGATTGTTAACATTATCCATTTATTATTATAAAAATATTTTTTGAAATTATAAAATACTATAGAGTATTTATAGACAAATGTTTTTTTTATAAAAGTTGGATATTCACTGTATTCTTTTGGAAAAATTTTTTTACAGAATAAATAATTTTGTAAATTTTGTACATATTTTTCAAATGTTTTTAAATTCATTTTATTTTTTTTTAATTTATTTTTCATTTATTTTTTAAAACCAATTTTAGAAGAATGGAACTGCCAGACCCGTACTTACCTGGAGCAGTGTCTTTACTTGATCAATTGGATAAAAAACTTGTGGTTGTCTTAAGGGATGGAAAAACTTTAATTGGTTATCTGAGAACTCTTGATCAGGTATTTACTTTTTGTTAATTGTTCAAATTGTATAATGCCGAATCAGCTGAAGTCACGCCGAAATACCAAAATCTTGTTTGAACGTTGATGTATATTTTTTACATTTGTTTAAAATGTAATTGTTGAAATTTTTATTTAAAAAAATTTCTACACATGTTGAAACAACCTTCCACGTGATTTAAGTTCCTACCGTATCTACTGTATCAATCTCCTTGTAAATCCATGAAATGGGGACCAAAATTCACAATTTGGTATTTTGGCAGCTGGGAGAATTGGTATTTCGTCTTTTATTTTACGGCTCGCCGTTTAAATTTGAAGATTTTTTTAAGTTTGCAAATTTGGTTCTTCATGAGACTTTAGAGAGAATTCACGTCGACAAATATTATGGTGACATTTCTCGTGGAATTTTTTTAATAAGAGGTGAAAATGTTGTATTGGCAGGAGAAATTGATGAAACACAAAAAAATCCGTTAATTAAGGTTTTTGGAAATTTTTAATTTTGTTTTAAAAGTTCTTTTTAAGGTAAGTATAGAAGAAATTCTTCGATTACAGGCAGAAAAGTTGGAAGAAAAAAATCGTTTTAATCATACAAAGCAACAATTTCTTAGAGGAAGTGGAAAAGTTCAACCACTAAAAAAGAATGATGAAATGATGGATGAATATTAAAAAGTTTTTAAGTTTCTTTTAAATTTGGGGGTGAGACACTTTCAGCCTACATTTGCAGAACATTTTAGAATTGAGAATTTAGTTTACATAAACAGGGGGAAGGGGTTAAATGTCGGGTTGAAGGTTTCATGTCGCCTTTTTCACCTGTAAAAATGTTCTGGCTGATTTTTTCTATTATAAGCCGAAAGTAGCCAGTTTAGTCTTATTCTTTTCACATTTTCTAGTTCAACGAAAATTTAATTGATGAATTATATTTTTGGCCTGTAATGGAAAAAAAGCTCGGTTTAGAATAATCTTGTTTGTTTCCTAACTTTTTTACATTTTAAAATTTTTTCTAATTTTTTAACGACTTTTTAAAAAGCTTCAAATATTTATTAAATTTAATAAATAAATTATTTAAAAAATATTTTTCTTTTAATTTGTTTAAAAATCAAGTTATTTATTTTTATTTATTTTCCAACACTAAATAATATTTTATTAAAGGGTTTACTTTTTTAATCTGTCTCGTCATTCTTGCTGCGTTGTCATTTAGGCGAGCTATCTGCGGTGCGTTTAGGAGTATTATATACAAACAACATTTGAGAAGTATATTTGTTGAACGCCAACTTTTATTATTATCAAAACGACATAAAAGTGAGTTTTAATTTTAAAAATTTATAATTCTCTTTATAGAGTGGGTTGTAAGCTCCTTAGAATTTTAAATCCGAATGATAAAATACTCTTGTCATTTTGTTTTCTCAAAAATTTTTTATCTTTTACAGAAAAAATTTTGGTAATTCTTCGGTTCGTACCCCCCACGCCTTTTTCCTCCCACAAAGTGTTAAAAAATGGTCAGTCAGTCTTATGTTATAGAACTTGTCGAGCTGTGTTGAATGACACCAAAATCAACGAGATTGGACATGGTTTGACAAAGTTATGACATGAAGTAGACCTAACGGAGTCGTCGACTTATGTCATAACTTTGTCAAATCTTGTCTAATCACGTTGATTTTGGTGTCATTCGACTCAGCTCGACGAGCTCTTTCGAATGAGCCATCATTTGAATAAATTTTCGTCCTTATGGTTTTTTGCCCCTATGGTTGTTCAATTTTCAGGGGTCTGTATTTTGGTCAAATCAAGTCGGATTTTGTCGATTTTGGCTCGACGAGTTCTATAACTTAAGATTGACTGACCATTTTTTAACACTTTGAGGAAGGAAAAAGAAGTGGGGGGTACGAACTGAAGAATTACCAAAATTTTATCACAGGACAATTCTCTTGTCAATTTAAAGTCACATCTAGTCACATAGGTTGGGAGTACTAAGGATCTTGGACAGCATTTTACCTTATGTGATCCTTTTTTAGCTCATCTTTTCTTTGTTTTGCTCAACACATTTTCAGATGAAAATTTGTCGAACTATTTTTTAAATAAATTCATTATATCTAAACATATTTAGAATTTTTTTATAAAAATATTTCTTTTAGATATGGTTGCTGATTTACATGACAATATTCAAAAATTATCAGAAAAGGCAGCCCCAAGTGAAAAATACAATGTAGTCTTTGTTCTTGGGCCTCCTGGAAGTGGAAAAGGGACACAATGTCAGCGAATTGAAGAGGTAGTTTTTTCTTTAAAAATTTTCTTTCAAAAAATATTCTTTAGACTTACGGCTATGTCCATTTGAGTGCCGGTGATTTACTACGTGAAGAACGTCAAAGGAAGGGTTCAGAATATGGAGAATTAATTGAGCAACATATTCGTGAAGGGATAATTGTTCCTGTTGAAATAACTTGCAAATTAATTGAAAATGTTTTTTCTTTGGTTTTTAAATTTAAAAAAAAATTTGTTTTTAAAGGCAATGTTGGCACGTTCTGTTTCAGCAAACGGGTTTTTAATTGATGGATTTCCACGGAATCAAGACAATTTGGATGGTTGGGATAAACAAATGGCCGATAAAGCTGCTGTCCTTTTTGTTTTGGTATTACAAGCACCTATTGAAGTTTGTGTTGAGCGTTGTATGAATAGAGGTCAAAATCGTTCTGATGATAATGAGGTTTATTTTCATTTTTTGGTGGGCGTCAGTGAGTATAGAGATTTAATGGAGCAAAAATGCCATTTTGGTTAAGTGGGATAATTTTGGTTTTTGAAAGAAAAAAGTGATTGGTTCGATTTCTATTGGGATGGGGAATATTTTTTAATGCAAAATTGTTGGTTGGCAGCGATTTTTAGTGCTTGTCAGCGAGCAAATACAGAAATCTCATTTTGGTTCTGTGAAAATTTTTAATTTTTGAAGGGAAAGATGAGTTAAATTTTTTTGGGTGAAATAAAATTTTAATAAAAATCTTTTATAAAAATTTTTTTAATTTTTAAAAAGGAATCAATGCGCAAACGTATTGTAGTATATAACGAACAAACATTACCAATTATCAACCATTTTCGTGCATTAAATCTTGTAGAAGAAGTTGATGGAAGTCGAACTCCGCCAGAAGTATTTTAAATTAAAAAAAGATTTCTTTAAAAATAATTCAAAAAAGGTGTCAGCAGATGTCCACAGAGCTTTTCAAAGTTTTGGAATTGCAGAACGTACAACTTCAGATTTATCAAATTGCTCATCGAAGGAATGTTAAAAATTGCCCTTTGAAAAGGAGGTTTTTTTGAGACGTAAATATAAAATTGTTGGAGTTTTGGAAATTTTTTATGGGCTAATTACTTTTCGTTTTTTGGAAAATTTTATTATTTTTTCTTAAAAAGATTAAAATAAATATTTTATACAATTAAAAACTTAAGAATTCTACTTTTACTCTTAAAATCTTTATATTTATATATTCTATAATTCTTGAAATAATCAAAATATTCATATGACTTAAAAAATTTCGGCTCTACTCCAGTTTATGCGTCCAATCGACTTTTATGCGTCCATTGAAAGTTTATGCGTCCAATAAAAAGAAAATTGGATTTTTCTTGGTATTGTAAAGTTGGGGTATGGCTCCAAACCATTTCTTCATGTTCGGGAACTACGTCCACTGGGTCTGGGACCGTTCCTTACCCGACCCCTCGAAATTTCTGAAAGAATAATCGTTTTTCTGAAATTTTAAAAAATTGGCTGTAACTTTAAAAAATTTCTTGGAATAGGGTAAGTAATGGTCCCAGACCCAGTGGACGTAGGTCCCGAACATGAAGAAATGTTGTGGACCCATACCCCAACTGTGCAATACCAAGAAAAATCCAATTTTCTTTTTATTGGACGCATAAACTTTCAATGGACGCATAAAAGTCGATTGGACGCATAAACTGGAGTAGAGCCAAAATTTCTTTTCAAAAAATTATTTTTATTTTTTTCGTCTTTTTCATTAATGTTAGGGGTTTTCCTTACCACACTCTAAATACGAGTTTTTAATAAAAATATGTTTTTATACTTACGAGTTTTTTATAGACTTTAAGAAATTTTTTGTTGTTGATATATGTATAATTATTCTTTTATCATTCTAAATAATTTTTTTCTTCTTTTAAAATTATTAGCATATACACTGCTCCACATAATTATAAGTCCACCCTTTTTTTCGAGATTTTTTCACTTCTACTGATCCAAATTTTCTGAAAATTCAGATACACACCTTTTAGTGAATAACTAATGAGATGTGTATAGATTTTTGGCTGATTTTTTATTTTAAAAATTTTTGGACCAAAATTTGCATTTTCGGCCTCCACAAAATTATAAGTCCACTTTACAAAAAAGATATTTCCAATATTAGGAAAAATCTACAAAAATTCTAGCAAACAGACACAATGATATTATGAAAAAATAAAAAAGAACTAGACCAATATCTTTACCCGGAACCGAGATCCTGAAACCCCGGAAATCAACGTAAACCGGGGGTAAGGCTATTTAAAAAATTTTTTCGACCCCTTATGGATTGTTTTGAATTTTGATATTGGGCTCATTTGAAAGCCCTTGAAATTTGCTACAAGATCATCATAATTTTATTTTTCAGAAAAAATTTTACTGAGATTCACAAACAGTTAAACTTTTGAATCGACATAAAGGGCATTTTATGGGGTATTTTGCTGCATCAGAAAATTAATGGCCTGTATTTTTGTAATGGATTTTTCTATAAAACTTGATTAATGCTATCTTGTAGCAAATTTCAAGGGCTTTCGAATGAGCCCAAAATCAGAATTAAAAATAATCCATAAGGGGTCGAAAAATTTTTTTAAAGAGCCTTACCCCCGGTTTACGTTGATTTCCGGGGTCTCAGTATCTCGGCTCCGGGTAAAGATATGGGTCTAGTTCTTTTTTATTTTTTAATAATATCATTATGTATCTTTGTTGGATTTTTTGTAGATTTTTCCTAAACTTGGAAATATCTTTTTTGAAAAGTGGACTTATAATTTTGTGGAGGCCGAAAATGCAAATTTTGGTCTAAAAATTTTTCAAATAAAAAATCAGCCAAAAATCGATTCACATCTTGTTAGTTATTCACTAAAAGGTGTGTTTATAAATTTTCAGAAAATTTGGATCACTGGAAGTCAAAAAATCCCGAAAAAAAGGGTGGACTTATAATTATGTGGAGCAGTGTATCTTTTCTTCTTTTATTTCATTTATTCATTGTGCAATTTTTTTTGGCTTATATATATTTTATTATTATTATATAATAGAAATGTGATTTACTTTTAGAAAAAATATTATTATTATTCTTAAAAATTAAATATATAAACGTGTTAATTTTATAAAAATTACTGTTTTCAAAAATAATTTTTGAGAAATTGGGGGAGGGGGGGGGAGTGTTTAAATAAAATTGAGAGGTTTAATTTGACAATTTTTATTATCTTAAAAAATTGTAAATTAAATAAAGTTTGAAATTTTTTTTGAATTTTTTTAAGTTATATATTACATTTTGAATTTTCAGGAAATATTTTCTTTTTTTTTGTTTAGTCATTTATTGGCCAGCTTTTTTTATTTCTTTTGGGAATTAAATTAATTTGCGCGCCCTAGTATCTTTTCACCACTCTAAATATTTTTAAAAATATTCTTTTCTTTTCTATTAAATTTTCAAAAATTGTGACCATTGGTCATTGGCCAAAAAATAAATAAAATAAACACAACTGGGGGAGAAAAAATCTTTTCTAAACCAATTTTTGGGTGAAAAATGTTGCTTCATTAAAATGTAGAAATTTGGGGGAGAGAGGATTTTGGAGTTTTTTATAGATTTACTGACCACTCCCATTCATTTATCTTTTAGTTTTTCTATTTTGGTTTGATGCCAAAAAAGCAAAAAAAAATTTTTTTTGGAATTTAAAGATGGAAATTTTGGTTTAAAAGATTTTCTAATTTTTTGTTATTTATTTTTTTCATATTTTTCTTCATTTTTCTTTCTTTCTCATTTTCGCCTCATTAGTTTAATAGAATAATATCCTTAAATTATTTTTTTATCTTCTTTTACTAGATTCGTGTGTGGTTTATTTAATTTATTCTTTATGAAAATTATTTTTTTAATAATTATTTAGTGACGGTATACCTTACAAATAAAAAATTTTTTAAAATTTAACTCCCCAACATTATTATCTTTTTGCCATGAATTAAGTTACAATTTGTAAAGATTTTTTGCTCCTTTTTTAAAAATTTTTTTATTTTAAGAGAAGGATTGTTGTCAACACAAAAAATGTGGTGGTCATTTTTTCTCCAATATTTTTTTGCCAAAAATTTTTTTATCCCCCCCCCCCTATCCCTTCCTCCTTTCTCCTTTAAATTTCCCCTTTGCTTCATTTCCTTTTATTTGTCTCATTTTTGCATCATTTTCTTCTTTTTTTTGGACAAGAAAATCCTTGTTTGTCCTTAAAGAAAAGCTGAGAAGGCAAAAAATCCCCCTTTCTATTTTTTGATGCTTTTATGATGGTTAAAATAACTGCAAAATAATCTTTCTTTTTTTTCTTCTAAAAATTATTCTTTTATTGGGGGCTTCTTGTAATTTGTTTATCAAAAAAACAAAAAGTTTTGATCCTATTTTAACGTGAAAGAATTTTTAAAAATTTGAAATATTTTGTAAATTTTTTCCAAATTTGTAAAAGTCTTGTCTTTGGTGCTGAAATCTTTTTTAACTTGTTAAAAAATTAAAAATTTCCTTGTTTGGGGTTTCCGTATTTTTTTTATTACTTTTTATTTATTTTTGTTTTTCTTTTTTAGAAAAAATATATCAAAAATAAAAATTGACAAGTTTTTTTAGTTAAAATAAAAATTCTCTTGGGGGAAAAACGTGTAAATATGTGCTTGTTTACTTTTTACTCTATATTAGCTTTAGAAATATTTAATTTAAAAACAAAATAATATTTTCCTAGTTAAAAAACAAAAATTAGAAACTCTTCCAAAAAGCTCTCTCTCAATCAGTTATAAATCCGTTCTTCTATTCTTTTCCTTTGATCGCTTTACTCTCTACACTTAATTAATTTTTCTTCAAAAAAATAATTTTTGTGAACTTTTAGCCTTTTTTTCTCTTCATTATCCAAACTTCTAAACAATTTTTCTTGAATTTAATAACCTCTTTAAGGAAATTCAATTTTCTTTCTAAATTCCTTTTTTGCTTTTATTTTCAAATTGAAAAAATCTTTTCCAGATTTTTCAGAATTTATTTAAAATTTATTTATTTTTAAAAATGTATTTTATTATTTTATTAATATTTTTATCAAATTTTTTGTTTAAAATAAATGCTGATATGCATTGTTTGGTTGCTAGACCAGGTGTTTTTTTTGTAATTTTTAAAAACAAATTTTAATTGTTTTTAAAGGTAAAATGAAAAAAAAACTAAACTAAAAATAATAACTAAAAACTTTAACAATATAAAAAGCTTTTTGACCTTTAAAATCAGAAATGGATTTACCTGAGAAAATTTTTTTTCAATAATTTAATTAATTAGAAAGGAGCAAGGCTTTGAAGTAAAAGAGTTAATTGGCTATCAAAGCTTTGATTTTGGCATTTGTTTTTGTCTTTAATATTAATATCACCACACTTAACCAATCATTTTAATATTAAAAAAGTAAAAATAGGGAAGAGGATATATCTTTTTAATGCTATAAAAGTCTTCCTTCCAATAATTCCGTGCCAACAACTACTAACCCTTTTTTGAAAAAAACTTTTAAAGAAACCCCCAAAGGATTTTGTTTTTATTTTTGACACATTTATATGCTAAAAATGAAAGATTATTTACTTTAGATTAGCAAAAAAAGTTTTTGTACTTTTTTGTGTGTTTTAGACTTTTTAAAAATATAAGGTAAAATTCAATTTCGTACCTCCCCCCTTCTATTTTCCTTCTTCAAAGTATTATAAAATGGTCAGTCAGACTTAGATTATAGAACTCGTCGAGCTGTGTCGAATGACACCAAAATCAAAAAAATTGTACTCGATTTGACCAAAATACAGACCCCTGAAAATTGAACAACTATGGGGGCGAAAACCCATAAGGACGAAAATTTATACAAATGATAGCTCATTCGAAAGAGCTCGTCGAGCTGAGTCGAATGACACCAAAATCAACGTGATTGGACAAGATTTGACAAAGTTATGACATAAAGTCGCCGACTCCGTTAGGTCTACATAATGTCATAACTTTGTCAAACCATTTCTAATCACGTTGATTTTGGTGTCTTTCGACTCAGCTTGACGAGCTCTTTCGAATGAGCTATCATTTGGATAAAATTTTTTTTATTTCAAAAAATCGCCCCCATGGTTGTTCAATTTTCAAGGGTCTGTATTTCGGTCAAATCGAGTCCAATTTTTTTGATTTTGGTGTCATTCGACATAGCTCGACGAGTTCTATAATATAAGTCTGACTGACCATTTTATAATACTTTGTAGAAGGAAAATAGAAGGGGGGTACGAAATTGAATTTTACCAAATATAAAAAAGGTTTTTGGATATACACGGGGAAATTCTAATTTTGACCAATTCCTTTTATTCTTTTTTTCTTTGATCTTTTATAAAATATTTGGGAGTCTCAATTAAATTTAGTCACGAAACCTTCCCTTCTCTCACTTCCTTTCCAAAATTTTAAGCAAAATCTCCAGAAAAAATTCATTTAATAATTTACTTGCTTAATTCATGGAAAGGGATAACAGAAAAAATTAAATATTCTGTGGTCTCATCTGGTTAATATAAAAAAAGAATAAATAAATATATTTATTAGCTTTTTAAATATTTTAACAATAAAAAGGGAGGAAAGGAAGTCTTTTTAAAAAAAAAGAGAGGAAATAATTAAATTTTTAAAAAGCTTTAGTCTTTTGTTTCTTTTGTGGCCATAAAATTGGTCAGAAAAATTAAAAAAAAAAAAGAATTTTTATGACAAGAATTGAGGATAAATAAATAGAGGGAGGGGGAGGTTTTGATTAAATTTTTGGAGAAGAATTTAAATTTAAAAAAATAATTTTTTTAAAAAAGGTTTTGGATTAATTAGCGAAGTTTGCCCTTTACATACAGTTGCTTGTAGGATTCGAATTGAGGTAAAATTAAAATTAAATTTTTTTAATTTCCTTATTTTTTAAAAATCTGTAAAGAAGGATGCTGTTTCATTTTACGAATATTCTCGTCTTTATGACCGTAACCAATTTGTTTGTGTACTTAAAGGGGAATTTGGGGAACAGAAAGGGTCTGGATGTGCTCGAAAACGTTCCGGTTTTGTTTAAAAATTTTCTAAAAAATTTTGTTTAAAGGGCATATTCGTTGTTGGTGTTTTGGCCGGTCAAATTGTAATACTCCAGAAAATTCAAAATTGCTTTATTTAACGTTTATTGGAGGGAATGAGGTAAAGGGAGTGGGGGGGGGGGTGGGAGAGAAAAAAATAATTACTAATTAATTTTTAGGAAAAATTTAAAAAGGCTGTTGAAAGTGTTGATTTTGTTGATTTAAATAATAAAGAAGGGGAGGAGGAAAAGGAAGAGGAAGAAGGAAAATTGTTAGAAAATAAAAATTGGGAGAAAATAAATATAACAACAACTTTGAGTAGTGCTTTAATTAGAGAGGAGGAATTGATAAATGGAAATATTAAAATATTAAATAATGATCAAGAGGAGGAGGGAGGAGGGAAAATATTAAAATTAGAAAATGTAAATACATAATTTAAATTTTGTTTTTAAATTGCTTTAGATTTAAGGTGGTGATTTATTAAAAATCCCTCCAAATTAAAACTGGTATTTGTCTAAAACTCAGAACCAAAACCGGTGGTATCGGTTAATAATCCGTCATGCACAACCCTAATTTAAATATTAATCTTTAAATAGAGAATTTACCTAAATCCTTATTTTCCAACCGACTAGTAGCTGTGGAGTATTGGATAATACTCCCGACTTTAACTAATTAAGTAACAAGATTAAATACCTTCCTCGTTTATTTTTAGGATTTCTGTCTAAAAAATTTTTTTTGATTATACATATATTAATTTTTAAAAATTTTTTCAAGGTCCTTTATGAAACTTCTGATATTAAAAAAGCAATGGGAGCTAAAACTGTTCACCTTTCAGAACAATTTGTTGATGATTCTTTTACTAAATCTACTCAAGAATTGACGACATTAATTCCGACAACAACACAAAAGACAGCAACAACACAGAAAACACTTCCAAACACAATTCCAACAATTCCCCTAACAACAACCCCAAAATTAACAACAAAATCTTTTTTAAATCCCAGCACCGTTAAAAGTAATTATGACAGTCAAAATAGAGTCCACGTAATTCATGTAAGTGGACGTGATCGGTATGATAATTTGCCTGTTGAACAATTGTTGGGAAGTCCGGCATTGAGACGAATAATGGAAGAAGAAAGGGAAAAATTAAAAAATAAAGTTGAAGATAATTCGGCAGAGGAAGAAGACGAGGAGGAGGGGGAGGGAGAGGAGGGGGATAATTTGGATGAAGATGAAGAATTGGAGGAAGATTGGGAATTTGAAAAGAATAATGGAGAAGAGGAAGAGGAGGATTTATTTAAAAGAACAATAAATAATAAAACAAAAATTACAGAACGAAGAAGCTCTAATTTGAGGTTCTGTAAGGATGATTCACCTAGCAGCATTTAAAACGCTTAGGCGGGGGATAAACGATCTAAAAAGGAAAAAGAGAAAGCATTAGTCGATGCCCCGGTAGCTCAACGGTAGAGCTCCTGCATATAGTGAGCGAAAGCCTAGCAACAACTAGCAGGTGGTCGCAGGTTCGAATCCTGCCCGGTGGCTAAACTTTTGCAAACTCTTTCTGGTGCCGCTAACAGGGATCCCCACTTGCTGCTGGGTGAACCAGCCGATCCACGGTCATGGCGCTTGACCGAGGGACCGGTCTGATGTAGGGATGGAGATGTAAGGATGATTCACCTAGCAGCATTTAAAACGCTTAGGCGGGGGATAAACGATCTAAAAAGGAAAAAGAGAAAGCATTAGTCGATGCCCCGGTAGCTCAACGGTAGAGCTCCTGCATATAGTGAGCGAAAGCCTAGCAACAACTAGCAGGTGGTCGCAGGTTCGAATCCTGCCCGGTGGCTAAACTTTTGCAAACTCTTTCTGTTCGAAAAAGATTTTATTTAAAAAATAAAAAGCTTTGGGTGATTTTAAATAAGAATATTTTGATCGGCCTGGGTCTGGACCAAGGCCTGGGTTTGTCCTGTACCCAGAGTCCAGGTCCAGACATTTTTTGACTTTCTTGGGTTTTTCCTGGACTACAGGCCCAGGATCAAGTCCAAGTCAAGAAATCAAACCTAGAATCCAGGAACAGGTCCAGGCTTTTCAAAATTTCCGATCTCTATATTAGGTAGGCTTTTTTCAATCCGTTGGTGGTGTAGTGGTAAGTGTTGTTGACTATCAATGCTTTACTGCAGTTGGGTTCGAACCCTATTGGTGTTCGTTGTTTTTCCTTATTAACTTTTTTATAAATAAGTTAATCCAATTTAATTTTTTTATAAATTAACACACATTTATAATTATTTTGGAGATTATTTGGTCAAAAATTTTCTATACATAAATTATTAAAAATTATTTAAAAAAGTCCTCTCTTTTTAGTAACTCAAAAATTACAAAAAATTCACCAAAAAATTTATTAAAAACTCGAATGGAACAACGACAACGTTCTTCTCCTAATAAAATATCTTCTTCGTTAGAAGAAGACAAAGAATCTGAAGAAGAAGGCGAAGAATTAAAGGATTTGACTGAAGAATATTTTGATAGCGCTTTTTTTTCGCCCTCAAAAACTTCTGGTTGCTTTGATAATTGTGGAAAGAATTATATTTTAAAGAAAATAATTATTTTAATTTTATTTATTTTTTATTTTTAATAATTGTTTAATTAAATTTTAATTTGCAAAAAATACACAAAACTGAACAGAGAGAATTTTATCAAATTTTGTCGAGAGAAAAAAGAAAATATTTTTTGCAAAATCCTTTTTTATTTTTAATTATACCTCAATAATATTTTTTATCAGATTTGTTTTGAAATTTTCTACTTCAGATCCTTCAATTTTTGGAAGTTTGAAAATCCCCACTCAATCCAAAAATGTTAAACTTTCAATACAATCTAATTTTAATTTTAATCTCAATTTTTGTATATTTCTTTTAGCTTATTTTTGAATACATTATTTGCACAAAATTTAAATTAAATAGGCGGCAATATGTTTAGAACCCCTAGCGTTGTTAAATTTCAGAACCTAATAACTTGGCAAGTAGAAATCTGTATTTTCAAAAATCCTGGATTTAGTTTATGGACAGGATTCTGGATCCAGATCTAGACCGATTTCTACTGGCAAAATAAAAAAAAGATGGACATAATGGATTTAACTTTTTATAAAACATTTTTAAATAGCTCCTCTCTCTTTTAATACCACATTCCTTTTTGAAATTAATTTACTGATTTAATTAAATAAATTGTTCTTTTATTACTTTATATTTTTATTTTATTTTCGACAATTTTAATGCAAATATAAAACAAAAAATAAATTTTTATGGGAGAGGGGTGTTGAAAAAATAATTTTTTGTTAAAAGCGACAGTTGTGTGTGTGTATTTGTGTTAATCCTTTAAAAAACTATGGGAATTTTGGCTTTGGGCATTTTTGGAAGGATTTGCTTATTTAAAAAGGAAATGTGTGAAGGTAAACATTATTGGTATAGAAGAGGTTAGAATTTAGGAAAAAAATTTTATGGCATTTTTTAAAGAATTTTTTTTAATTTAATTGAAAAATCTTTAAGAAAATTAAATCACAGCTTTTATTGAGTTTTATTTTGGTGTGTGGGAAAGGCTCGAGTTCTATTGTTGTCCTTCAAAAAATTCTTTAAAATTCGTTTATTTAAAATATTATAATTTATTTACTTCTCTTTTTTTCTTTTTGATCGATCATCTCAACTCTTTTTTTATACTTTAAAAACTTTTTTTGAGGTAGCAGCAATTGCTGCCAAAAAATCTTTTAAATAGTCCATCAATTTATTTATTTATTATTAGCTAAATTGTGGGTTTGACATTTTTTTCTCTGTTATTTTTACTTTAATTTTTATAAAAAATTTTTAGAAAGAGAAGGAGGGAGATCATTTTACATAATTTTCACACTTTAAATGTGTGCAAATTAAATATTTTGAGGGGATTTTAGTTTAGTACATGCTAAATTACACCTTACTCACGTTTTTAAGATTTGGACAATTTATATATTAATTGAAAGAGCTCCTCAGGCTGAGTCGAGCGATACCAAAATTAGTCCGAGGAAACACTTTAAGCCAAAATACAGGTCCTTGAAAACAGAAAAACCATAGGAGGACACCAACCAAAATTTTTGGGGCGAAATTTTCAATTTTATAGATAATAGGACATTCGAAAGAGCTCAGCGAGCGAAAGGCATGTCAAACTGAACGACGCCCACCGCCTTGCTACCGTCGCCGCGAGCGAAGCACATAAGCCTTTTTTACACAATTCATTTGAACACTTTCGAATTGGCTATAATTCGTAAATTCGAATTTTTTATCTCAAAATGAGCTTACTCCCCCATGGGTCTCTCCGCGGCTAACTTTGGTAGAGCTCGACGAGTTCTTTCAAATGATTTGTATTTTTTTAAAAAAACGATGGTAAAGTTTATTCCTGCCTAAAAATTTATTTTAAATATTGCCATTAACACTAATATTTTTCCATTTTCTTTCTTTTTGACCTTTTAAATTTGGATATTTTTAAATATAAAATTTTAAATTTTGGACATTAGAGTCCGACAAGGCGGAAAAATTAATTTTTAAATTTTCAGTTGAATTCCCTCTCTCAATTTACTTCTTTTTACTTGACTTTCTTGTAAAAAACACTTACTTTTTTCACTTAATTTTTAAAAATTTATTTTTATGAGAAATTCATTCAATCATAAAAAGTCCCCCCCCCTTTTAAAAGTAAAATATTTACATAGTTAAATAGAAACAAATTTTTCCTTTTAAATATTTTTTTCTTGGAGGTGTCGACAACACACACACATTCACGCTTTTTATTTTTTTATGATTTTTATTTAAAAATATTTATTAAAAAAAATTCCTCTACATTTCTTTGAACTTTTTAAAAAAAAGGGAAAAAGTTTTTAATTAAAAAATGTGTATTTAATAGTGCGCGATAGCCTAAAGGATAGAAAAGAATATTTTTTTATTTGTTTTAAGAAAATTTCTTTTTTTTTGTTAAAAACACACGTCTTTTTACGTTTCTGACATAATTGAAAAAAATTAAATTTTTTAAAGAATTTATTTTTAATTATTAAGTGGAAAAGGAATTTTTTGAAGGATTTTAAACAAAAGAAGATTTTTAATAAAATAAATTTTTCAAAAATTGAGAGGGGGATACTTGAGCACAATTTAATTAAAAGAATTTTTATTATAATTTTTCTTTGTTTAAAAAAAGAATTTTTTTGATTGGTTATTTAAATTATGACTCTTTCATTTTAACGGTTTTTTGTACAAGAGTTGTTGTATAAAGAGGAGAATCCCTCGGTAATTTTGTCTTTTTGGAGTAAAAAAAGGAAAAGAATTTTAATTTTTAAATCTATTTTTAAAAATTAATTAATTAATTTAATTATTTTTAAGTCTAATTAATTATCCTTTTATTATGCAAAAAATAACTTCGCAAACATTTTATTGAAACATGAGCAAGTACTACAATGCAAATAAATTTCTCTTTAATAATAAACAACTATTCTTTTAGAAGTTACAAAAATTCAACAATAATAAAAGGTTTGTTTAGGGGGTATTTTATTGACCAAAAACCCCCCTGGTTACAAAACCCCCCTTGTTACGGCCGTGGGACAGACTTCCTTGGCTATTTTTGGGCATTTTGTTGGTACAGCCCGAAAAAGAGCAAAGCCAAAAAGGCGTGACTACTGTAAGACGGCGCAAACTGTCGGAACAACATTCCCCGTCGTCGGAACGACCTCCTCTCTGTTGAACAACTTTCCCATAGTGCTCAAAACCTTATTGCACAAATTGATTATTAAATCGTGTGATCAGTGTCCTAAGGGATAGTTAATGATTCTTGATCGATCACAAATAGGTGATCACTCGAGATCAATTGATCGCTCTATCACTGTGCGTTTTGGCCTTGCGCCTTTTCCCATTTTAATTTTAGGCAGTCCAAAAAACATTAAATTAATTTCCTTATTTTTCAGTTAAAAATCTTGCAAAACCTTCTCACTTTGTTTCTTTACTTGATTTATTTCATTCACTTATTTTCATTATATTTTTATTTATTATTAACATTCAAATGTGTAAATCTTCATCTTTACCGTTGGAAGAAAATTTTTTGTTAAATAATTTTGAAGAACCGACAACTTCAACTAAAAATAATTTGGAAGAATCAACAAAAAGGAAAGATTGTCTTAAATGTGATTTACGTTCTTCTTACTGCAAAAGATGGACAAACGGGCAAATTACTTGTGAATGTAGACAGGTTCGCTAAATGTGTGTTTCGTTGGGGGTTATATGTACTTGACAGGGAACGAGCCGTCTCGATTCCCGAAAATCGAATTCACGGCCTTTTTTGGTTCGGGAATCCCGATTTCACGAAATCGGGAATTTTGTTTTTTCTCGGCCTGTTTCCCTGATAGGTACTCGTTGTCGTTTTGAACCCCAGCTGTGTTACGCATTTTTTCTAATTTTACATTAGCTTTTTCTGAATATCTGAACGTCAAAAAATTTTATATTAGGGATTTCAACGTTCTTCCAAAACTTCTGATCGTTGTATTCAATCACATCTACCGGCTTCTCATCACCAGTCAAGTAGATATGGGGGGTTTGCTAAACGTGTCGAACCTTCACATGCTGAGGAGCCGTCATCTTTGTCTACAGATGTTGGAGGGTTAATGTTAAATTATGTTGAGAATGAAAATGATCAACAATGCGTTTTGGGGCAGGCTGAAAAACATGCAACAAGGTTAGAATAATAGGCCGGAAATTAAATTTTTTTGGGAATTCCCAATTCCAAAATAGCCAATTTATTTTTATGTCGGCAGTATTCCAATCTCTACAACTGCCGACCTTTTTTTAATCGACTTTGTTATCTTTAATCCCTCAAATTTTCTAAAAATAAATCATATATTTTTTCAAAAAAAAAGAATTTTGACTGATCTACTCAAACGTTATGACCGTAATTTGGTGCCTTCAGTAAAAGGAGTTGACGTTAAAATTGAATTGCTTATTCAAAAAGTAACAGAAATAAATGAATTACTTTCTTCCTCAAAAATGGATATAATGCTTTCACAAATATGGCACGATCCGGGATTAAATTTTGAGGTTTTCTTTTAAATATTGATGATGTTTTAATATTTTTTAGCAAGAAGAGGGTGCTCAATGCCTTACAAATTTGTCATTATCTCATAGAATGGTATGTATATTTTTTGTAAAATTTTAAATTTCAAATTAAATTTAAAGGTTGACAGTTTATGGATCCCCAATGTTTGTATTGTTAACTCGAAGGCTTCTTTCACTCATTCATCTCCGACACCAAATATATTTTTAGGTTTAAATTTTTTTATTTGAAGAATTTCTTACTTTGGTAGTATCGGAGATTATACTTTTATAATCTTCTAACGCACCTTAACTACTTCATTATTTTTCTATAATTTTTTAAAATTTAGCAATATTTCCCAATGGAACAGTTTGGCTAAATTACAGGATAGCAGTTGAATCTCCGTGTGAATTTGAATTTACAACGTTCCCGGTTTTTTTTAAATTATTTTTAAATAAATAATTCTTTTTATAAAGATGGACAGAGTAGAATGTACTACAATATTTGAAAGTTATTCTTTTAATGTGGGCAAGGTGAGACTTGATTGGAGGCAAGGCGAATCATTTATGTTCCTGTCGAATGTTTGTTTTAATTTTCCCGTTTAACTAATTTTTTTTGTTAAAGGAGGGTTAGGAAGGGGGTTGGGATCTGTTTTGAACCAGATTTGGGGTTATTTTTAAACAATTTTAGTTTTGTTTTCGTAATAAAAATAAAATGTTTGTTTAAATTTAAAAAAATTTCAAGGTCAGTTTGCCAGACTTTCAATACGCCGGTCATGTTACTGCAAGGGCTACATTTGAATATCCTGCTGGCCTTTGGGATCAAGTATTTTTTTTAATTTTTTGAATATTTTTAATAATATAAAAAATTTTTTCTCAGGTAAGTATCAAAATTTATTACCGTCGCTCTTATGGTTTTTACATTCTTCAAATTTATCTGCCTACTTATTGTATGGTGCTAATTTCTTGGATTTCTTTCTGGTTAGACAGAAAATCATTACCGGCAAGGTTTTTAAATTTTTTGAAAATTTTTTGGGGAAAAAAGTTTTTTGTCTTTTTTTGGTGGGGGTTAATAGTTCGAATCCGTTTGGAATATTTTTTAATAATATTTGTTACGTTATTCTTGTAATTTTTTTGTTTTATTTTTAAAACTTTTTTGAGGCTTTTATTTAATTTTTAGAGTTACCCTCGGCGTTTCTTCAATTTTGGCTTTAACAATGCAATATGCAAATGTTGCTAGAAGTTTACCTAAAGTTTGTTTTTAAATTATTTTAAAAACTTTTTAACTTTAAATTTAAAGGTTAGTTATATTAAAGGAGTTGATTTATTTATGATGGGTTGTGTTGCTTATATATTTTTGTCAATTTGTGAATTAGCTATGGTTGGCATTTTGGAAAAGGTTTTTTTGTTAAATGTGGGGCATAGAGGGGAGGGGATGCAGGTTCGAATCCGCTCAGGGGTTATTATTTTTCTATAAAAATATTTTTTCTTTAAAAAAGGAAGCAAATGCAGCATCAATGCAACAATTTCAAGATTTGGGAGGTGATGGGGGAAGTAGAAGAATGACTTTTGGTACTGGCTTTGCCCGTAAAGCATTTCAAAGGACTTTTAACGATAAAACAACGGTTTTTTATATTCTTTAGTCTGAATATTTATTTGAAACTAAACTCCAAAAAATTTTATTTTTAAAAAATTGGGACTGGATATTTCGTGGTTACTTCTAAAAAAAGTGATTTAAGGGGGACTTTATTTTTGTAATATGGGTGATATTTTTCTATAATTTTTTGATTTCCTATTTACCTATCTTTTACTAGTATTTAATGGTAATGGATGGGAGGAGTTACATTTCTATCTAAACTCTCCTTCCTCTCTTTTCTTTCCATTTATAATTGCTGATATTTAATTTCTAATGAAAGAAATTTATTTTTAATTAAGCATCGCCTTCGTCGATTAGATTCAACAAGTTCAGGTTCAACGGCTGTTGCAGCAGCTGTAGGTGTTTCCGCAGCAACCCCCGGTTCTTCTGATTGGCAAAAACATTTACGTATATCGCGTTCCGATGATAATGGTGAAATGGCTTCGATGTTAATGGGCGGGGGTGGTGGTGGAGATGGAGGGGGTGGAATAAGAGAAGAAGGAGGAGGGTTTGTTTTTATTTTTTGAGATAATTAATTTGTTTGTTTTTTGCCGTTTCTTCTAACCTTTTTTTAAATTTAACATATATTCTAACATAAATATAAAAATTGTAATTTAAAAAATTCGGAGGCCTGAAGCGGATTCGAACCTGCACCCTCCAAAAGAATTTCTTTGAGGCTTTTCCCCCTTTCTCTAAATAGGCTTTTATGTAATTTGTTTATACATATTACAGTACTACTAACAATAATATTAATATCAATCAACAACTTTTAATGTTGCCACAATATAGAGGTTCTGTCGCGGGCATTTTAATTCCCAGGTTTTATTTTTAATTTAATTTTAAAAATTGTTTTTCTTTGTTTTTTTGGATGTTTTTAACGTCTTTTTTAATTTTTTAACATTTTGAATTTATGTCTAACAAAAAATTAACCTTTAAAAAATTTGGGACAAGGATAGGGGTAGAACCACAGACCTCCTCCTCAACTTTAATTTAAAAAATTCTTTTAAGACGTTCATCAGACCATCCAATAACTTCAAATATTCAACAACAAAATGAAGCAGCTGCAATGGTTGCTAGGACATGGATGAAAAGAGCAATGTCTTTAAAACGCCTAAGACAACAAAATCAAAAAATTGTAACGCCAAAATTATTTAGTAAATGGACGGGAGAAGATTTGGATAGGTTGATTTTTGAATGTTTTTTTAAATTAAATAAAGAATTTTTTTAAAAAGATTTTGTCAAAAATTCTTTCCAATAACTTTTGGTTTATTCAATTTAATTTATTGGATGGTAAGGGAAAATTAAAATTTAATTTTAAAAATTCTTTTTTTTCTAGTATTATACGGCTAGAGCATAAAAATTAGAAAAAAAGAAATGTTTTTTGAGCATCATTAATTGTTTTATTTTGTGAAAATTTTTGTAAATATTATGTATCAGAGAGCTTTATTTTTAAATAAAAAAATATTTTTTAATTTTATTTTATTTTTGTTTAATATACATATCTGTTAAAGTAGGGTAGCACCCCGACAACCCCGACACTCTCGTCCCAAAGGTGCTACCCTAGTTAAAATTGTTAAAAAATTGGTGACCCAGAACGGGCACGAAAAAAACGGCACATCCTTTCTCTCTAATGGGGGTTAAAAATGTTTGGATGATTTTTATTTTTTTTCGAAAGAGCCACAATTCCTTCTTATGAAAGTAGATAGACAATTATTTTGATTCTAGAATTTACGAAAATTAAAAAAAAAAGTTTTTCTAAATAAGACAAACAGGCGGAAATGAAGGAGTCTTATACTATAATCTCGTAGTATATAAAGGTTTTTTGTTTAATCTAGTTTATTAATCTTCTAATTTGCCAAGTTATCTTCTTCGCGAAATTGTGTGTACTTGCTTCTAATTCAACAAAAAATGTTGCTGTTGTATCAATTCGTTGTCCTCAATATATTCTTCTTCAATCTGGTCACAACTTTTCCTTTCGGCAACAACAACGACGTTGGAAGTCAGGGACGAAGGATTGAGAAACGGGATATCAATTAGTTTAGAGTTTTTACTTGAATAATTTAAAAGTTTTTTTTCTTTTCAGTTCGTTTTTGACACATACAGGCCTGCCTGAAACTGCTGGGTTTTGGATGTATATGGCTATCTGCGCGTTGATCTACTTGATAATGTTTGTTTTGTTAGAAATGAAATTAAAAAAAATTGTTTTTTTGAAGAACCGCTTTTGCCTATACAATCACCAGCATCTTCTGCCGTCCAAAGAAGGAAGAATATCCGGTCCGTGAAGAGAAGGTAAAGAGTTCGACTGCTGTTGATGTTAGATCGAGAGCTGATAACACAACTTCTGCTTCGCTAGAAGTGAAAATCGACACGCAATCGGCTGGCGACTATTCTTCGTATTCTTCTGCTGGCCGTCCTCCTTCGTCTCTAATATCAGGCAGCGAAAGAGAGCAAGATGAACTGCGCAAAATGCGTACAAAAATGAAAACAGCGAAAGGAGAATTTATTTCTGCTCGGCATAGTACTTCTGAATTGCAATTGGTTGAAGAATTGAATGCTGAATTGAAAGCATCAGCAACTGGTAGTAGTAGTGTAAAGACTGCAAAAACTTCCAAATCGAGGGCGGCGACAAAATCGAGTACGGAAAGTAAAGGAACTACAAGTACATCAACTTCTGGAGAGGAGGAGGGTTTGTTTTTTGCTGTCTTTTTTGGCTATTAAAAAATTTTTTTAGAAGAAGAAACTTCTACGAGTGGATCATCTTCAGAAAAAAGCGAAAGCGATGAAGTCTATAACTTGGATGGCCATAACGCTGAACCTTCGAAATTTGGAAGCGGAAGTGAAAGCGATTCTAATGAATTGTCTAAGTAGAGTAAATGATATAATGTGAGTGAGAGATATAGAAAACAATAAAGATTACCTTAAACCGTTCAAAACATTAAAAAAACTTCTTGGGTGTTTTGTGTTGGTACTCAAACTGTTTTAGATGTTTTGACTTTTTCTAATTTTAGATGTTTTGAGCGGTTTTCTATTTGTTTTTGTTGTATTGTAAATGTCATAATAAATAATATTAAAATATCTATTATTTTTAAAATGAGTTCTTCGACAAGTTTGTCAATCTTTTTGTCATCGTTTAAGTCATTTTACGTAATTTATATTTTTTTCAGAATCTATTAAACGTTTATTGATTATAATTTCTATTGAAAGATGCGTGCAGTAATTGACTCCGTTGCTCGTTTTATTAGGTAAAACAGAGGGAAAAGTTTGGGGTCGCCCTGATCCGAGGACTGGTTGTCTGCTGTTAATATTTTTAGGGTTCCATCATTCGCGAGAAGGAGATGGGTTCTTCCATAGTACAGAAATGTTAATTCAAAGATATGCAATAAACTTGAGATTGAGGCTTTCCTCCTTTCCTTTATTCCCCCTCACCAAAATTTATAATTTGCTTTTTTAAGCCCGAAAAAAGTTTGTCTCTTTGACTATGTCGATCGTTGTTGTTGTCACTATACCCCGCTCTTATTGACCATCTTTATGCTTGTCACTGGAACTATCGACACTTTTGGACGACCTATTAATTGTATGGTGCCGTCTGAATTCTCAGGTTTTTTTTTGAAAAATTTTAAGTTTTCTTTCTATTTTAAGGACCTTGGGCAAGTTTTGTTCATCAATACTGCCATGTCACTGGCACTTATGTCAAAGTTCCTTCAAAGACAACAACTCTTCCTGTTGCTGATGCTGTTGAATATGTTGATGGAAGCGAAGCGCCAACAAGCTATCTCGATGAAAAGGAGGAACGTATTTATATCAACTATTACCAATGGGTTCCTTTTCTTCTCATTGGCTTAGCTGTTGGAATGCGTTTACCGCACTTCTTGCTTCGCTTAGGACATTCTAGTTCTGGTTTGTTTTTTAACGTTCTGAAAGTAGTTTATATTTACTTGGGCATCTCTGAGACCGGGAATTTACTAGGAATTTTCAAGATTATGATTCCGAGACTAAATTTTTTCCTTGTCTCACCCTTTATTTTCTTTTTTTAAATTTTTAATTCCTTGGGTTTGGCTGTACAGTTTATACAGGTTATTTTCCCTATTTAGTTCTTTCCATTCTTGAATAGAAGAGAGGGGTGGGGTAATGAACAAAGAACCAAATGTTCTAATTTTTCAGATGTTGATTTTTCTGTTGTAAACGAAATTTGTGATAAAGTCAAGACTGGACATGCAGAAAATCGTTTACAAAATATTAATGCAGCTGCCAATTATATTTTTCAGGTTTTTTTAAATTTTTATTTTAAATAATTTTTACGAATAAAGATTGTTAAACATCGTGGAATGCGTGGAATTGGCAACAAAACAATTTTATTTTACACCTTTTTCAAATTGGCAAATTTGTTGATGGTTATTGCTCAAATTTTTCTTCTCAATGTTTTTATTGGATATGGGAATCCTTTTTGGGGAATTACAGTAATATTTATGAAATAATTCTCTTGGGTCCTTGTCCAGAAATCTGTCGGTTATTTATAGAGATTGTGTTGAATCTTGGTCGAAGTCTGAATTTTCTACTTTACTATTTAGACTACAGGATCAAAGTTGTCTTTGACTCTATCTTGTAGTTCAACTCTCATTTATTGCATTTTAGATTCAAAAATTTAACAAAATTTTAGTTAGCCCGTCAAATTCTCATTCCGATAGAGACAGCAACTTCTCCAGCTCAAAATTCTTTTATTTACTTTCCTCGCGTGTCTTATTGTCAATTTCATCGTGACTTTCTTGGATTAATGCAGGGAGGAATGACTCAAGAAACTCGTTGTACTCTTGGGATTAATATGTTGAATGAAAAGGTTCTTTCCCTTAAAGGTTATTTAAAACTTGAAATTCTTAAAGGTTTTTCTTATTCTTTTCTTCTGGTATTATTCACTCCTTGCAATGTCCATTTTTGCTGGCGTTTACTATATGCGTTTGTGGTTTGGTCATGCATATCAGGCACATTTTGTTTCTGACTTTTTGTCGTTGGTAAATGACCGTGAAATTTTTGGAGATGATGCTACACGAATGACTTTAGGTTTTTAATTAAATATTTTTAATTACAATAGGAACAGGCACGTAGCCAGTGTGGGAACCGATTCAAAGAATTATTAATTAAATCCATTATTAAATTTTTCTTTTTTTCTTTCCAGATAGCCGTAACGTCAAACGTTTCAGTAAAAATATTTTGGGTTGTGATGGTCTTTTACTTTTTCACTTTTTGCGTAAAAATTTGGGTGATTTGGTGGCTACTGAAGTTTGTTCTCGTCTCTATCAACTTTTTTTGAATGATTTGCAACAGCAACAACGTTGTAATGACATTAATTCTATTTCGACTACACTTACGGCTAAATAAATGAATTTGGGGTATAAAATAAATAATGAAAATATATTTTATGTTAAAATTGTTGAGACTTTGTTTTTGGCAAATTTGTTAAATTTATTTGGACTTTTGACTGATTTTTTAAAAATAAAGAATAATATCTAGTATTTGATTGTGTTTTTAAAAGTTTTTCTAAACAATTTTGTTACTTTTCCGTTCTGCCACACCCCCTTACATTAATGCTCAAAATGCCATATATTTTATGTTAAAATTGAGAAGGTACTAAAAGTAGGCGGACCCGGCAGAAGTAAACCTAAAAGCGTCTAATACAAAATTGATTATAAAGCGGTCGGAAAATTTTTGGGGTTATTCTTTTAATGAATCTCTAGAGTCCTATCTATGATATGGTAAGGCAATTCTAAATCTATAGTTTTATCGAGAGTTGGCACATCAAAAATGATAATATCCTTAAAAAATGCACGCAAAAAGTAGAAGCAGAGGGAAAACAGCCTGATCTGCTATGTCCTAGTTAAAAAATACTCAAGATCAATTTTATATATAATTGTAGAAAAGATACATATTTTCGAAATAAATATATAAAGTCAGTATCGGTATAATTCTTAGGGGAAAATCAAACGAAAAATATTTTTATAATCCATATCAAAAATTGACATCCATTTTTAATGTTATTTTCTTAAGTATAGTCATAGCGGAAACGATCACATTCCTCTATTGGAGGCAATTCTCCAGTAACCATTGCCTAATAAAAAAAGTTTTTAGAACTTACAACTAAATTAAAAATATTATAACTTGTATAATCCATTCACTCGAAACAGCTAAAGCATTTTTTGCAGTTGCACATCTGGCCAATTGTGGTTCGCAATCATTTTCAGTAAGAAAGATATCGAAATCGGCTTAATGTTTGTTAAAAAAATTTATAAAAACAATTTAGAAGCAACATACTTTTCCTACAAAACTCCAATTTTGCTTCAAGTGTAGCAGTTTTATTAGCCTCTCTCGAAAAAGGTTCACCATGCCCAATTCCAACAACTGTAGCTCCAAGATTTCGCATCAGTGCAATCCAAATTTCTCCAAATGGGATAACATTCGGATCTTCATTGTAGTGACGATTGTAAATGATGACCCTTTTGCCATTAAAAAGAACACCTTTCAAAGGCTTCCTATAAAAATATAAAATTTAAAGAAAAACAGAAGGATTTTAAAATACCATTGACAGATACGACCGGGCTCAGAAGTCGATTCACCAGCAGGCAGCAAAAATTCCTCATATTCAACCAATTTTTTCTAAAATAAAATATAAGGTCAAATCATATATCGAAGAAAACCTTAGAAACACATTCTTGTATCCAAAGATAACTCAAACAAGGAATTGACAACGAAAGAGCACACAAATATTTGTGTGTTCGATAAAAAGTATCAGCAATCAAAAAAGCATGTTCTCCTTCCTGAAGTGTCGAAAAATCTTCCATTACAATACCACCACGTTCTTCAATCTTTGTGCGATAATCGCGCTTGTTAAAATCGCTCACTTGAAAAATTAAAATTAAAGAAAAAAAATTTTATATTAAAAAACCTTTATTTGGTCGATTTGCTGATGTTAACACAAATTTAAATCCAATAAAAAGTTGAGCTTCTGCAACACTTCCAGCACTAGAAGTGTAGGATCCCGTGGTATTGAGCTTTAAAATTTTAATATAACACAAGTTTTTGTATTTTTAAAAATGTCCGCTTCGCTACCAACACTTTCAATATTTGTAGATTGAAAATGCTGAGTCATTTTAAAAGCAAACATAATATTTGCTTGTTTTGACTCGACAACTCATAAAAGAGCTGACAAGCTTCGAACAAGCAGAAAATATTGAACCCTAGTAAACGACTATGTCTTAACAAAGACCGAAACCACTAAACTATATGTAACAAGGAAAACTTAATTAAAGCAATGAGGAATGAACAAGCAAAAAAATCAAAACCTCAGTAATCTCCTGCACAGGGCTAAGAATTTGCACGGCATCAAATGGACTAGGCTTCCTTTGAGGGGTGCTATCCTCAATAATTGTGCTGTTGTGACTATCGTTAAAGCTATCCAAATCCTCCTCATTTATTGTCACTTCAATCTTTTCACCAGTTATCTCCAAATAATCACCTAATCCTTCTTCTTCTTTAGTCTCATTCTTTTTAGCACTTCGAGGACTTTTACGAGGAGTTTGTTGCTTTTGCGGAGTTGTAACGTTGCTGCCAGAGGCCCGGCTTCTAGTAATTCTTGGCGACGATTTATTGGTGAGATTTTTGTCGTCCTCAACGTCATCACTCTTCATGTCTTCATTGTTACCTTCAATTTGTTCATCATCTTGCTCTTCTTTCCCGTAAGCAGACAAAACAGGCATATCTGTAGTATCAGGCTTATTATCTTCAGGAGAACCAGCCAAATTTATTTTTTTCCGATTACTACGAGGTGTAGTAGAACCTCTTCCTTTTGGCGATTTATGTTGTGGTGTTTTAGGTGTAACAATTAAACTAGCTTCAGAACGTTTGACTGATGTTGGAGTTTTCATGGGTGATGGCTGAAATTAATAAATTGAAAACAAAAAAATTTTCAAAAGAAAAACCGAGGCAGATCCAAAATCAGAATAGCATAAACGACTACTACGGCTACGACGAGTTGAACGAGATTCACTAATAATATTTTCTTGGTCAATCTTTGGAACCGGATTGAATTGACGTCCTTTAAGTATAACTGCCGCTTGATCTTTGGTTAAAAATATTCGAGACCATAAAATTCTAAAACAAAATTTGTTTTAGGCATTGGAAAACCACTTACTCTCTAATTTCTTGAGTAGAATTCATTTCATCATCCAATTCACGCAAAGTAAACATTCCATTAACCCATTCATTAGGTTGCTGTTTATCGCCCATTTGAGGCTGTTTTTCCACAATAGCTACTTTTCCAACTTCCTCATTGGCAATAGAATCTATGAATGAGACCTAAAAATCGAAATATTTTTTTCGGGGGTTATCAAGAAAATCAGATTACAATAAAAGAAATTATCAAACCTGAAATCCTTCTGATAAAAACGAAATTGCAAGAACACCACTTGGAGGAAGGATTCTTTTAAGATTATCCTCAGCAAATAAAACATAATAACGACCAAGTGCTTCACGACTAATTAACAAAAAAAAATTTTAATTTAAAAAGGAAAGTAAAATACCCGCAAATATGAGCTCCATAATATTCATTTCCCCATAAAGCAAGTACACGAGCGCCCGGTGAAAGAAAATGCCCAATATCCTCCGGATGATCCACATCATATTGTTCTTTAGGTGTTAATTCAGGAACAATGTAAAATTCAGACTCCAAAGCCGCTTTCTTAGCAGAGGCAGAAACAGCAGTTTGTGGCTTCTTTTTCCCAATGTCTGGCGTGTTGAAAAGCTCAGAAGTGAGTGCTGCCTTTGGAGTATTTTTCGGTGTTTTTGGCGAAGCAACTGCAGATTTACGTCCTCGGCGATTCTAAATTATATTTTAAAAATTTGTAAAAAAATTGACTAACAGGAGTAATTATTTGTTCCTCTTCCTCGTCCATTTTAAAATTGTCGATGCTGTCATTATCCTCATCAGCAGCATAATTCACATTCTTTTTATGACTGGAATTTGCAGTAAGACGTGATGCAGTTGTAGCAGCAGATTTTGGGCTTCTAGAGTTACTCATTGAAAGTTCCAAACGGAAACTATCAGACGATTTTGACTACACATTTTTATTAAAAAGAAATTTCGTTGAAATATACCGCTGAACGGAATGATGTCCCCATTCCCGTATTATTGAGCAATGAGGGATTCCTTTCTGCAGCAATACGTTCAACATTTGCATAACGCTCTGATGACCCAGGCAAGGACTTTGTAAATTTAATTTCACCAAATGAAGCACGTTTAACCTGAAAATGATTAGTAAAATTTGACTCATTATGTGAAGAAAATAAATGTAAAAAAATACGCTAATATCAGCCAAAGGTTCAGGATGAACATCAGAATTTGCAGTAAAATTGTATGGATCATTAGGATCATCCAAATCAATTAACGGCATCTCACTTTGGTCTTTGACTTTTGTTCGCCTTTTCTTAACGCTATTTGGAGTAGTAGAGACGGGAGTATTTCCACGTCCATCATTTGTAACTCGACGCCGTTTTACAGAAGAAGTTGGAGTAAGTGCCGGTACAGCCATACGACGCTTACGAGTTGAAGTGCGCCTATTAGCAGAAGTCACAATTCCAGACGAAACATTTGCAGGTGGAGTAAACGGCGGTTGAAGATCCTTCTCTTCTTCCACTAAAAAAACTTTGGGGGTAGAAAAGGAAAACCAAACCTCCATCATTATCAGCTTCATCATTCCCCTGTTCCTCATTAATGTGTTGACCGTTAACTTCAACATTATCCTGTTGATTTGCCTCATCTTGTGAACTATCCAAATGGGGATGTTCTCCCCCGTTTATTTCATTGTGTTCATTATTTATTGAAGAATTCAAAATTGGTTCAGTTACATCAAGTTCCGAAGACATTTTTTGTAATTTTAGAATATAAAAAGTCAAGTTTTATCGGCTAAATATTTTTAAAAAATTGACAACAATCAAGCACAAAAGCAATCAAAAACGGAAAAAACAAACAGAGACCGACAAATCAATAATCTACGGTAAAGACCAATTCAGTATGACCGATTCAGTGCGTCCAATCGTCCGAATTGTTCTTATTAGCTCGAATCGAAAAAAGTGCGGGAGCGGTAAAATCCCGCATGGGATCCCGTCCCGCGCTGACCTCTAAATTCGAGATATCGATTACTACTGTGACCCGAAAAAGAGCTTCAAGCGCTTAACTGCTGTGCTGAATCATCCCACCCTTTTAATTTTCCGGAAAAGGACGATTCAGTATAGCCGATTCAGTATATGGCCATAACTTTCTTGTTATTCGTCAGATTCTGACAATTCTCATATTATTCGAAAGGTCAGTTCATATATAAAAATTTCTATAAATCGATCGGACAAAAATTTATGGTCTAAAAGTCGGAATACTAAATCGGCCGATACTACCCTACCCTATTATCTGGTAAACGGAACAGGGCTAGTTGAGTCAACCGTCCAACCTCAACTGACCCCAACTGTCTGGTAAAAGCTGTTTCAGAGTATTTTGGAAAAAATTTTGTAAAAACTTTTTCCAATTCAGTTATGGAGAAAGGGAAGATGATTCGTCTAACAATAAGTTTTATTTTGCTTTTCCATTTAAATTTATGCTTCTTTTAGAGAATGAATAAATCTTTAATGATCAAAGAAATATGTTTACAAATATTTATTTTTAAAGTTTTTATGAATTTTTGATTTTCTACTGATTAGCAATGAACGCGGAATATTTTAATTTTTTTAGACAGGTTTATTTTTTGATTATTAAAATAAATTGATTTTACAAATTTATTGTCTAGAATTTCCTAGTTTTTTAATACTCAACTAATCTTTGGTTTCTAAGGTTTGTCAATTATTGTTTATCGATTTATTGCAAAAAATATTTAGGATTTTTAATGAAATGTTGATTTTTGTGGAAATATTTATCAAATTATTTTGTAGAAGTATTTACTTTAAATGTTTGAAGGTTAGTTCTCTTTTATTATTTTAATTTATTAGGAAGCTGAAAATTTTGGGGAAAAACTTTTTTGTAGTAATATTTGAGAATTCTTTTTTTCTGCTGCGTTTATGTTCCCTCAATTATTTTCTTTGTCTAAAATAATTTTAATTTCCCAAAATTCTTGACCAATTTGAATATTTTAAAGATTTTTTGCAATCTTAAAATATTAAAAAAACTTTTCTGAAATTTCTTGCGGAAAAAAAGTTGCGGTCAACTTGGGAACATAACCGAAGAACCCTAAATTTTTTATTTTTTTGTCATCTACGGTTTTTTTGTTTTTACATTAGCAATTTTTCTAAAAAAAGTTTTTTTTAATTTTTATTTTTTAAATATTTTTTCTTTTAAATTAGCCTAATTACTTTTTTTTTGCATTTTTTGTTCTTTGAATTTTTCTTTTTTGGAAACATTTTCTAAATTTTTCTGTCATTTTCAATTTTTGCATTTTACTAATTTTGTGATGGAAAAATTAATCTTTGAAAATTAAAAATTAATTTGGTGTCTTTAAAAGTAATTTTATGGGTTTTTAAGGAAATTTTATTTTGGAAATTAATTTTGAAGAAACGAAATTAAAAAATATTGCAAAATTTTTTTTAATTTTATAAGATTTTTTGCTTTATTTTATTCCTTTTCATTACCAAGAAATATTTTCTTTTTTTGAACGTGAAAAATGAGGATATCCAACTCTATTTCGAATTAGGGAAAGGTTTTTCCCAGTTCTAAAAGCCCTGGCTATGGCCCCGGTATTTTTTGGATCTGTCATCCCCCTTTACTTTTTTTTAAATTTTGAAACTACAGACAAAATAATTTTAAGAATTCTCTACAGACAAATTTCCTTTAAAATATTTCCTCCCCTTTTTTATGAAAATTATTTCCTTTTTGGAATGTTTCGTTTTTTATTAATTTTTATTCTCCCCCCTTCTATTCTTTATCTATTTGGTATTTTTTATTATTAAATTTTTGGTTATTTTATATTGATATATATTTTTAATTATTCAATATCATTATTAAAAATTATATTGGAGGAGGGGGGCACATATACACATTTTTTCTTCCTTTTATTTTTTATATTAATTTTTAAACTTATTCCAAAAATGACGTCGATAACGTTAATTTTTAATAGGAAAGGGAACCAAAAATTTCAAAAAATTTTATTTTAAATTTTTAAAAATTAAAAAAATATTTTGATTTATTTTTTTGGAGAGAAGTAAAAGCTTATAAATTTAAAAAGTTCAAAATTTTTTCTTTTTTACAAAAACTCCTTTCCCTTATTTTTTTCGCATATAAATATTCTCGATAATCTTCTGAGGCCCATAGAGTATATATTTATATATTTATTTTAAAGGATAGAAATGCTTCTTATTTTCCTCTCCTCTCGTTTTTTCCTCAGTTCACCTCAAAAAACCTTTCCTTCCTTCCTTTTCCCTCTATCCATAAATTATTTAAATATAAACCCAAAAAATGACAGAAGCGAGGCTTTTCCTGTTTTTATTTTTTTAATGCATAAAAGCTTTTTTTTAATTTTTAAAGAAAAGTAAAAAAAATTTTAAGCACGTGCCAAGCGGTAAAAAGCACGAAATAAATTTTTGGACTGAATTTTGAGTCATCCTTTTTTATTTTTTTGTAAAATCGCGTGTTTTTTGTATATTTTTAAATTAAATTGTGCAAACCACAAAGTGAAAAAGTACAATTATAATGGTAAAAAATTGCCAAGTTACGTATAAAAAATGTAGTAATTAATTTAATAGAAAAATTTAATTTTTAAATAAAATAAATTATTACATGATTAATTATTGTAGAGAAGGATTAACTATTTAGGGTTTAGGGCGGGGGGGGGGGGTGTCCAGAACTTTGGGGGCTACTGCTTTCCTCTTATTATACAGTGTTTACATAATTATAACCTCATCTAATCGGACTGATTTTTATTTTCTATTAATTAGTACAGGTAAAGCAATTGATATAAACCCGTCAATTTTTATCATCCAAAAAACGTTACAACTTTACCTGCAGAAATCAAATTAGGAATGCCTGAAAAATTTTACAAAAATTTCCGTGAACATTTTTCCATCGATCTAGGTAAAAATTCAAACAGAACTAAGGCTATAACCCCTTTCTTCATTAAGATGTAAAATTTTAAAAATCAACGGGAATATATGAATTGTGTCTGAAGTAAATAATAATAAATTAAAATCAGCCCCCGATTGATGTGGTAGAAGTCTAGAAAATTGAAAATTTAAGGCGAGGTTATAATTATGTGGAGCTCTGTTTTCTATTTTGAAAAGCCCTTTTTTAGTATTCTTTTACTATTTTAGTGCCAGTTTTTCTTTTCATCTTTATTTGCCATAACAAAAACATTGATTTTTTTCTTTTATTTCCCCCATGGCATTTTTCTACATTTTTTTTCTTTTTTTTCTATGACATGTAAAAATATATTTATTTTTATTTATTTGTTGCCTGCTTTTTTTAAACTTTAAAAACTTTTTTTTATTAATTTTAAGATTTTTAATGACGGCTATTTTTGTGTCTGTTTTTGACATTTAAAATTTAAAGGAATAAAAAATATTTTTAAATTAATTTTTAATTAAAAGAAATTTTTTTGTTTATTATTAGATGGACCGTTAGACTTCGTTTTATTTTTTTTAAATTAAATTTGGCCATAATTTGTAGAAAAAGATTTTTTATTTTTAAAATTTTAATAGCTTTTATGTTAGTCCTTCCCAAAACTTTTTTTATAATCCGTTTTAGAAAACATCCGGAAAAATTTTTAATATTAAATAAATAAATATATCTTTATATTTAAAATAATTTTTTTTTCTTCGTCAAATTTATTTTTTAAGCGCAAATATATACATACATTTTACATATAGGTAGTAATTTGACACGCATAAAAATTGCCCATAAATAAATTTATATATTTTATTTTAAGCCTTAAATAAAAATTTTTTTTATTTAATTATATTAATTAATTTCTTTTTCTAAAATTATTTTTCTTTTCTTGAAATATTCTCATTTTTTTATAAAATTCAATTTTTGAAAATAATTTTTCTTTAAAGGGAGTGGGATATATAGAAATATCGCAAGTTTTTTACGCGCTCTGCCTAAACTTGAAAAATCTTTTATTTGGTAGTGGGAATTTTATTTTCTTTTTTTTTCAATTTTTCTAGTAAAAATTTTTATTATGTAATTTTATTTAATTTAAATTTTTTTTTAAAATTTCTTTTCTTTTTTCTAAATTTTATTTAATAATCCCTCTCAACGGTCTTTAATAAAAATAAATAAAAAAAACTTATTTTTTAAATTTTCCTTTAAAAAATCAAATAATTTTTAATATATATTTTTTGGGCGTGGGAGTAAAATAAATTTAAAAATAATTGGAAACCTTAAAATTTATTTTTATTAATTTCTTTTTAGCTATTATTATTTTTCTTATCTAACAAACTTGAAACATAAACAATATATAAATTAATTGTTTATATTTTTCCTCTAAATATTTGTTAACAACATTTCTCACATGTCTTTATTGTGTGTAACAGGTATTTTTATGAATATGTTTCAAGTTTGTTAAAATATTCAACTTTTTTTATAGTGAAGCGTGCAAAGCTGCAAGGCTCAATAGGTAGAAATTCTTACATATTTTTAAAGGCGAAAATGAAACTTGAAATTGAAAAATAAATTTGTTTTTAAATTGTAGAAACTTTAAAGTTGAAAAACTTGCTTATTTTTAAATTCCAAGTTCGTGTTAAAAACTTGTTTTGAATTAAAGTTTTTAAAAATGCTGGAAAAGTTTTAAAACTTTTTTGTTGAAAATAAGCTTGTAAACTTGAAACTTTTACAATTTAAATTTTACAAACTTAAAAATGTTTATTTTAAAAATAAACTTTAATTTAATTGCTATAAATTGTTTTTTTAGAAGAATTTCATTCTTATGTTACATTAAAGCTACAAAATGTAAAATCTACAACTGTTGCTGTTAGAGGAATACAACCACAATGGGAACAAGAATTTATTTTGTGAGATTTCTTTAAAAAAGAATTTATTTTAAATATTTTTCAGTGAAACAAATAGACTTGATCAAGCTCTTTTTCTTGAATTATGGAATAAAGGAGTTTTGTGGGATAAATTGTTGGGTGTTTGTTTTATGAGATTATGTGATGTTGGGTATTCAAATTCCTCTGGTTGTGGTAAATGGCTACAAGTTGATCATGAATTTAGAACATTGAATGGGGATATTGTTGGAACCTTACATTCTACTGGTCATTCTGTGTTGGTTGACTGTCGATTTGAACTTCCTTACGGTAAATATTTAATTTTTATAAAAAAACTTGAAATTCTCAACTTGAAACTAAGGTTGGCGGATAGTTGGAAATCTTCGGATATCCGGATCCGGTATCCGATCCGAAAATTTCGGATATCCGGATCCGGAACCGATATCCGAACCGAAATTTTCGGATATCCGGATCCGGAACCGAAATTTGTATTTTAAAAATTTTCGCCTGCGGCGCTGAAAAGTTGAGTCTTATGGAAAATATAAAGGGATTAGAGCAATTATGATTGGATTTGGGGATTAACAGTGTTATCGAGATAATTTATGCTTAACAGAGTTATCTATTTAGGTGTAATCAATGTGTGGAAAATTTTGTAGTTTATCTGATGATTTGTGAGAATTTAGTGGATTTGGGGGAAGTAGTAGATACATAGGCTATTTCCATATTTTTGAATTTGGTAAGTTGATATCTGGGATCGTGGGATTAAGAGAATACTGAGAACTTAGAGGTAAATCCTCCGTTATCATACAAACCCCTTTTCTTCCCTTTTAAGCGTCGCAGGCGAAAATTTTGAAACTTGGAGGTCCTTAATTAAGATTTCTTTCACTGACGGCGCCGCAGGCGAAAATTTTAAAACTTGGAGGTCCTTAAGTCAGATTTCTTCCACTGACAGCGCCGCAGGCGAAAATTTTGGTAATTTTGGAAGGCCGTAGGCCAAAAAAATTCACTTTTTAGCGCCGAAGGTAAAAATTTTTTGTAATTTTGGGAGCAAATGAAGCAAAATTTCTTCCATTTTCAGCGCCGCAGGCGAAAATTTTGGGAATTTTGTAAGATTAGACTTCCAGATGTTCCTTTTCCAGCGCCGCAGGCGAAAAGATTTCTTGGGCAAGATTTCTTCCTTTTTCCGTAATTCTAGGATCCGAACCGAAATTTTCGGATATCCGGATCCGGATCCGATATCCGAACCGAAAATTTCGGATATCCGGATCCGATATCCGATCCGAAAATTTCGGATATCCGGATCCGGATCCGGTATCCGAACCGAAAATTTCCGGATATCCGGCCTTTTTTCGGATCCGGATATCCGGATCCGCCAACCTTACTTGAAACCCTTTTTTAATTTCCTCCATAATATGAAACTCTATCCCTTTGTAGTAAAATAAGAGGGCAAAACTAAACTGTTTAAAAAATTTCTTTTGTTCTATTGCAACTCTTGAATGTATGCTTATTTTCTTTCTATTATCTATTCTTTTGGTCTACTTTTTACCTCAATATTGAAACTTTAAATAAAAGGTGTGAGAGACAGTTTTTTGGGAACACACAAACAATTGTGTGCCTACGCAAAAGGCACACAATTGTCCCCTCAATACCAACCAATATTTATTTATCCTGTTCGGCGCGCCTCATTCCTAGTTCCGCTCTTTTGCTTCGTTGAATATTTTATAGATTTTCTTTTCTTTATTTTTTTTGTTAGCCACCTTATTGCCAATAAAATAGAAGCATAGGAAATTTGGAAGATTGCTTTTTATATTTTATTTATTTATTATTAGAGAGAGAAACCTCTTTAAAATTAAGTAAAAATTTTTTAAACTTGAAACATTTTCTTTAAAAAAATCCAAATTTTTTAATTCCTTTTAATGGGCTTTCTTTACCCTTTTGCGTCTTTTTGTTCATTATTTTTTTTAATTTTCCTATTTTTTTTATATTTTCTTCTTTATGGCCTTTAATATGCAAAAAATTCTTGCCTTTCCTCCTTTATTTTTTCATTAATTTAATGAAGAATAATTGCAACCTTTGAAATGTTTTTCTGCAACAAATTTAATTTTTGATTTTTTCGTTATTAAGGGAGTGAGGGTATTTTATTTTTCTTTAGTTTTCCCAACTTTTATTCTTTCCTAATTTTATTCCAAAATATAATTAAATATTTCTATTAGTTTTATATATGTAAAGACTACCCTCCTAGATATACTAAAATAATAATTTTTAATGTTTTTCTTGTACAAGAAAAAATAATATATAAAATTTGGAAAACAAGAAAAAAAACACAAAAATTCCTTTGGGAAATATACAAATATTTTTAATGGTTTTTGATGTTTTTAATGAGAATTTTCTATTTTTATAAGCCGGTTTTTCTTGTTTTTGGGTTTCTTGAACACATGATGAAATCAAAAGAATTTTATAGCAGAATTTTATTAATATTTTAACTTGAAAACAATTTTTAGTTAAATAAATAATATATTTTTTTAGATTATCTTAAACCTTTACTTTTTTGGAACTAAAAATTAGAAACATCTCTAAACAGGAGTAGGCGCCATTCCGCCGCCATTCCACTCCGTCACAAATTCATTTAGTTTTTGTATCTGGAAGGCCCTGTTATGGTTCAATACTGAGCTGATTCGAACACTGTTAACGGAGTGTACTGACTCTTTTCGCCCTAAATTTTATTTTCTTTTATTATTCTCACGAGAAACTTTTTTAATTTTATGTTTCTATGGAAAATAATGGGAAACTTGCGCGCATAATGAATACAAAAAGTTGAGTAAAAAAAGTAGAGAACATCAACAACAACATTTTTCTCATTTTAAAAAAATATAAAGTGCATTTCTTAGATTTTTAAAAAAATTTTGACTTTCATTTTCTCAGACACAAAATTATTTTGATTATTTTCTGATTTTTCTTGTTTTTCAAATTTTTAAATTTTTATCTTACAGAAAAATTATCTTCAAAAATATCTTTAAAAAGATAAATTTATTCTCTTTTCACCAATTCTATTTCTGGTTATTTTTTGGCTCATTTTTCATTATTTTTTATCTAAATAATACTTAAATCCAAGGCGCGAAAACTAATTTGTTTATTCTTTTATATTCTTTGCTATTTTATTATTATTAATGTTCTGGCACGCATAAAACTATAAATTATTAAAAAAATTAATTTCTGGATTCTATTTTTTAATTTAAATAATTAAATTCCATCAATACGTCTCCCTAATCATGTATCGGTTTTATTCATACGTCTGCTTAATTTAATCACGACGGGTGTGCTTTAGTCATATTTACTCCCGATCACACGTCAATCTCTCTCATATACCTGGAAAGACATATTAACAGAGCTTCAATGTACTTATTTTTAGGTGTTGAATCAGTTTCTGATGTTCATCAACAATTATTAAATTTTGATTCAAACGACGAACATACACCACCATTAACTCATCATCCAATACAACAACAACAAGTATTTCAACAGCAACATTTACATTCTTATGACCAAGAAGTTCCCGAACAACAAAATGTTTCTGACAATTACGAATATCCCCAAGAAGAATCATCAATAGAAGACGAGGAAGAAGAAGAAGAAGAAGAGGGAGAAGACGAAGAAGAAGAAGAAATTAGTCAAAAAGAAGTGGAACTTATTAATCTCGAGGATTACATTGCTGGCGGCATTAACCGTTCACCAGAAGAGAATTTACCAATAAACGGCGGTGGTCGGAGTAGAAGAGGAAGAATTGCAGCTGAAGCAATTAATCAACGAGCACAATTATTACATTGTTAGTGTGTAGATTTGAAATAAAAAATTTATTTTTTAATTTTCAGCCGGAATCTCAGAAGATTCTGATTACACTTCCGAAATTTCTTTTCAACCCGGAGCGCATCAACAACAACAACATCAAGCAAACGCTTCTGCACATCAATACGAGTCTCACTTGCGTAGAACAACGATTAATCAACAGCAGCAACCTTCAATTTCTAATAGGTGATTGTTAAATTTCTTTAGCTTTATCCTCCTGCTGCTTTTCTGAAATTTTTTACAAAAAAATGCAACCCGAACCCGCAGTCTATGATAAGTTTTTTCCCGTAGTCCGGAAGAATTTTCGGGGGGAGGGGGCACTACTCGTGGCTACGGAACTGTCTCCATATTCTGATGGGTACCCTAACAAAAACCAAAAGATGGCTGCCACCATCCCAAAAACACTTGTAAAACATTCTTAATGTTTATATATACCTATATTTTTTTCAGACTTGTTCCCTCCGATAATTATTTTCCTTCAACTTCTTCAAACATTCAATGGGATACTTCAGAATACTCACAACAACAACAATATGTCCCTGAAGGTTTACTTTATTCGCAACAACAGAGACATAACCAACGATTATCGTGGCTACGGAACTGTCTCCATATTTAGTTGACAATAGAAATACCCCTCCATCTCCAACACCTCAATATTTTGCAGGTTTTTATTGTGATATAAAATACCTAGAAATGTTTTGTTATCTTTTTTAGATGGGCAACAATATTATGAAGAAGAAGAACAACAATCAACTCAACAATATTATACTGATAATTTTGATGATGACAGTCAAACTGATTCAAAAACGTTTGATCAAATTCAAAATATCGACGAAAACTTCTATCATGGGGGCAACCAAATTTCTTCTTCGCCTTTTGCTGTTTCTTCTTCACATATTCCAAGGCTTCAATCTTCTCAATCTAGTAGTAGAAAGGATAACAGAAATGGGCGAATTGGTGGTCATCAATTTAAAAATGTGCAAGAAGTATTTCCTTCCCCATCATTTACTTCTTCTGTCGGCGATGGTGGAGGTGGTGGAGGGAGTGGCCGTGGCTTTACAGATAGTCGAAGTAGTAATTCAACAGTCCAACAAATGAATGAGAGTAGTAGAAGAAGCCGTGCAGGAAATTATTATGATTCTGAATCTGATGGATTTACTTCAACTGGAACGGTAAGAATCGAGATTTGTTTTTGGGTACTTTTGAACTAAAGAATTATTATTTTTTAGGTAGTTCCAGTCAATATTCATGAACTTCCAAATTGGCGAACAACAATAACTCAGCAACATTCTCAGCATCAACAAGGTTTTAATGAAGACCAAGAAGAATATGTAGTTGAAGGAGAGGAAGAAGAAATTGAGGAAGAAGTAGATGGAGAAGGGGGAGAAAGAGGAAGAAGAAGGAGGAGGGAAATTGAAATAAATGAAGATTTTGGAAGATTAAATGAAGAAAAGAAAATAAATAATGAAAGAAGAAAAATACAACCAAGTGAACAAGAATTGTTAGCAGAGATTGAAGAGTATAAAGCAAAGTTGGCAGCTGCCGGAAGACATTATGATAGTCAACAAGCGGGTAAGGGGAAGAATTTCTTTAAATTTTTTATTAGATTTAGGGGAATTTTATTGGATACTTCTTAGGGCTAAAAAATTATATTTTGTAATAAGAATAGAGGATATCTCTTAGACAAGCTTCACCCTTGGCGGTAGACGACCAAACTTTCGAAAAACGTTGTTAGAGGGTATAGAGTAGTAACGGAGAGATTTTTTTAAATAACTCTAAAATTTAATATTTTCTTACCTAAAATATAAAAAATTATTATTTTTTTCCAAATATTTGCACTCCTAAATGTCTGAGAAAAAAGTTGTTTTTGATGTATTTTTTACTCGTCATGAATTTTTTATACTCGTTTTTTTATTTTGCGCACTTTATTTTTATCAATTTTTAAATGTATTCAGGCACATTTAACTCAAATGAAGATGAAAAAGAGAAGAAAAAAGAAAAAGCATTGGAAAAGCTAAAAGAAGACGAGAAAAATAACATTTCAATGGTGCCTGGCACGTCTGCTAATACTAGTAATAGTAGTAGAACCTTTTCTTGCTTTAAACAAAACAAAAATGGAGAAGAAAAAGAAAAATTATTTGACCCAGAGGAGGAGGAGGAGCCACTTTCTTATAATAGTCGGCCATCTGCGCGCTTATTAGAAGAAAGAAAAGAAAATAATAATAATAACGGAGCACAACGTCAACAGCATTTTTCTTCTGGAATTGAATTTGGGGAGTCATCTGAAGCTGCGGTGGTAACTCATGGAATGGATGAAGATTATGGGGTAAAATTTGAAATAATTTTACACGTCTTTACTTGGTAGTTGAGGTTGTGGGTTCGAATCCGCTTGGGGAAATTATTAATTTTTTTAAATAATTGAATGATATTTATTTTGGGTCAATTTTTCATCTATTTTTGACCCCTTCTGCATTTTTTCTTACAAAAAAATTTTTTTAGATTGGTTATGAGGATCCTCTTCGTGGTCAAGGAGTCTATTATACTCGTTCAGGCCAATTTCCCCCACACCACCAAGAAGAAGAAAATGAAATTAATCGGGAATATAGACAACAACAAGAATATAATGAGTAAGTTTTGTAAAAAAATATTATTTTTTGACAAAAAATATTTTTTTAAAAGTTATCAAATAAATTCTACCGATGACTTGTCGAAACAACAAGCAAACAACACAATACCTCCACGTATTTCCTTGTCTTGTGAAAATGAGCAACGACCTACTAAAGATTATTTACAGCTTTGGAAATGGGCTTATAGAGAGGCTTGTAAACAAGCTGGAATTACGGTGGCTAAAATTAATTTTTTTTAATTTTTACATAAAATTTTTAAATATTAATTTCCAACGGGTAAAGCTGCTACATAATTAATATTTATTAACACTAAGAATTTTTAAGTTTACAATCATGTTTACTTTAATTATTCCGCCTATTTTACAAATTGTTTTTGTTTTAATTCCGCCTGTTTTTATATTTTTAATATATTCACAAACTTCCGCTTGTTTTTTCTCTTTCTTTTGAATATTTTTATTTAAAATCAGATTTTTACTTTTATTTTTATTTTTTTTACAATTGTAAAACCAAATTACAATTATTATTATTAAATATTTTTTTATTTTTATTTTATTTTTTTTCTTCTTTCTTTGCTTTAAAAATTTTTTTTTATTTTTAAAACAAACAAAACAAAAATTAAATTTTGACATGAATTTTTACATGTATTAATTTCAAATTCAACAAATATTTTTTGTGGTAAAAAATAATTTTTGAAATTTAAGTCTTGAATTTATATGTATTTTTTTCTTTTAAAGCAACAAAAAATATATGAGCGTGTTAATTAAGGAAGGAAGAAGAATTTATTTCTTTTTTTCTTAAATTTATTAAACTTTTCCTGGAAATAATTATTTTAATTAGCTAACTTTTATTAATTTTATTCTTACAAATCTTTGCATAAATTATTTATTTTTTATCTACATATTCATAAAAAATCACACACACAAATTGGCTATATAATGTCAACTTTTCCCATCATTTTTTATTTTATTTTCTACTTTAAAAACTAAAAAAATTTCCAGTTTATATGCATGCGCGATTTATAAATTATTTATTTGTTTTTTCTCTCTCCTCGTTGAATGATGAAAGTAAGTGTAGATAAAAGTGAAAGAGTTAAGAGATGAGTACTATTAACTGTTAGGTGAATTTTGGCACTTTTTTTGCTTCATCTCACACTAGAAAAAAATACTATTTTTTTTGTTTTTAAGCAATTATGCAATAAATAAACTATAAATTTAAATGGATTCCTTTTCTTAATGGAGAAACTGTTACAAATTACAGTAGTCGACAAAAAGATAGGGACAAACGCATGTAAAATGAAAATCACCTATTTTCTCAGCTAAAAATCGATTTCAGGAAAAACTTTTTGTTTGATTAAATACGCCATTTAATGCTCTATTTAATAAGTATAAGATCTGGCGGATTACTATTTTTTGATATACTGAAATAATTTAAATAAAAAAATACTGCAAATTTTAGCCCGACAAAAAGATAGGGACAAGTCTTGTAACTAAGTAGTCACCCAACCAATAAATTTAAAAAAATTCGTGCAAACATAATGATCGTTACTAAGATAAAATAAAAAGGAACTAGGCCCGTATTTCATTTCAATGTCGAGATCTCGATACCCCAAAAATCAACGTAAAACAGGGGTAAGCAACTTCAAAAAATATTTTCGACCCCTTATGGATTTTTTAAAATTTTTATTTTGAGCCTATTCGATAGCTCTTGAAATTTGCTATAAACTAACCAAATTTCATTTTTCAGAAAAAAATACTTCGTTAGTTGCAGAGGCGAATGTTACAAAAAGCAACAAACACCCCATAAATTCCCACAAAAATGGCGTTTTGAAGAATCGTCGTCCTTTATCTCGGGAGTGAAATTTTTTTAAAAAATGAAATTTGTCACGTTTATAGCACAATTAAAGATCTATCGAATAAGCCTAAAATGGAAATTTAAAACAATCAATAAGGGGTCCGAAAAAAATTTTGAAGTCGAAAAACCCTATTTTACGTTAATTTTTGGGGTATCTAGATCTCGACAACGAAATGAGATATGGACCTAGTTCTCTTTTATTTCTTCTTATTATCGATCAATATGCTTACAATAAATTTTGTAGATTTTTCGCTTCTATGAGAACTTAGTTACAAGACTTGTCCCTATCTTTTTGTCGCGCTTAAAATAGCATACCTTTAGTTTTTCAATAAGGGTTGAATTTTATAAAAACTTAAACAGGCAAATTTTCTACTCATTAAATATAGCATTAAATCTAGTATTTAATAAATCAAAAAATTTTTTCTAAAATCGATTTCTAACCGAGAAAATAGGTGATTTTCATTTTGCTTGCGTTTGTCCCTATCTTTTTGTCGACTACTGTATTTCTCAATTAATTCTTTTTTTTTTTAAATAACCTTCTATCCTTAAATTCAACTACAATCGTATCTCAATTGTAATGATTGATGTTAAATTGAGGAATCTTATGTTAACTAAATAAAAACTAGAATAAAAAGCATGTTTAAGTGAGCTGTATTTTTCACTTTATAATTTCCCTCCAATTTTTTCTATTTTAGTTTTTTCATTGTTTTATTTGAATGAGGGTATTGTTATGCCCTTTTTTATTGTTCACAGAACACTTATTTAAATATTAATTTTGGTTATTGCCGAAGAGTGACAAGAACGATAAAATATGGCCCTAAGGCACGAACTAGAATAACCCTTTGGCAATAATAAAAATTGAAAAAAAAATTTTTTGAAGAGAAGGGGGGGGGGAGACAAACTTTGTTATAGTATATTTGTGTATTAACAAATAGTAATATTTTTTTAAAAATAGAGCAACGACCAAATAGTAGGACAAATATATATTTTCAAATAATTTTAAAGAAATCTAGATTTTACTCTTAAAGGGCATTTTTTAGGGAAAAAATATTTTTTAATTAAATATTTTATTTTTTTCTGTTAATTTTAATATATTTTTTAGACATTTTTTATTTTTATTTTACATAATTTTGGGTTAATTCAACCGTTTAAGAGAAAGAAAGCATTTATTGTTCTTATTAAGTATATTTTACACTAATTATGCACTTATTCATTCATTTAAATATTTTTTATTTTGTCAAAAAATTTATTTAAATACAAGACTATGTGTGTGCCAGAATCATTTACTAAATTTTACACCTTCTCTTATTTTATATAAAATAATTTTATTTTGAAATTTTTATAACATTTTATTATTTTTATTTTTAATCAGAATCCTTTTGAGTTAATTTTCCATTTATATATTTTTAGTTAATTTCTATTCACAAATCTTAGCTTTGGGAATTTATCAGCCTAGATCTCCCTCCTACCCCCACCTACTCCCCACCCCCAACTAACACTGTAAGATTTATTGCTTCCCTTGTGTTTGTAAGCTTTGTTTCTAAATTTCTTTTTTTACTTGTGTACAAGTACTTATGTAAATCTTCATTCATATTTTGGATATTTTTCAATATCATTACAATTTTTCTAATATTTCTTTCATGAATTTTGGACAGAAAAAAGTAAACAATCATTCCAATTTACATGTTTATTTAAATTATTTTTTTTATTATTCTAATTTATTAATATAACGTTAGAAATCTCTTCTTTTACACGTAAAACCCTCAACTAATTATAAATGTAAAATTATATACTTAATTTAATTTTGAGGTGTAGCTAAATAATAATAATTTTACGAACACACACGCAACACACACACCCATCTTTCTTTAAAAACGTCATTTTCTCTTTTCTTTAAATTTGCATATATTTTTAGTTTAGATTTAAGGCAAAAAAATATTTTTTTGTTTTTAAATAAATTTAAAAATTTATTCTTTGTTTGTTAAGTCAGTTAAAAAAATTAGTTGTTGATTCAAGAAATTACCTAAAATTTATTTTTTTAAAAAACTGATTCGATTTTTTATACCTACATCTTTCACTTTTATTTTTTTAGATGGAAAATCTTTAATAAAGCCAAAACAAAAAATTTTTTTATACAAAATATACTTTTTGTCCATTTTCTTAAATTCATTATATGTCTGTCTATTTCTTTAAATATATTTTTATTTCTTTAAATATACTAAATTTATTCCTATAATTTTATTTGTTTTATTCTCTGAACTCTTAAAATAATAATTATTTTAGATTCATCATCAAACATTTTTTTAGAGAATTTTTTCTAAGATATTTGGGGAGGGTATATTTGCCCTTTTGTTCTTATTATTTTTCTTCTTCTTTTAATTTTATCATGTGTGTAATTGGATTTAAAAGGATAAAAAGATGGACAGAAAAAGTCAAAATGAAGAGTCACCAAGGAACTGATAAAGAAATAAATAGTAGAAGCTAGTAGTCTTGTAGTGTGGGAAAGGCCAAAAAATTGAAAAGGAAAAATATAATGCCAAATAATTTATTTATTTATTTACTAGCTAAAATTTATTTGGCTTCTTCAAAATAAGAGTAAATTGAGGTTTTGTATTTGTTTATGTTTTTATTGTGTTTGCTTTTGTTTTAATTTTGTTGACTTTAAGTTTTTAGAATTTTATTTAAACTTTTTTCCTTAGCTTTTAGAAATTAAGTTTAAAACAAGTTTGTTTGTAAAATAAGTTGTTGTAAAACAAGTTTTAAGTTCAAAAAATAAACTTGAAAAATAAACTTGTTTTACAACGGATATATTTTAAAACTTGAAACTAAAACATGAGAAACATTATTGTTTCTGACTTTAATTTTAAAAACTTTTTTTAAACAAACAAATATTTAAACATTTCTCACACAAGAAAGGAACACAACTTTTATCCTTTTATCTATTAATTATATTTTTTTATATATTTTGACCGTTCTTCCGCCATATTCTTCTCTTATTTTTTACATAAAAAACTCCATCTCATTGTTATAAAATATATATATTATTTACATGCTTACACCTACACTATATCGAGTTTTTTTTCAAAATTAGCACAAAATCCTTCTTTGCCTAAAATTAGTCTGCTAGATGAAGCATAAAAATGTCTTCGCATTACTTTCCTTTCCTTTCACTTTAATATACACATATTTATACTTTCATTTATTTTTATTTTTTAGAGCATTGTTTTTGAATAATCAGCCTGTTTTTAGAACTATTTTTTAAATTTAGATTTTTAAACAAAACATGGGGGTATTTTCCCTTTTTAGTTTTAAGAAACGGGAACTTTAAAGTTCCAACTTGAAATAATTTTAAACTTTTTACAAACTTAAACTTTTAAGTTTTAAAAACAAAACAAGTTTTAAACAAGTTTCTATAACAAAGTTTTAAACAAAACATTCTAAACAAAATTTCCCAAAACAAAACATTGGAAACAAAACTTGTTTTAAAATAAACTTTCAAGTTTGCCGAACATTTTTTTCACTTTCTGAACACAACAATTTTTAATAGAAGCCAACACAAACTATTTATATTTATTTTAAATATGTTTTGTTGTGTTATTTACTTAATGGCTTTTATTTTAAAAAAAAGTTTTGTTTTAATTTTTATTAAAAATTATTATGTTTGTTAATGGAGGAAATTATTATTTTTAAAAAAAAACTTGAATGCCATTCTCATAATTTTTCACCTGTTCCGGGAAATTGGCTTTTGTAAGAGATTAAATTTTTTAATTTTGCCTCTCATTATATTTTAATTTTTTCTTAATTTTACATAACTTTTTTATATTTTTACTCATTTATTGTTCTCTTTTTGTTTTTTTTTAAATTTTTTAAATATTCTTTATCAATACTAGAGCTTAATTCAAATAAAAAAATATATTAATTTATTACTCTGGCACACTGTTCTCGTCTTCAGTAACAACCCTTTTATCGACTTCTGCGCTTTTTGGAAGTAGTAGATCACCTTCCCCTTCCATTCATAAAAAGCATTTTGATTCACCTAATCTTCCAATTCGATACAATTCAAAAGAAGACCCAAAATTTACTGTTACCCATCTTCCCAAAGATTCTTCTGATTTATACCAATGGAAGGAAGAGAAGAAAAGGAAGAAGGAAAAAAGAGGAATGGAAGAAGAAGAAAAGAAAGAAATGGAAGGGAAAAATGAAATGAAGATAAAGGAAGAAGAGGGATGGAATGAAAAGGAGGAACAAAATAAATTTTTTGTTAAATCTAATGGTGTAGCTAATTTTAATGAGGAATATACTACGAGTAACTCAAGCAACTCAACTGTTAATAATTCTTCATCGCCATCATTAATTAATAATATTCCTTGGAAATGTTCATATTCTTATTTAAATTCCTTTATTACGAGATTATTACCAACAAAACAGGAAATTGAATCAACAACAACAACAACAATAACATATCCAACAAAAACATCTTTAACACATTCACCTACTAAAACATCAACTAAAACATCTTTATTAACAAACAACACTCCACAAACATTAATTTATTCGACAAAATTCAAAACATCCCCAACAACATCAACAAAAACATCTCCAAAAACATTGCCAACAAAAACATTAAAAACATGTATATTAGCAAAAACAACAACAGTCAAAACATCCCCAACAAAAGAAGAAAACAAACAACAATCTCAACAACAACAACTAACATCAACAAATGTTTGTCTTCTTGTTAATTCACATCAAACAGAAAATGAAGAGAGAAACAAAAAGAACAATTTAAGTTTTAGAAATGGACTAAGTTTCCGAACAAGTTGTGATAAAAATGTTGAAAATATAAAGAAACAACAACAACAAAAACAACGACGAGAACAACAAATGAAAAGATCTGTTGCTACAACTGAATGTTCTCCAACTTTAGTAGAAAAAAGAAAAATAGTAGGAAAAAGTTGGGCAAGTTTTAATAGTAGAAGAGGAAATGTTTTAGTTTTTGCTTCTAAAAAGGATATTTTAAATGAATTACGTCGTCAACGATTAGAAGCTAAAATGAATGCTACAAGTGTTTATTTACCTAAATTGGAGAAAGAAAAAGAAGAAGAAGAAAATAATTTTAAAAATAATAAAAGTTTTAAAAGAAGCAATAAAAGTTTATTTTTTAGAAGAAATTTAACAGTTCAAGTATCAGAATTTGATTTTCCTCCAAAATCCCCAATAAAAATTCCAATAAAAATTGTTGAAAAAGAATTATTAAATAATCAATTTGATACTTCAATTTGTTCTTCCCCAACAGCTACAATATTAAAAGATCAAGTTCATTCTTTAAAACAAATTTCTGCTTCAATTGTTGGAAACAACTTTAGTAGTCAAATTGTAAATGTTTCACAACAAACTACCCAAACAAACAACAACAACAAACAATCAAAACAAACAAGAAAACATTCAAAAGATTTACAAACATCTTCGTTAGGATTTGAATCAAATAAAAATGCTTCAAGTTTATTATTATTTCCTAAAAATCAGCTACGTCATTGCCATTCTGCAAATATTGTTAGTAATTTATTAACAACTGAAGAAAAGGAAATTGAAGAAATTAAAAGAAGTTCAAGTAGAAGGAGAGGTTATTTAATGATAAAAAGTAAGAGGGATGATGATTTTGATAGTGAAACAAAAAATAAAAGTGAAGCTGAACAAAATTATTTTATTAAATGGAATGATGAACAATCCATATCTTTACCCTCCACTTTAACATTAAATAAACATCGTAAAATACCTCCTCCCTTAAGAAATTGTAATAGATTTCTGTCGTCTTCCTCTTCTGATACTCCCCAATCTGCTATTTCATTTGGATCATCATATTCCTCTAATTCAACAAATTTTATTCCAAAATCATTGCCATTGATGAGAAGGGGAAGAATAAATTATTTAAATTATGGAGGAATGGGAGAAGAAAAAGAAGAGGAAAGATTAAGAAATTTAAAAACAGGAAGAGATGAAATAGAAAAGAAAAGAAGAGGAGGAAGTGGAAGAGTAATTAAGAAAAAGAATTTTAAGGGAATAGAAGATCCAACAAAAGCTTTGCTTGCCTTTTCCAAATCTTTTAAAAAGATTAGGCGTGTTGAAACGTTTGGAAGTGAAAAGAGGAAACCTAAAATCAAAAATAATAATAATTTTGTGAATATTTCTTTGGAAAATGTGAGGAAAATAAGTCGTTCAAACAGTGCTCCTACAATAGTTGAAATTAAATTAAAAGAAGTTGATGAGAATATCAAAAATCTTAATAGTCAACAATTACCAAACAAAAATTTTGACTTGTCTTCCTTATCATCATCAACTTCTCCTTCTTCTTCAAAAATTAATAATTTCCCTCTTCTTCGTCGTCAAGCAATACGAAAAAAACGTTCATTTTCACTTGTGCCAAATAATATTGATGATAATTCTTCAAAAATTGAAGATTTAAATAATAAAAATAATAATAAATTAATTGATAATAAAAAAGTTAAATTGGCAGAAATATATAATATTAAATTGAAAAATGAAGAGAAAAAAGAATTATTTGCTTTTAGTCTTGATAATGCTTTAATGGGGGAAAAGGTTTTTATTTTTTTTTGGTATTTGTAAATTATAAAATTACAATTGTAAAAAGAAAGTTGTATTATTTGCTAGCAATTAAAGGGAGGGTTTATTTGTAATTTGTGATTACAAATTGTAAAGAAAGTTTTATAATAAGGCTTATTTGTAATTTGAAATTACAATTTGTAAAAAAAGTTTTATGTATGGTTGTTAGTTGCTAATAATTAATTGTATAATAATTAAAATAATTATTTATGTAGCAGTTTAGTGTTAAAATAATTACAAAAAATAAAAAAATATTTTAAATTTCATTTATTTTATAGAGTTCTGTTTTCGATGCTGACGGTCACTTTTTAATGCCTTCCAGTGTTGGTGCGCGTGCTACTGTTGGAAGTGCCTTTTATCGTTCCATCGATGCTATGCCATCAATGAATGCTTCTTCAACAAAAAAGTCTATTCCAGTCAGCGAATTGGTGGGGGGATTTTTTTGAATTTTAATAATTTTTTTTATTATTTTCTATCATTTTGTTTAAATTTTTCTTTTTTAATTTTCTAGCAATATCACTAAGATAAAAAATCCAAAAAGGATTTAAAAAATAAAAAATAAATTCCAAAAATGGGTTATTCGCGCTAAGCGCTATTATTGTTGGTTGTTGTTCTTGTTGTTGTTGATGCTTGACAATAAAAAAAACTTGAAGAGAAAAGGGAGGGGATTTCCGAGAAGTGTAGAGAGTTTCTATTAAATATATATTGACCTTAATATTTAAAAAATTATTTTTGAAAATCCGTAATTTTATTTTTATTATTAAAAAATATTTTTTTTTAAATTCAAAAAATGAATAATCAATTAAATAAAAATTTGGGGAATAAATTTAAAATAGAAGAATTTTGGTGGTGTTTCTGGTGGTGGAATAATATAGTAGAAGAGTCAAAACAACAACGAGAACAACAAGAACAATTGTTGTTAAATTGTAATTTACAACAATTACTTAAGGATAATTTCTTTCAGGTGCTCAAGGTGAGAAAATGTTGAAGCAATTACAAAATGTTCTCACGGTTTTTTGTGTTTTTGTTTTGTATTTTTATGTTTTTGTAAAAACACTAAAACTTTAATTTAGAAAATAAACTTGTTGGAAAAACAAGTTTATTTAATTTACAAATTGTAAAACTTGTTTTAAAAACAAGTTTTACAAATTGTAAAAATAAACTTGAAGCAAACTTCAAAATTTTTTTTCACATAATTTTTATTTAAACACTTAAATGTTTCTTTAAAAATACCCACAAAATTTTTTTAGTTTCTTGTTTGTCTTTGTTAATTAGTATTTCTTAAAAATTAAAAATAATACATATGTATTATATTTTAATTTTAGACAATGGCCACAAAAAGGACAGCTTTAGCAAATGCTGCAAAAACAACTGTACAGGATCATGAATTGGTTAAGAGACATTCAAAAATCAAAACTAATTTAATTTAAAATTTTCTAGAAACAATTAGTTTACCGAAAGTGCCTTCAAGCTCTTATTTATCCAATAAGTGCAACAACTCCACATAATTTCCAAATGACCAACTTTCAAACTCCCACCTGGTGCTATGAATGTGAAGGTCTTTTGTGGGGAATAGCACGGCAAGGTGTGTATTAGAATTAACTTGATTTTGAGTAGAAACTTCAAGCATATTTTAAATAAACTTGATTAAAATTATGTAAAATAAACTTGTAAATACAAAACAACCCTAAAACAACTTATAAACTTGAAACAGATTGTAGGGTTAAAATAAATTGTAAAAACAAAAAGTTTTAACAAATTGTAAAATATAAAATAAACTTGAAACTAATTGTAAAACCTTTCTTTTCTTGCTACAGGTCTTCGCTGCACAGAATGTGGTGTAAAAGTACATGATAAATGTCGAGAACTTTTAAGTGCTGATTGTTTACAAAGTACTAAACTTTTGAAAATTTGTTGATCTTTACAAACAATTCTTTTTAGGAGCAGCTGAAAAGAGTAGCAAACATGGGGAAGGGGATAGAGCACAAAATTTAATTGCAGTAATCCATGAAAGAATGAAAATGCAGGAAAGAAACAAACCAGAAATTTTTCAAAGAATTCAAGAAGCTTTTGGATATAATGAAAATATACAACAAGAAGTGAAATTTTGAAAAAAAAATTTTTTTGAAGTTAAAATTTTTAAATTTAGACATTACGTGCAGTTAAAGGTTCTATACTTGAAGGAAGTTCTAAATGGAGTGCAAAAATTCAACTTACTGGTAAGTGTTAAGTTTACAAATTGTAAAATGTAAAAATTAAACTTGAAGCAAAAATAAACTTTAAAATAAATTTGACAAAACTTGAAGCATTTACAATTAAAGTTTCATTTCAAGTTATTTGTGCAAAAGGCTTAAGTGGCAAAGATAAAACGGGCAAAAGTGATCCTTATGTTACTGTGCAAGTTGGCAAAGTACGAAAGAGAACAAGAACAATACATCAAGAATTAAATCCAATATGGAATGAGAAATTTTCTTTGTAAGGGAATTTTTTAATTTTTTAATTTAAAATTTTTTTAGTGAATGTCATAATTCTACTGATCGAATAAAAGTACGTGTTTGGGATGAAGACAACGATTTAAAAAGTAAATTACGTCAAAAATTGACTCGCGAATCTGATGATTTTCTTGGTCAAACAATTATTGAAGTTCGGACATTATCTGGTGAAATGGATGTTTGGTATAATTTGGGTAAGTTTTAAATAAACTTGAAACAAATTGTAAAAATGGTAAATAAACTTGAAACACATAATAAGTTAAAAACTTTAATTTAACTTCTACAAATTGTAAAAAATAAAAACAAACTTTAAATTATAAAATATGTAAGTAAATAAACTTGAAAAAGTTGGTAAAATATAAAATAAACTTGAAGCAAAAATTAAATATAAAAAATAAACTTTAAAATAAACTTGACAAAACTTGAAGCAATTATAATTAAAACTTATTAAAATTTATAGAAAAACGTACTGACAAATCAGTTGTTAGCGGAGCAATTCGTCTTTACATAAAAGTAGACATTAAAGGAGAAGAAAGATTAGCACCATATCATTCACAATATACTTGTTTACATGAACATTTATTTTTGCATCAATATAAGGAAGACGATGTTCAATTACCACAACAACAACAACTAGCAGCTGATGAGGCTTGGAGAATATATTTTGATGAAGTTGGGCAAATGATTGTTGATGAATTTACAATGCGTTATGGAATTGAACAGATATATCAAGTAATTGGAGAGAAAAAAATTTATTTAAAAATAATTAGACTTGAGTGAAACTTTAGAAAATCCTGGAAATAAGGGGAACGTTGTATTTACTGCCTCAAGTTTGAACTTAAAAATAAACTTGAGAAAAATCTTAATAAAACTTGAAACAAATTGTTGAAGCAAAACTTGAGATATTTTTAAATTACAATTAAAATTAATTTTTTGTCAAGGCAATGACTCATTTTGCCTGTCTTTGTACTAAATATATGTGTGTTGGTGTTCCCGCGGCTTTATCTACATTATTAGCAAATATTAATGCCCATTATGCACATGCAACTGCTACTGTTAGTTTTTTTAGAAATTATTTTCAATTAAAGTTTTATTTTTTTAGGCTGCTGTTTCTGCTCCCGATCGCTTTAATGCAACAAACTTTGGAAAGGATCGATTTGTCAAATTGCTGGATCAATTACACAATTCTTTGCGTATTGATTTGGGAATGTATAGGGTGGGTGATTTTTTAAAAAGAAATAAAAATATTTTTGGTCTCATCTAATACCGAATCCTCATTACAAACTTCAGTCTGGGGCGGTAACTATAAATAATCATTGACCAATTTTTTAAAGTTTAGTTTTAAAACTAAACTAAACAGAGTTTTTGCTGGTTTAAAATAATTCCTAGTTTAATCAGTTAAAAAGCTCAACAAATATTCACAAGGCAAGCGCTTTACCAACTTAACCACACTAACACTGTCTGGTTATCTTTTATTTTTCTCCCTCTATTCTTTAATTTTCTGAACTAATTTTGTTCCATTTTATTTTAATTCAATTTTTAAAATTAATTTCTTTTAATTTAAAAAATTACTACAATTTTTTGATTATATTTTCTATCTAATTATATTTATTTGTATTAAAAAAATTATATTTTTGGATTAACAAAAAAGCCTTTTAATTGCTTTTAAAAAGGCTTTAATTTTCTTGTTTCTCTTTCTTTTATTCTCTCATAATTCTCAAAATTCATTTTTTTTAATTTTCTAAAAATGGAAGAATTAAGCAATTTTATACAGATTTTATGTTTAAAAAATTGTTAAAAAGCTTAAATATATTGTTGCAAAAAAATTTTGAAAAAAATTTTTTTTCAAACAATTTATTACAAAAAATCTTTTAAAAATATCCTTCTTATTTTTTTCTATATTTTTTTATTATTTCTTGATACTTTGGGAAAATAGAAAAATTGCCAAAAAATTGAAATTTACAAACAACTTTAATTGTTTTTGTCTGTTTTACTATTAGAGCATTTTCTATTTCTTCCAGCTGGGTCCTTTTCCTTCTCTTCTTCCTCTAATTTTTCTTTTTCTAATTGTGAAAATTAAATTTTTCAGTTTATTTTCTAACAATTTTGATTCTTCCATTAAATATTTTTAGTGAAAAATTTTTTTTCTAAAATTTGTAATTCCTTTTGAAAAATCTTTCCCTGCTTCCCCGTACATACATGATTTTTGACTTCCTTATCAGCGGTTATGTTGCTGTACTTTCCGTTATTTGAAATAATTTTTAAAAAATATTTTTTGTTTTAAAAATTACTTAAAAATTATTAATTTTCTAAAAATAGCCTTTTAAAAATTTTAAAATGCAAAAAACACAAAAATTTCTATTAATAAATAAGTATATAGCAACATTTTTTGTTTCTATCTACTCTTTTTTAAAATTTTAAAAGGTATTGAAGCATTAAAAAACTCATTAAATTTAAAAAAAGAGAGAGAAAGAGGAAGAAAAAAAGTTTTCAAATTTTTGGATATTTTCATAAAAAATCATCTCCTCAAAATATTCTTTAAATTAAAAAAAATTGAAATTTTGATACAGATCTGTTAGATTATGATTTCTTCTAGAAACTCCCCCATGCGTTCTATTTCCTCTCTTACCTATCTCCTTCTATTTTCAATTCTTTTAAATTTTAATTTAAATATTAGTTCCTAAAACAAATATAGATTTGTATTTTTATCCTCCTTAAATGTGTAGTATTTTCTATCTCAGCAGGGCGACTTTTTATTTAAAAAATTTAAAAAAAGTCTTGGCATTTTTAGTCTTTTGTTTGGCATGAATATTGTATTTTTTTAAACTATTTTCGTCAAACACTTTATTTTTGGATTTTTAAAAACTTCTAAAAATTTTAAAAAATGCTAAAAAATTATATTTAAATACGATTTTTTTTATTTTTTTAACCTTTATTTTTTCGAATTCAGTTAGATTTTAAGGCAGAAAAATGTTCACAATAAATACTGGAGGATTGCTTGATCAGATAAAAAAATTGATGCTCAAGTATGCGCAGGCTGCCAAAATTCTCAAAAATTCGCCTCTTAAACCAAAAAAACTCGATACTTTATCATTTACCTAGCTTTAATTCTGTTGTCTCTATTCTAAATATCGGAATATATTTTGAGTTGTTCGCACCTTTATGCACTTATTTTTTTTAAAAAAGATTATAGTATATTTCCTTTTAGACACACATTCTTCACTCAATATCTGTCAAACGATTTTTTAAATCCTTTTTAAATAATACCTACTCTATAGTAGAGTGAATGTGTGTGTGGATATATATATTAATTTAAAATAAATAAAAGGATTAAATAAGCGGCGGCGGCAACATCAACACAAATATTTTTTTACTATTTTGTCATTTTATATATTTTCGATTTTTTTGTTGATTTTTTAATTCTTTAAATACGCGCAGAAGACGTGTTTTGAAATTAAAAAATTTAATTTCAAAATAAATTTTTTGTAAAGGATTATCATCACTATTTTTTAAATTTTTTTTGAATATTTGCAATTCATTTTTTTTTGCAATTTCTAAAAATAATTTTTAAATTAAAAAATTTTTATTTACCAAATTTTACGTTTTTTACCCAATTTTTTTCTTCTTTTTTCCATTATCGGAATTTTATTTTTTTTTCACTAAAAAATTTAATTATACAAAAAATGTTAAAAAATTGGCGGGGCGACGCTTTACAAATTAGCAAATAATAAAAAAAAAGGGAAAAGTGCAAATCTGGTAAGAAAAAATAAAGTCTACTAAATCCCGGTTGAGGGTGTGTTTTAAAAAAGAAAAGCTTACACAAAATTATAATAAAAAAAGGCCAAAAAGAAGAAGAAACTTTCAGCAGAAATGTGTTGATTTGTTTAATTCAAAATATTTTTTTCTAAATTCTTTTTTTATTCTTCCTTTTTTCAATAAAAAAATTTAATTATATACAAAAATATTAAAAATGGAGGCTTAATTTTAAAATACATTCCTTTCTTTATTTTTACACATTTTTGTATTCTCTTTATTTTTATTTTCTCTATAAATTCTGATTTTTTTTATTTACTTCTCACCCTACAAATATTACCCTACAAAAATACTTATCACCTACAATTGGGAATGCAAAAAATATTTCTGCAATTATATATTCTGATTTTTAATTTTTTTAATTCACAAAATTACAAATTCTGATTTTAGAATATAATTGTAAATTATTAACTACAACACTCTAATTGATTCCCCATTTATTCCCAAAAATGCTCACCGTTCCAAACGCGCATCCCCCTTTACCAATGCGTAAAGGTTCATGGCGTCATCGTACAATATCTAGAAAAAGACGGGCTTTAAGTGCCCGTCGCCATTCAAGTCCAGCAGCTCCGGGAGCTTTTGGGAATGCAATTGAGCGTGTTTGTGAGAAATTAGTTGGGTTATTTACTTCCCCTGTTAATGGTGGATTAACACCTTTAGTACATCAACAACAAAAGGTGAAGAGGAAGGGTAACTTTTGGGGAAGGGGGGGGGAGGGAGAAGAGGGGATTTGGTAGGTATTAGATGAGAGACTAGAAATAGTTTTTAAAATTTTTTTTAAATTTTAGAAATACTTCCCAGCCTCAAATTTTGCCAAATTGCGTGACTTAAAATCTACAGTTGATTTGCTTACTTCAATAACTTTTTTCCGAATGAAGGTACTAATTAAATTCATTTAAATTTAATAAAAAATTATTTTTTAAAAAGGTATTAGAATTAGCTAGTCCTCCACGTGCTTCAAATGTTGTTAGGGAATGTGCAAAGGCTTGTATGGAGGTAGAGCTATTTTTTAAATTAAAAAAATTAAATTAAATGACCTATTTTTAAATGATCTATTTGAAATTGGAAAATTTCTAAAAAAAATTCGACAAATTTTTTTTCTTTTTTTGGGAAAATTTTTCTTTTTTTAATTATTAAAAATGTATTAAAAATAAACCGAAATAATTTGAGAAGGAAATAATAACCTTTAATTTTCATGCATTTATTATAGTACTTATTTAAAAACAAAAATATTTTTGTTTTTATTTATTCTTTTTTAAATTCACTTCCTCTTTTTTTTAAAAGTAGAATCTTCCACTAACATACACTCCTTTTATTTAGTGTCGGGGTTTTTTAAGCCCCAATGTTGTTTAATTTAACGAGATTGAATGTATGTATGTATTAACAATTTTTGGAAATTAATCTTTATTTAAAAATATTTTTTTCTGGCATAAGCTAAATTTAATATTAAACAAAAATTTTTATTTTTTAAAACTTTAAATTTATTTTTGGCTAAATCTTTTTTAAAAACATTTCTAAAATTAGCACAAACATTTTTTAAAAATTTTTCAGAATAATTTTTTCCTCTTTTTTTTTATCTTGATTCCAATCTACACATAATTTTGGTTTTTTTTAAATATTAATATTCCTCTTTTTTATATAAAAATTTTTCTTCTCCTTCCTCCCACTTCCTTTTTTGGTCTTTCTTAGAGGATATACATATGTAGTTAGTGGGGTAGTTCTTTCCTTCATTATCTACTTCTACTAGACTTTAAAAAATTTTTTAAAAAAATGTTCATATCCTTTTTTATAAATTGAAGCTAATTTTTACACTCTCCCTCCTCCGCATTTTCTGATTTTTTCTAAAATTTTTTTTGAATTTACATTGAAAATTAATAGAAAAATAACGTCAATCCTGTTAGTTTTTTAAAAAAATTTTCCTCTCATATTTCAATAAATATATAAAAGGAAAATCCTTAAAAACGATACTATTTTAATGAAAAATTGTAAACTTTAAAAGTGCTAATATTTATGGCTTCTCTTTAGTTTTTCTCATTTTTCTTATTTTATGTATATTTAAAATTGTGTTAATATTAAAAAGAAAATATTGTTGGTGTGTTAAAAAAATCAGAATTTTTAAATTATAAATTAAATCTGAATTTGTAATTAAAAATAAATTACAATTATTTTTCAAATCAGAAATTTACAAATTGTAAAATTTAAATCAGAATTTTGTAACAGAAATGGGGAGTTTTCTTTAAATTAAAAATTCTGATTTTACAAATTCTGATTTTCTTCTCAATTAATTTTTCACTCAATTTCCAGACAACTTACCATTTAATGTTCGATACTTGTTGTGAAAAGTGTGAACCGACAGACGAATCTGTTAAATTCTGGTCTGATTTTATTGACTATATGCTTGGTGTAATTGATGAAGATAGAAATGTTTACACACCTGTTTTGAATCAATTTCCACAAGAATTAAATAGTTAATTATTTTAAATTCTGATTTTTATTCTGATTTTTTAAAGTTGGTCAGTTGTCTGCAGCAACTCTTTGGAATTTATACAAAACTGATTTGAAGGATGCTCTTATGGGTGGGTAGTTTTTTAGAAAAATAATTATTTTTTAATAAATTTTTTTAGAACATGCAAAGACTAAACGTTGCAAAACTCCAGATTATATGGTGAGAGTATAATTAATTTTATAATTAAAAAATTTTTTTCTTTTTATAGAATCTCTACTTTAAAGTTAAACATTTTTATTCAATGTATGTAGCAGAATTACCTCAATATCGTGAAAGTATTCCAGAATTTCCTGAGTAAGTTTTGTATATTTTTATAAAAATCAGAATTTGTAAATTAAAAAATCAGAATTTTATTTAAAAAAGTTCTGATTTTTAACATTTCTTGTTCACAGAAATTCTGATTTCTTAAAAATTCAGAATTTGTAAATTTCCCAATTCAATTTAACAATTAAATTTCTTCTCAAAAAAGGCAACATTTAATAAATAAATATTTCCATAAATAAACATTATTTTACAAATTCTATTTACTTTATTGGGTAAATTGAATGAAAAAAAGGGGAGGGGGATATAGGAAGTACCTTTTTAATATTTTTTTATTCAAAAAAGAATTGTGGGAGCTTTTAACTAAAAAAGGAGCTTTTTAAAAATATTTCTTTTCCATTTATTCATTAAGTTATTATTTTATAGAGAATTATTTTTAAAATAAAAATAGAGTATTTGGGTAGAAAATAAAATTTAAAGTTAAAAAATTTTTTTTCTATTTTCTTTAAATTATTTCTTTTTTAGGTGGTTTGTTCCATTTGTAATGGATTGGCTAAATGAGAATGACGAGCATTCTATGGTGAGATTAATTTTAAATCCTGATCCTTGTCTAAACTAGACCCCTCCTAAAATGCCTCCTCGACCCCGAACTTTACTACGGGTTCGGGTCCACCCCCTCAAATCTACGTATAAAATTTAACAAAATTTTAAAGGATATATTACGGAATGCTTACAACCGTGACAAGGCAGACAATTTCCCTCAGACGTCGGAACATACAAAATTTAGTAATTCTGTAGTTGATGTTTTTACTCAATTAAATGAAGCTTTGAAAGTTTTGAAACAAGTAAAGGGGAGAGAAAATTAATTAAAATAATTTAAAAATTAATTTAGATGGATTGTCCAAATCCCGAAGTTTGTGTGGATATGATGAGGAGATTTGCTACAACTTTAAATAAAGTTTTGTTGGCATATTCTGATATGGTACAGAAAGATTTTTGTAAATATGTGGACAGTGAAAAATTGGCTTGTATTTTGATGAATAATGTACAGCAATTGAGGTATTTATGTAGTGTTTTCAGAATTATTAAAAAATTAAATTACAAATCAGAAACTACAAATTGTAAAATTATAATTAAATCAGAATTTAAGAATAGAGAAGTTTATCTTGTTGTAACGATAATCTCATCTCCAAATTCGATAGAACTAAATCCTCTAAATCTAATAAAATGTCCGCCCCTTAATTTCGACAAAATACCTCAGCCCACTAAAAATGGAATGCTTATTCCTAAAGGCGTCAATAATACTTATTCTATTAACACTTTTTTAGAGTTCAACTAGAAAAAATCTATGAAAACATGGGTGGCGCACAACTGGACCCAGATTCAAATCGTGTATTAAATAGTTTACAAAAGAAGTTAAATACAGTTTTGGATCGTCTTTCTGGTCAATTTGTTGCAAGCTTAGAATCTGGAATTCAGGAACAGATGAGCAGACTTGGAGTTTTGTTGGCTAAAATTAAAGGGCCTCAACAACAAAGAAGTCAAATGGGGGGAGAGGTGGATATGGTATTGGAACCTTTAATGAATTTATTAGAACGGTCTTTACAACGATATGCACAGCAATGTGAAAAGACTGTTTTGAAATATATTTTAAAGGTATTGTTGAAAGAAAAATGTTTGAACTTCACTATAGGATACCCTCATTGAAGGATACCCTCATTGGAGTTGTCCAAAATTAATTTTCTATTTTTAAGGAATTATGGAAAATAACAATAATTTCAATGGAAAAGCAAGTAGTATTACCCCCTTTAGGCGGATCTTTATCTTCTTCTACAGCTCCATTATTAAAACATGCATTACCTAGTGCTAAAGGGGTTACAAAATTAATGTTACAACACACAACACATTTAAAAGAAGGAAGTGGAGGAGGAGGAAATATTGGAGGGATAAGTGGGGGAGGTGGGAATGTTGGTGGAGGAGGAGGGAGTGGGTTAAGGGGAGGAATGCATTCTGTTAAAGAAATGATGGATGCGGCACGTGATAATTCTGAACGTTCATTGACTCCGAGACAGTGTGGATTACTTGATGTTGCTTTGGATGCAATAAAAGAAGTAAAAAATAAATATTTTTTTCGAATTAGGAATCATAAAACCTGAAAAGAAAATACAAAAAATTAGATAAAAATATGCAATTATATTTTCAGTGTTTCCACGCAGGCGGTCAAGGACTCAAAAAATCTTTCTTTGAAAAATCCCCAGAATTACAATCTTTAAAATACGCCCTTTCATTATATACCCAAACAACAGAACAATTAATTAGAACATTTATTTCAACACAAAAACAACAAGATTTACCTTCACAAGACCAACCTGTTGGGGAAGTTAGTGTCCAAGTTGATTTGTTTAATCATCCACACACTGGCGAACAAAAAATTACAGTTAAAGGTAGAGGAGGGATATTTTTATTAGTTAAAAACCTTTGTATAAGAGGATACGCCTTTTGGGGGGAAAATATTTTATAATGACGTGGTCTTTAAATAGGAAATATCTCTTACAATTAGACCCCCTACTCTGTGGTTTTCTATTATGAATGTGTTTTGCCTGTAAATTAAACTAATAATCAAATACTCTTAATTTTCTCACAGTAATCGCTGCTAATGATCTTCGCTGGCAAATAACTGGTTCTGGAACATTTAAACCTTTTGTAGAAGTTCACTTAGTTGGGCCACATTTGGCTGATAAAAAACGTAAAATGGCTACAAAATCTCAATCAAATACGTGGACACCGAAATTTAATGAAACAATGCATTTGTAAGTTTTGTGCTGTTTAAATCCAAGATAATATTTTTGACTCATTTCTACCCTAAAATACAACTTTTGATTTTCTTTTATTTTAAGCTTTATTGGCAATGAAGGAGAGCCAGAACATTACGAATTAATGTTTCAAGTAAAAGATTATTGTTTTGCACGTGAAGACCGGATTGTTGGTGTGGGGGTTTTGCAGCTTTCCCAAGTTCTCGAACAAGGTCCGCCGAAATGAAAATTTTTTTTGAAATATTTTTTTTTTGAATTTTTAAAGGGTCCTATGCTTGTTGGGTACAACTTGGTAGACGTTTATTTATTGATGAAACTGGCCTTATTCTTTTGAGGATACTTAGTCAAAGACAGAATGATGAAATTGCCAAAGAATTTGTTCGACTAAAAACTGAATGCCGTGTAAGTTTATTAAATTAATTGAATAAATTAAATATAATTTGGATAAATTCAGAAATTTGTTTACGAATAAAAAGAAATACCCAAAAATCATTCAGAGACCCTAGGCTGTAACTTTTAAGAGGATTGTCTGATTAAAAATATGCCTATAAAAATAATTCGAAGATCAAGTATCTTTTTAAGAATTATAGGGAATGATCCAAAAATAAAAAGTTATGGTCCGTAAAAGAGTTTCTATACTAAACCTGATGTTATTAGAAACATTTTGATTATTTAATTATTTTTTCTTTTAGTATGAAACGGAAGGTCAAGGATTAGCTAATTCTGCTTCTTCACAAAGACTTGTAGCTGGTCGTTAGTTGGTCGTCATTATTGTTTGAATATTTAGAATTTAATCTTCAATAAATTAAAAAAAATTGTGAGAAATAAATGATCTCGATATTTTAATTAATTAATTAAATGTGCCTTTTCCCCCACAGCTCAACTTTTTTTTATTTTAACAATTAATTGTATTTTGAATATTTTATATAATAAATAAATATTGTTATTTGTACTTATTAAATTTAATAAAAAATCCTAAAAAATCCCTCTTCTTCTTTAAAAAGTTGAATATTCCATGGCGTCTTTTTTTAATTTTAAGCATTTTTATTTTAGAGGAACAAAATAACCACGTCAGATATTTTTTGAAAAAAAAAATTTACGATTATTTTTTTTTCTAAATTGTTGTTATTCCCTCAGTTAAAATTATTAGTAATTTAAGGAGTGTTTACATCCTTATTTAAATTAAAATAATAAACACAACTAAACTACACACAAGTATTTTAATAAACAGAGTAGTGAAACACAAATATTAAAATATTTACAACACTACAATTGTGTTTGTTTAAATATTAAAGAAATTAAGAAAACACACAATTATTTTAATTTATACTTAAATACACAAAAATAAAAATCAGAATTTTTCCGTAAAATACAAAAAACAAGTTGTTAAATACAACCAGAATTAATGTTTTTCTGAGAAATCAGAATTTAATTAAAACATGTTTTGAAATAAAAATAAGTATATACAAAATCAGAATTTCAGAATAAATCAGAATTTTTACAAAACAAAATCAGAATTAAAATTAAACAAATGTTCATTTAAAATCAGAATTTAATAAAAACTTTATTAAAAACCAACAAAAACAAATCAGAATCTCTCCTTTAAAAACTCACAGTTTTAAGCTTTTAATTTTTAACAAAATGCATTCAATAAATCAAAAAATTATTTTAATATTTTCCTCAATTATTTCCCTTCTTCCCTCATTTATTTACTCATCAAACAAAACAACAGATATGCCATTAGAAGATAAATTAATTATTTTATGTTCAGATGCCCCAAATAAACAATTGAGGGTTTTTTGTGAACAATTACACAAAAGTGATATTATTGCTAGAGTAATTAATTTAAATTAAATTAAATTAAAAATTAAAAATTAAAGAAATATTTGGAAGTTGCGGCATTAAGGTTATTGCCTAAAAGTGCACAAGAATGTTTTAATTTTTTGTGTATGTGTAAATATTTTAGGGGTAAGTTTAAATTAAAATTTTAATTCTGAAAAATCAGAAATAAAAATCAGAATTACTGTCAAAATCTCCAAAATTAGATAAAATGCCTAACTCACCTAAATACAACAAAATTTCCATTTAGACATTTATTTATGCTTATTTCTGATCTTTGTAAAATTAACTGAATCCCTAATCAAAAAATAATTAAAACTAAGAAATTTTTCAAGGAAAAGTAAAAAAAGGTATTTGTATTTTACCAAATGGAAGTCATCTAAAAAAGTCTGTAAGAAAAGAATTTAGAATGCTAAGTGACAAGGAAAGAGAAAAATTTAATAAAATATTGAGAATTATGAAAGAAACTGGAGATTATGACAGATTTGCAAAACAACATAGAAGAGTAGTTGTTGAGGGAGGTGCTCATTCTGGACCGGCTTTTTTGCTTTGGCACAGGGAATTTTTAAAAAGGTTTTTTTATTTCAAGAGGTCATAAAAATATTTTTAGATTTGAAATAACAATGAGACTATATGACCCTTCAATATCTCTTCCTTATTGGGATTCTGTGTTGGATTCAAGAATACCTAAATCTGCAGATTCTTACTTATTTTCTAATGAGGTAAAAAGAAAAAATAAAATTCCAAAAAAATATTTAAAAGTTATTTGGAGAAATAGACAATAACCAAAGAGTAATTAATGGACCTTATTCACCGTGGAGAACATTGGAAGTTAATTTAAATAAAAATAAATTTTTAGAAAAAAAATTTTAAGGGAAATCAATTTATAACGAGAAGCGTGGGGGAATCTGGAAGTTGTCTTAAACAGAAAGAGTAGGGGAATTTAAAAGTTTTAATTTAAAATATTTTTTTAAAGTATTGATACTATAATGAATAAAAACGGCATTCTTAATTGTCTTGGATATAGTACACCCAAAGATGTAAATTTATAAATTAATTAACTGTTAATTTGCGGACAGACATTTGAGGACAAATTTGATGATTAGTAAGCTAGTAAGGGATATCCGGATCCGGATATCCGAAGATTTATAACTACCCGCCAACCTTAATCCTTAATGTCTAGTATCTAACTCTTATATTTTAGTGGTATACTTCCTAAAAATAATAATTTACAATACAGAAAGCTTAGCGGATGTCTACAGATATCGCTTTAATGTAAATTTCTAATTATAGGCTTGCCCATATAATAGATCGTGGATTTTGCCTGAGGTAATAATTAAAATATTTAAATATTTAATTGGTACAATACTGGAAGGACTTCACTATAAGATACACAAAATTGCAAAGACACTTAAAATAAATTTTTTAAATAGTAACCTAAGCGATACCCCGTATCCATGATAGACCAAATTATAAGGAATGATTCTTTAGACCCAAGGAAGTATCTTATAGCGAGATCCTCCCTTATAAAAAACTAAATAGATAATCCATGGATTGGTTCACGTATTTTGTGGGGGCGATATGCTAAATGTGTCAACATCAGCAAATGACCCAATATTTTATTATCATCATTGCTTTATGGATTTTGTGAATTTATATTTTTAAAAAATAAAATTTTTTTTAAAGATTTGGGAAATGTGGAGATATAAAAATCAAAATAGAACAGAAAGAGAATCACAATACCCACCAGATAATCAAGTAAAAAATAAAGAAATATATAAAATAAATTTAAAAACAAAGGAATGTGCATCAGACGACCATTATGCTAATGCAACAATGGAACCTTTTAATGTAAGTAGATAGTAGATGGGGTGAGGGGGGGGAGGTTGTGGACAAGATGAGGTTTGTTGTTCACCTATTAGTGGATGTTTTCGCAAATGTCGTTAAAATATATTAAATTTTTTAAAGAATCTGGTTAACATAGATGCCCTAAAAAATGTCTATACAGATTTGCTTTATGAATATGCCACTAGACCTAATTGTGATAATATTACGGATTGTGGAAGCAAGTAAAAGAATGTAAAATTTTTAAATAAAAAATAATTTTAAAAGATATTTGTTTTGTCATCGTTCTCATGGAAAGCCTGAATGTGTGGCTAAAATTAAGATTGGTGGAAATTGTACGGGATTTGAAAGTAAATAAATATTTTTTTGGGGGGTTGAAACATTTTGTTATATTTAAGGGGTCGAGACATTTGGTTGTTTTTAGATAGGTGGAGATTAGGGGGGATAGGGCATTTTAACATACTTATGGGATAATAATTTAAAAATATGCAAAAATATTTAGAAGAGGATATTTGTATGCATGGATATTGTAAAAATGGAATATGTTTGGCTAAAGAAAATTTAAGTACAAAATCACAAATAAAATTAACAACAATAAAATGATTATAACTAATTTAAAATTAGTCTATTTTTGTAGTATATATATGTAGTTAATAAAGAATTTTAGTTTTTTAAATTATTTTTTTGAAGGCATTTTCAGACATTTAAATTAAAAATTTAAACAATTTGTGATATTAATAATTTTATTTCCAAAAAATTTAAAATAAATAAAAATGTCCACCCACCTCCAGACTTGCTAAAATTATTTAAATGACAAAATTTGTTAATAAAATGAATAATAATAAAATATTTTTTAAAAGGCTTTAAAAACCTTTTTAAAAGAATTATGTAATAATAAATATCGAGAAAAATTAGTTTTAAATGTTCATAATTTGTTTAATTCTTAAATTAATAATTTTTAAAATAAATATTTAAAAAACGACATTTGAGTACACTTTTGGATATTTTTTAATAAAAATTATTTTTAAATATAAAAAAAAAAAGAATCAAAATTTCTAAAAAAGTTAAGACAAATTAAAGTATTTTTCAGACCAATTTTCTTCGATTTTTGTCTTACATTTTATTGACCTCTTAATTATTTCTATCAAAGTTTGTAACATTTTGTCGATAATAATTAGCATAATTTTATCAAATTAAATCCTTATATATCCCTTTTTAAATGATTTTATGTCAGATTTAATTGTTACTGTTTCCAAAAAGTTTGTACCCAAATGTTTCTAATTTCAGACAAAAATAAATTTAAAAAAGAGAATGTCTAAAATAATTAATTTAATTAATTTAATAATTATTTTATTAAATTTTGCAAATTCTCAAATACCTAACTGTAATAATCTAGCCCCCACAGACTCTGCTAGATTAACTTGTCAATTTTTGTCTATGAGTGATAATGCTGCAAGGGTTTTTAAAGAATTTTTTTTAGAATAAATTTTATTTTTAAAAAGAATTCTCCACCTCCTCCAAATCCTCCTCTTCCTCCTGGCGGACCTCCAAATCCTAATAGTTTTTTAAGTTTATTAAAAAAATATTTAAAATTAATTTAAAAATAGTTCCAAATGTGGCAGCTAATTTTGCAGCCGTACCTGCTACCCCCTACCAATGTATGGATTTGGGGTGTCTTTGCCGTTTTATGGGAGGTATGTACTAGAATTCTGATAATATTCCGAAAATATTCTGATATAAAGGTTGCCCTAATGGACCCCTCCAGAGAGCAGTCCGTACAGAATACAGATTAATGACTGAGGACCAAAGACAACGATATGTAAATTAAATAAAAATTAAAATATAATTTTAAACAAAAATTATGTAGCATAATGCTTTACTTCAAATGAAAAGTGACGGCCTTTTTGATCAAATTGCTTCAGTTCACACAACAGCCGTACAAACTGGATCAGCACATGGAGGTCCTGCTTTTCATCCTTGGCACAGAGAATATTTGAAAAGGTTATAAATAATGGCGAAATGTCTTTTTGACTAAATACTAATTCCTTCCCTAAAGGTACGAGTTTGCTCTTCGCATGGTTGACCCATCTATCGCTCTACCTTATTGGGATTCTACTTTAGATGGTGCTTTACCAACCCCTGCAGATTCAATATTATTTTCCCAGGAAGTTGGAAATTAAATATTTAAATAAAAATTAAAAACAAAAATAATTTAAAAAGTTAATGGGACAGGCAGATTCTAATGGACAATTACGCTCTGGGAGATTTGCCCCTTGGAGGACACTTGAAGGAAATCCTTTTATAACAAGATTTGTCGGTTCAGGAGGAGCTTGTTACCAAGAATCACAGTAAAATAAAAACACAAAAGGACAAACAAGCAAAAATTATTTTTCTTTTTCAGAATTCAATGGGTTTGGGGGCAAAGAGATATTGCTTTAATGCTTGCCTATTCTTTCCCTAATGCTGTTGGATTTTCTTTTAAATTAAAAAATGTTTTTAAAAAAATATTTAGGGTTGTCCATATCAATTAATTTGGAATTTACCTGAAGTTGTTAATTAATTAGTTTAAAAATATTTTTTAAAATTACTAAAGCTAACTCATGGAAATGTTCATATTTTTGTTGGTGGGGATATGTTAGATCCACGGACATCGGCTAATGATCCTTTATTTTATATGCACCATTCTTTTGTTGATTATGTTTGTGTCTTAATTTTGATTAAATAAGGGAGTAGGGGGAGGAGTAATTTGGAAATCAGGGAACAGGAATATCAGGGAACAAGGAAAGGTAGGGTGAAGGGAATAAGCTGACGGGCGCATTAAGAAGTAGACATGAGGGAAAGTCTAGTCTGAAGCAGAGGTGGGTCGGAACAGTCAGAGGTGTCGGAAATCGGAACTGCCGGAAATCGGAAATGGCTCAAAAGTCGGAACTCGGAAATCGGAAATCAAAATTTTTTTTCGGAAATCGGAAATCGGAAGGAAAAAAACGCCGGAAATCGGAAATCGGAAGGCGGAAATCGGAAATAAAATTTTTATTTTCATAACTGAAATAATATTTAAAATTGTAAGGTGACAAATTATGGGCTTTTTTGAGTGTAATTTGAGGGTGTAAATTTCTTTTTGCAACTCAAAAGTCAAATTCGAAGGGATTAAAAGAGATATTGTGGGTCAATCCCTCGATATCACACACAGATCCCTCGTTATTAACTATGACCCCTTGAAAACACACGATATAACTCAAAGTCCACCTTAATCCATCCTAATCCTCCGATATACCATTGAACTTCCATTTACATCGCCGCAGACAAAATTTTTTTGGGATTTTTGGGAGCCTTAAGCCAAAAATCTTCTATTTTTTGCGCCGCAGGCGAAAATTTTGAGAATTTTGGAAGATCCTTAAGCCAAAAATCCTCCATTTTTGCGCCGCAGGCGAAATTTTTGAGGATTATAGAAGGCTAGAAGCCAGATTTTTTCCTTTTTCTGCGCCGCAGGCGAAAATTTTGAAAATATTGGAAGAATCTTTAGTCGGAAATTTTCCTTAAAAATTGTCGGAAATCGGAAATTTTTCCAAAATTTCGGAAATCGGAAATCGGAAGGAAAAAACGTCGGAAATCGGAAATCGGAAGTCGGAAATCGGAATTCCGACCCACCTCTGGTCTGAAGGGAATATCAAAAACTAGGCAGGCTGAAGGGAACAAATCATACCTATTTAAAAATTCTTTTTATAAAGATATGGGAAGGATATCGTGTAAGACAACAATCTAGACAGCAAAGAGAAACAGAATATCCAGCTGATAATTCGGTATACTTAAAAATTAAATTTTAAAATTAAATTAACTTCTAAAAAGCAATGTGAACCTGCACAGCATTTTGCAGGGGCACCAATGTTGCCCTTTAACGTAAAATTATTTTTTAAATTAAAAAATTGTTTTTACAAGCCAATGAATAATGTTGATGGATTAAGCAATGCTTATACAGACAATTTATATCAGTTTGCGGAAAGGCCTACGTGCCAAAGTGGGGCTAATTGTGGGTCGACGTAAGTCTAATGAATTTTCTAAAAATTTTTTCAGTAAAATTTTTTAATATTTTGGAAAAAGTGGGGGGAGGGGAGTGGGGGGATTGGAAAATAAAAATTTCCTTTTAAAGCTACTTATTTTGTGATCGCTCTCATGGCGCCCCACGTTGCGCATCTAAAGTTAGGATTGGTGGAGATTGTAGAGGGTTTAATTCTCGTAAGTTAGTTACTAAAAATAAAGACAAAAGAAAGAACAAATTTTAAAAAAATATTATTTTTAAAATTTAAAGAAGAGGATGTGTGTTATAACGGAGTTTGTTCGAATGGACGTTGTGTTGGTAGACAAGTAGAGAAACAATTTTTTTTAAATATTTAATTTAAAAAATAATTTTAGCTAAGAGCTGATGAAGATGGAGAGGAGGAGGATAATGAAGTTAATAAGACAGGGGTTGTTCAAAACGATCCGGCTGGACAAATACCCGATCAAGTCGCGGTGATTACTAATAATTATATTAATATTGAAATTGATAGGCCCTTTTTTGAAGTTATTGAGATATTGGTAGTGGTATGGGAACGTTATCTCTCGTATTGCTTGTTCTCTAATCATAAATAAAGCCAAGCTTCTCTTACGAAGACAAAAGTGGTGTAGATTGTAGAGACATTATTTCCCATTAAGATCCTCTCCTCGTAAAGAAGATAAAAAATTTTAATAAAAAATTTTTTAAAATAAAGTTTGCCTGTTATAATGAACATGAATGTTGTGCTATTTGGGCGTATGAAGGAGAATGTGAAAAGTTTGGAAAAGAAATAATTAATAAATTAATTTAAAATTAGTAATTCTGCCTATATGGACATAATGTGTAGAGCTAGTTGTGGAAAGGTATTTTGTAGAATTAAAAAAATATTTTTTTATATTTTTAAAGTGTAAACCAGATTATGAATTAATTTATGGTATTTTAATTATTTATTTTTAATTTTTTTAATTAAAAATAAATTAAATATATTGTAGGTTGTCTAAATCGCCACCCTCACTGTGAAGAATTTAAAAAACAAGGTTTATGTGAAAGAGAAAAATTGTGGATGGTGAAAGAATGATTTTAAATAAAAAAATAAAAAAATTAATTTTTTTAGACTGAAAATTGTCGAAAAACATGTAATCGCTGTAAAGAACCTAGAGCTTGGGCATGTACAAAAACAAGGGGAAGAAGTGCTAAATGTAAAATCAGAATTATTAAATATAAACTTTTTACATTTAAACACAAAAATATAAAAATCAGAATTATTTTATATAAATCAGAATTTGCTGAAAACACAAAAATTCTGAAATAAGAAAACATCTTTAAACCATGTTTTATAATGACAATAAAAATCAGAATTAAAAAAAACATGATTAAAATCAGATTTTTACAAAAACAATTAACATAAAGCCTTGTTCTGAAATCAGAATTATCATGTTTTAATAAAATCAGAATATGAGAATAATAATTCTGATTTTTCATAAACATTTAAAAATTAAAATTTAAAATTAACTTAAAATCAGAATTTCTTTTACAGTGAATAATAATACAAAAAGTTTTGTTTCTGGTGGACAATGTGCAAAGAAAACGTGTTACAATGAAAATCAGTGTTGTCAAGTAATTTTAAATAAATAAATAAATATTTTTTTAAATTATTTTTATTCAAAGCAATGGAGTCGAAACGGGGTGTGTACAGATAGCCCTGATTGGATGAATTGTAATTGCCCTATAAGTTGTGGAAGTTGTCTTCCAAGGAATTTTACTTATGGGGGTAATAAAATATATTTTTTTAAATTAAAAAATAAAATATATGTAGCCTGTTCTGACTACTATAAAAGATGTAAAGCTTGGGCAAATGCAGGGGAATGTGACAAAAGTGATTGGATGAAAGAAAACTGTCGGTTAAGCTGCCAAACTTGTTTAAAGGACGAAGAACTTGAATCGGTAAAAATTCAGAAATTAATAAAAAAATAAATTCTGTCAGAATTTTAATATATATTTATAAACAAAAATACAAAATCAGAATTATTCGTGTTCAGATAAAATTCTGTTTTATTAAATGTATGTTCAGAGATAATTTCTGTTTTTTTATTTCTGGTTTGAACATGTTGAGAATTAATTCTGATTAATCAGAATTTAATTGAAAACACAACAACAAGAATTTGTTAAATTGGAATTAAAATCAGAATTATTAAATCAGAATTAATTTTTTCCCTTAAATAGATATGCAAAGCAGCCCCATACGCCAACACACAAACAAGTTTATTTCGAGATAAAAGAAACACATTTCTGAAATTTGAAGAGAAACGAACATTTGTAATTTTTACAAATTAAATTAAATAAATCAAAATATTTTTTAGAATATATACAAAAATGAAGAAAGTGAAGTCGAGACAATGTTTTTGGAAGAATCTGTATTGAAGTCTGGGAAAGAAAAATAAATTAAATTAAATTAATTTAATTAAATTATATGTAGTATATTTTTAAATTCCAAATTTTCCAAAATAAAAATAATTTTTTTAAATCATTTTTTATTTTTCTAGATAAAAAAATCTCTTTTTTTAATAATCTAAAATTATTCTGAATTTCTTCAAAATTTATTTAAAGTATTTTAGACATTCAGAAATACATACTTATTACTTAATTTATCATTCCTCCCTCATTTTTTAAAAAATTTCTTTAAAAAAATAAAAAAATTTTTTTTAGAGAAAATTTATGATGTGGATGAAAACACGGAAATAACAAAATTAAAAATAAATTTTTAAAGAAAAAATTACACGTTTTAGAATGACAACATGAATTAAAGATTATATTAGAGTTTAAGAAACTTGGCAAATAACAACACTTGTTGCCGTCTTTATTCTTTTTTGTCAGTATATTTGCATTCATTTTTTCGGCAGTAAAAAATTCTCAAAAAAAATATTATCTTCCTATTATTTTTCTAAATAAAATTAAAATGGCAACACTGACTAATTCTTCAACAAGAAAGCGATCTAAAAACAGTGTATCAGAAATCGATTCCTCTGATAGACTGGCTGAAATTCAGACAAAATTGACAACAGCTGGTATTCCTATTTCACCATCGAATTCTAATCCTGATTTAATTTCGACAATTAATCTATTAGTAACTCTTGTGATACAACAGACAAAGCAAATTTCGACCCTACAAGAATCTCTTATTAAAATTGAGCAACATTTAAGCACCAAAAATTCCGATTCACCGCCCGAGGATAAGGAAAAAAGCCGCTCGATTGTGGTTGTAGGCGTTCCTGAGTCTGAGGGTCGGAATGATAGGGAAAAATTTGTTAATGATAAAAAAACCATAAACAACATTATTGATTCGTTGGGAATTCCTGCTGACCCTGTAACAATTTATCGAATGGGAAAACATCGTACTGACAACAAGGGCCGACCACTTAAAGTAATTATGCCGTCCTCTTTCCATCAACGACTAGTTCTTGCCCGTGCAAAATCCCTTCGTTCAACACCTTCCCTTTCTAATATTTTTATTCGTCCATCACAAACTAGAGAGGAACGACAAAAAGAATTTGAATTGAGAAAAGAATGCCGTGAGAGAAATAATGCTCTTAAAGAAGGTGAACCACCTTGGAAAATTTTTAAAGGGAAAATAGTTAGGGCTTTTAACCACGATTCTTTTTAAAATTATCACATGGACCACAAGCAAAATGTTTATATTTCAATGCAAGATCTATTAAAAATAAACTCACAGATTTACATTTCATATTAGCCTCATTTAAATATCAAATAATTTTAATAACAGAAACGTGGTTAACAACAGAATTCTCCGACACTTTATTAATTAACGACTTACCATATAAAATTTTTAGAACTGATAGACCAAAAAGGGGTGGAGGTGTGGCCATAATACTATCTAATACTTTTTCAGTCAATAATATAAAATTACAAAAAAACCGATTTAATTTTGACATTCTTTGTATTGATCTTACAGACTGTTTAGGGAAAATAATCCGGCTGATTAACATTTATGTACCCCCCAAAACTTCAGATAAACAATTTACAGATCTAATATATATTCTTGGAAATCTAATATCTGTTCCCTATTCTGTTATTATATCTGGGGATTTTAATCTTCCGAATATTACCTGGTCTAAAACTCAATCAGAAAATAACCATCCATTTAAAGAATTTCTTTCAAATTCTAGTCTAGTTCAACAGATTGACTTCCCAACTAGATCTTCAAACATTCTTGACTTATTAATAACTGACAATCTAAATCTTATTACTAACTTATCGTCACTTCCTCCTTTTTCAACCTCTGATCATAATCAATTCTCATTCGATATAAGTTTAAAAAATGAAAAGATAAATAAAAATACTAGATTAAATTTTTCTTTAGGTGATTATAATTCATTAAACCTATATTTATCTCAAATAAATTGGAACTTCCTTTTTGTCTATGCATTTCCATTTAATATAAATACAATCTATGAAATCTTTACTACTACTATAAACGATTTAATCAATAAATTTATTCCTGTTACTAATATTTCATTCTTAAAACTCCCTCCGCATTTAACAAAAATAAATGAGTATCGATCTCTTCTCTGGAAAGATATTCGTGATCCCAAAATAAAATCTAAATTTAATTATGTTAACAAAAGATTCGAAAAAGAACTTAAAAAATTCTATAAATATAGGGAAAACAAATTAATAAGTGATAAAAATCCAAAAAAAGTGTTTAATTATATCTCATCCCAACTTAAGGTAAAAAATTTTAGTATACCCGCAATAAAGGATAACGCTAGAAATATTTTAGTAAATAATGATATTGAAAAGGCTAATCTATTTGGAAATTATTTTCACTCCATATTTAACAAAGACATACCCCCTAGTTCAAATTCTGACTATGGAAATTCATCTATTACTAAATTAAGTTATGTAGATATTTCGGAAATTGATGTTTACGAAACCCTAATAAAACTACAATCTAAACAAAACACATCACCCGATGGTATAAACAATTATTTTCTTAAAAAATGTGCAGGAACATTAACTCATCCAATTACTCAAATTTTCAGATATTCTATGATGACTGGAACATTACCTTCCGTTTGGACTCACAGTACCATTGTTCCTTTGCTTAAGAGTGGGGATAGCTCAAATCTAGCGAATTATAGACCAATATCTTTGACTTGTTCTCTAGTAAAAGTACTCGAAAAAATTATAAAAGACCATTTATTAATCGCTTTACAAAATATAATACCTTCTTCCCAGCACGGTTTTATGAAAAATAAATCAGTAGTTTCTCAATTAATAGAAGCTCACAATGATTGGACCAATGCTCTAAATGAAAATCTTTGCGTAGATATAATTTATTTCGATTTTATTAAGGCATTTGATTCGGTATCTCACAAAAAATTATTAGAAAAACTATCACTGAGTGGAATAGGTAATCCCTTATTATTATGGCTAAAAATTTTTTTGGAATTTCGCACTTACTCTGTAAAAATAAATAATAAATTTTCAGACATATCATATGCAAATTCCGGCGTACCTCAGGGCTCCGTATTAGGCCCCATCCTTTTCATATTCTATATTCATGATATTGTTAAAAATTGTTTTACACAGGATATTAGTTTTAAATTTTTTGCGGATGATTTCAAGGCATATATAATCCATTCAAATACAAATAAAAGATTACTACTACAAAAATGTATTTCTAAAATAAAAACTTGGACTGATATAAATGGCCTAAACATATCAATAGAAAAATGTAGGGTTCTATATTTAGGAAAAAGAAACTCTAAATTTCCTTATAATCTCTCCAATCAATTAATCGAATCTGTAAATACTTTCCATAGAGATCTAGGTATCTTAACATCACCTAGTCTAAAATGGTCTTCTCATATTGACTCTATTAGAAAAAGAGCCTATATTAGGCTTTTCTCTCTATTCAAATCTATCAAAACTAATAATCCTTCATTTCTTACAAAAGCTTATACTATATATGTTCGACCTTTATTAGAAAATTTCTCACAAATTTTCAAGCCTTATCTTAAATCAGAATTAATTAAACTTGAAAATGTTCAGAGAATGGCAGTTAAAATAATCTATTATAGAACTCTTCAAAAATTATATCCTAACAAACCTTGTTATGATGATTTGCTTATTATCTTAAACTTAAAATCTATTGAAATCAGACTTTTAATCAATGATATTACGTGCTATCACAAAATTATACACGGTTATATTAAACTAGATCAGCCGCATTATCCAAAAATAAACTCCACAAATCGGAAAAATAAATTTCAGATTCAAATAAATAGTTCAGTTTTAAATGTAAGACATCATTTCTTTTTAGATAGAATGGCCAGACTTTACCCTAAACTACCTCATGATCTTTTGCTTATCCAAAAAATTCAGTTATTTAAAATTGCTTTAAATAAAATAAATCTTTCCAAGTTTATTTAAATAAGCATAAGACATTTGATACGATTTACAAAATATGAAATTTGTTTAATGCAGTTTATATAATAAATGTTATTCTAACTATAATTATAAATTATACTATAGAATAAACTTTATTATATACATACGCAATGAACATTTTTTATAACTAATGTTGTCATTTACTTTAAAAAAATGTTTTTAAATTACCATTTACTTTAAATTTGTCATATTTTATTTGTTTTTATATGACCATATTTGTTTCATGTTTTTTATGTTTTATATTGTGGACGCGTATTTAGATACGTAAATAAATAAATAAATAAATAAATAAGTTTCTCTTACGAACACAAAAGTGGTGTAGATTGTAGAGACATTATTTCCCATTAAGATCCTCTCCTCGTAAAGAAGATAAAAAATTTTAATAAAAAATTTTTTAAAATAAAGTTTGCCTGTTATAATGAACATGAATGTTGTGCTATTTGGGCGTATGAAGGAGAATGTGAAAAGTTTGGAAAAGAAATAATTAATAAATTAATTTAAAATTAGTAATTCTGCCTATATGGACATAATGTGTAGAGCTAGTTGTGGAAAGGTATTTTGTAGAATTAAAAAAATATTTTTTTATATTTTTAAAGTGTAAACCAGATTATGAATTAATTTATGGTATTTTAATTATTTATTTTTAATTTTTTTAATTAAAAATAAATTAAATATATTGTAGGTTGTCTAAATCGCCACCCTCACTGTGAAGAATTTAAAAAACAAGGTTTATGTGAAAGAGAAAAATTGTGGATGGTGAAAGAATGATTTTAAATAAAAAAATAAAAAAATTAATTTTTTTAGACTGAAAATTGTCGAAAAACATGTAATCGCTGTAAAGAACCTAGAGCTTGGGCATGTACAAAAACAAGGGGAAGAAGTGCTAAATGTAAAATCAGAATTATTAAATATAAACTTTTTACATTTAAACACAAAAATATAAAAATCAGAATTATTTTATATAAATCAGAATTTGCTGAAAACACAAAAATTCTGAAATAAGAAAACATCTTTAAACCATGTTTTATAATGACAATAAAAATCAGAATTAAAAAAAACATGATTAAAATCAGATTTTTACAAAAACAATTAACATAAAGCCTTGTTCTGAAATCAGAATTATCATGTTTTAATAAAATCAGAATATGAGAATAATAATTCTGATTTTTCATAAACATTTAAAAATTAAAATTTAAAATTAACTTAAAATCAGAATTTCTTTTACAGTGAATAATAATACAAAAAGTTTTGTTTCTGGTGGACAATGTGCAAAGAAAACGTGTTACAATGAAAATCAGTGTTGTCAAGTAATTTTAAATAAATAAATAAATATTTTTTTAAATTATTTTTATTCAAAGCAATGGAGTCGAAACGGGGTGTGTACAGATAGCCCTGATTGGATGAATTGTAATTGCCCTATAAGTTGTGGAAGTTGTCTTCCAAGGAATTTTACTTATGGAGGTATAAATATATTTATTTAAAATTAAAAAATAAAATACACAATGTAGCCTGTTCTGACTATTATAAAAGATGTAAAGCTTGGGCAAATGCTGGGGAATGTGCTAAAAGTGATTGGATGAAAGAAAACTGTCGGTTAAGCTGCAAAACTTGTTTAAAGGACGAAGAACTTGAATCGGTAAAAATTCAGAAATTAATTTAAAAATATATTTTGTCAGAATTTTAATATTTAAACAAAAATATAAAATCAGAATTAACCGTGTTCAAATAAAATTCTGATTTTATTAAATGAATGTTCGGAGTATTTTCTTTTTTATATTTCTGGTTTGAACATGTTGAGAATTAATTCTGATTAATCAGAATTTAATTGAAAATACAATTACCAGAAATTATTTAATCGAAATTTAAATCAGAATTAATTTTTTCCCTTAAATAGATATGCAAAGCAGCCCCATACGCCAACACTCAAACAAGTTTATTTCGAGATAAAAGAAACACATTTCTGAAATTTGAAGAGAAACGAACATTTGTAATTTTTACAAATTAAATTAAATAAATTAAAATATTTTTCAGAATATGTACAAAAATGAAGAAAGTGAAGTCGAGACAATGTTTTTGGAAGAATCTGTATTGAAGTTGGAAAAGAAAAACAAATAATTTTAATTAAATTATTGTAGTATATTTTTAAATTTATTTTTAAATTTCAAATTTTCCAAAATAAAAATAAATTTTATTAAATCATTTTTTATTTTTTTAGATAAAAAATCTCTTTTTTAATAACCTAAAATTTATTCTGAATTTTTTCAAAATTTATTTAAAATATTTTAGACACTCAGAAATATTACTTATCATTCCTCCCTCATTCGTTAAAAATATCTTTAAAAAATAAAAAAAATTTTTTAGAGAAAATAAATGATGTGGATGAAAACACGGAAATAACAAAATTAAAAATAAATTTTTAAAGAAAAAATTACACGTTTTATAATGACAACATGAATTAAAGATTATATTAGAGAAATACATACAAGCATAACAATAAATCTAAAAATATTTTAATTTCATTTGGTTTTAAAACCAAGAAAATTTATTTTAAAAAATTTTTAGTCTACATATTCTTCTTTTTTTTCAAAAATTTAAATAAAAATATAGGACCATTAAAAATATAGGTATTTATTATTTCAATTATTTTTCCTCAAATATGTAGGTAAAATTGAATTTTATAAGATGATTAGACGTTAGACACAAATAAATCCTTAAAATTATTAAAATATTTTTACAAATAATTTCTAAAAATAAATAAAGGGATTTTTAGTTAAGGAATTTCTCAAAATATGTAAGAAAATAGAAAATAAAAATATTTTCTAAATATTCGGAGACAAGTTTCGAAGGCACGTTGGTCGGTCAGAAAAATTAGCAACTCGAAAAAGAGCGAATGAAATTAAATGGGAAATAGAAAAGGAAATATGTAGATAATTGGAAATTAAATAAAATTTTAAGAAAAAACAGCAAAATATATTTCTTTTTCACTAATTAACACAAAAATTCAAGTAATTATTTTTTTAGAAATGAATTTATCATTTCGACTAAAATCGGGTCTATTCATTTTAATAAATTATATAATATTGTCAACATTATTTTGTAATGTAAAAACAACATTATTTTGTGATGAAAACTTTCCTGGTGATTTAAGACAATTTTGTGAAAAAATGGAAGCTGGAAAGAATAATACTCGAGTAAATTAATTTAAAATTAAATTAAAAATTAATTTTAATTTTTAGGACCCAAATTGTAAGTTTATTAATTAATTTTGAATAAATTTACATTTTTGTGAACAGTGCCGCAAGGATCAAGGGACCTACCTGACGATAGAAAAGAATTGCGATGTGTAACGTTAAGCTGCTTTTGCCCTGCACTTAATGGTAATTAATTTTAAAAAAGGGGAAAAAATTAATTTTAATTTAATAAAAGGTAAAAAAGATGGGACAGTAAATGGTTGTAAACTTCCTAACGGCAATAAACTTGGAAAATGTATTAGATACGAAATGAGAATGTTGACAGATGAACAGAGACAAGCTTATGTAAATTATAAATTAAATTAATTAAAACCAGAATTAATTAAAAACATATCAGAATTTTATAAAAAGCTTAAACATCTAATGTCAAAACATTAAAGATTCCCTAGCAAATAGGAAGAAATCAGAATTGTTTAATTAAAATCAGAATTAAAAAAATCAGAATTTTATTAATTCTGAATTAATATTACAGAATTACAGAATTACAAAATTACAGAATTCTTAAAATCTCAGAAAAACATTAACATTAGTTAAAAACATATCAGAATTTTAATAAATATTTAAAACAATGCCGCCCTTCTGAATTTCTAAAAAATAAAAACTTTTTTATTCAAATTTTCAAAATAAATTTTAGTTCAAAACAATAAAAGAAATGAAAGCAAATAACGATTATCTTATAATGGCAACATTACATAAACAAGCTTGGGATGATGGTGCGGCACACAACGGCCCATGTTTCTTGCCATGGCATAGAGAATTTCTTAAAGTGTAGGAAAATAAATTGTAAAAATTTTTCGAATAAAATTTAAAATAATTTTAAGATTTGAATTAGCGATGCGTGAAGCTTCTTATAAGATTCTCCAAACAGCAGATGTTTGTTTGCCTTACTGGGATTCGACATTGGATGCCCGCTTACCGACACCTAAGGATTCTTATTTTTTCACCGCTGACGTAATTTTAGAAATTAAATCAGAATTAAATTAAAACATAAAAATCAGAACCTGTTTTAAAAAATGAACAAAATTAAAAATCAGTATTTATTTTAAGAGACCAGAATTAAATTAAAACAAAGCAAATTATTTCAGTTTATTGGAAGTACAAATGATATTGGACAAGTTATTGACGGGCCTTTTTCACCCTGGGAAACACTAATGGTTTCAATAAATAATTATTTAAATATTTTTAAATTGCCTTATTATAGAATACAGAATATATTGAAAGAGATGTAGGTAGTCATGGAGCCTGTTACCAGGAAGAACGGTGGGTTAAAGTGTTCCTTCTCCTCTTGATCTCTCCATATCCCCCTATATCCCCCTTAAGCCTTACAATTCTTTATACCACCATTAATCCCTCCACATCGATCTTAATCCTCCGATATCATCTCCATATTCTAATATCCTCGATATACTCTCAAATACACCGATTTATATGGTATTCCAAAATTTTTTTAAAATACATATTTGATATTTGATCAAATATTTTACTTTGCCAATCAAATTCTTTCAAACATCAAATAATTTTCAAATTATTTGATCAAATATTTGATTTTGCCGTTTGTCCGATCTCTATCTAGTAGATGGACAAAAAACAAAGTAAAATTCCTCCAACGGCCACTTTTGGAGATTGATAGTAACTGTAAATAAATTTAATTGCAGCTTTACTTGGCAAATGCAACAAACTGATATTACAAATATCATTGCTTATTCACAACCACCAAATAGGGATAAGTGTCCATATAAAGCACAAGCTGGATATCCAGAGGTCTGTAAAATTTTAATTAAAGATACGACCAATAATTCTATATAAAGTATGCTCATGGTGGTGTTCACACATTTGTAGGTAAATACATGTCAGACCCAGGTACATCAGCAAATGACCCTTGTTTTTTCAACCATCACAGTTTTATCGATTTGGTGGGAAATTTATAAACATAAAATCTTATTTTTGTAAATTTTCTAGCTTTTTGAAGAGTGGCGTAAAGCAAGACAAGATTATAATAGAAGGCCACTTGATTACCCAGTTGATAATCCTGTAGGTTTTTAATTAAGTTTTTGAAATATAAATTTATATTTTTAGGATTGCGAAACAGAAGTTAACTACAAAAATCAAAATATGTCACAATTTCCAGTAATTTGTTCTTATTAAAAAAATAAATAGGGGATACAAATTAAGAAAGGATTCAGATCTGAAAGCCTTGCCATAATTTAAAACGCTTATGAGGGTGTTAAAGATAAATAAAAGAAACAGATGCTTCTTATAGACTTAACCTCCGATGTCCATTTCAGGCTACCTTACATGTCCTATATTCTATAACAGATTAACTTTTATCTCTCTCAAGACTCCTCATATGCTCTTTACAGACTACCCACATACAGTGCTTACGCCAGTAACAATTTTTACTCGTCCCTCGTACTTGGAACAGTACAAGTACGAGGAAAATCGAGTTATTGACTTTTTCATTTTCATTCGCTGGACGTATAAATTAGATCAGAGTCATTTTTTAGTATATAAGAAATATCGATGGATGTAGAAATGAATATACAGACAATATGTATGAATATGCTCCGAGGCCAAATTGTAGTACCTATAAACCAGATTGCGGCTCAAAGTAGGGAAATGATTAAAAATTATTTTTAAAATAATGAATTAAAGATATTTGTTTTGTGACCTCTCCAATGGAGACCCTCATTGCGCGGCAAAAGCGCGTCCGGGAGGAAATTGTACAGGATTCTTCAAAGGTGTACAAAATTGCTTTTAAATTAAAAAAAACAATTTAATTTAAAGGAGAAAAAGTTTGTTATAACAGTGAATGTGTGAACAATGTCTGTGTTGGTCAATCGGTAAAATATTGAAATTAAATTAATTATTAACTAGGTACTAACATTTCTTTACTAACATTTTAAATTATTAAGAGAAAAAATACTAGTTAAATAACAATTTGTTTATCTTAAATGAATAACAATAAATGTGAAGGGGGGATTGGATGGACGATGGGATGAAATCAGTGAGATTAGTGTTAAGTACTAGATTAGTATGGTTTGTTGGCACTAACCATAGCTTTTATATTAACAATAACATAACGGCTTATATGTATATATCACAATAATGTTGAGTTAATCTTAACTCGTTCATTCTTTTGTTAGTACAAGATATTGTAATCTAGTACATAACACTGCCTATTTTAAGGAGGATGCTTCAATACAATAACAATCATGTTGGAGATGAGATTTATAATATAACGTCATAAGAGGTATATACATATGCATGCCCAAATAAAACATACTATGCTGTAAATATTTTTATTTTAACATTTATTAAAAGCCTTCATTTCGTTTTTGATGTAAATAAAGCTTAATTAATTTAATTTATTGAGTAAACCACAATGTACATAAAAAAGTAAATTTTTTTTAAATAAAGTTTATACATAGTATAACAAATCACGTGCCAAATAACATTTTAACTAACAAAGAGCTTAACATGCCTTAAATTAAATGCCCAGTTGTTGTCTGTCCGCAAAAGGAATGCGCACTTTTCCTTCATTTTCATGTATTTCTGCGAGTGGCCTCATTTAATACACATAGATACAAAATACCAAATATAATTAAAATCTGTCAACGTATTTAAGTAAAAGCTATTGGTTTTTTGAATAGTGCTTCTTAGTGATAAGACCATGTAGGATAAGTTTTTGCACTTGGAAGGAAGGGGACTCTTTAAGCAGAAATGCAAAAAAGGCTACCCTACAACTCATCCAATCCTTAACTCATCTAACACTTAACTCATCCACACGGCCAAAAACGCTCAACTCATCCAATCCTCAACTCATCTAATGCTTAACTCATCCACACGCCCAAAAACGCTCAACTCATCCAATCCTCAACTCATCTAATGCTTAACTTATCCACACGCCCAAAAACGCTCAACTCATCCAATCCTTGAAATATCGGCCGGTTGAGTCCCTAGCCGGTTGAGTCCCTGGTCAGTTGAGTCTCAACCGGCCCAAGACTCAACCGGTGGTAATCAACCACTCAAACGGCCGGGACTCAACTGACCAGGGACTTAACCGGCTAGAGACTCAACTGGTCATGGACTCAAACGGCCAGGGACTCAGACGGCCAGAGACTCAAACGGCCAGGGACTCAACTGGTCATGAACTCAGACGGCCAGAGACTCAAACGGCCAGGGACTCAACTGGTCATGAACTCAGACGGCCAGAGACTCAAACGGCCAGGGACTCAACTTGTCATGGACTCAGACGGCCAGAGACTCAAACGGCCAGGGACTCAAACGACTGGTACTCAATAGTCTCGTTCCAAAGGATTGGATGAGTTGAGCGTTTTTGGCCGTGTAGATGAGTTAAGCATTAGATGAGTTGAGGATTGGATGAGTTGAGCGTTTTTGGCCGTGTAGATGAGTTAAGCATTAGATGAGTTGAGGATTGGATGAGTTGAGCGTTTTTGGCCGTGTGGATGAGTTAAGGAATTTTAGCCGTTTAGATGAGTTGAGCATTTTTGGGCGTGTGGATGAGTTAAGGATTAGATGAGTTGAGCGGGCACGGCAAAAAAGGAAAGAAAACACCTTGTGGACAGGTAGGACATCAACTGGATATTTAGCACCTCAAACTAATTTAAAATTTAAAAATTATTTTAGAAACAGATTTTGAAATATAAAAATCTTTTTGTTAATTTAAAATATTTATTAGACTCAGCCTACATCGACAGCGGTCCCAACAACTCAGCCTCCTACAACAACAGCTCCTTCAACGGCAGTTCCTTCGACGGCAGCTCCAACGACTCAGCCTCCAACAGCAGCTCCAACGACTCAGGCTCCTTCAATGGCAGTTCCTTCGACGGCAGCTCCAACGACTCAGCCTCCATCAACGGCAGCTCCAACGACTCAGCCTCCATCAACAGCAGCTCCAACGACTCAGCCTCCATCAACAGCAGCTCCAACGACTCAGGCTCCTTCAACGGCAGTTCCTTCGACGGCAGCTCCAACGACTCAGCCTCCATCAACGGCAGCTCCAACGACTCAGCCTCCATCAACGGCAGCTCCAACGACTCAGCCTCCATCAACAGCAGCTCCAACGACTCAGCCTCCATCAACAGCAGCTCCAACGACTCAGGCTCCTTCAACGGCAGTTCCTTCGACGGCAGCTCCAACGACTCAGCCTCCATCAACGGCAGCTCCAACGACTCAGCCTCCATCAACGGCAGCTCCAACGACTCAGCCTCCATCAACAGCAGCTCCAACGACTCAGCCTCCATCAACAGCAGCTCCAACGACTCAGGCTCCTTCAACGGCAGTTCCATCAACGGCAGCTCCAACGACTCAGCCTCCATCAACAGCAGCTCCAACGACTCAGCCTCCATCAACAGCAGCTCCAACGACTCAGGCTCCTTCAAAGGCAGTTCCTTCGACGGCAGCTCCAACGACTCAGCCTCCATCAACGGCAGCTCCAACGACTCAGCCTCCATCAACGGCAGCTCCAACGACTCAGCCTCCATCAACGGCAGTTCCTTCTACGGCAGCTCCAACGACTCAGCCTCCATCAACAGCAGCTCCAACGACTCAGGCTCCTTCAACGGCAGTTCCTTCTACGGCAGTTCCTTCGACTCAGCCTCCTTCGACGGCAGCTCCAACGACTCAGCCTCCATCAACAGCAGCTCCAACGACTCAGGCTCCTTCGACGGCAGCTCCAACAACCCAGCCTCCATCAACAGCAGTTCCAACTACTCAGCCTCGTTCAACAAAAGCTCGAAAGACTAAGGCTCCTACAACTTCAGCTCAAACAACTAAGGTTCCAACGACTGAGGCTCCAACGACTGAGGCTTCAACTACTGAGGCTCCAACAACTGCGGTTCCAACGACTGAGGCTCCAACAACCACAACTCAGCCTCCATCAACAGAAGCTCCATGCGATGATAATGAAGTCAATTTTAATATTTATAACTTTTATAATTGGTATATTTCCCAATATTTATAGCCTTATGACTGCGAGAATTGTTATTAAAGGAAAACTACATGCATCTAAACACGAATTTCAAGCGATTGTGGAAACTTATTTTAAATTCTTAAAAAAGAGATTTTTATTGTTATTTAATATTAAATTAATTATATTCAAACTGGCTTTTCATTCGGTCTAAAGTATTTCTTCATATAACGTATTTGATGTCAATATATGTATTGTTAACGAAATAAATTTATAACAAATTGCGTTTCTAGTATAAGGATAGTTTTAATAAAAGAGTAATACAAGAAATATGCCTCCATGTTGTGCTCGTACTTACATATAATTAAACTTAAGTAATCTTAGGTACATATTTACCTAATCAATCTCTGATATGACCGATCTCTAGGGATTTCTTTTTATTAAAGTTATTTCGCTTTTCGCCTTTCGCCGAATTTTGACTTTTTGGTGTTTCGTCTTTCGTTTTATTTCGGGAACCTCATGGTTTTTTTCGGCGTTCCGGCACACCTCTGGTACCTGAATAGAAGAGGTCGATCGGAAATGACGAAGGTAACTGAAATAGAAACTGTCGGAAATTGGAAATGGCTCGAAAGTCAGAAATCTGAGTAAATTTGGGAGGTTTCGTTCTTTTTCAGCGCTGTTGACTCAAATTTATAAGAAAATTTCCTTCCGAAATCAAAATTGGAATTTCGATCGACCTCTGCTAGTTGAAAAAATGTCAAAATTGATAACAAAATAAGAGCATAAGGTTATTTAGTAAAGCATATGGTTATTTAATTTCTAAGGTTGTGCAGTAGTCAACCAATAGTAAAGCAGCTGGGCTATAGCTATTTCTCTCCAGCTAGTGCAAAAGGTTATTCGGCGGCTGGTAACGAATCAGCATCTTCAGTAGACCAGACTTATGTGTGATGCAAAGGTTCCAGTTCTAGAACCGGAACTGGAACCGAAGAGATTCAAAAAGCAGTTTCAGAACTGAAATCGGTTCCAGCGAAATTTTGGAACTTTTGCATCATTGACTACAACACGCCGGGTTGCAAAAAAGGATAGTCATAGAAGAAAATAATTCCGAATATTTTTTGTAAAATTTCATCGGCAAAATAAGAATGACAAAATTTCTCAATTTTCAAAGAAAAATTTTTCTGAATTTTTGATTCTTCCAAAATTTGAAAATTTTAAATTGTATGAATTTTCAAAAATTAATAAGAATTTTTGATAACCAAAACTATTTCGGGAAACGAAGGTTGTAACCTAAAAATTAGATCACTAGTTACATATAACATTTACATAAATAATATTTTTTAAAATATAAAAAACAAAAATATTAAAAATTGTATCCTTGTCTGTTTTTTATTAAACAAGGAAATAATAAATTTTTCTAAATATTTTTAACATTGTAAATAAAAAGAAGCATGATAATTTTTTTATTATTTGTTATTAAATTAAAAATAAAATTTAGACAATTAAAAATAATTTTTTAAATTTAAATATAATCATTTGCCACGAAATAATTTTTTTGAATTTATCTAAAGAAACAAGGAAGAAATTTTCTTTATTAAAATTTTGTTATTTTATTTGTCTACATATTTTTTTAAATTTTAATTTTCATCCATTAATAGAAAATATAAATAATTTTTTAGATGTCTCTATTTTTGTATATATAAATACAGTCGGATATCTTTACATTCATTGTATTTGAGATCGGACCGAGGCAAGATGTCGAACAAAAAATGTATATGTTATCGAGAATAAAGATTTTTCAGGACAACGATCAGGACTTTCTTACGTCCTTCGCAGTCTTATCTCTATTTTGTACACCTTGGGGGCTTCATATATCCAAGCGGATATGCAAGAGACTACCAAAAAGCCTCTGGTTCTTCTTAAAGGCCTTTATATCCCAATTTTTAAAGGACCATCGCCCACGAACCATCCGTTCTCCCGACTAGCCTTTTTCAACTCTTAGTTTCTAAAAAATTCCCAAGACTTAATATCTTTAATACCCAATAAAATTATTTTAAGTTGATAATGATATCAAAATTGTGTTATTTATTTTTATTATTTACTTCATTATTCTGTAATGTATATGCAGAAGTTAATTGTAAAGAGTTTGCAAAAGAAGCACGATCTACTTGTGAGCGAATGGTGGCAGCAGATAAAGCACCTCCTGTATAAATTTATATTAATTAAATAAAATTAGAGAATGGGAGGATGTGGGGTCGGATGTAGATTAAAAGAAATTTAATTAATTTCCTTTGGTAGTTCGAAGGAATCATAGTAAGGAAGTAGTCTGATGAAGTCTAGGGTGATGGAGGGAGGTTTAGGGTGTAATGTAAAAAGAACAATAGATTATCTGAACAGAACATGGTCGTCTAAAAAGTAAATATGAATTTTTTGGGACGGTTTCGACTTTACTTGAAATTAATTTTTATAGGGAAATAAGCTGAAATAACGAATTACTCTTTTAAAAAATCCAACCGATCCCAATTTTCTCTTTAAAACTTTTTTCTAATTTCTAATAATATTTAGATAACTCCAGGTTAGTTTACCTTTTATTAATTAATAAAATCTAAATTGACAATAGGACCTCCAATCGACGGAGGAAGTCCAACGATGGAAGATAGAGACGAGCTTAATTGTTTAAATCTGAGCTGTATTTGTCCCGTTTTTCATGGTATTTAAATTTTAAAAAATTTAATTTTACTTATAATTTAATAAAAAGGTAATAAAGATGGAACAGTAAATGGTTGTAAACTTCCAAACGGCAAAAATCTTAACAAATGTTTTAGAGAGGAATTGAGAATGTTGTCAGATGAAAAGAGACAAGCTTATGTAAATTATAAATTAAATACATAAATAAAACCAGAATTAATTAAAATATATCAGAATTTTATTTAAAAATTATCAGAATTTAAAAAAACTTAAATATTTATTTATGCAAAAACATACAACAGCTCCTAATTAATGAAAAAATCAGAATATTTAATAAAAATCAGAATTATATATTTGTAAACAAGCAGAAACTTTAAAATCTCAGAAAAATATCAGAATTATTTAATATTTGATAAATCAGAATTACTAAAAACCTATTCCTTTAAAAATCAGAATTTTAAAAAACATTCAGAATTGCTTTTTAATAAATATCAGAATTATTATTAACATAACTGAAATTTTTAAAAACATAAAAACTAATGTAAAAACATATCAGAATTATTCATCTTAGAATAATTAACAAAATAAAATAATTTCAGTTTAAAGCAGTTCAGCAAATGAAAGATAACGGAGCTTATGACCTCTGTGCTATTCAACACAGAGATGCTTATCTTTTAAAAGGAGCACATAGAGGTCCGGCATTTTGTCCGTGGCATAGAGAACTTCTCAAAAGATTTGAAATACTGCTTAGGGAAGCTGCGGATCAGACTATGAAAACAACCGATGTTTGTTTGCCGTATTGGGATTCGACTTTGGAGAGGCAATTGCCTACACCTAAGGATTCTTTATTATTCACCGAACTTGTAAAATTATTAAATATAAATCAGAATTAAATCAGAAAATATTAAAAACAAATTTTAAATAAACCAGAATTAAAACAGAATTTAAGAAAGTGAGAAAAAAGGAGAAAAAGGATTTATAAATCAGAATTAAATTAAAAATACTCAGAATTTATTTAAATTATTTAAGTTTATTGGAAGCACAAATTCCAATAATGAAGTAAGTAATGGGCCATTTTCACCTTGGCAAACATTAGAGGTGAATTAAATAATTAAATTAAAGTATTAATAAAATTCTCTAGGGAAATGATTACTTAAAAAGAAATGTTGGGAGTGATGGAGTTTGCTATAGTGAAGCAGAGTATTCTAAATAAATTTAAAAAAATAATTTAATTTATTATTTAGCATTAATTGGGAATTAGATCAAAAAAATTTAACATATTTTATGTCATATTTCCCTTCAGATAAAAGATGTAACTTTAGCATAAATTCGAGAATGCCGGAGGCAATAATTTTAAAATTAATTAAAAATCGAGAAAAATATTTTTAAAGATCCCCCACGGAACTACACACACTTTTATTGGCGAGGATATGAGCGATCCAAAAATTGCAGCAAATGATCCAATTTTCTTTAGTCATCACTGTTTTGTTGATTTGGTGGGGGAAAAATTTCTAAAATTATTTCGATTTTAAATTGTAGATATGGGAATTATATCGTTGGAAACAACAAACTTATGCCCAAAGACCAGTTCAATACACACCAGATAAACGAGTATGTTTTTGTGTTATTGGCTCTCCTAGTTTGTGCTGTGGCAAAAGATGGAGCCAAGATTATAATTTAAAAATATTTTTAGGAATGTGAACCTGCTGTTCATTTCAAAGAAGCAAAAATGACAACATTTCCTGTAATTTAATAGTTATTATTGAAAGTAGGGAAAGTGTTGGGTAATGGGGGTGGCGGGACATGAGGGAGGGAGTGGGGTCTGATATGGTATTAAATTTTAGGAAATCTGGAGTTAATTGATCCACTGATACTAGTGGGAACATTTAAAATGAACATTTAAATTTAGTTCTTTAAAAATCTCGACGGATGTAGAAATGAATATACAGACAATATGTACGAATATGCTCCGAGGCCAACGTGTACAGTAAAAAAGCCAGATTGTGGGTCAAAGTAGGAAAAGAAATAATTAAAAAATAAGAAAATAATTATTAAATTAAAGATATTTGTTTTGTGACCTCTCCCATGTAACACCCCATTGCGCAGCAAAAGTGCGCATAGGCGGAGATTGTAAAGGATTTACTAAAGGTATATAAAATTGTATTTAAGTTTAAACAAAAAATAAATTAAAGGAGAACAAGTTTGCTATAACGGTAAATGTGTGAAAAATGTTTGTGTTGGTCAACAGGTAAAACAATAAAATATTATATGTAAGTATTAACATATATCCTTTAAAATTTCTCATGGTCTTTCTTAGAGTTCCAGTTCCAAACAAAAGGCCCAATTTTTTAAGAATTCCCATCGGTTATTATTTGATTTAATTTTATAATCGTCAACTTTTTTTATTTGATAAATTAACATTCTCTCACCTTAAACATTAACAATTTTTATTTATCTGTTTTCCAGGGCTCTTATCCCAAATTTTTTAAAATCCGCAAAAATGATCATAAACAATAATTTTATGCGTTATATTTTTTGACTCAAAAATTGAATTGAGAAATTTTTTATTATTAATAAAAAATTAACTTAACTTGAGCCAATTGAAAAGAAATAAAATTGAAACGAAATAAAATTTTTTCTTAAAAACTAACACGCAAAGCTAGATACTTAACAACATAAATTAAGGACTATTAAAGCTAGAAAGTCTCTACCTTTTTTCCCTTTCTAATCCTTATGAGAGGAGAAAGATGAAGGGAGAAATAAAAGTCAAAAAGTTGCGGACAAACATTTGCGGAGATGTGGGGAGATAACCGAAGAGTAATGACATTTTTAAAAACTAAAAGAAAATATAAAAAATCCTAATAATCTTCAAAAGACCACAAAAATTCACTTATCCTTATTGACCTATCGAAAACCCACAGAATGAGGAAAAGTCCGCACATATAAGAGCCCTGGTTTTCACCGTGCTTGGGGTTTCATCGTACAAGGATCAAATATTAACCATTTAAACTAACATTTCCATTTATCAAAGAATGCTTTTATATTTAGCTAGTCTTGTATTTTACAGGAAAAAACAACAACTACAACAGAAGAACCTGATTATGAGGATGACTGAACTATTAAACCATAAAGACAATAATAATATTTATTTTCCTAATAATTTATCAAAATTCTATACTTTTTTGTAAAAACATAAAGTGCTTAATATATTTAAATTTATAAATATTCACTTATATTCTCATATAATGTCTAAGTTCTTATTAACGATATAATACTACAGGCATATAAATCTAGGTATGATTAGCTTATAGAAATCATCATGGGAATTCTGACCATAAATTTAATGGTTAATACCAAACAAATAAACAATATAAATTTAGATCTTAATATTGACAAACCCTCCCACTACAACGGAAGGAGCTTCCACGACAAAGGAAGAGGCTACAACCACAACGAAAAAAGGAAAATGCAAGCATCCCAAAGGAAAGTCAAAGCACGACGATAAAGGATGCAAGAACGACAACGGAAAATCCAAAGACGATAAAGAAAAGAATGAGAAACAGGACAAAGATCATGGTAAAGAAGTCAATCACAACTCTTCCTAGTTTCTTGCAAACACTGATTTTATTTTTAAAAGGAATAAAGATTAATAACTTTCGTTATTCTTGATAAACATGCTATTCTATTCTTGTGGTATTCTGTTAGCCATAATCAACCTTAGTACTTAAGAAAGTGAAAATATACTTATTTGTAAATACTTAATTATAAATAGACTACAATGGTTAAAAAATTAAATGACCTTCCAAAATTCTCAAAAATTTCGCCTACGATGCTAAAAAGGCTCATTTGTAAAAAAATTAAGAGAGGAACTGTATTTTTGTATCGTACTTATATTTTGAAAATTTTCGAAAATTTTTCCCCCTATGTACTTCCGAACTAAACTTTTCTATAGTTTAACTTGACATTTTTCTGATTCAAGCCTATTATTACCTAGCTTATTTTTGTAAAATTGAATTCCTCTCTATGCCTTTTTTGTTGCAAAATCTTTGCTTTATTCAATGTCATTTACTTAAAAAATACAGGGTTCTTCAAAAATCGTCCAGACAACAATATTTTTGGGTAATCAATTTTGCTTTTATCATCTTAAATTCATCATGTTTTACACGTTTACTAAAAATAATAAAAAAATACAAAACACAAGAATTCTTTAAAAAATATTTTTTTATTTACCTTTGTAAACACAACGCATAAAATTTTTATATTTAAATAGTTTTTTTATAAATTTTTTATGGATTGCCTTAACTTATATAAATTAATATTTTAGTTTTACCTAAGTATTTTTTAGGGCCACGTTTTCATTTTTTAATTTTAATAAGTTTTGCCGTTTTTCAAAGCTGATGTCCTTCGGTTTCTCATTTTATCAAGCAGGGCCGTTCAAATATCTTTCGAGCCAACAGAATCAATCATTAGGATTTTTTGGGCCGTTCTCGGACAGAGTTTAGGCAGAGCCTCATTGTCTATACTCGAACATAGTTACTGGGCCTATTTATTAAAATGTTTCAAGGATAGAAATTTATCCATCTTAAAAGCTGCTGCCAAATTTTAAAGCTTGCAAATTTCTCTGATTTACCTATTGCATGTAAAATAAGGTGCAAACTTGGCGAAAATTTTCTAGATTAATCCTCCCTTCATATAAAAATTTTTATTTTCCTTTTTAGCAATGTTTTTCGTTCGTTTGGGTATTTTAATTAATTTATTTTTAATAAATTTTGTAACTACAACGAATATAGATACAACTACAACGCCTAAATTCACATTTAGCTGTCGGGATGCGCCAAATAAAGCTAAAAGGAAAATGTGCGAGTCCTTATTTAAAGTTAGAAATAATGCTGAGGTGCTTAAAAATTAATAAAAATTTAAATAAATTTAATTTTTTAATTTTTAGAATGCAAAGTTAGGTAAGTTGAGAGAGCTGTATACTGTAGTTTGAGAGAGGAGTCGCTTCATATTTTAATTAGAGTTGGCCGGTATCGGTATTTTAGAATAAAATCGGGATTTTAATAATAATGACCCCGATTCCGTATCGGGATTAGGAATGAAAAATCGGTGCGGTATTTACTAAAAAAATTTTTAAATTTTTATAAATAAAAATTTAATATATCCCCTCATTTCCTCTTCTCCTCTTTTCTGAATTTGTATATCCTATCAAACATGCTAACAGAATTTAATTATTAAAAAAACTAAAAATATTAGGACAATCAGAACTGACTTCAATACAGCTTAAATTAATAAACATGACGGGCGATGTACCTAATTTAACAATAAATAATCAAACAATGGAAGAATGTATAACTTTGAGTTGTTGTTGTCCTTTTCTGGGAGGTAAGGAAGTTTAAATTTAAAAATTTAATTTTCGCTACTTTGAATTTAATTTTCGCTAATTTATTTTTGACTTTTTGATTATTTTCTAAAATTTTACAATTAAATAGGAATATCAAATGGTTCAATCAACGATTGCACTCTTCCAAATGGCCAACAATTTCAAAAAGCATATCGTAAAGAATTAAGGACAATGTCCGATGATGAACGAAATAGACTCGTAAATTTTAAATAAATTTAAATAAAAAAATAAATTCAAATTCAAGTTTAAATGTATTCGAAAATTAAAAGATTCTGGTGAATATGATGCTCTAGCAAGATTGCATAAAGACGCGTTTGATTCGGGCGGGGCGCATGGGGGGCCTGCTTTTTGTCTTTTTCATAGAGAATTAACTAAAAGGTGTTTCTAAATAATTAAATATTTTTTTAGTTAAATATTTAAAGATATGAATTAATGATTAGAAAATGTGATCCAGACTTGTATCTCCCTTATTGGGATTCAACGCTAGATGGTAGATTACCGCAACCGAAAGATTCGTGTCTTTTTACGGAAAAGGTGGAAAATAAATTTAAATTAATTTAAAATTAAATCAGAATTAATTCTGTTTCAGTTTCTTGGGGGAACGGACCCTTCCACCGATTATGTAATAAATGGCCCGTTTAGTCCCTGGCCAACAACGGAGGTACTTTAATTATTTAAATATTCTCAAAATTTAATTATATCATCAGGGAAACCCTTATATTTCACGTTCTGTCGGTCAAATGGGTGGATGTTTTACTGACCAAGAGTTTTGTTTAATTTCTAAAAATTTATTTTTTAAACTTTAAAGTATTGAAGAGGTCTACGAGCAAACAGATATTAGAGATGTTCTCTCATATTCAATGCCTTATGCTTCTTGTAATATTTCCGTAAATTGGGAATGGCTGGAGGTGTGTACATATTACTTAATTCCCGTTATAACTACAAACCCTGCCTAATGGATCGGGTTCCCTGTTATCTGGTCATTTAATTTTCTGTTATAAATTTAAAAAATTTTATGCGGCCATTAATTTAACTTTCAATTTGGTAGATTTATTTTTTTACCGTTGAGGTAAATTGTAGCGGTATAATGAGAGATAAGAAAGTCCTCCTTTCTCCCCTAAGAAGACAATTGAATTGATTTGTCTTATCGAGATCTTACATATTTTTCACCTTCTAGTACCGTCATGGCAATGTTCATGGATTTATTGGAGGTGATATGGGAGATGCACGGATATCTGCTAATGATATTTGCTTTTACTTTCTTCACTGCTTTGTTGATTTTGTGAGAGAAAATTTCTCTAAATCTAATTTTCTAAAGATTTTTGAGGGATGGCGTTTGAGAAGACAAAATCGACATCAAAGAGAAACTGAATATCCTCCTGATATTGCTGTAAAAATTTTTTAATAATTTTCTAAATATTTTAAATAAAGGCATGTGAATCTTCTGCACATTTTAAACATGCAACAATGGCTGAATTTTCCGTAAATTTTATTAAAAAATTTATAGTTTTTACGACTTTAAGCCTCTACAAAATATAGACGGACTAAGAAATGATTATACAGACAATATGTATGAATATGCCGACAGGCCAAATTGCTCTCTTGAAATTCCAGATTGCAATTCAATGTGGGGGAGACTTAAAAAAATTATTTAAATTATTCTAAAAATTAAAGATATTTATTTTGTGACCTCTCCCATGGAGACCCTCATTGCGCAGCAAAGGCTTGTTTAGGAGGAGATTGTTCTGGATTTATTAAAGGTGCTTTTCTAAACATTTTCCTAATTATTTAAAATATAGAAAGATTATTTTAATTAAATTTAAATATTTTTTATTTTAATATTTTTTAAAATATTTTTTAAGGGGAAGAAGTTTGTTTTGATAGTGTATGCATTAATAACGTCTGCACAAAAGAGGTGGCGGAAAATAAATTTTGTTTTTGGCTGTGCTTAATTTTTTAAATTTCAGAATATTACAACAACAACAACAACAGAATTAAAAGAAACAACACCAGAAATGCAAACAAACACGGTAAATAAATTCTGGTTTTTTCAGAATATTTATGAAAACATTTTCAGAATATTATAACAACAACACCAGAACATCAACCAAACACAAAAACAGAAGAAATTGAAGAGACTAAAACAACAATAGAAACATCCAAAACAACATCCACTCTATTAAATAACACAGAAACAACACTCGATGTTTGCCAAACATGTCAATGTTTATGTACATACAAACAAACATTATTAGTTCCAAAAATAAGAGCAGAAGAAATTTTAGAGATAAAATAGAAAAATTAGGAAATAAATTTAAAAATTTAAAAAGAATTTTTAAAAAAATTCAACAAAAATTTTTTCATAAATTTTCAAAAATTTTGCTTTTTGTTTATTTTTGAAAAATAAAATTTGCTTATTATTTTTTTTTCAAAAATAATTTTAAGACGAACACAATTAAAATTAAAAAAAAACAAGGTAAAAATTGAGGAGCGTGACGGGAGTTAATTGAGGGCATTGTTGACTCCGCGAAAATATTAAAAGTTATTTTGAGGAAAATAAAAATAATTTTATTAAAAATAAAAAGTGTTTTTTGGTCGAAATTAAAAAATTTTTTCCTTTACAAATTTATAATAAATATGTCCTTATTCTCCAAAAATTGCCGGCTTGTTCCAACAAAATTTTTTATTAGGACCCGATTCTTTAATTTTATTCCTCATTTTAGTCCTCTATTGTAGGCTTTTTTATTTTCAATTTTTAAGTTGACTGTCAGCTTGATTGAGTACTTAACTAAACAATATTTTTTATCCCCTAAAGTGTACGTACAATTGAGATCCAACTGTATTACTTCTTACTGATTTGGCCTCGAGAGAGGTGTACTTTAACGATATTTAAATGTATAAATGAAAATTTAATTATCAGAAATAATTTATTAAAAATTAAAAATCATAAAAAATGGCAAAATTAATTAGTAAACTATTAAAAATAATCATTTTTTAGTATCGTCATAACTTGATTAATTAAATAATTACAATTTTAATATTTTTTAAAATAATTTTTGAAAGAGTGCATTTAAACAAATTAATTTCTTTGATAGAAAGTACAAAAAAAGTTTTTTGCATTTTTTAATCAAAAACTTAAATTTACACAATTCGCTCAATTCCTTCTCTACCTACCTTCATTAAATATACATATTATTAATTTTAGCATTACTCAACAAAATTTTTTTCATTTTTTAAACCTGTTTTTAAAGAAATGGAACACATTTTACAGAGTAATTTTGTTGTTCAAATGACTGTCTCCAAAATAATCAAGAAGAAGAAAAAATTATTATTGGGGGAATAACAAAACAGAAATTTTATGTAAAATACCCTTCTCTCGTCATTTTTTCACTTTCTCTCGTACTTTGCTTGATTTTAAATTTAAAAATATGAAAATAACTAGATTTTTAATGAATTTAAAATTAAATCAGAAATTTTAATTAAATCAGAAAAATGGATGTTTCAGAATTGCGGTGTCAAGCTCGAAGCCATATTTTGAAGCATAACTTTTTTAATTCCCAACCGATTTAAATAAGCTTTATATCAATCGAAAGCTCTGAATATAAGGATTATTTTATCAAGCAATATTGATTTGATCAGATAATTCTACAAAAAGTTGTAGCCGGATAACTATCAAAAATCACGATTGCGCACACTTATCTAGAAATAACTTTTATAGCATGAACTGATAAAATTAATCCTTTAAGAAAATTAATCCAGACATCCATTTCTTTCGATTGATATGATAATTATTTAAATCAGTCAAGGATAAAAAAAAGTTATGTCACAAAATATAGCTTTATAAAATTATGATTTATTTTACATATTTATAATTCTGATATTAATTCTGAAAGAAAATATTTAATTCAGAAAAATATTATAAAAATGGGTATTCTAAACCCTTGTTGTGTTTTAAAATATTTATTAGTTGCTATTGCAACATTTCCTTCATTTATAAATGCGCAAATGGATTGTTCAGCAGCGCCGACTTCTGCCCTTAGAATTGTTTGTGAACAATTGCATCGGTGGGATAAAAATGCTAGGGTAATTTATTTAAATTTTAAGACGATTAATTTAAAAAAATTAATTGAAGGAAGCCCCAGCAGTTACCACTTCAATCCCTCTCCCTCCTGCCATTCCTGGACTTCCAGGTAATATTATTAAAATTATTTTAAAATTGAACCACAAAATATCCCCTAAACCGTAATAACTTGACATAATTAAGCACCCTTGCTTGCAGCCGAACTTGCACCAGTTGCTTCAACACCCTATCAGTGTATGGATATTGGTTGTCTTTGTAATTATTTGGGAGGTATTTTAGAAATAATCTAAAGAAATATTTCTAATAAAAAATAAAGGAAATGGCCAGACTGGAACAAATACATGCTCATTAGCGACTGTAAGAAAATCAGTTCGTAAAGAATATAGAATGTTGAGTGATGATGAGAGAGCTCGTTTTGTTAGTTTTTATTATGCATTATATTTAATTAAAATATAAAAATTCTTTAACAGCATGCAGCTCTAAAAGCAATTAAAGCAAGTGGAGAATATGATAGAATAGCCACAATTCATTCACAATTTGCTACGGCTGGGAGTGCTCACAGCGGGCCAGGATTTTTACCTTGGCATAGAGAATTTGTCAAAAGATTTGAAATAGCTCTCAAACAAGTTGACCCTCGTGTATCACTTCCATACTGGGATTCGACGTTGGATGGAATTTTGCCGGCTCCTAAAGATTCTGTGATGTTTTCTAATGACGTGGGATAATTTTAAAAATAATTTTAGAATTAAAAGAAAAATTTTTTTGAAGTTTATGGGAACGACTGATGCTGCCGGAAATTTAATTGGAGGAGATTTTGGTGGATGGCGGACACTTACTGTGAGTTTAGTTTTCATTCATGCCGTAGTACAGGGCAGTAGGTGGGAGAAGAATGTCCCGTTCGGACTAGGAAAGGGCGAGATCCACTCGTAAATAGGCCAAAATAAAATGCCGTTCTGACTCATAAATTAACGATAAATTCTGACAATTTATAGGGACGTGCAAACGTTCTTAGACGTGTTGGTGCTGATGGAAATTGTTTTCGTGAAAGAGAGTAAATAAATAAATTAATTTTTAATTTAAAATTAAAATAAATTTTTTAAAGTATTCAATGGCTTTTACAACAGACTAGTATTGACTTGGTTTTAAGCTTCTCAGCTCCACAAGCTGTATTTTTTAAAGATTCTTTCTTAATTTTTAAAATCTATTTTTAAAGGGATGCACAGCATCTACTAGTTTCGACGCTTTAGAGGTGTTTTTTGAAATGTTTAATATTTTTTGAAAGTGGGAGGGGGAGACTGTTTGTACAGTAGGATTGTCGGCTCCGAGAAAAACATCGGATATTCGGAATTGAACTGACAACCATGATATAATCACTATAAACCATAAATATTCAGTAAGCAGAACCATGGTACTGAATAAAGAATCAGTGTCAGTCTCTTCCATTTCTAGGGTTTAGTTTATCCATAAATACTTGTTAGCAAATGCCGTTCCACAATAATCTTAATATTTAAAATATTTCTGTAGTATACACACGGCAACGTTCACATTTTTATTGGAGGTGATATGAATGATCAGTCAACCTCTGCCAACGATCCAATATTTTGGGTTCATCACGGTTTTGTGGATATGGTTGATTAAATTTAAAAAAAGAAGATTTAAAAAATAACTTAAAGATTTGGGAATTATGGCGGTTAAGTAGACAACAGAAAGGTGAACGTGAAACAAGTTACCCAATGGATCAGGCGGTAAAGATAGTGATTATAAATTTACAAAAAATTATTATTAAAGCAATGTGCAGCTCCTCAACACTTCGCTTCTGCTAGAATGCGACCTTTTGAAGTAAAAAGAATTTAAAAAAATAAATTTTTGGGGATAATGTAGAACGAGGGGCTATTGTTTTGCGGAAGTCCTCTGTATTTAAAAAGACCATCTATAGTTTTTAATCCACAAGTTTTTTACAGGCTTGGAATCCTACCAGCAATTAAAATAAATTCACAATTTCGTTAATCGTATCGACGGGATCCTGCTACGGACTACCTCCCTCTACAAACCACACATTCCCCTTAAGAATGAGGAAGAAACCTAAAGATCCCCTTATATTTACAAAAGCGCCAATTTTTTAGCTATTTTTAAAATTAAGCCATGGAACAACATTGACGGTCTAAGCAATAAATACACGGATAACATGTATGAATATGCTCCGCGTCCTACATGTGCAATGGGGCCTAATTGTGGATCTAAGTTGGATGGGAATTAAAAATGTATTTTTAAATAATTCTTTAAAGATGGCTCTTCTGCGATAAATCTCGTCAACCAGGGCGGTGTGGTGCAAAAATAAAAATTGGAGGAAATTGTCAAGGATATGCTGGAGGGGAAGATGTCTGTGCACATGGAGAATGCCAAGGGGGAATATGCGTGCAAACTACTGTAAAACATTTTTTTAATAAAAATAATTATTTTATGGGTTAGATAAAATAAAATAATTAAAATAATCTTTGCTTGTTAAAATAATTAAGATATAAAACTAATTTAAGAATTGATTATTGTAAATACATATCATCATAGAACGCAAAGCCCTATTAGAACCTATTTAAAAATAAATTCAAGACTGGATAAAAATCCACATAAGATATCCAACCCCTTGTATATATGTACATCGGTAGAGTATATATCTAGGGATTGGGGGATATCAAGAGAGATGTCAAGGGATTTGGATTGGTAAAGAGAGATTTGAATTAAGTAGGATTGGGTAGATTATGAGGAATATATGTAGGGATTAACTAATTTTCTCAATAATATTTTCAATTCTTATAGCAAACAACAACAACACAAAAGCCCATTACCGCCCCAACTCAAGCACCTCTTAAACCAGTCCATGTAAATTAATTTTTTTAAATTTTACTAAATTAAAATTAAAAGATTGCTTGTTATAACGAACACGAATGTTGTTCTGTTTGGGCGGGTAAAGGAGAATGCCAGAGAAATCCAACTTATATGAATGCTTGGTGTAAAGCTAGTTGCAGACAAGTAAAAATTAAATAGAAATTTTGTTAAAATTTATTTTCTCAGTGCCAACCTGATTATAATATTGGATTGGGTGTGTTTATTTTTTAAATATTATTTTAGATATTTTTTTCAAATAATGATAGAAAGTTTTATAAGTCCAAAAAATTTTGAAAGATTGTATGTATCAGCCAAAAATCTTGATCCAGTAAAAAATGCTCAGGGTCTTTTAGTTGTGATAGTTAATTTGGCTCGGATTTCGAGCTAAATGGGGGTTTAAAATTCATTAAAAGTGAAGGCAAAAAAGAGTGCCCAAATAGCCCAAAAAGAGTGCCCAGTCTCCTCATCCATATTTCTTTCATAATCAGCACATTAATAGTCCTCTCATTCTTAAAAACAATTAATCTTTTAAATAATTTAAAGAATGCGGTGATCGACACAAAAATTGCCGACAATGGTCTGGAATAGGAGAATGTCAACGCAACCAATTTTGGATGGTTAAAATTTGGAAAATTAAAAAGTTTTTAATTTAAAAAATTTCAGACAGAGAATTGTCGACAAGCCTGTGGAAAATGTCAAGTTTCGAGAGCTCAAGTTTGTAGTGGGGGACAGGGAAGCAAAACAAATCAAAGTTGGCTCTTTGATTAAATTATTTTTTAAAAATAAATTTAAAGACAGAGTAACACAAGCTCCACCCCAACAAGCAAAATGCCAATCCCCTGGCTGTTTTAACGAAAATATTTGTTGTCAAGTAAATTTTAAATAATTTTGATAAAATAGAACGGCTTTTTTGTGGGTTAAAAGAAAATATTGGTAGAAAAAGCCACCAACCATTAATGTTAGGGTCACTAAAAACTTTTAACAGAAAAAATAATCGACGAGAGAAAGTTTCTTAGCTGGTATTTTCTGTCGCAAATTAATTTTTAAATACAGTAGGAGCTCTCTTGTTTATACCCTTTAAGGAAGGAAAAACCGTAGAGGGCATATTAGAGGGGCATCTTTATCCTCCGTGTACCTAACCAAAAATATCGAATACATAAAGGAGATACTCAAATGAAGGTATACCTAAGAGAGATTGTCTAAATCGAAAATTTTCAGTTGTGGGGTGCAATGGGAGAATGTCGCAAAAACCAAGCTTGGATGACCTGTAATTGTCGAGTAGCTTGTGGAATGTGTTATTCTGAAGATTATGATTATGGAAGTGATTAGATTTAACAAAAAAATTTTTAATTAAAAAAAATAGCTTGTAGCGATTACCACAATCAATGCGGGCAATGGGCATCGCAAGGAGAATGTAATAGAAATGGGTGGATGTTGGAGAATTGTAAAAGTAGTTGTAATACTTGTGTTTCTTTCTTTCAACTTAGACAAGTAATGAAGAAAATTTAATAAATTTTAATTAATTGAATTTAGCTTTGCCGCGGTGCGCGTTCTGGACGCAAGAAGCGGGGCAATGAAGTCTCTTCTCTAGGTTTTCCTCCTTCTATTGAGGTGGACAATGTTAGCTTTTCGAGGATTGTGGTAATTTTAATTTTATTATTCTGATAAATATGGTGTTAAGTCCAGCCTAGTCTGAAGGGCACATAGAGGGTAGTCTGAAGGAACATTGGGGATAGTGTGTATCAGGGATCGCGCCGACCCGATTCACGATTCCCGAAAATCGTGAATTCCCGACGATTTTTGGCTCGTGAATTCCCGATTCACGAAAATCGTGAATTCGAAATTTTCGTGAATTCACGTTCCCGATTCACGACATTTTTTTCTAAAAATCGGGAAAAAATCGGGAATTTTTATTAATTATTGGAGCTAAAAAAGGAAGAAATCTGGTGACTTGGTCCTCAAAAATTCTCAAAATTTTCGCCAGCGGCGCTGAAAAAGGAAAAAATCTGGTGACCTGATCTTCAAAAATTCACAAATTTTTCGCCTACGGCGTTAAAAAAGGTATAAGTCTGGTGACTTGGCCTTCTGAAATTCTCAAAATTTTTGCCTACGGCGCAGAAAATTGAAGAAATCTGGCTTCTGGTCTTCAAAAATTCTTCAAATTTTTGCCTGCGGCGTTGAAAATGGAATAATTATGAGGAGATCGAAACATTTAGAGATACCTCCAATCCTCCTTAATCCCACGGTATCATTCAATATTACCTTTAATCTTTTTACATATTTTCTAATCTTGGTATGATAAGGAGGGATTGAGTGATAATGACTAAAATTGATTGGGGGATTTTAGTATGTTGGGGGATTTGAAAATAGAGAAGGAGAGAAACACAGATATACATCCAAATCCGCAGTCGAAAATTTTAGAATTTTCGAGGGCCAAGGAGCGACGAATTCGAACGGTTTCGGTCCTATTGAGACAGATATTCACATTTTCCGGCAACTAATTAATCCTCCCGTAAATGCCTTAATACTCCCTCAGTCCTCTTTCATCGATATCATTATTAATCCCAAATCCATCCTCTATTAGACTTCAAATGATCCACATCCCCCTGTCCCACATCCCTCTTGTTCTTCCTATATCTCTTCGAATCCTCTGAAATTCATATTTGCGCGTGATATCAAGAGCTAAAGAGGTGTAAGTTGTATATCAGTGATTTGCAAAGCTAGAAGATTCAATTTATCCCTTGATCACATCCAAATGCCCTACTATCGCTCAATCCATATTTATTACCTCAAATCCCTTTATTCTTGATACAGTTATATCGCCTAAATATCCATCAGTTAATCAATTAAGAACCTCTAGTACATATAATCCCTAGTAATTACTTCTAATCCCCCAAAAAAGGCAAAATTCCCGAATTCCCGAAAATTCCCGAAAATCGTGAATTCCCGACGATTTTTGGCTCGTGAATTCCCGATTCACAAAAATCGTGAATTCAAAATTTTCGTGAATTCCCGATTCACGAAAATCGTGAATTCGAAATTCTCGTGAATTCACGATTCACGAAATTCGGGAATTCGAAATTTTCGTGAATTCACAATTCCCGAAAATCGGGAATTTGATTTTCTGTCGGCGCGTTCCCTGGTGTGTATGAAACAGGCAATGGAACATGAGGGGTAGTCTGAACGGAAGATAGCAAGTTAGTCTCAAGCAGAGGTGGGTCGGAACAGTCCGAGGTGTATAGAACAGTCCGAACAGTCCGAGCCGGAAATCGGAACTGGCTCAAAAGTCGGAACTCAGAAATCTGAAAACGCTAGTGTTAGGCAAATGGATAGAAATCAGAAGTCGAAAATCGGAATTCCGACCCACCTAGGAGTTTTAACGATAATTTTTCAACAAAATTTTATTTTTATTAAAGCGTGAAACAAATTTACGACAAACCAAACAAAGTAACGACAAAGACGATCATGCAGAAAGAATGATAAAAACTGCTTCAAAATTGCCAGAAAGTAGTGGTATGCCATCAACTGTTGCATGAATATTTAAATTGAAAATAAATTTTTAATTTAATTGAAAACCCGGTTAAACAGACAAAATTTTTTTCTAGTTATACATATAATTTTATAAATGCCATAAATTTTTAAATTAAATTTTTGTTTCTGTTAATTTAAGGAATTAAAGTTCCGTTGCAAATAACTCCTTTTAATTAAAATATAAAGTCCCCCAAACTTTTATTTTATTTAAAATTACATAAATGTTGAAAAAAGATTGCCAGAAAGTTTTTGGAAGATATTTTTTGGAAGATATTTTTTCCCCAAAAAATATTTATATGGCCAAAAAAATATCCGACCCGGTTCCCGATCGGGATTTTATGTCGGCTAGATCCCTGTTTTATATATCAGTTCTGCCGACATAAATTCCACATTCCTTATCTTCGGAAAACTCGTCTCTAGAACCTAACGATACCGCTCTCAACCCGAGTTTTTGGCCCAAAACTTTTCGATAATTTAGAATTTTCGGGAATAAATAAAATTTTCGCATCTCATCAGAGGCAATTTGTAATTACGGCCATAAAAAATAATTAATGAAGACCCAAAAAATTATTTAACTTAAAACCCCAAAAATAAAATTTAAATTAATTTTTGCATTTATTCTTTGGCTTTTTTCCAAATAAGCGTCGTAAATATTCTTTTATTTTTTCACTCGGGCTCAAGTTGTATGGATTACAAGGGGTAGTGTTTTGCACCTTTTTAGTTGTTGGAGTCGATTTTCTTTCGATTGGATTTGGACCCGTTATTTTAGAGGTTTTGGTAGTATTTGGAAGGGGTGTAGTGTCAATTGGAGCAACATTTGGAAGATCTTTTTTCATTTCCCCAGGGACAGTTATTGGCAGTGGATTTGATGTTGATGATGGAGATTTTGAAATGCGTATTGGAGAGTTGGGAGGTTCCAAGGCTTTTGGTGTTGTTATTGATGAGAAGTCTGGTTCTTTTTTTGTCTCAGATTCAGCCGTTTTTGTAGACTCCATGTTGACAGTAGTGGGTAAAGCAAGAGTGGTTGTTTCTACTGGCATTTTAATTGTGGAAGTAGGTAAGGGTGTTGTTGTTAGTAAGGGTGTTGTTGTTAGTAAAGATGTTGTTGTGGGTAAGGGTGTTGTCGTCTAAAATTTGCAAAAATTTTTTTCAAAAAACTTTTTTTAGTCCTAACCGGTACATAAACGCAAACATCGTTAACACAAGTTCCATTCCAACAAACATCCGTCCCTGGAGGGAATCCTTTACAATTTCCACCAAGTTTTACCTTTGACGCGCAATAAGGTTTGCCTTTTGAACGATCACAGAACATAAATCTAGTTTATAAAAATGATTTTAAACACTAATTCTCGTTATGACGTTATTTCAAGGAAGTTATTTAATGGAGAAGGATGTAAATTCAATTTAGAGGTCGTATTTAAAAATAGATTTAGAGCGATATACCGAAGGAGTTAATCTGTAGGGAAAATTCGAGGTAATTTGTAAGGAATATTAGAGGAAATCTTAAAGGAAGACACGGGTGTCTGAAGGGAACATTTGAGGTAATTCGAAGCTGAAAGGAACATAGGCGGTGTCTCAAAAAGAAAAGGAGAGTCTGAATGGAATATAAGAAAGCTCTTCTCAAATTTATATCTCCTACATTGATGGGCATTCTGTAGTAGCATTACAAGTATAAACACTTCTATCTTCATATTCATACATATTGTCATTATATTCATTTTTTAGCCCATCACAATTTAATAAAGGCTTAAAACAAAAAATTTTTTTAATAAATAAAAATTCCAAATCTTTACTTCCATTAAATACATTGACGAATTTCTGTATTGGTCAGCAGGGCAACAATCAGGGTTATCTTTGGGATATTCAGTACAACGTTGTTCTCTAGTTTGGTGCATATAACGCCATTTCTCAAATATCTGTTTAAAAATTGTATTTAATAAAAATGACAGAAACCCACATAAATATACCTCACCCCACTATAGACTAGTCTTTTAAACCCAAAGGTGTAACCTAAGCGAGGTTTAACTACCGTATTTCCTTGAATAATTACCCTGAGTTATTTTTGTTCAATCCTCTAGCTAGAAGGGGTAATTAATCGAGGCAGAGCATTTGTTGGAAGTCACACGGAGTATATAATTTTTCGCAACCAAGTGTATCTGTGAGGTTCAATTGTATTTGTTAGTGATCGGACGGTACCGTATTACCACGGTATTTATCGGTATTCTGTGTCAGTAGTATGGTAAGGAATACAGACCAATAAAAATTTAAAGATCCTCGGTATTTCTAGGTATTTAGGATATTTTATCGTTATTTTTCGGAATTCGGTAAGGTAAAAAATTCCGGTCACCAGTATTTTTCCGCAAATAATTCACATATTAAGGTCTTACCAAATTCAGAAAGTTATGGAAAGTAAAAAAGGCGCAAGAATCCTGAGCCGATAACGCTGTGTCAAACATAAGTCCGCCAAAATAAGTGTGTGTTTTTCCGTGAACAAACTTGAAAAAAATGTTTAGAAATTAGAAAAAAGTATTTAAATACTTCTGGCCATTTATTTGTTATTTCACAAGGACATTTATCACCAGGAACTGTATATGTCATTATACTATCAAGCTTTGTCTGACCAAGAATCCATTGGACACTAAAAATTATTTAAATATGTAGAAATAATGAAATGTAAAAAATTTTGCAAACAAAATTTTGTCAGCAAACAAGTGTGTTTTTGGCTTTATAAGGTTTGGGGGCACTATGAAGATATGTTGTCTATGCCAGTTAGAATCTTATATTCCTATTGTTACGTCTGAGGCAGGGATGTCACGGGTTACCCGAAACCCGATACCCGAAACCCGGCCTTTTTTTCGACCCGATACCCGAAACCCGATCCGAGAAAATTTCTAAAACCCGACCCGAAACCCGACCCGAGTTTTCTCAAAATTTTCGCCCGCGTCGCAGAAAAAGGGAAGATTTTTAGCTTAATGATCTTCCAAAATTCTGAAAATTTTCGCCTGCGGCGCTGAAAAAGGAAGAAATCTGGCTTCGGACCTTCAAGAATTCTCAAAATTTTCGCCTGCGGCGCTGAGAAGGGAAGATTTTTGGCTTTTTGGCCTTCCAAAATTCTTAAAATTTTGGCTTTCTTTCGACCCGAAACCCGATCCGAAGAAAATTTTGAAAACCCGATCCGAAACCCAATCCGAGAAAAATTTTGGAAACCCGACCCGAAACCCGACCCGACATTTTTCTCAACCCGTGACATCCCTGGTCTGAGGTAACAGGTAGGTATAGGCCTGATTCATACCATTCGTACGAGAGTGTAGGCTAAAGAGAACCTGTCCCGTTCGGATTGAGATAATATAAAGAATATGTCCTTACACTTAAACCGATATAAAACGAATAAGAGGGATAAGCGAAGAACTAAAGAGAGATAAAAAATTACTTACTCATCTTCATTCATTAATCTTCCACCTTCTTTACCAACATTTCTTGTAATATAAGGGTCCCCCTAAATTTTAATAATTTAAAAAATAAGTAAGCTTAAAATCACTTGAAGTGTCTTAAAATTTGCACAAGGTCCATCAATTACATTACCATTTCCATCTGTACTACCTATGAACTGAAATTAAAAATATTTAGTTTATTGGAAAAATAATTAATTTGGGTAATTATTTTCTAAATTTTCATTGGGAAGAAGTATTTAATCAAGAAAATTTGTTCAGGTTGAGGAATGCAAAAATAACAAAAAGGGGATTTAACAAGTTGAGCGTTTTGGGAATTTAATTCAAATATCCCTTAATAGGTTACAGTCAATTCTACCCTCTCTCTCTCTCTAAATTTAGGGAAGGGAGAACTGGCTAGGATATAAAAAGCGCTTGCTGCGTGTTTTATATATAAAGGCCTATCAAAGACTAACAGGAACCTGACGTGGCTAAGCTTTTACCTTTCTCTCTTACTACAAATAAAATCTTCAAAAAATTACCTCTTTAGTAAAAAGAATAGAATCTGCCGGATTTGGCAAGCGAGCATCCAAAGTAACATCCATGTAAGGCATACTAATATTTGGGTTTATTTTACGCAGAATTATTTCAGCTCTTTTAAGAAATTCTCTATGAACAACGAAAAAGGATGTACATCCGTGCCACTTTCCAGCTTCAAAAGCATCTTTGTGTAATCTTGCCAGATAGTCAAATTCCCCATTCTTTTTCATTTCTGCAATTGCAGCAAACTTGAAAATTTTTAAAAATTATTTTTTCGAAAAAAATTCTTCTGATTCTATCTAAACGGACATAATCTTAACAATTTATGGTATTTTCTCCAATTGAGCGGCGTCTCTATTTGAACGCCGGTACCCTCTTGAGAGAGGATTGAAATATAAATTGTCCGCAAGTTCAATTAGAGAAAAATTCGCTAACTAATTTTAAGAGCATTTGTTTACGGATGGGAAAAAAACTCGAATTCCGAAAAGACTCGAATGATCCGGCTAAATAAAAATAAATGTTTGAAATGAATCTGAAAAGTTGTTTGAAGTTATCCATGCAAGAATAAATTAATTAATAAAATTACAGTATCCATTTTTTCCTGATCTGTTAACATTCTCCATTCTTTGCGTTTTGCTTTTTTAAGTTTTTGGCCATTTGAAAGGGTACAATCATTAGTTGCTCGATTACTTGATTTGCCTAAAAATACGTGATTTTAAAATGTTAATATTTCAAAAAGTCAAAATTACCCCCATAATACTGACAAACACAGCCTAAAGTCATACAAGCCAATTCATATCTTGTTGTATAAGATATTCTCATTTTCGTTCTAAGTTTTGGGTTCTTCGGTTTCTAAAAATAAATATGTAGGTAAATTTAATTAAAAATTTAATAAAAAAAATTTTTTTTACATTTTCTTCCTCTCGATTTCCGTGGACCTTTTTACAGTAATTAAAAGCAGTTTTGTCATCCTTAAGTTTATCGCAAACATCGGAAGTGGAAATGTTTATAATTGTTATGATAATTAATAAAATAAATAAAATTGTGGAAATGGGAGGCATTTTTAATTAAATATTGAGTTAAAGACTAAAAATATTTTTTAGAAATTTATGTTTTATTAATTTTGTAGTCTTGATTTGTAGGGTCTAAACATTTTTTTGGTTATATTAGAGACTGGATTCCATTAGAAATATGAATTAAGGGTGGGATGAAGTCCTCAGAATTCCGTTTTCTTTAGTTTTCCTCCTCCCCTTTCTGACAGCTGCTTTTTAAATCCAGTTGGGCATCCCCCTATGTGAATCTAAGAAAAACTACAGTGTTTTCCTACAAAGCAATCTTTATGAGCGGCTGAAAAAACTATGAGGTTGTTGTTGAGAATCCACAGGGAACAGAGACGATGGAGGAGGGATCGTATCTGGAGGGATCGTATCTGCCCATGGAGAGATTCAAGGGGGGGGGGAAGATACATAGTGAAGATTTATAGACAGCTACTTAGCATTAAAGAATTGAAAAATATTTGTAATGATATATTCGAAATAAATTTCTAACCAATTAACAAAACATAATAAATTTAAAAAACATAAAGTATTAGCCTTCCAAAATTTCAGAATGGAAAAATAATTAAAATTTCCCCTAAGCTTTATCCACCATAGTTAAGCCACCTTTTTCCACGTGTTTTTAATTTTATATATTTGGCAATTGACGTATATACCTTTTAGAATAAACGCTTAATGCTTTAAATAAAATTAAAATAAAAATAATTCAAATAGAAAATTTAATACGTTGCAGCATTAGGGTATTGCTGTTAATTCGTAGGGTATTGCTTAAACATATTTAAATTTTTAGAAAAACTTTTTGCCCAATTTAGCTCGGCCACGTTTGAAATTTTTTAAATTTATTTTAATTTTTATTGGATTTTTATTTCTGGTTTAAAATAAATTATAAATCGTTTTTAATTTAATTGACGTAATAACTTTAAATAAAATTAATAAAATTTGTTTCCTTGAAGTTACATAATTGTAAAGTTAATTTAATCATTTTTACAAAATCATACTTTATGAGTGTTAATAAGGAGAGAGGAAGGGTTAATTCGTAGGGTCAAAGGTGGGGCTGTAGGCATCCTTGGAGAAATTCAGAGGAAGATTCTGAGGGCAAATCCTGGGAATCTTTCAATCAAGGAGTAAATGAAAAAATTAAAGTGGAGATAAATGCGCTAATTACAAAATCTGCCTCAAGTAAATTTAAATATTTTGCGCCAATTTGGAAACCACCACCACTTTAAATAAATAAAAATTGTGAGCTTTAAAAACTTGATAAAAATAAAAACTTTTCTCGAAGCTTTTATCAACTAAAGATAAACCTTTTTTATCCACCTGTTTTTATATAAATTTAGCATTTGACATTCCCCTTTTAAAATAAAAACATAATGCTTTAATATATAGACTTAAAGCAATGTTTTTATAAGCTCACGTTCAGAGTTCTCTAATTATTTATCTCTGGTAAAATTTAGTATAAAAAAATTTTTCTTCATTATGCCTCTGCCACGTTATAAAAAAGGACGGTTTGAAGACAATGTCAAAATGACAATAATATGGATTGGATATAAACTAGGGTAGGACACGTCGAGATCGATATATCTATCTCGAATATCGGTCATTTTCGCCTGTGGCGCAAAAAATTGAAGAAATCTGACTCAAGGACCTCCAAAATTCTCAAAATTTTTGCTGCGGCGCAGGAAAGGGTAAAAAATTTTATGATAAAAATTTTTTAAATACGGTTAATATCGATATCGAGTCGGTCATGTCAATATCGACCAATCTCGATATCGTTTTTTCCTGAAATATCGATATCGTCCTACTCTAATATAAACTATAAATTGGTTACACCCCAACGTACCGTCGAGCTACATATAACATTATTCAAAATTATCGAATCCGTGTCAGCTCGTTGAGTTATAGCTCGCTCTATTTCCATTTCGTTTCAAATTTTTTAAAATTTATTTATAGTAAATAACTATTATTTAAGATAAGAAGCAGGTATATTAATTTTCTATGTTAAGACTTTTAGGTGGTGTAATGTTGGGGAATGGGGTTGGGGAGAATATTAAATAGGTGAGGTTCGCCGAAGGCTCCGGTTGTCCTAGTCCATAGAAGGACTAGGGCCGGGGCCCCGGTGGGTGGTTTACCCCTAGATTATATAAAAAAGAATTAAATTCAGAAACAAATTTATTTAACTAAAACTAACAAAATCCAAATATATATTGTGTGGGGGAGAAGAAGAATTAAAATTAAGTCAGTAAAAAAAGATTGTTGAGAGGGTGGAAGGATAGGCTGGTTTTATAAGCCACGCCTATGTTACATGCCTAATTTTCCTTTTTATGCCGTCCTCGGCATTTTAGATTTTATAATTTTTGATTGGTGATAAAAAATATTTTGAATTATTTTAATTGGGGGGATATTGAAAAATTATTTTTAATTAATTTTTTTTTTTTTAAAGGGGATGTGATGATGAAAATTTATTATTATTTTTAAGGGGGTAGAGAAAAAAATATTTATTAATTTTTTTTGAATTGGGTTATAAAATTTTTAATGTTTTTTTTTTTGCGAGGACTTGGCATAAGGAAAATTTGCATTTGTGGTAAAAAGTCCTAAAATTTAGGATTGTGGTAGGTAATGAAAAATGTGGTAAATTTAAAAAATATGCCAAATAAATGAAATTATGGTTATTAAATACTTAAAAATGTCAAATTAAAAAATTAAAGTTGGCCTTAATAAATGGCTAAAGCTTATTTAAAATAATTATTGTGAGTATAAAACTTATTTAAAAAATTATTATAAATCTTAAATTACTTAGTAATTTTATTAAATATTAAAAAAATTTTTTTTTTCTTTTCCTTATCTTCTCATCATTTATTTTTTTCTTCTTCTTCTTCACTTTCTTTAATAACGTCGGGGTCCCAAAGAGCCAGCTCTGCGGTAACGATCATGATTGTTGTTGTCGTAACCATAAGGTTCGAAGAATCTGATGCGACGTCCTCCACGAAATCCCCGGCCGCCGCGAAATTGTTGAGCTCCACGAAATTGTTGTCCTCCACGAAAATGTTGTTGAATTGGTATTTCTTCTGTGTTGTTTGATGATGTCTCTTCTGTTGAATTTTCTTGTTGTTGTTTTTCGACGAGCAGCATCACAGCCTCCTTGATTCCCTCCAAAGAATTTTTCAACTCTGAGACACAATTGCCCTTACATTTAATTTTAACTTCTTTAATGGTCTCATTTTTCTTTTCTTGATTTTCAGCTACTTTGTTTTCAGCTGGAGCTACTTTGTTGCTTTCCGACATTTTTTTTAAATTTTTTGAATAATTTAAAATTTAGTACCAAATTCTATAAAATTTAAAAAATAAAATAGGTAAATTATATTTTTTAATTATTAAAAATTATTAAATCTAAAGCTAAAAATGAAAAGATAATAAGGATGTATGAAGATTGTGTAAATATTTAAAAGATGTAATAATAATTTTAAAAAGAAAAAAAATTTTTTAATGTGTACAGAAATGTGTTATTGTTAGCTACATATAAAAAATATTATTATTTTTTTTTTGTTTTTATTATTTTTTTTTCTATTTATTTTTTATTCCATTTCTGATTCTTTCTCTATTTCTATATTTTTATCTTTAAATTTAATCTTTAGCGATGGTTCTCGTAACGGAAGTGCCAATTTATTATTATATAATTTTATTTTATCCATATGTGTTTCTATTATTTTTGTGTCATTCTCTTTTAAAATTATATTAGGATGATTAATTGATATTATTTCAAAGGGGCCTTCATATTTATTAGCGAATTTATGTGCCGGCACTTCTACAATTTTCATTACCAGATCTCCTAACTTATAATTCGATGGATTTACTTTAGTGTCAAAATATTTTTTCTGTTTTTCTTGAGCTTTTTCAATGTTCAGGCTGATTTCATTCCAGATGGATTTAAATTTATTTTCAAGGCTCTCTTTGAAAAATGTATTATCTTCATTTTCTGGTTCATTTTCGCCAATATTGAGTAAAGTATCTATGGGTAATCTCATTTCCCTACCAAATAAAACCTTAAAAGGGGACATTTTAGTACTCTCGTGAATTGCCGAATTATAAGACATTGTCGCTAACTGCAGATATTCCTCCCAAGTTCGGCCTTCCTTATCGACATAATGTGTTAAAATTGATTTAATTATTCTATTTGAACGTTCGACTTGGCCATTAGCGCTCTGGTGATAGCTCACAGTAAAAATTTGTTCAAAACCAAATATTTTTGAAATATCTTTCATTACTTGAGACGTAAAGTTTCTACCTTGGTCGGATGTTATAAATTTTGGTACTCCGTATTTAGTTATTAATTTATCTATTATTACTTTTACAATTATTGTAGCTTTTTGTTCTTTTAATGGGCAGCAAATTAAATACTTTGAAAAACTATCTATCATTGATAATATATATTTTGAACCTTTATTACTAGTCACTATTGGTCCGATTATATCTATATGAATATGTTCAAAAGGTAAATTAGGCTTTTTAATTGGAAATAACTCTTCATGTTTTGGATGAAATTCATCCTTTACTCTTTGGCAAGAATCACAAGTTTTAATATATTGTTTAATATCCTCTCTCATATTTTCCCAATAAAATCTAAGTTTCATTTTTTCAACTGTTTTTGTTACGCCTAAATGACCTCCTGTGCCTGGATCCGAATGCATGATTTTTAAAATATTTTCTCTCATTATATAAGGAATTACTAGTCTTGCCGTGCCATTTGTGTCTATATAGTGTAGAGCTCCATTAATTAAAGAATAATTTTTAATATTTTCTTCTAATTGTTCTTTTATCTTTTTATTTTGAGGAAAATAACCCTTTAACGCACTTATGATTTTTAAAAGTTCAGGACACATTTTTTGTAAATTAATTATTTTATCCAGCGATATTTTATTATTACTTGATGATTTATTACTAGTATTATAATTCTCGTCTTCGCTATCCGAACTTGAAAGATAATTTGCTCTAGCTTTTGATCTGGTAACAACGTTGACGTGTCTACTTAGATAATCCGCAAATTGATTACTTTTACCTGACCTATGAATTATTTTAATGTCGTATGATTGAATAGCTAGCTGAAATCTTGCCAAACGTCCTGTTAAATCTTTTCTAGTCAAAATAGCACAGATTGGACTATTGTCTGTCTTAATAATTGTTGTACCGGTACCTAATATATATATAGAAAATTCTTTTAGGGCTTGTTCAATTGCCAATGCCTCTAATTCATTAATATGGTATCGTTTCTCAGTATCTTTTAGAGTTCTGGAAAAGTAAGCTACTGGGTGTTTATTCTGGATTAGAACAGCTCCTATGCCTTTAATTGATGCATCTGTCTCGATTATATAAGATTCTTTTGGATTTGGTGGGGCTAAAACTGGCGGTGTTTTTAATTTATTTTTTATTAATTTAAAGGCTTCCCATTCCTCTTCATTCCAATCTTTTGAGGATTTAAAATTATTTTCTTTTGTTAATTCATATAAGGGACCTAATATTTTTGCACATTCCGGTATAAATCTTCTAAAGTAATTTACTGCGCCTAAAAAAGCTCTTAGCTCTTTTAAATTAGTAGGCGGATTTATTTTATCTATGCTCTCTAAATCTCTAGGGTCTGGCCTAATTCCTTTCTCAGAAATAAAAAAGCCCAAATATTTAATTTCTGATAGACCAAATTCGCATTTATCAAGCTTTAATCTCATGCCAAAATTCGATATTACCGAAAGAAATTGCTCTATATCAATTAGATGATCTATTTCATTTTTTGAAGAAAGAATAACGTCATCGATGTAAATTAAAAAAGAGGAGGATATATATTTTTTCAATTCATTCATAGCACGCATAAATGTCGAAGGAGCGCCACAAAGGCCAAAAGGAACTTTAATAAATTGAAAAAGTCCCATCCAACATGAGAAAGCAGTGCGCTCTTTATGTTCAGGATTCATTGGCAACTGGTGAAATCCTGACTTAAAGTCAAAACTAGTAAAAATTTTCTTCCCCGATACTTCCTCTCTTATCTCATTAATTAATGGTAAGTGGTAAACTTGTTTGATTGTGATTGAATTTAGCTTTCTGTAATCTATTGCGAATCTCATACTACCATCTTTCTTTTTGACTAATACAACAGGAGAGGCAAATTGGGAATTCGAGTGCTCTATTATTCCGTCTTTAAGCATCTGCTCTACCTGTTTTTTAATTTCCTCTTTCATTGTCATGGGCACTCGATATTGTCTAGAAGCAATTGGACCTTTACCCGGTTCTAAATTAATATCATGTTTTATTGACCCCTTATAATCGCTTTTTTCAGTAAAAACATGCTTATATTTGCAGATAATCTCTTTTAGCTTTTCCTTCGATTGTATGCTTAATATGGATTTTTCTAAGTTTATTCCTTTTAAAAATTCGTGATCTATAAGTAAATTTGTTTGACATGAATAGATAGGTTTATATTGTGAAATATTATTTTGATCATTTTCATTAAATTCATTTTTAAATTTTATATTTATTATTTCATCCTGGTCATTTATCGATTCCAAAAATGCTATTACTTCTCCTGGCTTTATTTTAATTTCTATTTGAGATGGATTCATTATTCTTAATTTAATAAATTTCAGAGGCCCTGGTTTAACAATAGTTCTTCCGACTAAGAAAAATTCTGAAGAAAAATGCGTTGGCGGGTGTGTAATATATAATTGACTCGGACATTCATATTCTGTCGTGCCTATGATTAAATTATCTGTTCTAGGTTCTAAAATTATTTCAGCTGGTGCAATAACTGCTATAAAATTAGAATTATTATTTTTAATATATTTATTTTCTCCAGTATTTTGTTCAGTTGATATAATTACCTAATTCATTTAATTTCTTCATAAAATCTGCTCCTATTAGACACGGGTATGGGCAATTATTATCTACAGTAACATAAAAATAGTATATAAATTTTATATTTCCAATGTTTATAATTGCTCTACATTGTGTAATAAATTTGAACGTTGACTGATTAGCAGCTTTGGCTTTCGGGAGATTTATATTTTGTAAAGGTGTAAGACCGTAACTGTTCATAACACTTTCCCTTAAGTAAGATACAGAAGCTCCGGAGTCGAATAATGCTCTTATATTCTTTCCATTTATTTTCATTAATATTACCGGTAAAATATGATTTTGACTATTTGAAAAATTTTCAGTTGAATACATAAACGATATATTTGATTCCCAGCTTGGATTGCTTATAAAAGATTTATTATTTTTATTTATAAAAATTTCTCCGGTTTTTAATGGGATGCTACCAATTTGCTTGCATATTAATTTAATAGTGTCATAGCCTAATATAAAATTAAATGCTGAGGTATTTTCATCTGTTATCCAAACAAAAATCTCGCCAGTAAAAAGACCTACTTCTAATTTCACTGAAACACATCCTTCGATATTGACTGGATTATTATTTTCTATTGGAGAATATATTTTGGGTGTATTTTTATAAAATACTTTTTTGGCTTTAATCTCTTTTGCAAATGCTCTGGAACAGAGTGTTATTTCTGCTCCTGAGTCAAATAATGCTTCACAAGTATTATTATTTACAATTATATTTATTATTGGCAAACGTGTCTTTGTTATTGTTAACTCTGGTAACATTTTTTCAAAACTCGGGCTATTTATTTGAATCCAATTTTTAATTGATTTTCCTGCTTTATATACCGAATTACTTTCTATTATTTTAATTGTATTATTTATTAAATTATTTTTATGTTTTAAATCATATTCAGTGAAATCAAAATCTATCATCCCGTTAATATTAAAGTATGGTCTTATCCCGTGTAACTCAAATATATATAAATGATCATTGCCAATTATTAAAGGAATATTTAAATCTTTATAAACAAAAAAATTTACATCAATATATTCTAATCCTTTTGGCATTAATCGTAGCCTAGTTTTCTTTGTAAAATTAATATTTAATCCTCCAATAAATAATACATTTGTTGGCTCTATTTCCTCTATGTTACAAAGAGCTTCTTCAAAAATATGACTCGGGCCAAAAGAAATATTCGAACCAGTATCAATTACCGCGGGGTAGGATTTTAAACCTATTGGAATATATAAAATTGGTAAGTTTCTCTGATCTTTAAAGATATTATAAGAATAATTTAAATAATTTATTTCAGATTCATTTTTCTTCATATTAGTTAATTTGTTTGTTTTAAATTTATTATTGATTTTTCTATTATTATTATTTTTCTCTCCAATATTAATTTCTTCTAGCTCTATAGGCTCTTGGAC